GTGTGACTGTCTTCTGTGTCTGCGTTTCGTCATAGTCTGCGCTTACAAGAACGTCCAAAATGAAAGCCACGTGTTTGCAATGTCCAAAACTCGCAGAGCACATCTAAGATAAGAATCAGTTGTGTATTAGGATGTAGAGGATTAACGACGAATAGGGATAAAAGGAGATAGCAGCAAAAGACAAAATACAAGAAAAAATCTAGACGACAAAACGGAAAAAAAAAAAATCAAATCATGTCAATCAGTTACTGAATGCTTCCCCCCCCCCCAAACAACTAGAAGGTAGCAGGGGGCGCGCAAAAGAAAGCTCTGCAACAAGCCTGCTTAGATGAGGCAGGTGCGGGGGTCGAACCAGGCGCTGCGGCCGTTGCTCATATCGCAAGTGCGCTTCTCGCCGCTGGACTGCCAGAACTTGAGGAGCCATTCGACGTGGAGCGAAGAGCGGGCAACGAGCGCAGGGGTGATGGGGTTGAGCTTGTTGATAAAGGTGAACATGGAGGTAAAGTCACCGGCGGCGGTGAACTGGTTGCCGAGCGAGTAAATAAGGTGGTGGAGCAGAGCAAGGGCCTCGGGAGTCTGGGCGCTAGTGAAGGGGTTGTGCAGGAGAACAGACTTGTCGTACTGGAAGTCGCCGTTGAGCACGTACGTCTTGCGGACGCGACCGCTGTGCCAGGCAAGAGCGCCAGCCTTGCGGCCTGCGGCGTCGGTGGCGACGTACAGACCAAGGTTGAGGGGCGAGGCAAGGAGATCGGTCAAGTCGGCGGGGAAGATTTGGCGGTTGATGAGCTCAGAGCTGCGAATAATGCGCTCCTGCTCGGCGCGGTCGGTAATGTGCTCAATCTTGACGCCGGCAGCGGTGGTCGCGTCGAGCGGGGTCTGGAAGGGCTGGTCCTTGCGGAGCTGGTAGGCAATGGACGAGTACGTGCCGAGCGTCTCGAAATCGGCCAGGAGCGAGTTGGACGCCTCAATCTTGCGCTGAACGCCCGAGGAGGTCACGTTGGTCTCAATGACATAGGCCGAAAAGTAGTCGGCCTTGTAGACCTTGCAGTCGCGCTTGACGGCGAGGCCGGTAATGTAGCTGCCGAGGCTGTTGTTGCGGAAGTTGGGGTTGACGCGCAGAAGGAACTGGTACGACAGGGTGCGCTCAATGCCGTCGACAATGACGGGGTGGATGTACGAGCGGTTGGTCGCGGCCAGCACGCCGGTCGTCTTGCACTCGATAATGTTGCCCTCGCCGCGCTTCTGGATGTCCTCGAATGCGAGTTCGAGGGGGAATTCCGACACGAGGTTGGTCTTGGTGCCCTGCGTTGCATCAATTGGAAAAAATAAGTCACAACGTGTGTGAAGTAAGAGCATGTTCGCATGTTCGCATGTTCGCAGGTTATCCTCAGAAACCGCGCCATTGACCGAAAAGACAAAGTGCAGTGAGGGTTTTTGTGTTTCTCGTCCCCCTTTTTCTCTCCAAGAGTCGTATACCGCCGTTCTCTCCTCGGCTAATCTCTCGCCTTGCTTCCCTTCGTCCCACAGTATGTGTGTGTGTGTGTGTGTGTGTGTGTGTGTGTGGGGTGAGGTCTTTGATTTGCCATTTTGTTTTTGTTCAAACCCCACGCCATCATCACACTTTGCTGTTCCTCGTTGCTTTTGCTTGCGTGTTCTGCCTTCTCCGGTCTCCGTACCGCCACTGAGTGACTGGCTGTTTGTTGCTTCTCTACCCGAGCCACCGTACGCAATCATGCCGACACGCATGAACGACGAAAGGCAAACAGACCCGAAAGAAGCACAAAACGCCGACAACAATTGGCAGAAACGCGCGCGTTTTGCTTCGTTCTGCAGCTCGTTCGCTTCGTTCGCTTCGTTCGCTTCGCCCTCTTCACTCAAGGACAAGCCACAAAGCAGCCATTGACTCAACACGACAAGTATGGTGTGTCTCGTCGAGTGGTGGGTTGCTGTTCACAACTGATGACAGAAGGTCACGGGGGTCACGAGAACACCACATGGTACAATTGAAATTTTGAACATCCCCAACAACGACCCTCTCTGAACACACTGCCCCCCCCCACTTGCCCCCACTTCACCACATTTGAGCAGCAAAGACACAAGCTCAAAAGCGACAAACAACGAGCTGAAGCAGAGCGCTGCAAACGAGAGCGGCAAAAGTCAAAGAAGGAGGTTCGGCAGCCCGTGACTTTTTTTTTTTTTTTTTGGTTGGTTTCTGTTTTGCTTCCTTCAACCGTCGGTTCGCTCGCCCTTGTGCCTACGTGTTGTTCACTACAAGTGTGCAAACGCGTGCGCACGGTTGTTACCTGTGAGCACATGCGGTCGAGCTCCTGGAAGGCGGCGTCGTCCTTGCCACGCTGGTAGAAGCGCACGTTGAACAAGTCCTTGACGGTCATCTTGGTCGAGACAATCGAGTCGTCCTTGGTCGACACGAGGCCCTCGGCGCCCTTGCTCGCGGTCGAAGGCGGGGCAACGACGGTGGCGGCAGCAGACTTGGCAGTGGCGGCGGCGGCGGCAGAGGCAGTCGCGGGGCTCGAGATGCAGCGGGCGAGCGAGACGAGGCGCGAAGTGGCGCGTGCGTTCGACGAGAGCGAGAACATTTTGTGTATTGGACTAAAAAATGAGTGGAGATTAATTGAGCGTCCAAATTGAGATTTGAAGGAATCAAAGTGAAAATGTCAAAAATAGGTGAAACGAGGACGAGTGTGGCAATAAAAAGAGCTTCATTGTTGAACGAAACGTTGAAAAGCGATTTCAGCTCTGAGCTCAAATCTGAGCAGCTCGAACAGAACCCTTCTTCAGCATACACAACGATGGAAGGTGTTGATGCACACATCCACTGCTTGAAGTACACCGCGCAGCAGTTGGATGCGGCTTGAGTGCGGCTGCGAACAGCAATTCGCTGAAACGGGAGGACACCATTCATTCGCTCCGGACTTTGCCGTCCTCCTTCCTTCTCTTTTGATCGAGTATGTTCGGTCACCTTTATCACAGCGATGCCTGTTTCGAATGATAGTCGATGACTGCCAAACCCAATAGAGAGAAAGCGCACTCTTTTTTCTTTTCTTCTTTTTTTCCAATCTTCTCAACTCTCGACAAGATGGCAGAAGAGCAAGCGGCTCAGCCCGCTCCCATGGACACGCTGGAGGGCAACGCACTGCTCGCACAGACGGATGGCCTTGACGAGGAGATCCTGCGCCTGTCGACCGACGAGATTCTTGCTCGAACCAAGATGCTCGAGAACGAAATCCGAGTGCGTTTTTGAAGAGCCTCCTCTCTCTCCCACCCGACCCCCTCCTCTATTGAAACACGATCAGTTGGGAAGACATTGTGCATTGACGAACGCGGCCATCTCCAGCCACCAGCCGTGTCAGCGGAGCGAGCGAGCGCCACAGTCAGACTGCCCGTCATCCCTTTTTTTTCTTTTTTCTTCTTCTTTCATGTCTTCCTTCGCCGTCCCCACCGCACCGAGACCGACGCTACACATCGCAGACCACTCACACATGGCAGTCCAGCAATCTCAGAAACGCCACACAACGGAAGCCAGCAACGAACGCACAGACGAAGTGGAGAGCAAAAACATTCGCGAACGCTGCGTTTTTCGCGATCTCGACTCTGTTTTTTTTTTTTTTTTTTTTTTTTTTTTTCCAATGGCAGTTGCATTAGCATTCAACAAAAACCAAAAGCCTCACTTTTTGACCTGTCCTCGCTGCGTTATTTCAGATCTTCCGCTCCGAGACGACGCGCATCGGTCACGAAATTGTAGACATGAACGAAATGGTCAAGGAGAACCTGGACAAGATTGCCGTCAACAAGCACCTGCCGTACCTGGTCGGCAACATTGTCGAAATCCTTGACTTGGAGCCAGAGGATGGCGGCGATGCAGGCTCGCTCGACCTCGACTCGCAGCGCAAGGGCAAGTGCGCCGTGATCAAGACCTCGACACGCCAGACCATCTTCCTCCCAGTCATCGGCCTCGTGCCCCCGGAAAAGCTCTCTCCCGGAGCGCTCGTTGGTGTGCACAAGGACTCGTACCTGATTCTTGACACACTACCTGCAGAGTATGTTTTCTTGCTCGTTTGTGGTTGTTGCTTGCTGGCTGCATCTCATCGGTGGCGCTTTTGTTTTTGCTGTTTTGTTCGCTCTCTCTCACTCTCACTCTCTCTCCCACTCTCTTTACTTTTTTGCCCTGCCGTACTCCAGGTATGACTCTCGTGTCAAGGCTATGGAGGTTGACGAGAGGCCAACGGAAGAGTACAACGACATTGGCGGCTTGGACAAGCAAATCCAAGAGCTCGTCGAGGCGATCGTCCTCCCCATGACACACCGAGTACGTTTGCCAGCCTCTCTTCTTGCTGAACTCGAGAATGACACAGTCCGGCGTTGCTGTTACTTTTTCTTTGTTTCCTTTATGCTCACACCACTCTCCCCCCCCCCCTTTTTTGTTTTTTTTTTTTCACCCGTGCAGGAGCGCTTCCAAAACCTCGGCATTCGCCCGCCAAAGGGCTGCTTGCTGTACGGACCCCCCGGCACGGGCAAGACCTTGATGGCACGCGCTTGCGCTGCCCAGACAAATGCCACCTACCTCAAGCTGGCCGGTCCCCAGCTCGTTCAAATGTTTATCGGTGATGGTGCCAAGCTGGTTCGCGACGCGTTCGCCCTCGCGAAAGAGAAGGCGCCCGCAATCATCTTTATTGATGAGCTCGATGCCATCGGCACCAAGCGTTTCGACTCGGACAAGGCCGGCGATCGTGAGGTCCAGCGCACCATGCTCGAGCTCCTCAACCAGCTCGACGGTTTCTCGTCTGACGACCGCATCAAGGTCATTGCCGCCACCAACCGCATTGATATTCTAGATCCCGCCTTGCTACGATCCGGTCGTTTGGGTATGTTGCAAGTTTCTGGCCTGGCAGAGGGGGGGGTTGTTGGTTTGTTTGCCCGCTGATTGCATTTCTCGTGCTTGCATCTCCATCCTAGATCGCAAGATTGAGTTCCCATTGCCAACCGAAGAGGCACGAGCTCGCATCATGCAAATCCATTCGCGCAAGATGAACGTCAGGTAAAATTCAGCTCTTCTCGCTGCCAACAAATCTGCTGCCAATCAGTTTGGTCGCTAACTCGGTCTGCCTTTTTTTTTTCGTCTGTTCACATTCCAGCCCCGACGTCAACTATGAGGAATTGGCACGCTGCACAGACGACTTTAACGGTGCCATGCTCAAGGCTGTCTGCGTTGAAGCTGGTATGATTGCTCTTCGTCGCGAGGCGACTGAGCTTGTGCACGAGGACTACATGGAAGGTGAGTCGCTTTTTAGTATTTCGTGTGATGCGTTTGGTTGGCCTGGACCCTGTTCTTGTTGCTCACTCTCGAGACGCTTTTCAATCTCTTCAGCATTGCAAGAAGTTCAAGCAAAGAAGAAGGCCAACCTCAACTACTATGCTTAAATTGCGTGTTGTTGTTGTTGTTGTTGTTGTTGTTGTTGCCCTCATATTCCCAAATGGACATATCCCCCTTTTTAAAACAATGACCACTTCTTTTACATGGCTAATAATGACAATAATTAAAAAAAGAAATCAAGCCAGCGAAACTCGAGAATCTGGAACAAAGCCGGTGCTATTCTTTGGCCCTTCAGCCGGCAGTCCCTCTTGCGCGAACGCCGTATACCTAGTCAACAGACGAAAACCAAACGTTAGGGACGGGAGAGGATGGCGACGAATAAATCCACCCCCTCAAAAAAAAAAAAAAGCAACTTACTCGCGCTCGAGCCGCTCGCGTTCAGGACCGGCAATCGAAGGCCGCGTGGTCTGAAGAGCAGAATGAACGTGCTCTCGGCGAATCTTGACTACATTGTGGCCTTTTCCGCCTTGCTCTTGCTGAGAGGAGATTTGGAGGTCGGCCGTGCGGGAAGCCAAACTCGAGTTTCGCAGAACAACATCCACCTGTGCGTTCTTGTGAGTCGCCTTATCAACTCTCAGAAACAAAAATTAAAAAGAAAACTTACCATGGATTCCAATCGCCGAGTTTGAGCATACGATGTCGAATGGGCTTCTTCCTCGCCCGCAGTAAATGAGATAATGGTTGGCTTGGAAGCGCAGTCTTCTGTACTGCCCTCTGCTTGTGCTGCGGTGGATGGCACGTCAAGAAGCTTGTGCACCGCAGCGAGTTGGGCGTTGACAAGAAGCGACTTTAAATCGGCTCCAGTGAAACCCTCCGTTTGCTGAGCCACCTCCAACCAAGCGTCCTGCTCACACAGCTCGTCGTCAAGCGGGAGCGAACGTGACAATGCCGTCAGAATGGACTGCCGATCAGACTCTGTCGGAAACCCACAGTAGACGCTCTTGTCAATGCGTCCAGGACGACGAAGCGCCGGATCAATCAAATCCGGACGACTGGAAGCAGCGAGCACAAACACGCCTGACAGTCCTTCCACGCCATCCAGTTGTGTCAAGAGTTGGTTGACAACACGGTCAGTCACTCCAGTGCTATCGTGGCCTCGCCGAGGAGCCAACGAGTCAAATTCATCGAAAAAGAGGATGCAAGGCTTGGCGGCGGCGGCACGCGCAAACACGTCGCGCGTTGCTTGTTCACTGGCGCCAATGTACTTGTTGAGCAACTCGGGTCCCTTCACGGTGATGAAGGAGAGACCGCATTCTCCTGCGACGGCAGACGCCAAGAGCGTCTTGGCACAGCCAGGCGGCCCATACAGCAGGACGCCCGAGCGCAGGCGCAAGGGACACTGCGCAAACAGCTCGGGGTACTTGGCAGGCCACTGAAGCGTCTCTGTCAGCAAGGCCTTGACAGACTCCAAACCGCCAACATCTCGCCAAGTCGTGGCGGACGTTTGCAGAGGTAGCCCACGCAGTCGGCTGGGAGTGAATCCCCGCATGGCCTCTTCAAAGTCCAGCATCACAACATCTGCGGAAGGAGTGTCGGTGGGTGGGTTGCGTGCCAATCGCAACCCTCGGACTGCGCGAGCGCGCTGCACCACCAACGACAAGTCAGCAGCCACATAGCCATCGGTCAACTTGGCCATGGCCCTTGCAATGTCGCTCACATGAGCGGGAGCCTCGACAACGCGAGTGGTCAACAACGACGCAATAGAAGCATTGATGCTCTCGGCAGTGGTTTGAGGCAGGGGTGCTGCTGGCGACAAGAGCGAGGTCAAGATTGCCTGCCGATCGCTCTCGCTCGGGGAAGCCAGCACGGCAGAGAAATCAAATCCCGCTGCGCCTTGAATCCCATTCAGCAGCATGGGGTGCACTGCCGTGGCAGTCCGCGCAGATACGAGTACAATGACCGAGTCATTCCGCTTGTGACACTCACTGACCTGTGCGAGTAAAGCGATCGCGAGGGTGGACGACCTGGCGCGGCTTTCAGGATCAATACTGTCATCGTTGTCCTCCTCCCCGTTACCACCACTACCGGCAGAGGCGGCGGTGGGCATCAGGTCGTCAATGTTTTGAAGCCACACAACGCAGGGTTGCGTCGCGCGAGCCAGTGCAAACGCATGCTCCAAATACCGCTGGATAAATGGCGTACGCTGCCGTGACAGTGCCGTGTTGCCGGACGATTCGGCAGGGGCGAGTATGGCGCTGCAGGGAGGCTGATCTGGGTCGACGCGAATGGCGTTCGCGACAAGACTGGGGTCGTGGGCAAGTGAATGGCACAAGCCCTCGCACAGCAGAGTTTTGCCCGTCCCAGTGGCACCTGTGACGAGAATGCAGCAGACAGAAGGTGCGAGGGCAAGCGCTTGAGGCAGCAGGCTTGCGCGTGTTTGCTGCAAGTGCACAGCTTTCGCAAGAGTGGAGGCAATTCCTTGTAGTTGTGCCTGGTAGCCACCAAACCACTCTAGTGATTTCCACGTCAACGGTACGGGTAGTGGGGAAGAAAGCGACGGCGATGGTTGCGGATTGGCCTCGAGCGGACGAGGAACGGAGAACGGTGGTGCTTCGGGTCGCTGAACGCTCACGACAAGGCCACTCGCCGGCAAGAGACCGGTGGAAGAAGGTCGCATGATGGAATAAAAGGAGGCATCTGCATCGGGATTGCTCAATCCAGCAGGCAGCACTTGTGCGGTGATGGGATTGCCTGCAATCGAAAGCGACACTTCGAACGACGCTGCAAACACAAATGGAGCATTCGACGAGTGATTCCAGTAGCCGTGCAAATAAGCAAAGAACGCAGCACGAATGGCGTCGTCTGAAATGTCGGGAGAAGGTGGAGTGTCGAGGCCGAGCTGGATGCATGAAAGCGCAGTCGCAGCGTGAGCAGAGAAGGCTGACGTGTTCACTCGTGTGTAGTTTTTAATCTTGTCTGACGCAAGTAGCCTTGAAAGGAAAACATGGGAGCGAGCGGGTGCTGGTCCGTCGGGAAGAACCAACCCCACTTGTTTCGCGGCGTGGATTTGAACATAGATCGGTCCTTCGCCGAGCTGGTCACGAAGAGTGCCCAGTTGCTGCGGATTGAGTGACACAAACGGGTAAGCGTCCGAGAACAGGGGTTCGGTAGACGTGGTGGTGGTGGTGGTGGTGGTGGTGGCTGCGACTGGCCACGGCTGGATGCGGAAGTTTAAATCGATGGTTTTCACTGGCGGAGTGGTTGATGTGGTCAACTCCCGTGCAGGGCCGGGGAGAGATCGCACCTTTGGGGCAATGACCAGCTCAGTTGAGACCCCCAACTCGACACACTCTGCCTCGCTTGGTGAAAAGGAAGCTGTCCAGTCACAAAACAAAAAAAAAAAAAAAAAAAAAAGTACGTTGGATTGAGATTCAATGATTGTGCTTGCTTTGCCAATGGAGACAGTAATCATGCTTACCAACACGACATCGTATGATGGTATGGCCTCCCACGCGCAGGGGAAAGACCAATCCCGTAAACGCAACTCGCAGTTGCTGGAGGAACATTTCCTCAATTTCGCCCGCATGCAGTTGCTAAATGATCGAGTGAGTTCCCTCCGACATGTATACATACATACGCAAGTGCACGGACAATGAGTGTGCTTACCATGATTTCCCAATCGTCGCTCGCGGCAGGCTCCAAATCGACTCGAGTTGCTTGCGGAATTCTGGTCGAGACGAGATTGATCATGAACTGGCGGAAATTTCAAACCACAACAATGTAACCTCCAAGTGAGACATGGTTGAAGAACACAATTGAGAAGACCTCAGCAAACTTGGCAAACTTGTCAATCTGAGCAGCTGCGTTTCCGTTTCCGTACCGAGTCTCCAGATTTCCAACCCAGCTCACGGGCCAGGGTCGTGTCGAGCCCGATACTTGCACTCGGTGCACTGAATGCAGCTGCTGGACTTGCTCGTGACGTCGTTGCCTGCGTCGGCAGCACAAAGTCCTCGCCTGGCCAGGTCAGGAACGCCGCCGTTGTGGTGCTTGGACTTGGCTCCCCGTCGCTGCTGCTGCTGCGCACGACTCGGTAGACCCCGCCAGGACGCAGGGTGAGCGATCGTGGACAACTGGACGCAGCAGCAGTACCAGCAGCATTGGAAGACGATCGCCGCAGCCACGCTTCAGGCAGGCGCAGGAAGCAATCACGATAGGCACCGCAGCGCAATCCGACTTCCGCTCCAGCCATATCAACCAATGAATCAGTCGAGTGAATCAGAATCACGACTGAATGAAATCAGACAGAATCGCGAGACTATCAAGAGAATCGAATGCAAGAGAGCTCCATGCCCGCTCGTGGAACGACTTCGCAAATTTTTGTTTCATCAAGAACTACAGCATGAATATTCAGGTACAGGAACACAATCAAGGGACAGCAGAGCTTCAAAAAGACAAGGTGGGGGGGGGCTGGGAAAACAAGTGCCTTGTATTACTCGGCCTTCTGGATCTTGTCGCCAGCCAGACCGTCATAGTTCCACTCAAACTTGATGCGGTCGGGGTGTCCCTGCTTGCTCCAGCGAGTGCCGCAGATGTAGTCCCACAGACCCCAGTACAGGCCAAAGTTGACGTTCTTGTAGTGGTGGTGCTTGACGTGGTCGTTCAAGTCAAATCGGCGACCGTCGTGAGCGGCAATGGCGTAGATCGAGGTGAAGAAGCCAAGCACGGAGGCAGTCAGCGGGTGCATTGGCATGAACACGAACGTCAGGAAGTGCGGCACAGGACCTGTTTGCAGAAAGGAGCAACAAGTAAGCAAACGCATCTCTGTTTGTTACTCCATTCTCTCGTCAATGTTCACAACGCAAAACCCGTTACCTTGCAGAAGAGCCTCAAGAGGATGAACTGCATCCTGGCCAAAGGCAGTCGGGTCGACGAACTGGTGGTGGTGGCGGTGCACGAGGAACCACAGGTTGATGGGCTTGGTCATGTGCAGCAGGCGGTGCGACCAGTAGAAGAACGTGTCCATCCAGAACAGATACCAGGCCACGTTGATCAGCAGCCAGGTGAAGGTGTAGTCGTGGGTCGCAAAGTACGCATAGTACGGCGTGTGGGCATCGACCAGGAAGAGCCAGGTCGTGGCGTAAATCGAAATCCAGACGAGCGAGCCAATGCCGTACTGCAGCTCGAGCTTGATGATGGCCATGCGCTTCTCATCCTTGACCTTGGGGTTGGTGTACTCGAACGCGCCGGCAGTCAGCAGGAAGGACATGACGTAGCCGAACGAGACCAGGACTGTGGAAATGGTCCAGTCGGACAGCGTGTCCATATGCAGCACCGTCTTGGCCAAGTCCTTGATGTGGAAGTGCGCCGCCTCCGACTGCGCCGCCCAGATGCTCAGGATGTTGACCGCCGCGAGGATGAATTGCTTCTGATTGAGCATGGTAGTCCTGGTGGAAGGAAGGAGGGGGGGAGGGCGATTTCCAAAACAAGAGAAAAACAAACAAGCAAAAACAGAAAGTCGAGCACAGGCGAGTTTAGTACAAGTTGACCGTTTGACATATTCAGTTGACATGTTCAGAATGTTGAATACGTGTCACTTTTGCGAGCCACAGTTCAAACAAGCAGCAAAAACTAACGGGAAAAAAAAAAACCAAAACTCCATCCAATGGATTTTTTGCTTTTGCTTCGGTCGATCGCTGGTCATGTTTGCTTTCGTTTGATTCTTTTTTGATTCTTTTGTACGACTAGCTTGATCGCTCTTTGGCTTGGCTTTTTGATTTGATCAAGTCGAGCGGTTAACTCGGAGCAAGTCGCCCAAACAACTGTTTTAATTGCTCACAAAAAAAAAAAAAAAAAAAAAATGCCAACATTGTATTGTATTGGATTGGATTGGATTGATCGTTTCGCTCCGATCGCCCTGCGACTGCAATTCGCGGCGCTGTCTCCCCTTTTCATTCACCTCTCCAAGTTCGACTGCTTTTGCCTTGCATTCAACGCTGTGCTTGTTGTTGTTGTTGTTGTTGTTGTTGTGCACCGCAGATAAAATTGGCTTGCGCTATTTTAATGTGAAAATTGGCTTTTGCCTTTGCTCTCCCAGCTGCAGTTGCGCGCTCGCTTCTCCGCATCCGCCAGCACCAGATTCAACTGTGCCGGTGATTGCGAAATCCATCAAGACGAACCCCCCATTTGCCGATCAAAAGCCAACGTTGCAAACGAAACGAAGAAACAAAAAAAAAAAAAAAAAAAAAAAACCTCGTTTCATTGCTTTTTTCCTCCAATCAAAATTTTCAAAGCTCGTGATTTTTGTTTTTTCGCCATCAATCAAATCAAAGTGCAAGAAAGTGATGATGTTGGTCATTGTTGTTTCTATGATTGTTCAGTTCCCAAACTCACAAGTCAAACAAGAAAAAAGAAAAAAGAAGGAATGACAAAGGGACAATTTTCAACGGCCTGAATTAACCGCCAATGATGGGTTTTTCCTGTTTTTCCTGTTTTTGTTTTTTTCACAGCTGAATGCACCTCAAAATAGCTCCTCCATTTTATTGCGTGGTGAGTCATCTTGCTCTGAGTGTTCCCATTGCTGTGACTGTGTGTGTTTATTGATAAGATGAAGAGCGTAACAAATGGTGGTTCTGGGGGAAAAAGGGTTTGCAACACAACAAAAAAGTGCGCTCTCAGTCCTTGTTGGTGACATTCCGAAGCTTGGTCTTGCCTTCCCGAAGAGCCTCGGCAATCTCGTTGGGCACACCGTCAATGATGGTCTGTCGCTGTTCGCGGGCGACGCGGATGGCATCGAGACGCTGCTCGCTGTTGGGATTGAGGACGCGGATTTGGTCGAGGATGGCCGACATCGACCCGCCCGACGCAGTCACCTCGAAGCGCGGATCGGACTTTTCAATCGAACTGGACAGCGTTTGGCTGAAGGCTGACAGCTGGTCCAGGATGCCAACGAGATGGCCATTTTCCATCATCATGGCCTCGAACGACTGCTTGTGCATCAAAAACTGCTCTTGTTCTCGCGCAACTTGCTCAAACATTTGGCGCCAACGCTCGGTGAGCAGGATTTCCGTCTTGTCCAGCTCCAAGTGTTGGTTTTCCACCGCAATGCGGATGGAATTGCCTTCTTCGAGCACCTTGGCAATCTGCGAAAAAAAAAAACAAAGGAAACAGCCGGGTCAGATGAGCAACAATTCACAACACACAGGACGATTGCACCCCGTCTCAAAGGTGAATCGCACCTCTTTCGGCTTGGGCTTGCATTTGCGCGCAGTGAGATCGCGATGAAGTTCTTGGACAGTCACTTTGAGCTCGGACAGGCGCATAAATGTTTGGTCCATGAACATTTTGAACTCGAGGGAAAGGTGGGCAAACAGCTGCTCATTCTCGTCCTCAAGGAAACTTGGCATGCGCGTGGTGGGAGGCGAGACTTTGCCGTTGGCAAGGGGATGGGAGGCCTCGCCTGCGCCGCCTTCCGACGAAAGCTGATCGACGGGTGGTGTGAGGACAACAGTCGGCGCCTGTGCCTCCGGCCCATTGTTCTGAGGTGCAAGAGCTGGCTCGTTCGTCGCGAGGGACGCTGCTGCTGTGGGCGTGTGCTCGGGAGACGGTTCGGAAGGCAGCTCTCGATGCCGTTGTTGCGTCGCTGTGGGTTCTCCAGGCCGTGGTAGCTGCTGGTTGGCCCCAGAGGCTTCGTTGGACTTGTCGGAGAGAGCAGACGAGGCGCTGCCACCCGCGTGGGATTGAGACTCGACGAGTGACGGCGCGATGGCTGCGGTGTGTGTCGCCGATGGATGCAGCAATGATTCGGTCAACGGAGCATTGCTTGCATCAAGTGGCGCAGGAAATTCAGGCGCTTGGAAGACGCCGCTCGACCGCAGAGGTGTTGGCGGATCTTGTGACAGATCCAGTATCAACGCAAATGCCGGGTCTGACAGCGCCGTGAACGAGAGTGGTGTTGACACCTGCATCGAGTCCTATCAAAGGTAGTCAGAACCAGGAATCAGAGCCTGCTCTCTTAAATGGGCACCGCACGGACGAGCACAAAAACAAACAAAATCGACCTACCGCGTCGTCGGAATCTTTGAGCGCAGTAGCCCGACGTCCGCTTCCTGCTCGTCTTCGGAATGCATAGTCACTGTTGGCCGCAGCTATCGGGTTACCATAGCCAAGAGAGGTCGAGATTGTTGATCACAACGAGAAAAAGCAAAATCACAAGCAACACGACCAAGCTATCTTTCGTTACCTGATGCGTCGTAAGGAGTAAGCTCGCTCGCAATCTGGCGCGCAAACTCCTTTTTACCATTGATCTGTTTCAACGTTGTCAAGTCAGTCGTCAAATAATCACAAAATCAAGCACACACATCTTCTGAAACCGGAAACCGCACCTTGATTTTCGATCCTTCGGCCGGCATGACGTCAAAAGGAAGTTGACAGACGCGCTGCAAGCGGTCAATGATGTGCCGTAACAAGGCAAAAAAGGACGATCGCTTCTGCATAATCGCTGCTGCCCCTTTTGCTTGATCGGCCGGAATGGTGGATGATGCGGTTGATGAGGAGGCCTCCTCAGTAGTGTTGCTCGTGATGGCCAGCATCCTCGAAGCACCAATGCTCGAAAGGAGGGGAGCTTGTTCGTGCGGTGTCATTGAGGTGGAAGCGAGAAAAAGGGATGTGATGGAAATGGCGTCCTGAAGCTTTGGCACCAAAGTGGTGAGGTCGGTCAATTGAGCTCCAAACACGGCCAGTTTGCTGTTACAGCGCCCCCACCCACCCAAATCACAAAGCGCAGAGCAGAGACACAGGCAGACAATTGAAATGAGGCAAAGGACAAGTTTGAGCAAAACCGCACCATCAACAAGTTTCTATTTCATACCGATCCCGCTGTTCAATAGCGCTGTGCAACAGATTCCGCATGGCAATATCGAGTCGGTTTTCTAATGCCTCCCGGATGCGCCGACATGCGGCAATTTCGTATGCGTAACTGGGTTTTGGAACAACATTTTGCATTTTCAGCCGTGAGTGCGCATCCAACAACAACAATGAAGCCGATCGATTTGCATGGAGAAGCCGGAATGGTTCCCATCAAGTCTATACCTTTGCTCCGTCTCCTCGCGGTACTTTGTCAGCAGATCGACACTCGATTGAGCGGACGAAAGCAGGTCGCTCACAATGGCCCAGCAGCGCTCCAGCTTCTCTTGTCCCAGCATGAGTGCGCTTTCGAGATTGACACACTATCAAAAGAGAAAATGGCTCGCTCGAGTCAGATCAAAAACAAATGGTGCAGATATCGCACACGTGTCTTACGTACCTTGGTTTGATGCTCACGGTGCTCGCCTTCAAGAAAGCACTGGATGCACAAGGGGCAGTAGTGTTCAAGGCAAAAGAGCTCTAGGGGCTTGCGGTGAATGGCACATCGCGACCACATTTCGTGGCTGACGTCGCCAGAAGTTGCAACATCCGACAGTCCAACAACATTATGGCTTTGGAATAGCCGTGCTGAATGTGTCGTTTGACGGCAAACCTGGCAGAGCGGCGCCTCGCAGGTGTTGCAGAAAAAGTCGGCTTGGTGCTGGGACGGCAACATGAAAAATTGAGAAAGGGAAACAAGAGCAAATGTGGCAACTCGCACAAAAATCTTCCTCCTCCGAGGCTTACCTGCTCGCAATTCGCACACGTGGCTCGGACTTTGTTCTCCGTACTGTCGACAACAAAGGTGAGAAGCTCGTCACGCTTGGCCAGAACGGCAATGAGCATCGCGGCCGGGTTTCGTATGCCTGCAATGACCGCCGAGCCAGTCTGTTGCGCCAGCTCGTCCGCATTTAGTCTGATGGTGGCTGCGAGCTGGGCCATGGTAGGCGTTGAGTTCTGGTCAATCTGGCTTGCAGTAGCTGCATCAACGCGCGTTTGCGAGCTGCACAGCGGGCAAATCAGATATCCCTGTCGTTCGTTCAGCATGACCAGGGCGCTTGTGTCGTTGGCTGCTGCAATCCCGGCGTGGTCAAAGCTTGATGAAGCGACCAGCATCATCCCACCCGTCAGTGACTGGCGTGGACTGGTGCCGACGGTAGTGACAGTCTGGCTGGACGCTGCTGCAGCTTCATCCGAGCTCCGTCGATGCGACGGTTCGATAGCCATCTCGTTCGCAGCAGCAGCAGCAGCAGCAGTATTTGTAGCAGTCGCAGAAGTAGCAGCCTCGACTGTGGAAAACGCTTGATGACCATTGCCAATGGGACCGGCGGCGCTACCACTCGAGATGGCGGACGGGCTCTGGCAGCCAACCGCCGCGCTTGGCGGCATCAGGCTCAGCAGGCCAGCAGGGACCAGGTGGCGCAGGCAGCAAGTGTGCAGGCAGTCGAGTAGAATTGGCAGCGCAATGGTCGCCCTGCAAACGCGGCATTCCGTCACTGGATTTGCATTGCCAGTGCTCGTGCTCGTGCTCGTCGTCGTGCTCGTCGTCGTGCTACTGGGACTGGTATTCGAGCCTGGTGCTGCGAGTGGAGCATGGCCACTCGGCGCACTTGGAGCACTCATCGTCGCAGTTGCAGCGCTGTTCGCATTCGCATTGGCTTGAGGATTGCTCGTCGTCGTCGTCGTCGTCGTCGTTGTCGTCGTCGTCGTAATGGTCATTTACCCACAGGTGAGCTGTTTGTAGAGTCGCCCGAGCACTCTCTTTGTACCACAAGTGAAGACCTCGCCTCGTCTGCTTCCAAAAAGGGTTGAAAACGGGGAAAACAAGGACTGAAAAACTACCAAACAAGGCAGGTGACAAAAAAGGCAATCTCAGAAACAAAGAAAAGCTCTCAGAATCAACAGTGACACGCATTGAGCACACGAAACCCAACCAAGCAACAAACAGGCTGGGATCAGAGCAGAGGGACAGAAACGCTGCCCTTTGACATTGACAATGAGAGTGCTGCGACCAACCCCCGTGGAGTACTACTCTACTAGTACAACATGGATATCCGAGTCATGGCAACCCAAGTCACTTGTTCAATGCAACAAAGAATGAGGTGGGTGTCTGAGCGTTGGAAGCAAGAGGACTCGCATTACGAAATTCAATCGTTTTGCTCTCCCTCTGTCTCTCTGCCCTCCGATGATTTTGTCGTGCCATGCATGCTAGTATTTGGTTCTTTGGTTGATGCTTTTTCAATGTTGTTCCCAGTCTTCCCTCCAGTGGAGCGTTTCCCCTTTGTAACTACTGCACTCATACTGTGTCCCTACCCCCCTCGATCATATCGAACGATCCATTCGACCATACATTCGTCACTATACATTCATCATCAGCAAGCAGCAGCAAGCAGGCATGTTGCAGGAAGTGAAGCGACGGGACGGGGCGTTCCCGTTGGCGCCAAAATGCCGAGATCGCGATCGCATTGCACGCTCGGCGTCCACCGCGGTGGTCCCACCCCCTTCCGTCTCTCGCCCTGACACACTCTGCATGCATGTGTCTGCGTTGACAAGGGCGCTGGGGGAGGAGTGGGGTGGAGAAAGAGGCTTTCGGGGGAGGGTGAGTTTGACTGCCTGTGCTCATTCCCCGCTTTGGCTCCTCGTTCCATTGTGTGCTGACAGATCCCGTCAGTCGCTGCTGCCCAAGTGTGCGGCTGACCTTGCATTTTCCGAGTGTGCCAGCGTGCGACGGCGAGATTGATTTTCTGCGATCAACGACCCCGGAATCCGGTTCTTGGGACATTCGCGCTCGTAATGGACATGGACACTTCCCCGTTGGCGACATCGTCGTCGGCATCTGCGGCGTCGAACGATGCCATGCAGCACGGTGACAGTGCCGTGGCTGCAGGAGCAGCGGAGAGCGCAACACCTGCCCACACGCTGGCGCAGAATGCTCCTCCGAGCAACCAGAATGCTCCGTCCACCCCGCAGCGATCTGCCACCATCCAAGCGCTCGCTAGTGGGAATCTCGAGGCGTATGCACGACGATTCCAAGTATGTTGTTGGACAGTTTGGTCGGAGCCGTTCGTTTGTTTGCTTGAGAGAGCGGCTTCTGCCGTCACATGTTGATTTCAACCACTCAACCCCCTGCCTGCTCGCATCGCATCTGCCTGCTTGGCATCGCGTCCCTTCACAGGAGGCTCGAGATGACAAGACGCGTCTCGAGCATGCAACAGAAATCCGTGAATGCATTGATTTCGTTCATTCCGCCGAGTACGGCAGCTTTCTCAAATTCTTGCTCCCAGAATTCCTCAGCGCCCTTCGTGAGGCTCCTGAATTGGAGAACTCTGACTCTGTGAAACAAGTATGCTTGCTTTTGATGGAAAAAGGTTTTGCGAGATGCAGCACTCTTCGTCGTTTTCGCCCGTTCTCACTGTGTTTTTGGTTCCTTTCCCTTACCTCTGCCCCGCCTGCTCTCGGTCCGTCAACTCAGAAACTCAGAAACACGCTCATGGACGTGTTGAACCGATTGCCCACCTCAGAAGTGATGCGACCACATGCAGGGGACATTATGAAGACCGCGCTGTACGTGCTAGAGTTTGACAACGAGGACAATGCGGTGGTCGCAGTCCGCATCATCACCGATCTGCACAAGGCGTTTCGGCCCATGTTGGTGGCAGACGTGCAGCCCTTTTTGAACATTATCCAGCAGTTTTACCGCAACATGCCGGTGACGTACGAGCAGGCCTTTCAGTCGACAGGAGCGACATCGACGGCTTCTTCACCTCAGCGACCAGCGTCTGTTGCCAGTCTGAGTGCAGCCAACGCGGCGGCGACGACTGGAGAAGCAAATTTGGACATTGGGTCTGCAAGCGCCGCAGGACGGTCAACTCGCCCAATACGCGCAGGGAATTCGTTCAAGGTGCTGACCGAGTGTCCGTTCGTCGTTGTGCTGCTGCTGCAGCTCTACAAACCCTCGGTGCCGCCTCAAACAATGGGTCAGTTTTTGCGGCTAATTCTCGATGTCTTTGGCATTTCCCCGCCAGCCTTGGATCTGGTGCAAGCCACACCAGCCAAAAAGACAGCCTTTGCTGACTTTATCAGCTGCCAAGTCAAGACACTCTCGTTTTTGGCGTTTCTCATGAGGGGAACGCCCGAACCTCCACGAATCTTTGTGATTAAGGTGCCTCCGTTCGTCCTTCAACTCTTGCAATCATGCCCCAACGAAGCAGTTGCCACACGGCGCGAGCTGCTCGTTGCGATGCGGCACTTGCTGACTGGAGAGCTACGGAGTGGATTTGTTCCAATCATTGACTCTCTTCTCGATCCAAAGGTGAGGCCCAGTGCCATGGATGGCACCTTGCTTTTCTAGTTAAAAAATTGTTGTTCTGATCCAACCGCTTTTTTGTTTTTGTTGTGGGTTTTTGTTTGGCCTGCTCTCTCTCTCTCTCTCTCTCTCTCTCTCTCTCTCTCTCTCTCTCTCTCTCTCTCTCTCTCTCTCTCTCTCTCTCTCTCTCTCTCCCCCCCCCGCATAGGTTCTCGTCGGACACGGCCTAACCGCACACCAAACACTGCGCCCGTTGGCGTTCAGCATGCTTGCCGACTTGCTCCACCACATCCGAACTGAGCTGACAATCGATCAGCTACAGCGCGTCATCAAGCTGCACGCTCAGAACATTCTTGACGCAACCTTGCCGGTCTCGGTGCAGAACATGTCGCTCAAGCTGCTGCTCAATCTGACGGACGTCATTACGAAGCGCGACGAAGCAGATCCGGGCTCGGGGAGAGATTTGCTGGTGCACATTTTGGCCATCTTTGCCAGCAAGCTTGATTCGACCAATCGCATCATTTCTCCGTTCATGAAACTGGTTCTGGTCCATGTTCGGTCGCCAACATCAGCCGCTGTCGTGACGACTGGTCCACCGCAATCAGTGAGCTCCATCGCTCCTGCCACCCAGACTCCTCCCCTTCTCGCCGTTGCGGGGCTGGACGACGATTCCATCGCCTGCCTTGAGGCCTACATGGGTTTGGAGCGCCCCAAGCCGGGCATTTCGACTCTTCAGCACCCCGAGACGCTGGGAGACATGACAAAAGATCTGCGGCTGTTGGTCCGCACGCTTGTCGCAGGGTTCAAAACGCTTGTCCACTCCATTCAGACATGCAACCAGCATTCACTCTTGCTCTTGCCGGTGCTCAAGCCAGACGAAGTGCACCTGTTGCATGACGTCTTTCGACACACCTTGCTCTGCTTTGACATTTACTCGCACCTGGCCAATGCCGTCACCCAAGCCGTCGCGGCTCGTGGGGCGACCGGGGCGATGGCTCAGGCATTCGCGTATGCTGCCAAAGACGAGAAGGACACGTTTGACATGTTTGCGAGCGCATTCATTTCGCTGGATGAACCAACCTTCCTTGAAGTTGTTCAGACGCACTTGCCGTTGATGTTGCAGCGCATCACTGACAACCATGCCCTGTCCACCATCCCGCAACATTTCCTGGCCAACATTTCAGTGTCCCGCCTGTTTGTGTCGCGCTTTCTCCGGTTCCTCGTCGACCGCATGGAAGTGCTGGGCGCATCGGACAAGAACGCGTCGAATGTCATGCTTCGGCTGTTCAAGCTCGTGTTTGGCGCCATCTCCATTTTTCCAGACAAGCACGAGGACCACCTACAATATGTGCTCCCGGATATTGTCAACCGCTGTCTGGTCTTGTCACAGATTGCGCCGGAACCCCTGAACTACCTCTACTTGCTTCGCGCCCTCTTTCGCGCAATCAGTAGCGGCAAATTTGAGCACATCCATCGCGACTTTCTCCCGCTGCTTCCGTCGCTGTTAGAGACTCTGAATCGGCGTCTGTCGGAGCCGTTCTCTGGCCGCTACTGCCCGCTGATGAGAGACTTGTGCGTCGAATTGTGCCTCGCCGTTCCCGTGCGCCTGTCGTCCCTGCTTCCGTACCTCAAGTTCTTGATGACTCCCTTTGTTCTTGCGCTCCGCATGAACTCGGAAGTGACGGGCCAGGCGCTGCGTACCCTCGAGCTTTGTCTCGACAATGTTGCCCCGTCGTTCTTTGACCCGATCGTGCAGCCATTCCGAGACGATATTTGCCTCGGGCTGATGCTGCAGCTTCGACCGCAGATGAACAATGTCGGGCAGGGCTCTGGTATTGTTCCCAGTCCAGATCCCACGACTGCAAGCAGCGTCGCAAGCTCCGCCTCTTCGTCACAGTCACAATCGCAGTATGGCTCGATCGCATTCCGAATACTCGGCAAGCTTGGTGGGGCCAATCGCGTGGCTCTCGACCACACGTCAAACCTAAACTTCCGTCTTCCAGCCGAATCATCGGCCGTCGGTTCAGTCCTTCCCTTTGGGAAGTCTGCAACCCCGACGCTGGACCTCAGCCCAAACCCCGTCCGTAGCCTGGAAGTGGGCGCAGATATTGTCGTCCCGTTCGACTTGATGCCCAGCATGCGCACGGAACTGCGCCTTCCCTTGGATGCTCCACTTGAATTTGCGGGGCACGTGCTCATGGCGGCGGCTGCTCTGGCCAGTACGACCGTGTTAAACTCGTCCGCAATGACCAGCGCCCAGCCCGCCACCACGTCTGCTGGGTCGCTGCCAACCACCGCTGAAGCCGCTCTCGCATCGAGTGCCGCAGCTCATGCCCTGGTCAGCGCGCTGCACTCGTTTTCCCAAACCCCTGCGACCGCGCTCAGCGCTGCTGTGGACGCACATTTGCGGGAGAATGCTTGGCAACTTGTCGAGTCCAGCTTGCTGGCCGCGTTGTGTGTTGACGGCACGCCTTCAGCTTCAGATGAAGCCCTCTCTGACGCAGTCCAGGCATATGCTTTGAAGATTTTGGAAGTATTCCAGCCGCGCCTGGCTGAGCTGGAGGCAAAGGCGACCTTGACGGAAGCAAGCAAGCCTGCCGACGCAATGGATGTTTCGACGTCGGACGTTGCTCAACCCGAGGCCAACCCTGACAGCAGTGCAGCCGCTACGAGTGCTGCAACATCCGCCCCGAGTCCGCTGCCGCTTGAGGCGCAACCCACCGCGGCAGCCCGAGAGCACAGTCGAATGCTGAGCTCCCTCATGTGTGCGGGCCTCGTTGCCTCGACCGTTCCTGACTTGGCCTCCGCTGCCTCCAACACGCTCAAATTGGTCGTGCGTCAGGTGGCCATCAACACGTTGGCTCTCGGAGCGGACGCGGTCTTGCATCTTTCGACGCGTGAGTTGCTGATTGCCTCGAGCGCCGACGAAGTGGCGGCCTTTCAGCACGCAATCGTCACAGTCATGGGCCATGAATGCGCGGACTGGTTTCCAGCTGCTGCGCAATACCTCGACCTGTGGTTGGAGACGCTTGCTGCAGCGTTGGCTCTGCCTGTGCCTGCTCTTGCCCATTTGGCCGTTACGGACGCGCTGGTTCGGCAAATCGTTGCCCTGGGAAGCGAGCGCGAAATCTATCGCAAAGTGGGCGCTTGTCGTGCGCTGTCGCATCTTTGCGGCTTGTTTGGACGGCCCTGGGTCCAGCAGAATGCCACCCTGCTTCTTCGCGCGTGCATTTTCATGCTCACCGACAGCGCGGCAGATTGCAGCGTCAGCCTAGTGCGGCACATTCAGGAAACCATCCTTGTCATTTTCAATGCGTGCTTCGAGCATCGCACGAGTCAAGTGGCGGAACCGGAACTCTCGCTGGTTGACGTGGCCATTTCCAGCTCGTTTGATGCCTGGACGGAAGCTGAGCGCGCCATGGTGAATGATCTTCTCGCCCTCCTGGTCCCCGAGCTGGTCTCTCCCAAGATTGTCGTGCGCACTCAAGTGCAAGAGCTGCTTGTCCGAATCGCCAGCGTGTGTGGTAGACCGCTGCAAGAGCTTCTCGAGCCCATGCAGGCCGTGTTTATGCAAACCATTTTGCCAAAGACCTTGCGGAGCTGGATGCTGCCCATGCAGGCTGCGTGCATGTCAGCGCTCACGTTTGGCCTGCACCACGCGCTCGCGTTCTTGGTCCAAGCTGCTGCAGCAAGCTCTTCCTCTGATCTTGCTCGCGTTCTCACGGAAGTGCTGGTCATTTGCGAGCAAGACGATGCTGCGCTGGCTCGCCACGAAGCCACTCCTTTGGCAATGATTTCTTCGCGAACCGGACTGTCCTCTGCTTTTGTCGGCATGACCGTGGACGGAATCGCGCTCCTTCGCGCAGAAGAGGGCAATGGCTCGCACCTGGGTGGGATTTCTCACGGGAACCAACCCAACAACCTCCTTCCAAAGAGCCTGCCATTCCCCCAGCCCCTGCCACAAGTTCCGACCCCAATCGACTCGCTGCGAGCGCATGGCATCAGCTTGCTCGCCACGGCGCTAGAAACGGGCGAGTTTGACGAACTATTCCAGCAGGACATTCGCAATCGCTGCACCGCCGTGTTCTTCCGCGGAGTGGCTTCGCCTGCTCCGCAAGTGGCGCACGCCGCCGCTGCTGGACTGCATCTGACTGTCCAGCAGCACAAGTTGCCAAAAGATATTCTTCAGCAGTCGCTGCGGCCCGTGCTGCTCAACCTGGCAGAGCATCGAAAACTCTCGCTCCCCTTGCTGGCAGGCTTGTCGCGGCTTGTTGAGCTTCTTGGCAGCTGCTTCAATGTGACACTCGGCGACAAGCTACTCGAGCATCTGCGGAAATGGACAGACCCCGACCGCTTCTTGCTTGCCACCCAAACGCCGCCAACGAGGCTTTGGAAGGAGCCTGAAGAAGTCGCGATTGCCACGGCCATCCTCAACGTCTTCCACATGCACCCGCCCAGTGCGCTCAAGTTCTTGGACTCGCTGGTCTCACTCACGCTCGATCTGGAAGTCGTGCTCGGGCGAAACGAGTCGAGCCCATTCCGGGAGCCGCTCCTCAAGTACTGCTGCAACTATGCGAGTGAAAGTGCTCCCTACTTTTTGCTGCGTTTGTCGCAGCCGCGCTTTTCGCGCTTGTTCCAGCATCTTTTGCGAATGCCTGCGGGAGAAGCCCTGCGCGCAGCCGTTATCAGTCTCGTTGACAACCCCTTGTTTTTCGAGCAGACGTTTAACAGCACCATCTCGCAGCATCAGGCTCGTATTCAGAGCTTGCAGCTCACGCTCAATCAACTTCAAACGCACCAGCAGCAGCAACAGCAAATTCTGTTGCAACAGCAGTCAGCGAGCAACGCGCAATCCTTCCCTCGGTGGATTGGTATCGATGTGCACGTCGACGATAGTCCGGCGACAGCGCTGGCCGAGCTCAAGTACCAGGGCCTGATGACAATCCACACCCTTCTTTCCTTCCGGCCAGCCCTGCTGGTCGACTCGCCGGCCGTGACGCAGCGGATTTTGTCCTTGCTGGACGACTTGGTCCAGTCTGCGCAGGGTCTGCTGTCTGGTGAACGGCAGGACGTTTGCAGCATTCTTTTTAGCAAGCATCGTGCCGCTGTCATGCTCTTGGAGTGCTGTGTTGATTACTGTCGCACTGCGCAGTCCGATTGCACAGAAGTCCTGTTCAAAATGGGCCTTGTCAGCAGCGATTTGCAGCTCCCGCCCGACCTCGGCTTTATTCAAGTCTTTTTCGAGCGGGAGGTTGTTGTTGTAAGTGACTCTTTTGCTTATTTTTGAAGGTTGGAGTTGCGGGGGGGGGGAAAAACATGGTCTTGTTCTTGCTCCATTCTCACCTTACGCATGCACACATGCTCCTCCAATGCACACAACAGAAATGGCCCTTGGATGTGCGTCGGGCAATTGTGACTCGCTTTTTGTCAGAGTTTTCCGGAACAACCTACTCGCTGGCGGCCAAGGCGAAAATTCTTCGACACCTCGTCAGGGCCATCTGCGCGAGGGTGTTTGAACAGGGCGAGGAGACCCTCTTCGATCAGGAAATGCTTTCCCTTGTCGCCTCCAAAATCATCGGCATGGCCTCGCAGGAAACCAGCTCGGGCATCTTTGCCAACGATGCGTTGGGGTTGCTGGATGCTTTGGACGGCGGCGCAGCTGGAAGCGCTGCCGCTAGTTCGGCGTTGACCCATCAGGTGCAGTCGGACGCGCTCAAGCTGGAAATCATGCAGTTTGTTGCCTTGCTGGTTCGCCACGTTGCGAGCGAGATGGTGGACATGCGCAAGGAGCTCATCAAGTTTGCTTGGAGCTTCCTGAAGAGCGACGATCCGCACGTCAAGCACTGTGCCTATGTGCTTATTGCGCGGATTATTGAAGCTTTTGACATTCCCCCGCGCATTGTTCTGCAAGTGTACGTGTCGCTTCTGAAGGCCCACCAACCAGAGGCTCGACACCTCGTGCGTCAGGCTCTCGACATTTTGGTGCCTGTGCTTCCTGTTCGCGGTCCGGTGGATCGTGACCCTCGCTTCCCACTCTGGGTGCGATGGACGAAAAAGGTCATTGTGGACGACGGGCACACGTTGGCGCAACTCATCCACGTCCTGCACATCCTGGTGCGGCATCCAGACCTGTTCTACCACAACCGCAGTCACCTCATTCTGCAGTTGGTCGACGCGTTGACGCGCATCGGCCTGTATGGTCCAGCGCCGCTCGAAAACCGCAAACTTGCCGTGGACATTGCCGAACTGATCATTCGCTGGGAACTTCGAAGGGCATCGGAGCAGGATCCCGCTGCTGTGCCTGGCATCGCACCCAACAGCAACGCGACAACCCCAGTCACGTCTCGCACCGTCCCCACTGGTGGTGTTTCATCCGCTTCATCGCTCGCCGATGAGGACGCAACCGTTGACAGCGGAATGGCCATCAGCCCTGCAACCAAGCAGCAGTCGGCATCCGGCGCATCATCGTCTTCTTCATCATCATCATCATCGTTCAAGTTGCAGTCGGCGTTTGTTGAGGTCGTTTGCAACTTTTTGGTGCGCGTTGCGTGCCAGGTCGAGCCACTTCCCAGCTCTAGCTCGGGGACTGGCGCTTCAGCTGCCGCGAGCGGCTCTGCGTCGTCGTCGTCTGGTGCCAGCTCCACGGACGATCTCACCACGCGCTGTCTCGAACTCTTAAAGCTTGTCCTCACTCCGACGCTTTGGCCTAATGCCAGCATCAAATTCTCGTACTTTGAAAAGCTGCTCCAGGCCGATCTGACCATTCCCTCGAACATGACAAACTTGGCGACTGCGCTGGACATTTTTGCCCTGGCGCTCGAGATGCAACCACCGGCACAGGCGCTGGCTCACGTCAACCTCTTGTCCCGCAGCCTGCAGCGATGCGCCGTGCGTCCGTCGCCGATTATTCGGCGCAGCGTCGTTGGGGTGCTGCGGACATTGCTGACCATCCATCCGTTGACGGACTTTGTGGCACTGGAGTCGTCCGCGAACGTGGTCGCAGCCTTCCAAGCCAGCTCCACTGATGAAATTGCCAACGCATCCGACCGGCCTGCCCTCGACATGTTCTACGCCTGTGTTGATGAGCTCGTCACGCGAGATTTGGCCGCGGTCGCCCAGTACTCTGAGCCCAAGCCAGACGAGCCTGAAGTGGAGAGCACAACCAGCATTGACGTGACGGACACGCCAACCCCTTCGCTATCCGCTCTGGTCGCCGTCTTGGGCGGTACTCTGCCCTACGCGAGCACTCTTGGCGCCCATCGTGCCGATTATCTCGACAAGCACATGTCTCACCTGACGGCGGCTTTCACCCAAGCAATCCGTGACCATTTGCTGCACCCTGATGCGAGTGCAACGTCTGCTCCAATGACGGCGACGACGACGGCCGCGACAACGACGACGACAACGACCACCACCACCACCACCACCACCACCACCACATCCTGGCCGGTTGTTCTGCAGGAATTCGTCAACATCTTCCAATATCGAGTCCACGAACATCCGGAAGCTCGTCGTGCACTCATGAACGGACTCACCATGTTGCTCGATCGTAGCAACTCTCCCCAGACGTTTGCAACCATTTCGGAAGCCCTCAAAACGTGGCTGCCGCTTGTGCATCGCCCATTGGTGTTCCCGTCGGCACTTGAGTTTTCCACACTGGTCACTCGATTGCACCAGCGGGTGCAAAAGGGTTCGCCTGCGACCGCTGGCTCAACGGCGGCATTTTTGCAGCTTGTCGAGCAAGTGTATCTCGATCCATTGCTGCTTGGAACAGATCTGACCGTCTTGCTGCAGCCAGTGTTCTTGTCCGGCCTCAAATCGTCCGACGCCAAAGCTCGTGGTCGCTTCCTGGCCATCATGCATGAGAACATTGGCACCACGCTTGTCGAGCGACTTGTCTACGTTCTGAGCGTGCAGTCATGGGAGTCTGTTGCGGGTCACTACTGGCTCAAACAAGCCGTCCATCTGTTGCTTGCCATCGGCCATGCCGGTGGTGAAATTGGATCTGCTCTGGCCCAGCCTTCCTCCAGTGCGCGTGCCGCCGCCCGCCACCGCTTGGAGGCGACTTCGCGCCCAAAGGCAACTGAAACATCCCTTCGAATGCACGTCAAGCCCGACAGCGACGGCGACGCCGGGTTGACTGAAACTGTTCCGATGGACACCTCTTCTTCTCCTGCTGACGGCGTCGATCGTTCCTTCATCCAATCTGCGCACAAGCCGCGAAAATCTCTCAAGCTGCGTCGAGATGGCGGCCAAGAGTCCGACCTCGCGTTGTCGTCGGCGGGTGAAGGTGAGCCAGCAGGTCTGAGCGAATCGCTCGAGTCCATCCTTTCGGGCCATCGCGCAAGTCTGGCGGCGGCGCGTCAGCAAGGGCTGGAGCGCCCCTTGGTGGCCCTGTGCAACCTGCTGCACGGCAGTGCTGAAGTGACTCGCGATCTCTTTTTCGCCATCTTTGGCGGTATTTGGCGTGCTCTAACGACGACTGCGGCCGACCACCGAGCGACTCGTACCCAGGAGGAGCTGGCAAGCTCACTAGAGTCGTTTTTCAACAAACCCTATCTTGCGCGGCACGCTCATGTTCGGCCCAGTGTGGTGCAGGATGTTTTGGAGGCCGTTCGTCGGTGCAGCTTGCCGTCCCTCTCGCTCGGAAGTCCTTTACCATCCATTCCTGCTCTGCGACTGCCTCCGTTCTGTCTGCAGTACATTGGCACGACGCACAATGCACCATTCTCTGCCCTGCTCATGCTTGAAGATGTCGCCCCGGTCACGCGAGGGCTGTCGAAACGAGAAGATGCCATCTACGCTGCCAAAGCGGCGGCGAGTGTGCACGACGCAACCGCCCTCGTTCCCCATTCCGACATTCCACACTTGTCTGCGGTCGATCTGAAGAGTGTTCTTCCCAGCTCCAAGTTTGACCAGTTTGGCATCTTTGCTATGGAGACGGACGGCGAGACGGGTGCAGATTGGTCTGTCTCATCTTCCGATTCACGACACCTTCAGCCAGAGGCCGATGACGCAGAGGCGTATTGTAACGATGTGCTGTCGGATCTCTATCTGCGCATGGGTGAAGCGGACATGTGGCGCGGGGCATGGATGCGTCGTGCACAAGTGCCAGAGACTGCTCGCGCACTCTCGCTCGAGCAGCTGGGCCTGTGGGAGCATGCCGAACAAGTCTACGAGCGCGTCATGCTCCACCACAGCAACCGTCCTCGAGGAGAGTCGCGACCTGTTTTCCTTCGTCGAGAATTCCGACTGTGGGAAGAGCGCTGGGCTGCGTGTGCCGAGGAGCTCGGTCAGTGGGACGTTCTCAACGATTTTGCCAAGGTCGATGGACAGGGCGCGTTGCTCCTAGACTCTGCCTTGAAAGTCGGCGACTGGCAACTGCATCGTCATGCGCTGATCTCGGTTGAAAACACGCAGACCGACTCGTCCTGGCTCCGAATGCACCGCACCTACTCGACCGCTGCCTCGCTCCTGCTCGATCCTATTCACTCCCTGTACACTGCCTTTTTGCAGCAACAGCGCGTGTCCCTCTCCCAAGTCAAGCCCTACTTTGACTCGGTCCCTCAGCGCGTTGCCCAGGTTGTTCGATTGTGCGAAGAGGCCACGCAGCTGTCGCTGCGCGAGTGGCACGCGTTGCCCGAAATGCCTCATGTCGCCAGCGCTACACACGCTTCTCTTTTGCAGCAATCTCAGCTTCTCGTTGAATTGTCCGAGTCTGCGCATGTGCTCGGGACCTTGCTTCAGACGATGGTGACATCCGTCACGTCCAACTCGCTGGCCAACGTGTCCACTCAAGCGGCGGCCGCCGCTGACCAGGCCTTGCTTGCCCTCCAGTCTCATGTGCTGCCCGAGCTTCATGGCATCCTCGAGACGTGGCGCGAGCGGTGCCCAAATCGATCTGACGCGCTGACGAGCTGGTACGGCGTTTTGGGATGGCGCCAGCAGGTCTTTTCCGCCGTCTCACAAGCGCTTCAGTTCCCACCCGTGATTGACAAGTTGAGCTTGATATCGCTCAGTTCTCGTCAGTCGATGATGGCCATGCACGGTGGTGATCACGAAACGGCGTGGGTGATGACAACGCTCGCGCATGTCGCTCGCAAGCACCGATTGCCGCGCCTGTCGCGTACATTCCTGACTCGCGTGTATACGTTGCCCAACATGGGAGTGAACGAGGCCTTCTGCCAGCTCCGCGAACAGGCGCGCTGCTCTTTGCAACTCGGCTCGGACTTGGCCAAGAATTTGGGACTGCTGAGCAGCGCCAACCTGACATTCTTCACCAAGGCGCAGCAGGCAGAGTTGTTTGCGCTGAAAGCTGCGCTCAAGGCCCGCCTCGGTGACTCGGATGGAGCTCACGAACAGTACGCTGTCTCTTTGCAGCTTGACCACACCTTCTCCCGCGGGTGGACTGAGTGGGGCCGCTTCTGCGATGGCATGTTTGTACCACCACCAGCGACAGACGCGAAACCGTCCAGCGCCACGCAGCTTGGTGTTGATGCGGAGACATCTGGAGCCGCCGCCAACGAGCCTGTCGTCGCCGTCCATGAACGCATGCAGTTTGCGACGAATGCCATTGCGTGCTACCTCTACGCCTGCAAAGGATCCTCGCCACGGACTGCCCGTCACCTACTGGCTCGTGTTTTGTGGCTTTTGACGTTTGACGATGCGTCCGCTGGTCGCCCGTTGGCCGCCGCTCTGGAAAAGCATGGCGACACAGTTCCGGACGAATATTGGCTACCTTGGATTCCGCAGCTGCTTGCAGCGCTTTCTCGTCCCGAGGCTGCCGAGGTCGCCACGATTCTGAAACGTGTCGCCAAGGCTTTCCCGCAGGCGCTCTATTACAACCTTCGATCGACCTTCCTTGAAATTCGCGCCCTTGTTCAGCAGCAGCAACAGCAGCAAAACCAATCGCTGCTGCCCGGCCAAGCCAAGCCTGCACCGTTTGCTGCCCCGGTCTCTCAAAAGATGGTGAACGGCGTCATGAGCGTCGTCCGACAGGCGCATCCGGCGCTCGCCTCCACCATTGAATTCATGATTGACGAGCTCACGACGCGATTCAAACCGCTCTCCGAGGAAGAATTGCTGCGCACGTTGCAAGCCCTGCTGACAGAGTGTCTGCAACGGGCCACCGCAGCGCCCGCAACGACGTCGACGTTCTCTGGTCGCGCCGCCACCGCCTTGGCCCCCGGTGTTGTGCCTCATCAGATCGAGCTTCACCTGAAGCGATTGCAGCAGTCGTTCTTTGGCCAGTCTGCTGCGCCAAGTCTTGCGCAGTACAAGCAGGCCTTCTTCCAAGACTTTGATTTGGCTCAGCCGGGAGGCTCCTCTCTGCGCCGCGTGATTGAGCGACTGCGCTACTGGCACGGACGGCTCCAGAACGACGTGGATCGCTTGCCGCGGTTTGCTCGGTTGGAAGGCTCGAGTCGGTATCTGTCTCAGATTCCGGCCGATAACATTCACGTTCCAGGACTGACGCAAGCCTCGCTTCTGCATGTGGATGGCGTCGCAGCACAAAGCCAGCTGGCTCAGATCCAAACGCAACAGGCCGCTTCTCTTGGTGGCCAGGAACCGCCATCTCCGTTCTTTGAGCCTGTGTGCATCGTTTCGTTCCTTCCCGAAGTTGAGGTCGTCTACCGTCACAGCGCGTCCTACAGGCGCATTACCGTGCGTGCTAGCAACGGCAAGCTGTATGCATTCCTTCTCCAACACACGTCAGCCCGCCAAGCACGTTCCGAGGAGCGCGTCGTCCAACTTTGCAACTCGCTTACGCCGCTGCTGAAGCGCGATGGCGAGGCGGACCGTCGTGGGCTCTCGCTGGCGCTTCCTGCTCCAATTCCCCTCTCCCCTCACGCCCGTCTGCTGCACGATGAGCTCAGCACCGTGTCGATGGAAGCCATCCTGAAGCATCGCTTGACTGCGCTCGGTCTTCCCGCCGATGCTGTCATCGCGCGCGCCTTCCAAGCACTCGTGTTGCCAGGCGATTCTGCCTCCCCCGCGCCAGTCAGCACTCCCTTGGATTTGCCCGCCGTCGCCCCTGGGCCAGTCTCAACCTCGCGGGAGACCTTCCAGCAACTCACGCATGGCGAGGGCGCTCTCTGCCCGCCAACCGTGCTTGCTCACTATTTTGCTCGGAGCCTCGAATCAGCCTCTGATTTGTGGATTTTCCGTCGGCAAATTACGCGTCAGCTTGCAACCTTGTCGCTTCTCTCTCACATTCTCCTGCTTGGTCAACGCTACCCGCACCGAATGAGCTTCTCTTTGGCTTCTGGCAATGTTGTGCTCTCTGATTTGCATCCAAGTAAGCTGCTTGCACTCTGCTGATAGAACTGGATGCCGTCGAAGTGTTGCGGTAGTCTCACTTTTTGTCTTGCTTTGGTTTGTCGATTCGTTTGTTTTTTGGTTTTTTTTGTTTGTTGTGGAAAATCTTTCCTCGCTGCAGCCTTCAGCCATTCGGGTCGCTTGGAAAACACGGAGGCAGTTCCCTTCCGCTTGACACCAAACTTGGAGCACTTTATCACACGCGTTGGCGTTGAAGGCCCTTTCACAGGAGCGTTCATGTCGGTTGCTCGCGCGCTTGCTCAACCCGAGGTACGTCCATTCGTTGCGAGAGTTGCTGATATATAACCAACCACTTTGCTCATTTTCTTGCGTTGTGCAACTCTTTGGTTTTTTTTTTTTGTTTGTTTTGTTTTGTTTTGTTTTGTGCAGGCCAACTTGGACGACTTGCTCACGATTTACATGCGCGATGAGCTTGTTGCGTGGTACTTTGCGCACCCAGCCAACACGAAACGCACAGCGATCGATGGGCGCCCGCTGATTGAGCGCGTCAACGAAAACGTTGCCGGAATCATGTCGCGTCTCCAATCTGTCGCCTTTGCACCCACCACCGCCGCAGAGTCGACCCGCAACGAGTCTCGGCTTGTTCCCTCCGACATCAATCTGGCCCCGTCCTCGCAAACTCGCGTGTCAGCAAACGCACTCAAGCTGATCGCCACGGCGACCAATCTAGACGACCTTCGTCGCATGGACGTCACTTGGCAACCTTGGTTGTGAACAAGATTCAATCCGAACAACCATTAGGCCGCCATCATCACCACCACCACCCACACCACTCACACCACCCACCCACCCAGTCACCCATTATTGCTCGTCGTGTTTCCGTTGATTTGTTTTTTGAATTATAAATTCCTGCCAAAAAATTCCTCTTGAGCGCAACCCAGCATAAAACTTTCAAACCATCGTGTATTCAGACAAACAGAAAGCTTCGACAAATCGCTACACTCATCAACCGAAACACAAAAAAATTAAAACAAATTCTTCCCAACAAATTCAAAAATAATTCAACCAACATGGTAAAAAAAAAAAAACTCGACATGGGTGTTTCCCTGCATTGACCCTCAATACCTGAATCCTTTTTAGTGGAAGGGGTTTGCCCGCTGGAAAATCGCCCGCATTACAGCAGCAGGGGTTCGGCGTTCTCGACGGCGGTTTTCTTCTTCGCGGATCTGGCCTTCGCGCTGTGCCACCACCGCGAGAGCAAACATCACCTGCTCCGGAAGCTGCTCTGGGGGCTCAAGCAGCGCGACTCGGTGGAAGCTGGCCTCAGAGTACTTGACATGCACTGCAGCCAGGCGGTTGCGTTCGTCGCGGTCGTTGCCCGACCCGATCGGCTGCCTCGGAATGCGATGCGTGTTGCGGAACATGACAAACACATCGGCGGCGCACTTGCACACGTCCTCGATGCTGTATCCAGTCCAGTAGGCCATGTGTGCAGTCTGTTTTCGCACAGTTCAAGGAAAGGGATTGCTTTGTGAGACTTTTTGATGTTGGTTTTTTGCGATTCGCGTTGCCAGCAAAGTCGAGCCCCCCCCCCCTTCGATCGAACATTGGTGGAAACTCACCCAGCTGCGTGGCGAACCCGTCAAGGTGTAATGGGCAACCAAAGTCACTGCCGCAGCGATGACCGATGGCAGGTACACAAGGTGGGCGTCGTCGAGCAACGTCAGCTCGCCGAGGTACTGCAAGAGGCAAAATCATGCAAGGCGTTGAGTTGGCGCAATATTCTCCAAACGAGAAAAAAAATAGTGCGACGAAGCTCGGGCTTACATAGCAGAGGCTAGTCATGGCCGCGTCGGCTCCAACAACCTTGAGTGCACGGTTGATGAACTCGAGCAGGGTGGGCTGGGAAACATAAAAGCGGAGGGTCTTCAAGACGGCTTGCTCCATACGAATAATCTGGCACAGAAAAATCAGCGAGCAACCCGAATTTAGATATGGGCGGATCCGTTGGGGCGCAAAAAAGGAGGAAAGAGTGTGTGCAAAATAAACAAACGAGAAACCAAACCCGCAACAAACACGTTACCTGCTCAACCTCATACGTCCGGTCGGCGATTTCGAAAAAGTCGTGCACATTCGGAGGGAAGATTTCTTCAAACTTGGCAGCCACGAACATGCATGCAATGCCAAGCAGTTGCAGCTTGCTTCGCGCAATGGCCAGCTCCGACAAGAAGCGATCAATGTAGCCAATGGCCAAGTACAGCGTCTCGGGCTTGAGTCTGTACTCGAGAGCGACATCAACGAGCCAGTCCACGAGGACGGCGCGCATGTTGCCATTGATGTCGTTTTGGCGCTGCATGTATGACGGGGCGGGCCGAACGGCGATTTCGCGCTCGCGCAAGTGAAGCATGACTTCGGGCATGTACTCGCCAAAATCGCGGTTCTGAGCGCGATCCTCTTCATCGACGTCGAATACCTCCTCCTCATCGGCGACAAGATCAAACGCCTCAGCTTGTTCCTCCTCCTGTGCGTGGCTGGCTGGCGCTTCGACTTCCGCCGCCGCTGCTGGGTGCACAATGACGGACTTGTCAAGCTCCGAGGGCACTGGCGAGGAGCTTGGTGACGACAGATCGATCTCTGATGATCGAAGGTCATTGTAAGACCGCTTCGTGTGGCTCATGGGCGCGGGCTGTGCATCCAAGTCGAGCGGAGCCAATTGCTGGTTGCCAAAGGTCGCGCGGGGCAACCCGTCGCGCGTGACCGACATGGGAACTGGGAACAGACAAAGTGATAAGGTGGGATGAGTCACAGATTTCCGGATCACACACACGCCACACACACACACAAACGTAAAACCCATGTCCGCAGTGTTTTGTCTCACTTGGGGAGTTGGACGTGTTTGCCTGACGCATCCGAACTTCGGCCTCGCTCTTGCTCAGCACTGCCTGGTCCCAGGGCGACACCACAACCTGAGATGAAAAAGAAAGCAACGTGTCGTTTGTTTGTCAGCCATGTTCTTGACGTGAGCAAAAACAAAAACAAAAAATGGGTCAAGCATGTCGATTTGGTCCCGTACTGTGTCTGGACGCGCTTCCTGTCGACTAACATCAACCTGCTCGGTCAACGCAGGTCGCTTGGCAATCGGTTGGACGACGTTCGCATCGTGTTGCTGAACGACAGGCCTCAGCACTTGATGGATTGGTTGCTGAGCGGCCGACTGCGGTTGTGCTCGGGAATGGGCACCAAACCCGGTGTTGTTGCGGTTGATGGGCTGGAGGGCGTTGCCGTCAGCCATGGCCGCGGTGAACGATGTCGTTTCCGCGTGCATCATGGACTTGGCGTTGGCGCGAGCTGCGTGAGTGCTCGTGCCCACCGGGCGAGCGCCGAGGTTTTCATCGGCCAGCAAATGGGGGTTCCCTGGTTCGTAGCCAAAAGACATGTTTCGCTGATATTGTACTTGAAAGGGGTGGCGTTACAGGTTGCGAATCGGACAAAACTCCTGTTTCAGAATGTTCGCAAGGCAATACAACTACCAATGAGCGAAAGTACAGTTTTCGTTTCATGCATGTTCACGACAACAAGCGCCGAGTGGATGAAGATACAAATTTCAAAGGGAAACGCCAATCCAGCATCAAAATCAAAAATCAAAAGAATAAATTCGCGGGTTGGAATGTTGAAAGTCGAAACGCGGACAAGTCTGAAATCCAAAATCCAAAAAAATCGGCAGCTTTCAAAGCGAAACTTTAGCTCTCATCATTCTGTTCCCTCCTCGCCCTGTTCGCTCGCTTGCTCTCATTCAACGCCCCCTCCATCATCGCGCAATCCCCTCAACTCTCACTCGATTTGCAAGAGGATTCCTTCCCGATGATTCTGGCACGAGTTTGGCTGAACATCCATCCGATCGACTAAAAGCGGCAAGGCGCGAAAGTCAACGACGAATTTGAATTTTGAGATTTTTTTGGCGCCCAAAATGTTTCAATGAAAACAGTAAAATAAAATAAAAAATCGAAAAAATCGAAAAAATCAAAGGCATTCATTCGCGACTGCAGTGCGCCGGACAGAGCAACAGGGAGCGTCCGCTGCTGCGTTGATGGAGGTGTCAGTTGCTATTCAACCAAATCCTGGTCGGAGGAGTGACGATGGCGCGTGGCGGTGGTGGGAGAAACAAGCGCAAAGGCAATCCTCATCCCAGAATGAACAACTTGTGGATGTCGCTCTGTGCTGTTGTCTGTCGCTCTGTCGCTGTGTCTCTCTCGCGCGCGCGTTGTGTATCGTAGGGATGTAGTGTTTGACTCGTGTGTCACTCTTGCATGACGCGATTTCGAACAATGTGGTCAGAGCGACAAGCACGCGGCGCCCCAGCAAGCGCGGTGAAAGCAGAGACAAAAATCTCAATCGACACCTGGCTTAAATGATGATTCACTCCCCGCCTGCATGTACCACAAGCGAGCGACGCTGGGCGGTGTGGTGCAGTGGATCTTTGGGCTTGCCTTGATGAAGGGTAAGAGCTGGAAGGTGCGCGCGGTGAGTGCTTGTGGGGAAAAGCGAGAAGGAGTCTTCGAGAATAAAGAAAAAAAAAAAAAGCGAAAAACGTTCCAAAAAGAAAGAAAAAAAAAAAGAGAAAAGAAAAAAAACCCAAAAGACTGCGGCCGTCTTCGCTTTTCGAATGGACGTATCGTGGACTATTCCGGTCCAAAGTGAATCACTGCGCAATCCATCTTGACGTAGATTCAATGCCAAACACGATATGCGCCGAACGGCGGGCCGATGGCAAGCACAGCAGCGCAGACGCGCGAAATGACTTGGACGATGCCAAATCAAGGCAAAGGCGCTGTTTGAAAACGCGCGGTTTCCCGCCAGTTTTTGAAAAGTTGCGTTGCGACCTTGATCCTCGCTCGCTGTTGTGTTAGTCTGCCCCCGTTCTCCGACGCAGTTCTCCTTTTTGCAATTTCATCATCCATACTTGCGCCTTTTGTTTTGTCGTGTTTTATTTTGACACGTGCACGTTGGCGAAAAAGAACGATCAAGAAGAACAGGAAGAAGAACACCCACCAAACCAATGCCAGACCGCCTCTCACCCAAGCTCTCCAGCCTGTCCTCGAGCAGCACGACACCTCCCTTCTTCCCCAGCAGAGGAGCGGCGAATGGCGTGGACAAGCGGCCCATTTTGTCTCTGCAACCCGACGACGAAGAGGACGACGAACAAGACGACGACGCTCAGAACAGCGACCAAACAACAACAACAACAACACACGTCGCTCAGATTCCCTTCGACACCCCGACAACCATCTCACCGCCGCCGCCGCGTCTGCCGCTGCTGCCAGACCATGTCGTAATTCCAATCACGCATTCGACGCCGAGCTTCACGCCGTCCAGCTTTGGAGGTCCGATGGACAGTGCTCTTATGCGATCCATGTCGCAAGTCTCAGCAGCAGACCAAGCAACGTTCAACATGGCGACGATGGACACGCGCAGACTAACAACGGGTCAGTCCCAGTCAATACACAAGCAGCAGCAGCAACAGCAACCGGCGGCGGCGCGGTCCGATTTGAAGCAGGGCGGCTGGCGTGGCGAGCGCGGCGATGTGAATGACGACGGCGACCACGACGACGATGACGACCCCGAGCACCACCGCCGCGCACCTCCTCGTCATTCAGCTGCGAATGGTCAGTCAGAGCGTGGATATGACCTCCAGCAGGAGAGTGACAATGAGCAGGACAAGGACAATCCATGGAGCGGTGCGCGACCGCGGCCTCAGCGAAAGTGCTCGCGGATCAACCTGGCGTTGACTGTCGCGGGCGCAGCGCTGCTCTGTGCTGGTCTGGCACTTGGCTTGGGTGTGCTGCTCAAGTCGCCCACAGACCCGGATGGCACCATGCAACGGGTGGGCGTTGCGTCGTCCGCTCTTACTGCCTCAGCGCAGCCAACTGAGACGGGCAATCCCAGCGTCCCGCAAGACCCGACGCTGGCCATCAATGCGCTCTTCCGGCAACAGTATGCTGCTGTCAAAAAGAGCGTGCTTGTGCTAGACCGCTCGCCGGTTATTCTTGTCAATGGAGCCTATCTGACGTGCATGCAGCACGGCCAGCTCGGCGATGCGGGCGCACAACGCAAGGTGTACTGTCAAACGCCCCTGTACCATCTGCTTAAGCGTGTTGCGCATGTGCCGTTGGCCATTTACACGACATTCATTGGCGAGGTGTTTCAAGACGCCCTTTCATCCTCAGCCATCGCAGCAGCCAACACAATGCTCAGTCTGATTGCGAGGACCAACCAAGCCCTTGCTCAAAACTCTTCGGATGCCGCATTCCCAGGCTATGCCAATCTCACCGCCACACAGCAAGCGCGCCAAGCGGAGCTTTTGGCTACCTCACAGATTGTGTTGCAAGCAGCGCTGGCAAACAACCGCATCGGTCCGGACGAGCTCGAGTCGTTCGCGGCAGGCGTGTCAGCCGCCTTGTCGTTGAATGTGCACGATGCTGCCTATGAAACACTGAATGCCATTCATGCCGCGGTGCTGCAGTGCCAAACCGAGTTTGGCATCTCGCCCGCGGACTGGGCAAATGCGCGTGGAATTGTCAACGGCCCGCACATGCCCAAGCGCGACAATCTCGTCTACCAGTACCTCCGTGCCGCGTTGAGCGATTCGTCCACCGTCGAGGAGGACCACGACGACAGCGATAGCAGTGCGCCCCACAACGCGAGCACGCCGCGAGTTTTCTATGCCACCAACATGGCTACCGATGCCGCAATGATGGATTTGATTGCCACGCACGACCTGGACTTTGACCTTGGAGGCTCGTTCTTTGGAAATCCAGAGGTCATGCACCGCGACATTCTTGCCAACGCCACGGAAGAGTATCTTGCGCAGTTAGTCGCCTCAGGGGAATTGCCTTTAACAGCGTCCAAAGCCAAGCGTGATCTCTCAGCCAAGCAGCACACTCGGCGAGACAGAGTCGCGCAAGTCGAGCCACCAGCGGTTGAGGGAGACATGAAGCACCTGTCGCTCGTACAGAGGCTGCTTCTTGAGCGCCGAAAACGCGACGAGCCGGGCATGGCTGAGCGCATCAAGAATCTCTTCCGTCCACGCTCACGCGGAAGCTGTCCGTTCCATCCTTGATACGAGTGGTGGTGCCGAGTCCGTTGGAGTGCGACCGTCGACGGGTTGGTTGAAAATGGTGTGTTAGTTCAAGTTATTTGTTTTTTTGTTGCGGACTGGTGCGTTTGTTCAAACCGCGTACTCTGCAATGAATTTTTTTTTCGTTTCGATTGGTTGTGCCAGCCCGCAAGTTGATGAGCGCACTGTTTCCAAACCCCCAATGGAGCCGCCGGTCAGCACTTCATGCAACATGTTCAATGCGATCTCGAGATTGACCGCCGGAATTCCAGCATTATCTCCTCATCGACCCCCATTCTCTGCTTGATGTGCTCTCCTTTCTGCCACTTTGCCACTCCAAATCCGCCGTTCTTTTTTTTCTTATTGTAGGACATGTCGACCAGCTCGCCATTTTCAATGCAACATCCAGCGTGGCTTTTGAACATTTTTAATGCATTCATTCCAGTCCCTTTTTTCTTCTTCTTCTTCTTTTTTTTTTTTTTTAATTTCCGGTTCATCTGCTTCTGCATCTGTGCTTGTTTTCCGAAATGGGCAACGTGCAGTCGGACGAGCTCAAAGGGGACGCGGGAGGGGACGACGGTGCCCACCAGAAGCAGTCGTCGTCGTCGTCGTCCATGCTTGTCGGCGGTTCCCAAAACCAGGTGGTTGCGTCTGCGGCGGGTTCCGGTCTCGCTCCTGCAGCCCCAGGCACCGCCGCCACCCTCAGCAATAGCAGCAGCAGCAGCAATGGTAGCAGTAGCAATATCCTGACTGGCGGCAGCAGCGGCAGTAACAGGAGTAGCAACAGCCATCCCAATCACAGCAGTAGCAGCGCTAATAGCAGCGGGAATACCATCACTGCGGCGGCGGCGGCGGCGGGCATGAGCAATGGCGAGCGGCTGGCGGTGCTCACACAGGCCTTCCTCAGCAACTATGCCAGCGCTTGCAAGGCTGTTCTGCTGGCACATGTGCACGAGCAGGCGCGGAGCAAGGCCAGCGAGCTGCTCAAGGAGCGCGTGGCCAATCACCGAATGAAACCTGCTGCTGCTGCGACCCCTGCGACCCCTGCGACGGCGCTTGCATTGCCGACCACTGCCACCACCACGGCGGCGACTGAGGGCGGTGTTGCTAGTGCTGCAGAGGCGACTGGGCCTGCTGCGGATGCGGCAGCGTCGAGTGCGGCAGAGTCGGCCATTCGGAGCGATGCGAATGGTCCAATCCACGCGGTATCGGACGAAGAAGCACCAGCCAATGCAGCCAGCACTGTCACTGCAGCAAGAGCAACAACAATAACAACAGGAACAACAGGAACAACAACGACAACAACGACGACAAGGACGACGATGCAAGACAAGCCAACAACAGCACCAGCGACTGGAGTCGTGACGCGAAGAACCACGGCGGCGCTGCTCGGCGCTGCTCCTACCACTGCTGCTGCTACTGCTGCGACTCCTGCTGCGACCACTTCCACGAGTCCAATCCCGACGGGTGCCTCGACAACGCTGGTGGCGGCGCGAGTGACCAAGCACAGCACGCATGCGCTGGAGAACGATCCGCGGTACACCGAGTACCAGGTGGTGGTCGTCGAGGTCAAGCCGGTCGGATCCAAGATCTTGCAGCTGTCGCGGCGCTACCGCGAACTCCGCGCCTTCCACGACGCATGGCTCGACTCGCATGGCAATCCATCGCCGACAGTGCCAGCGTCTGCAGGGCCCACTGCCAACGCCCTGGCAGCCGATGCGATCGCAAGAAACAAGACCGATCTCCAGCGACTCGCGCGCATCTTCCCTCCCAAGAAGCTGTTTGGCAACAACCTCGATGCAGGTAACCTGCTGCTGCTTTGTTTGTGCAGATTTTGTGGTACACACTTTGTTCGATCGTGTGTGTGCTGGGGTCCGTTAGTTTGGATCCAAGCTGGTCTGTGGATCCAAGCTAATCTGTGGATCAGATGGGAGAAGGTGTTGGATGGAAGAAGGTGTTAAGGCGGGTCTTGCCACATTTTCTGACTCATAGCGATCTTTGATTGCTTGAAAGATCTGTCTCTATCTTTCTTTGTTGCGTTTGCTGGTGGATGATGTGTCACTCTGAGAAGATCCTGTCGCTGACCTTTCGTTCGCTTTGATTCATTCTTAAATCGCCGCGACCGTTTTCCTCTGCTCTCTTTAGAACTCGTACAAGCTCGATTCCAAGCCTTCCAAGAATACATTGAGATCTTGTCGTCCGAGTTGCGCAGCGGACAAAATCCGCTCTTCCGGACGTTGCTCTCGCTCGATCACACTCACAAGGTATTACACGAATCTTCTTCATGATCGCTCCTCGCTCCTGCCCTCTCCGCTCACTTTTTCGAATCGGTTCATTTTGGATGAAACAGAACGAACTGGCGTGGTCCGCGTTCAACAACGCATACTTGGCCACTGCTGCGCAGCTCGGATACACCTCGCGACCCATCACGACCGAGACGGAAGGCATCACTCATCTTTTGTACTCGATGTGCGCGGAAGGAGTGACGAGCGAGCCGGCTCGACTAGCCATTCAAACCAGCGTCAGCAAGCTTATTGGAAACGACCCGGTCATTGTACGGAAAGCCGTCGACATCTTTGCAGCGGCCTCGAATCTCGCATCCACTGCGTTGGAGCCGTTCATTGAGTTTGAGGCCAAGTTGAGCGACCTTCTTCCAAGCCTCGTCCTCGACTCGGCCATCATGCGCAAGCTCACCAGCTCGGCTGGACAAGTGGGCAAGGACAAGCTGGCACCCTCGATGGTCCGCGCCTCGGCCTACATTCTGGAGCATGTGAGCAACTTGCGCACTCAGCTCCTTGCCGCGTTGGAGGAAATCAAGCCGCCATCCTCCTCCTCGGGCTCGTCCTCTCCATCATACCATCACCACCACTATCACCATCACCACCATTACCACCACCACCACCACGGCAGCACGTCGCCCGTCCCGTCCCATCGCTATGCACTTGAGCTGCCCGATCGCCAGCAGTCCTTGTTGACGTCCGAGCTGCAGTGGGCGGTCGATTGTGTCAAGAACAGCAGTGACGGCGAAAACACGCTTCTGGTCCAGCTTGCCACCACGTTGCTCCAAGCGTTCACCGCCTTGCTTTCAATGATCACGCACGTGTCAAAGTGGTTTTCTGAGGTTGCAACCGAGTTGCTGGAGCTCAAGGTTCGCCTTGAGGCGACGCTCATCGCCACAACAACGACCTGCAAAGTTTCCGACGCGCTCTGCGAGACACTGCGAGCAGCAGTCAAGTCCGAGCTGGCCAAGTTTGACAGCTTTGTGCAAGCCAAGGCGCTGGATCTCGCAGTGATCAAGTTCACCATCTTGGACGAGCACATTGATACCACACTCAAGGTAAAGCGAGATGAGATGGATTGTGCTGTCGTTCCTTGGATGGCAGCATCTTTTTGCAACGCCCTCACTCATCTTTTGTTCTTTCTTTTCTTTCCCTTTGCCTACACAACAGATTCTGCCCAACTCGCTTCGCGGCATTTTTGCAACCGCATTCAAGTCCATCCCGGCACACATGATTGATTCGCTTCAACAATTAGTGCGCTCACTTGACCAGCACCTCTCGGCTGGCCTTTCCGGATTGTCGGACGATGAGTTGGGGATTGCTGCGCGCACAAGAAGCGGCACCCTGTCGTCGGGGTCGCCTGCGCCTCGCTCGCCCGGAGAATCCCCCGCAAACGAAGCATCCCACCCCTCTACGCTGCGGGGCTCGAAAGAGCTCGAGTCCTCCATCACCACGAGCGTCAGCTCTGCCAATTCAACTCTCACAGCCACGCAGTCCATGTACAACGACCAGTCCAGTGGCAGCGGCCCTTCCACTCCGGCGTCGACTGCGGCGCCAAGCTCTGCTGCGCCGGCCCTGCGGCGTACGGTTCGATCAGCCTTCCGCAGTGCCAGCTCTCACGCAGGCCATCACATGGCCACGGCGATCGCGAAAATGGGGAAATCTTGCGTTGGATTGTGCATGGAATTGCTCATCAAGGAAACACTGTCCAAGCCCGTCAAGTCCGCCCTTTCTGGCCTTGAGTTGCTTGATGAGAGCATACCACAGCCGATTCTTGACGCCGGATTTGATCCTGCCGTCCTGATCGAGAGCACCATCGAAGCGACTGCCTCCACAGCTCTCCAGCTGCTGCTAGTGTCTGTGGTAGAGGCCGCCATTCTCTCATCAGTCGTCGCAAAGCAGCAGCAGTGGGCACAGCAAGCCGCCCTCGCTCCGATTTTTGCGCCTTCCAGTTGAAAAGCGCTGGTTTGCGCTGGTTTGCCTGTTGCGGTGGTTTTAATTGTCTCGCTTTATTTTGTTGTTTTGTTTTTAATGTATTTGACGTTTTCGGTTTATTCAACATGTAGTGGGATGTGGAGCAACCTTCAACAATGACACGTTTGAGCAGCTTCGCTATGCCATATTTGGAGCCGGGTGCTGCCGGGTTCCGATGATATAGAAAGCGTGGATTACGCCAGGAATCCATCTACGCAAGTAGTGACGCGCGAGTTGCGTACAAGGCAAAGTGAGTGAGGAGCGGGCAACAAGAACAGAACGGTCAAAAACCGTGTGGTTTTTGTTTTTAGCAAGCGACAATGTCGTTGTCCCAGCCAACATGTTGATGCAACATGTGGATAAACACGAACGCGATAGAAACATGTCCGCTCAAAAGAACGTGCACGCGAGATGGGCGAAGGAGGGGGACATTTGCGTCAGGAAGACGCAAAACAACCAACGAAAATCAACGCTGAAACCTTACCCAAGCAACGTCAGAAGGATGTTCAGCAGAAAGATTTGGCCGCAGCCAGCCACGATCAAGACACCCACTGGAGGTAGGAAGAACGAGATCAAGAAGAGGAGGAAAGTGCCACAGCAGCCCATTGTGAATTCTGTGGTTTTGAACAGCGGAAACGAGATTTTTGGTGAGAAATCAACGCTTGGCGACCTGCTGCTTGCTTCTCTATCATGCACACGGTCCTAAAGTGTCATGCGCTTCGTTCAGTTACATTCAACAAAAAAAGAGGAATGAGTCAATATAGAGTCTGGAGCGGCGTCGTTTTTATAGGAGCGCAGATGCCCGTGCAAATACTCAACCCAAATCGAGAAAATCAGCCGAGAAAAGTAAGAAAAAGTGGTCAAAAGTGTATTGAAAATGACAAAGAAAAAAAAAAGGAAAAGAAAAAAAAGGCGTGGTTTGAGAACAACGCGATCAATATGCGCTGTTTGATGTTTGCTTGATTTCAACTGTTGAAGAGGAAGGAAAAGGGGGAAAAAACAACAAAAACACAAAAATTGAGAAAACTACGCAAAACACAAAAATATGCGCAGAGGCTGAATAACTTACGCTTGCCATTGTTGTAGTTGTCCTCCGAGTTGACCAACAACTTGGACTTCTGTACAAGGGAAGTGGAAGAAAAAAAAGAAGGAAAAAAAAAACAGACACACATGTTGTTGAGCAACCCAAATCAATTTGTCGCGGTCCATGTGCACAACAGCATCCCCGCTCTTTGTCGACACATACCTCTTCGTCTTGCTCGTCGAGGTGAGCAAAGCATGAGGGGAAGCAGGAGAAGAGGTTGCGCCAGAAGTTCATGAATGGCAGCGGGTAGACTTCGTTGTACATGAAGGTGCCGCTGACGAGGAAGAAGAAGCCAATCAACTGGAGCCAGAGGAAGTCTTCCCAGCCAACAATGAGCGAGAAGACCCAGACGACGACGGTGCGGCAGCTGTCAATGGTCGAGCGGTGGGTGGCCGACAGGAACTTGGTGATGGAGACACCGCAAAAGTTGAAGAAGGCAATGGAGAAAATGTAGCCGGGAACGGCGGCGTCCATGACCCAGCTTTCTTCGAGGTACTTGAAGGCGTCGCGGGTGTCCTCGATGGGCTTGCCGGAAATGTTAATGTACTGGAGAGCGGGAAGGATGCAGGAGACAATCACGAGGCCGAAAATGCCCTCGCTGCCGACGACAGCGATCGGTGGAACAGAGTACTTGCCGATAAACTTTTCCTCGACAATGAACTGGGTGGCAACGACGACCTGAGCGGCAATGACGAGCACAATGCCGAGAACCATGTTGGACGAGCTCTCGTTGTTGTCATCGCCAAAGACGACACTGGCGACGCCGACGATGGTGATGCCGGTGACGACGAGATAGAGACCAATGTAGTGGTGGATGCGCAGGCGACGACGCAAAAACAGCACTGAGAACAGCGCAGTGAACAGGACGCTGGCTCCGCGAAGCATCTGGTACACGGAGGCTGCCGTGAAGAGCAGGCCAATGTTCATCAATGTAGTGGCGGTGATATCGCAGAGGGCGGGGTACAAGAAGATGTGCCAGGGGTTGGTGAGCTTGGGCTGGTCGAGCGAGAGCGAGAGAGAAGCCAAAACAAAACAAAAGTTATTCAACAACCTCGCACAGCGCCTTTTGAAGCAGTATCAATGAGCACGTACCTCAACCTCGCCTTCCTTCAAGAGACCAAGACGCTCACGGCGGCGATACAGATACTTTGAGATGAAAAAGACGCCCAAGCAGAGGGTTTCGCCGATGAACATGTACCACGTCTGGACACCAGGGTGGTTGAACGAGTCTTCCTCGCACGAGGTGTGCGTGCCGTTGCTGGTGCACTTGGTGATGGTCGTATTGTTTTGCAACTTGGCCACTGCGCACAGCAACAACGATGAATTGAGCGAAACGATCGGCCAAAAAGTGTGCTTTGTGCAAAGTAGATTTGTGGCTTACTGATAATGTTGACTGAGCCAGTGACGACCATGCTCAGCGCAAGGATCATACCCTAGAACAACAAGCAAACCAAGTGTCATACGCAGTTGGAATAGTGTGAGTGAGTGCTGATGGCTGTAGCATGCATTGCGAGTACAGAGTATGAAGTGGCTTTCGGTTCAAAGCTCTTCATCTTCCTTCCCTTCTTCTAAACTCCTGCTCGACTGAGACTGCGCTTCCACTCCAATGGCGCGCGAATTACAAAGCCAGAGCTGCAAACGACATTGCACTCAACTGCCAGACCCCCCAGCTTCTACTCCTGGCGAGTGAGAGTGACAATGAACACACGGGGGTCCACATGACCGCCGAACCGCTCTTCCAACCATTTTGAACCGCGTCCCGTCTCACTCTCACTCACTCTCTCTCTCTCTCGCTCCATTCTCCACGTTGGACTTCTTGCACTCTCTTCGTGCTATTCTTGCTCTCGCTGTCTCGCTGTCTCACTCACTGTCGCTCTGACAGTCGGAAACCGTTGCATTGAATTTCCATACTATTTTTTATTCTATTGTTCTCTCTCTCTTTCACTCATTCACTCACTCACTCTGACTCTGACTCTCATTCAAAGTGCGTCGCTGCTTTTGTTTTGTGTTTGTGTTGTCTTTCGCTGCACAGCCAACAAAAAGCTGCTCCAATATCGCCCTTCTGTTAAGAGCTGCAGAGAGTTGCGTGGCTTCGTCCGAATCCCAAAACCAGACAAAAACTCCCTTCTTTCCATAGTCACGGTCTTGCTTTTGCACTCTTGCACTCCAGCACTCCTCCAGCACTGCGCGCTCTCTCTTTCGCATGGTGACACTCTTGTATGCATGACAAGCAAGCAAGCAGCAGCACTGCCGCTGCGAAAACTCAAACCGCTCACGCTCGCTCGCTCGTGGCTTCGGAGTTTGTTTGGTTTCCTCCATTTCAGCCAGTTTCGTGGGCCAAAAGTCAGTGTCAGTGTCAGGTCGGCTCCACACTGCATGACTCGAGACACCGATGTTGATTGTGCGGAAATGAGGAGGGGGGAAGACGAAGGCCCCCCTCTCCATCGAAGCGTGCTGCGAGCCGTGTTCGTCCTCTTCTTCTTCTTCATCCTTACCCAGTACGCCGACTTCATGACTGCTGATTTTGCGATTCAGTGAATAAAAGACGACTGCCTGAATGAATATGAATATGTATGAAATTCAATAAAAGAGTCAAAGAGCTGTCTCGCACTTTTGATAGTGAATATGGGGTTTGCACATTGATTCATTTGGAACGAGGGAGGAAGAGGGAGATCTCGGATCACGGCAGTCCAATAAATGCACAAGCGTGTGTGTGGTACTGTACATGCACTAGTGTGCTATTAGTATCAGTGTACCCAGCGCTATTCTGGCATTTGGTGAGATTCAAGCTCAATGCTGTTTCAGATTGTGAGCGCTCACCGTTGTTTGCTGCATCAGTCTCATTGTAATCCTGTGTACTACTTGTGAAATTGTTGCTTAGTTATTATGGTTGCCTTTTTTTGCTCCACTCTTTGTTGTTGTTTGCTGTTGTTTCCTGTCAACAATGGAAGGAGCGACTGGAGCGAGGCGAAGAACCGCCGGCTCAAAGACGAGTACAATTCCGACCGCCATTGTTGCCACTCCTGCTACTCCTGCTACTGCTAATGCTACTGCTACTGATGCGAGCACTGCAGCCACTGCGGGCGCAACGGGACAGCAGCCCCGCGTGTACGACGCGCAGGTGGAAGCGGCGCTGATTGCTGCTCAGTTGCCGCTCGGCGCCACGCTGACGGTCGACCACGTCCCTGCGTACCTCAGCTTCAACAAGCACATCAAGGTCGGCTACAGGCGCCCCATGACGCGCTGGGAGTGCATCAAGTCGCTCTTCTCGTGGCACAACGAATGTAAAACACAAAATGCTCTGGTTTTTGTGTTGTTTGTGATCTAACCTCCCTCACACGAACCTCCCTCACAAACCGACCACGAACACTGCGAGTACTACCACGCAAGATACTGCGCTGAGGAGGTTGCTGCTGTTTGGCAATCGCAACAAACGGGAGGGGAGCCTCTTTGTCGGTTTGTACGGTAGATGTGGGTGCGTGGGTGGGAGGTACCTTCTCAAAGGTGGCCAGGGGGGGGTAGTTGGTGAATGCGGAGGTGCTTTACTCGATGGTCCCCAGAGATGTAGCGTAACGACGAGGGGACGGAAAGTGCGACGATTTGCCTTTTTGTGTTGTTTCGGTCTCAAACAAAAACACCATTCTGAGATTGAAGTGTCAGTACAATGCTGTGTGTGTTTTACACTGACTTGATATGCTCAATCTGGGCTTGCCAACGCAGCAATCAACATTTGGGTGCACATCTTCATCTTTGCGCTCTACTTCCGACTGCTGCTGAACGAGGTGATTGCTGGACCCATCATGCCCGACGCAGAACACGCCGCTCGACTCGCGGCTGCAGAGATTGCGCATCCGCATCACGTCCATCGGGACGGGGATTCGTGGGCAACCGACTATCTCTACGCCCTGTGGGACGCGACCTACTTTGACCGTTTGATGGCGTTGGACACGCTCGACTGGAACCGCCTCGTCTCGCTGTTCGCTCTCAGCTTCATCTTTGGAGGCTCCATCATCTACCACACGTTCATGCCGTCGTGTCGCTCGGAGGTCTCGTACCAGCGCCTGCTCAACTTTGACGTCTTTGGCTGCGTGATTGGCACGGGCGGCACGGGACTGGCCTTCTTGCTCTACGGCTTCAAGTGCCAACACCCGTTTTTTGCGAACGGCGTGGCTGGCACCTTCATTGTCTACTCCATCTACACCATTTACAAGGCACTCATCTCCACGTCCGCCAAGGAGCGTTTTGGCGCGATCGGCACGTTCTGTGCAGTGCGATTCGTCCTTGGTGTTTTGCAGTACCTGCCAAAGATTGGCTACCATGCGCGGCCCGGTGCCCTCGTGTTCCATGTCTTGGGTCAAGCACTGCTGCTGCTCGGCGGAGGAATCAATGCCCTGCGCTGGCCCGAAAAGCACTCGTGGGTCCGATTCGGCCGTGATCCAGTGACCGGCGACAGACTCGGCGCTGAGAAGGCGCCAGCAACCGCGCGGAACACTGCTTCGGCTGCATCCGCGACTGTGGCTAACGGCGAGGAGGAGGAAGAGGAGGAGAAAGTCGCATCGCCTCGCGGCTTTGCTTGCGTTCATGGCGTCGGCGTAGTCGGCCACAACCAACAACTCAATCTTGGCAACGCCATCGACTATGCCCTCAATAGCCACCAACTCTGGCACCTTCTGTCGATGGTTGCCAGCACGTGCGCATACTTTGGCGCCCTGCACGACAGCCTCGACTGGCGAGAAGTTGTGTGTGACGCCTAGAAGCTTTTATGCTTTTTGGTGTTTGCAAACGTCACCTTTCGCATGATGATGTCGTACCGTAAAACGATCTTCCCCCCCCCCTTTTTTTCCCATGTGTGAGCTCGGATTGTCCTTTACAAATCAGAGTTCCGTTGTTAGCGCGACCAGAATGAACAGTTGTTTTTTCGTTTCTCGTCTTCTTACTTTGGTGCTCGAACAGACTGTTTTTGATTTTTTTTTTTTGTTTTTGCTTATCAATACATGTAACATCTCTTATTGAATGCACCTTTGACTCAATCCTCTTTAATTCTCAGAAGTTTGTCAACACAAACATGTCAATTCCACTAAGACCGGTGGACGGCACCCGGCTGTCCACGTCGCTGTCTGGCAACGTCGTCCAGCGATCGCGTTCAAGCAACAAGTCATCTCCGCTGTCACAGAGCCAAGGGACGGGGTTGGGTGCGGACTTGCACGGCGCTCGCGCCTATAACGATGACGGCGGCGACAACAACGACCTGGACGACGACGACGACGACGACGACCTGGGCTACGACGACAGCGCGTCGCTCAATCCAAGTGGCAGTGGTGCAGCAGGACGGAGCAACAAGGCCAAGCAGCAGCTGTACGACGGCGCCAAGTCGCGGACGGGCAAGGCCAAGCTCGCCATCAAGCGAACGGGCGCATCGCTCCAACGCATGCTCACCAGCAGGAAGCAGCAAGAGGACTTTGTCGATGCCCAGTTCATCAAGCCGCCCGTCAAGGTTGAGCCATCTGGTTGATGTTTTGTGTTTGTTGTCCGGGAGCGTTGTGTTGTTGTTGCAGAGCTTTGCTTTCAACGCAACCGCTCAGCCGCGTCGGAGCCGACCAAAATTGGCAATGCGCCGAGGCAGCGCTTTTTCATCCATCTCGCTTTCGACACAATTGTCTTGCATGGTTTGGTGTTGTGGCTTATGAGCTCACTGTCGCTTGGGTTTTTGCGTCGGTTTTTCTGTGGCTTTGTCGGGGGCAGGTTCCGTGGCGAGCAATCGGACTGGCGTTGCTCTTGTTCCTCATTGGGTCGATTCTGTTGACGTTTGGATCCCTCATTCTGACGGGCAAGATCAAGGTGGATGTAAGTTTTATTTGTTTGGTTGGGGGTCCATCGTCTCATCGTCCACTGACCAATCTGTCTCATGCGTGTTTGACCACACCAAAATCAGCCAAAAGAAGACACGTCCATCCCATTGATTGTCATTGGATCGCTCGTGTTTCTGCCAGGCTTTTACCATTTGCGCTTGGCGTACTATGCATACCGCGGTTACAAGGGCTATTCATTTGACGACATCCCTGACTTTGATTGATCAAGCGTGATAACAAGTGTGCGGACGTGCGCGAGGATGGAAGTTGGAGCAGAGTTGTTTTGGAGAATAGTTGTATTGAAATCATTTCGCCAAAAATGACAAAACTTGTACGATACAGGTCAGATGCCCAAATCAAAAAAAAAAAATCCCAATACGTAGCGACAGTGGAACGCAAGTCCTCGGCCTCTGGCTCAGTTGCCGGTTGGTCCATTCGGGAACCAGCCCATTTGTGCGAAAGGATGTTGCTGTTGCTGGGAAGGTTGCTGGACGTAAGGCATCGAAGGGGGTCGGACGCCCATCGCCTGAGGGTAGCCGCTCAGAGGGTGCTGGTGCAGTTGCTGCGGAGGCATTCCCCCAGAAGGGTTGTTGGGGCCATAGTATTGTGCCTGTTGATTATATGGGAATGGAGGTCTGCCAGCTTGCTGGGGCATGGCCATGTCTCGGCGCTGCTGCTGCTGCTGCTGCTGTTGAAGCTGCTGCATGTGTTGCATCTGCTGTTGATACTGCTGATGTTGCATTTGTTGATGTTGCATCTGCTGTTGCTGCAGCTGCTGTTGTTGCAGTTGCTGTTGCTGCTGTAGCTGTTGCTGCATTTGCTGCTGCTGCATTTGCTGTTGTTGCAGTTGTTGGTCTCGCATTTGCTGCTGCTGTTGCTGCTGTAGCTGCTGTTGCATCATTTGCTGCTGATGTTGGTGCATTTGTTGTTGTTGATGCTGCTGCTGCTGCTGTTGCTGCTGCAGCACTTGCATCTGTTGCAAAAGCAGCTGCTCTCGCTGCAATTGCTGCGCTTGCAGTTGTTGTTGCTGCTGTTGCGCGTGAGGATCAGGATGATACAACGAGGTGGGAGCTCGACCATTGATGAGCAGCGGGTGCTGCGACTCGAGAGACCGTTGCAGTTGCTGTTGCGCCTGATACTGTTGCTGCTGCTGCTGCTGCTGCTGCTGCTGTTGTTGTTGTTGTTGCTGCTGCTGTGCCTGTTGCAGCTGCTGCAGTTGGTGTTGATGCTGCATCTCAGCGTGCTGTCCGGCCGAAAACTGAGACTGGGCTTGCTCGTGCGGCGGCTGCGTAAGGTGAGAATGTGATCGCGGAGGCGACTGGCTGACTTCAGCATCTGGCGTCACGCGGCGAGGCACGCCGCTGCCTGTCGGGCTGCTGCTGCTCGGCTTCTTGGACATTTGCTTGATCACCGATGTGGGCACACTGGCAAACGCTGGCTTGATGACGGCCTTGGCCGCGGACGGCGGAGTCTCGGGAACGGTGGGCATCCCGCCGGAATATTGTTGGGACGGAGAGCCAAAAGGCTGCGGAACTCGAGCAACGGCTGGAGCGTGCCCAAGAACACCTGGTTGAGCGTTGTTTGGCTGCTGGGGCCCAGCTGCTGCATTCGAAGTCACCATGTTCAGCAGGAACCGATCCAACACGTTCGGAGCCGCCTTGTTCTTCAGGGCTTCCGCGTCGATCTTGACAACTGGATCGGGCACTGTCGACGGAACACCGTGAGGATTGATGGAGGACGCGGACGACACCGAGCTCAAGGACACCGAGGAGGTGGAAGAACCACGCCCACGCAGCATGTTGGAGCTCAGAGAATGGCCAACGTCATCGTCGTCGCGCTCCAAGAAGCTCATGTCGATGCCTGCCACAGAGAAGGATGCCTCGTCGTCGCCTTGCTTGCGAGGGCTCGGTTGCGGCACGGCGTCGAGCGTACCGAACAAGGTGCTCTGCGCAGCAGCGGGAGCCGCAGTGTGGTTGACTGCTGGCTGCTCGGAGCCGGCTGAAGGAGCAGCAGCGACATGAGCAGTAGCGGCGGCGGCGCCGGCGGCCGTGCTCGTGCTTGTGCTCGTGCTCGTGCTCGTGCTCTTGCCCTGGTGAACACGCACATTCGGCTCAAACTCGACAGTAAAGACTGCCTCGGCCGCAGTGCTTTTGCGCGGGGGCGAATGGGGATCGAGAATGGCCTCCAGCGCGCCTTCCCCAGAATAACGCGAGAGCAGCTCGCTGTCAGCGGGAGCATCGTCCTCGGCGTCAAACCGGCCCGTTGCGTTGGGATCAAAGTCATCGTGGGCCACGGATCGGCTCGTGGTGCGAGTGCGCGCAGAGCGCGGCTCGCGGTACCTTGGCGCACGATCCACCTCTTCCAACGAGCGGAATTCGAAATCGGTCGCAGATTTGACATCCATATCGTCCATCCACTCTGGGACGAAATCTTCGCCAGAGCCAGCGGTGCCGGGATTGCTTCGGAACGCAGACTGGTCGAAATACTCGCCCTTCCTGTGGTAACCGTCACCAGACGGAGGTGCGTTGCCACGCAAGCCGCGCGACGCTGGGGCAGAGTTGTGGTCGGCAGAGGTTCTTCGCGCAGACACATCGCGACGAGATGGGACCGTGTAGCCGGAATCCGCAATGCCGCGGCCGCCATTGGCTCGGTGATCACCACTTCCCGCCGTCGCGCCAAACAAGTCTCGTTGGACGGGTGGCCGGCCGGGTGTGCCGTCGGACATTTGTGATGACGGTGCGGACAGCGAATGCGACGCCGGTGACAAGATTGAGGTCGCATTGATCTCGGGTGTCGGCCCACTGGAATCTGTCTTCCAGCGCGGAGCAAACTTTTCCGAGCCGCGACCAGTCCGCCGCAGAGCGTTCGGTGAAAGCGTGCTTTTCGCCGCTGCAATCGACGCGGTAGACTGTGAGTTGTTCTGAAGACCAAGCAAGGGCGCGGGTCGAGGACGTTGATGACTAGCACCAGCGGAGGCATCAGCGTCATCCTGCTCGCCTTCTGGCGCAGAGCTGGTCGTCAAGCCTTGCTCAATTTCTGCCAGAGTCAACGTGCGAAGCGGCTTCGTTAAAGCATCGTCGGTCGTTGCTGTTGTTGGTTTGCTCGCGCCTGCTCGTTGTGCGGGCTCGGAGTGCGGTTGTTTGGAAAGAGACTTGAGAATCAGCTGCTCAAACGCCGAGCCTCCTTCTTCACCGCTAGTCTCAGCAACATGAGTGGCTTTGGTAGCGGACGAAGCGCTGCCCTTGCGCCCTCGTGCCTGTTTGGCCGTCCCTGCATCCGACGATTCGTCGCTCGCGCTGGCTGGATGGTGAGCCGAGATTGGTGCGGCTTTCGAAGCGTCCAACAGGCCGCCTAAAGGCGCGTCGCTGTGGGTTGGGCTGCCTGACGAGCTGATTTTGCGCACTCGGGTCAACGATCTGTAGACAATGGCCAAAAAAAATTGTCAATGCGTGCAAGCTGGGAAGGGAAAGGAGATAGCGTGCACTCCCCCCCCCGCAAAGCACAAATCCGAAAAACGATCCGACAAAAAAAAAACAGACGGTATTACTCACTTGTCATTCTTGCGCGCATTTTGCTGCGCATGCTGTGCTTGAGCCGGTTGGTGCGGCTGTTGTGAGTGGTGAAAGCTTGGCTGGAGCTGCGGCGGGCGAGATAATGCCGAGATGTCGCAATAAAACTTCATGTTAAGCTGAGGAGGCGGCGTGGGCTGGTTTACAGGATGAGACGAGTCCTGGCGTTGTCCCTGCGCGGAGCGGTTTACTGGCACTGATGCATAAACGCCTCCGAAATGTTCGCCAATAGCCAGCAACTCTGCGGCCGAATAGCGGATAAATCCGGGAGATGCTACGAACGACATCAACATTGAAAAAGGAACGACAACACCAGAGGTGAGTGGGCAAGGTGGGGGGAAGGGTTTCTCCAACACGACACACCATGCTCGCTCGCAAGACAAAACTCACCCGCTCGAGTGGCAGAAGAGACGGTGCACGTTGAGCTGGCAATCCCGTCGATGGCTTCTTGACCAGCTTGGCCGATCGGATTTCCGTCCAAACTGTGCAAAAAACAATCAAAAAATAAAAAGAATGAATGATGTGAGCAATATGAAGTAGTTGAAATCAGAATCGAGGGAAAAGCTGGCAATCTCACTTGAGGCTGGTCAAAGTAGTGTTTGTCCGCAACAGCTCAACAAAGGCACGAGTGCCGTCCTCGCGAATCTGATTCTCACTCAAACTATCAAAGTTTCCGCCCAAGATGAAGCAAGACACACTTAGTGCTAGTGACACAAGGAAACAACAACCGAAAAAAAGACTCCAGCATTGGCAGCAGGCGTTACCTGAGAACGGAAAGCGTTGTGTTGGGTACGAGCGCGTTGGCGATCGCGCGAGCGCCAGTATCGGAAATGGCATTTCTCTCCAAGCTGAAGAAGGAGGAGATTGATGAATCAAATGTTAGAACGTTGTACTGGAAAGCAATCGCAGAGCACAAACGAAACAGCAATGCGCGCGCGCGTGCTTACAAGAGCGCGGTCAGAGTGGTGTTTGTTTGAAGCGCGGCAGCAATCTGCTGTGCCGCTGCATCATCAATCTGACAGTCATTGAGCCTGTAGATACACGTCCGCATGACATGACGGTGGGTGAGACTGCCAAAACAAAAAAAGAAGGAAGTGCACACAACAGAATCATAACGTTACGCGAGGTCTCCACTGGCGGCCTGAACCCTTGTCGACCAGGACCGCTGGTCGGCGGTGGCAGAGGCGTCCATCGTGGTGAATCTTGGACCGAGCTACTACTTGCGCGAAAGCTTGATCCTGTAGCAGCACATCCAGCCAAACAAAGGTGAGCGCGCGCCGCAAGAGAATCACAAAAAAAAAAAAAAAAAAAAGGCCAAAACGCAATGGAAAGTGGAAGGTGGTGGGTGGGGCGCGTTCTCCCGATGCGTGGATGCAGCAATGTGCCGAGTTGTACGTTGCATTTGAGTCTCGCTGTCTCTCGACTGCTGGACAGCACACCAGCCTTTACAACAACAACAACAACAAAAAAAAAAACAATCAAAAAAAAAAAAAAAAAGATCAAAAAAATGGGGAAAAAAAGAGGCTGAACGGTACAAGCGTCGGTGGACCCGAGAGCGAAGACCAGCGACGATGGCGCCAAGGTCGATGGGCGTGAAATGACGTTCAATGCCGGACACGATCGACGACCGGACGCGGAGACGCCCAAGAAGAGGAGGAAAAGAACCTTTCGAAAAAAAAAAAAAAAAAAAAAAAAGGCGCCCTTTTTCGGGTACTGGCCAGGCCGAGCGACTGCAGCCATGGCATTGCAATGGGCAGATGGAAGCGGCGCCCTAGACACTCTGGTTCGGTGCTGGATGTCTCGCTCATGCTGATGAGGTCGCACACAAAGCCGACTCGGGAATCCAACAAGAAACAAGAAACAACGCGAACACACACAAAAAAAAAAAAAAAAAAAAAAAGTTCAATGGAAACTGCATTGTGCAATTCAACTTCCATACAGAATCAGAAAAAAGAAAAAAAAAAAAGTGGACTTTGCTCTTAGTTTAGAAGGAGAGTTTGGACAAAGTGCTTTCTCGGTATGAGTTCATCAAGCGCTCTCGAGCCATCACAGCTTTTTTTGTTTGTCATTGTGTGTTCATGTTGCGAAGCGCAGTCACAATAACCGGTAAAGAGCCGAACTTCATTTGTCGTTGAGCGTTGGATTGCGACATCGTTCGGCAGAACAAAGCAGCTCCATCCCTCCGTTTTCAAACCAAGTGTATTGGAGGCTTCGCTTGCATGTGTCGATGGTCACAACGGAGGAGGTGAGGGAAGGGGGCTTGCAGCGAGGTCTGCGTCGGGTCAAAGGGGAAGGTTTTCGGCCATGTGGCTGTATTGGAGCTCTGGCCGCTCCGTCACCGCGCCGCAAGTCAACCCCAACGTCACCAGCTAGCCAAGGAACCAGTCTTGCCGTTGGAGGAGCGTTGTTGGCTCGCTTCAGGCAGCCCGTCGCTGGCGAGCATTGATGGTTGTTGTTGTTGCTGCAAACCGGAAAAAAAAAAAAAAAAAAAAAAAAAAAAAAAAAAAAGTCGAGATCGCCTTCTTGCTTGCTTGGGACTCTGTCGCTTCCCCAGCCAGGCAGGTCGAAGTCGGTGGGAAACCCCTCAAAACCAACCCCAAACCAACGAGACGAGGAGATGAAGAGCGTGTGTGGCTCAGTCGGGATGGGTGCAGGGCGCAGGGAGGCGCAGCAGGAAGGCGCTCTCTTTTTGTTCATGTCATCGCGTGTCTCTTCAAGCTCTACCCCCACTCACTGCCGACCTGCCCCGTTCCGTTTGACTTGCACAGACCCCCTCCCATACAAAGCCAGATACATCGTCATGGCTGATCAAGCAAGCACATCGGCCGCATCGTCGTCCGCCGCACCAGCGCCCGCCAAAGGGTAAACACGCTCGCAATCCACGCGTTTTGTGATGCATCGCGCACCTCCTCCCACCTACAGCGAATCCCCGTGAAGCTGCGAATGGAATGGGGTCTTGGAAGATGGCTCCTCATCTGTTGCGATTCCCCGCACTGGCTGAGGAACGTCTGTCTGGAACGCGAACTTTTCGCACTTTCACCTCTGCGCCATCACCGGCGAACGCGCTTGCCCGCGGCTTCGTTCTATGGTGCTCTCGTGCAGAATTGCATTGAGAGTTTGGCGAGAATTAGGACGTGGGGCGAGCAGAGCAAAAGAGTTCTCGCTGATGCAATCACTCTGAAATCGACTTCCACCAACAACCAATCCCTGTCCTTCAGTCTTGTTTTTTTCCTCTCTCTCTTCAACCAACACTTCTTTCACGCTTACTTCATCATGTGGTGTCTGCTGAAACCTTCCAAACCCGCTCCAATTGCTGCTGCTGCCGACGATGTGGTTGACGATTTCGTGCTCCTTCATGGTCGCAGGTCACACCTCCGCACGCAGACCCTCGAGGGCCTCGACGTCGCCACACTGTCACCTCTTTCGCCCGACGTTCTGAGTCGACAGGCCACCGTCAACATTGGCACCATCGGCCATGTCGCGCACGGCAAGTCTACCGTTGTCAAGGCCATTTCTGGCGTTCAGGTGAGCATCCTCAACAGCACAAGCGTGTATTTGATCTCTCGGTGGGCAGTAGGAGGAGTGCTTTTCCTCTGTCTTTCCTTTCGAGAGTATTTTTTTTCTCATTTGCTTCCACTTCCACACTTTCTTCCATCCTTTTCAGACCGTCCGTTTCAAGAACGAACTCGAGCGCAACATTACCATCAAGCTCGGTTACGCTAACGCCAAAATTTACAAGTGCGACAACCCTGCGTGCCCTCGCCCTGGCAACTACCGATCGGCCTCTTCGAACAAGGAGGACGATCTGCCATGTGAGCGTCTTGGCTGCAGCGGCCGCTTCCGTATTTTGCGACATGTGTCGTTCGTTGATTGGTACGTCTCTTTTTGTTGAGCTGCTTTTGACCAAGGTTTTGCTGTCCGGTGTTTCTTGTTTCTTTTTTTTTTTCTGGGGCGCTCACTTTTTTTTTTTTTCCTTAACTTCCCTCTCCTTGCAGCCCCGGTCACGATATTCTCATGGCGACCATGCTTAACGGTGCTGCAGTCATGGACGCTGCTCTCTTGCTTATTGCCGGCAATGAAAGCTGCCCGCAGCCCCAGACCAGTGAGCATCTTGCTGGTACGTTTTCCGCGCATGTAGCGCAATGCCCGAAGTTTCAACCATTTTGTGTCATCTCTAACGTCATGCTTGTTTTCTTTTTTTTTTTTTTCCTCTCCTCCTCAACCTGCAGCCATCGAAATCATGAAGCTCAAGCACATCATTATCCTCCAAAACAAGATTGATCTCGTCCGAGAAGCTCAGGCCCTCGAACAACACCAAGAGATTCTCAAGTTTGTGGACGGCACTGTCGCTCAGGGCGCCCCCATCATTCCCATCTCAGCGCAGCTCAAATACAACATTGACTGCGTTTGCGAATACATTGCCAACAAAATCCCAATCCCCGTGCGCGACTTCACGGCTGCACCCCGTCTCATTGTCATCCGCTCCTTTGACGTCAACAAGCCCGGTGCCGAGGTCGACGACCTCAAGGGTGGCGTCGCTGGTGGCTCCATCCTCGTTGGTGTCCTCAAGGCTGGTCAGGAGATTGAGGTCCGCCCTGGTATCGTCGCCAAGAACGACGAGGGCCGGCTCAAGTGCACCCCCATCTTCTCGCGCGTCGTGTCACTCTTTGCCGAGCAAAACGAGCTCCAATACGCCGTCCCCGGTGGCCTCATTGGTGTCGGCACCAAGATTGATCCCACGCTCTGCCGTGCCGATCGTCTTGTCGGTCAGGTGCTCGGCAGCGTTGGCGCGCTTCCCGAAATCTACACTGAGCTCGAAATCAGCTACTTCCTGCTTCGCCGTCTCCTCGGTGTCCGAACGGAAGGCGACAAGAAGCAGGCCAAGGTCCAGAAGCTCACCAAGGGCGAGGTGTTGATGGTGAACATTGGCTCCCTGTCCACTGGTGGCCGCGTTGTCGCTGTTAAGGCCGATCTTGCCAAGATTGCCCTCACCCAGCCCGTGTGCACCGAGTCTGGCGAGAAGATTGCATTGTCACGTCGTGTCGAGAAGCATTGGCGGTGAGTTTGAGAGACAAGATGATTTTTGTGTTTGTTTAGAGGGTTTTTGCTTCAGCTACTGACTTTGATCTCTGATTGTCACGCCTGTAGACTCATTGGCTGGGGCTCCATCCGACGAGGAATCACCATCAATGCTGACGGCACCAGCTCGAATTAATTTGCACTCATGTATTTTGCGCTTTTGTCCCTTGTTAGGGTCTTTTTTTTTCCCATGCTCCTGTTAGCATGAGAACAGACCTCTATGTGTGCTTCTCTTCCACTCCACCCTTTTTTTTTCTTCCTCGCTGTATTTGCTTGTCCCCCGCTGTTTTGCAGTATTTGTTGAACAATGAAACACTCAAACAAAACAAAAAACCATCTTTGACAAGATAGACAAGAAAGTAAAATGGAAGCTTGCGCACTTGTTTACTTTCACTTTTTAACTTTCAATACAGTACCCACCCACCCACCGATCAAACCTGATCTCCAGTCTTTTGTCTCTTTGGTTTTCCTCCATTCCTCCTTATTTTTGTTGATTTACAAAACCCACCCACAACCGAGCCAACAATGCCGGCTGCGTTGTTTCCGAACGGCGGCGGGTCGCGTGCCGCTTCTGGTGAGTCCTCATCTGCTGCGTCCGCACAGCCGTCGTCGCAGCAGCAGCCCGCCGTGATTACGCGGGGCCTGGTGCGCAACTACTCCAGCTTCCGCTCGCAGTTGCCGGTGCTCAAGGGCTTTGACATGACGGCCGAGCGCGGGCAGATTTACGCGCTGCTTGGCCCGTCGGGGAGTGGCAAATCGACCCTCGTCAAGCTGCTCATGGGCCGCCTGTCCATCCACGGCGGGTCGTGCACCGTCCTCGGAGCCACGCCAGGGACACAGGGACACCCCGTGCCAGGCTCGGCCATCGGGTACATGCCGCAAGACCTCGCGCTGTACGGCGAGTTCACTACCATGGAGACGCTCCGTTACTTTGCCATGCTCAACGGCATGAACGACAAGCAGCTCAACGAGCGCGCCGACTTCCTCCTGCGATTCTTGGACATGGTGCATCTCAAGCACAGGCTCGTCAACGCCATGTCGGGCGGGCAGCAGCGACGCGTCTCGCTCGCCGCGGCGCTGCTCCACCAGCCCAAGCTGCTGCTCCTCGATGAACCGACAGTCGGAGTCTCGTCCGTGCTTCGCGCAAGGTAAACCAAGAAAGAGCATGCAAAAAAAGGCAATCCTGAACGCATTGTCCCCAAGTCTGTTGGTTTGGCTTTGCCTTGTTTTTGTCGGCTGCTTTTGTGTGAAAGACCCGCCTTTTGTCCCTTTTCCAAATTTGTGTGCGTGTCTGACTTCTTTGATTCATGGATTGCTTGTCTGAGACAGAATTTGGTCGCATCTGCTCGAGCTGGTCAAGACCACAGACACGACAGTGATCATTACGACGCACTACATTGACGAGGCTCGTCAGGCGGATCGCGTTGGCATGATGGGCGACGGCCGACTGCTCGTTGAAGACACGCCAGCCAACCTGCTGCGCCAGTACCAGCGCGACTCGCTCGAAGACGTCTTTCTGCGCGTGTGCCAGGAGGCAGAGTCGTCTGAGGAAATCGCCGACCATGTTGCCTCGCTGCATGAAGAGCAAGAAGAGAGCATCGCCCAGCACGGCGGCGATCCTGAACGTGCGCACCGCATCAACTCGAACGACGACGATGCCAAGACTCCGCTGCTCGGAGCTTCAGGTGCACGATCTGACTCGAAGAAGGTGCGTAGTCTTGTGCCCACGGAAGCACAGGCGCGCAAAGACGGTATCTGCTCGCGCATTGGCCAAGGCGTCAAAGAGTACTTTTATTCGTTCGTCCGAGACGCTCGCTGGGCCAAGCCACGCAACGTCAAGGCCATGCTCTGGAAGAACTTTACACGTCTCCGTCGAAACTACCTCCTCCTGTTGTTCCAATTCCTGCTGCCTGCCGTGCAAATCATCCTGTTTTGCACGGCGATCGGACCGAATCCCGAGGGTTTGCACATGGCCATTGTCAACCACGATGCGCCAGGCGGCTTTGGCGACCTCTATCTTTCCTATCTCGATTCATCAACCATCACACAGGTGCCGGTGGCGTCACACGATCTGGGCGTGGCAGGCGTGCGGGCCGGCGACTACTGGGGCGTGATTGACATTGGGAGCAACTTTACAGACGACTTGATCTTGCGCTTTGTCAATCAAACGACCGTCACGCCTGACATTATCATTGGCTCGTCGATCAACGTGACCATGGACATGACCAACCAACAAGTGGCAATCATTCTTGAGCAGAAGATCACCGAGGCGTTCCAGGTTTGTTTTTAGCGAGACCTTGCTTGTGCAACCTGCTGCTGATGATGATGATGGTGGTTGTGAGAAAGAGTCAGAAAGAGTCAAGGCGAGTGCTCACTGGTTTTTTTGGTTTCTGGTATTGCGCGGTCGTCATTGTCGGGTTTGTAGACTCTTGTTCACACGCTCCTGACGCTGAGTGGCCTCGATCCCGAGCTGGGAGACTTGCCAGTCCGCATTATGCCACCCATCTACGGCGAGGTGAATCCGAGGTTTACCGACTTTATTCTCCCAGCCATGATTATCAACATTGCGTTTGCCATGTCAATCGGCCTGACGGCCATGTCGTTCGTGCTGGAGAAGAAAGAAGGCCTGTTGGATCGAACCTGGGCTGCTGGTGAGACGCCCAACGCAAACAAGCCATTGTAAAGTTGATGAGCTTTGTGGGTTTCTTTGGCTTACAAAAGTGATGCTTATTCGTGGATCTAGGCGTCTCTCCCGGAGAAGTTCTTATCGGACACACTCTCATTCAGTTCTGCGTCCTTGTTGTGCAACTCGGCCTGTTGCTGCTGTTCTCGCTGGTGGTGTTCAGTGTAAGGTCCTGGCTGCCTTATGTCTTGTGGGAACGAAGAGGGCTTTGTTGTACTCACCTGATATCTACTTTCCCCCCATCTGTTTGACATGCCTTCAGGCTCCAATGGAAGGATCGTTCATCCTTGTCCTGATTCTGTCCCTTTTGCTCGGGTTGGCAGGTACGTATCGGCTCTTCTACCCCCCCCCTCCTCCGTCTGCCTCTTGATTGACTTTCTTGTCTCTGGTGCAATCGTTGACCTTGGTTATTGCCATTGGGTTTGCAATCCTTCCATCCCTTTAGGTATGGCGTTTGGCCTGCTCATTTCGTCCGTCAGCAAAGACGAAGCCACTGCTGTGCAGTTGGCGTTGAGTTCGTTCTATCCCGTGCTGCTTCTTTCAGGTACGTCTTGATCCAATGCTCTTGAGAAACGAGCGCGCTATCGATGTGTCTGACTGACAACTTGCTTTGGCTCGTCGCTTTGGCAATCACAGGCGTACTCTGGCCAGTCGAGGCCATCCCAACAGGCTTGAACTACATTTCCTTCATTTTGCCGACGCGATGGGCGTCGGATGCCATGCGTTCGCTGATGAGCCGAGGTTGGTCATTGGATCATGTGGACGTCTGGGCGGGCTTTGTTGCAACGATCGTTTGTATTGTCGTCCTGATGATCCTCGCGCTCCGAGGAATCAGCAGTCGCGACTAAACCACGCTGCTTCTGTGTCGCTTTTTGACTGTGCTATTGTTGCGTTGTCTTTCATGTTGCTATTGAGGCGTCCCTAATTCCGAACACGATTTTTTGAGTTGGCCACCATTACGCCCCTGGGAGATGATCCGAACACACACCCGGCTGGACCCTCGAAGCAGCGTGTGTATGCAGTCTAACGTGGGGCTACAAATACGCTGTTTGACTAATCCTCAAGCCGACGAGGTTCTGTGCTCGGTGTTCCAGGCACTTGATTCTGTCTAAAACGCCAAAAAAAAAAAAAAAAAAAAAAAAAAAAAAAAAAAAAAAAAAAAAGAAGAAGAAGAAGAAGGGGGAGGTGGATTTGTTTGAAGCTTGTTTGACCAGTCAAACAGTGAAACAGTGCAAGTCGGCTAGAAGCGAACAGCAGGGAGGGGAGGGCCGGGCCTCGCTCATTGTCGCAACGTGGAATCATTTTGTGAACCGTTCCCGTTCCCGTTCCCTGGCCCTGACTTCCTCGAGCTAGTCCATCTATGCATCTACATACATGTATTTATCTCAGGAAAACTCCTCATGGAGCCCGAGTACACCGACAAAACTTCGCTAGCATGACCCTACAGCACAAACTCGCGCACACGCTTCACAATGTCGGTGATAGGGCTGTCGTCTTTCGTTTGACGATGCACCACGATGCCAGGATTCGGGCCGCCATACCGCCAAGTGAGAGAAGGCTCGAGAAGCACAACCACTTTGACTGGACTTCCAATGCGCATGACAAACTCCCCTTCCTCAACGTCGGAAATGAACATGTCATTCAGCACTTTCATGTGTTCGGGCGACGTGAACTCTGGATCCTTGTGAGTTGGCTTGTTTTTGAACAGGGCTTTGAGGAGCTGGAACGCCCAGTGCGCCACAACAACTGGTAAATCTGATAAGATCTCCTCGTAACGAGCACTGACAGCCCCTGGAATAGTGTAGCTGTCCGAATCTTGCTGCACGGACGAGTCGAACGCCACGTCTAGGCGTGCCACGTCGAGCTGCTCGTCAAGCACGGCTAGAGCCGTACGATGCTCAGAAATGAGCGGTAACTTGGCAGCGAGTGCATCATGCGCTAAAACGATCTTTTCGACGTCTTCTGCAGATTCTGAGTGAGTGAGTGAGTGAGCGAGTGAGTGAGTGAGCGAGTGAGTGAGCGAGTGAGTGAGTGAGTGGGTGATGAGTTGACGGCTTTCAGCAAAAGAAAGCCCATGACAGCATCACTTACTGTTTGACTTGGCCAACAACGCCGAAAGCGCTTCATAAAGGCTTGTGAACGAGTTCACAACGCCAAGGCTAGGCATGCTGTCCAAATTCGGAGCGAAATCACGGATCAGCAAATTGTGAACCGCCGCTTGCAAGAGCAGACGACGATGCTTGGTGAACGTCGTTTGGTTGCTGATTGGGGCTGCGAGCAATCGTTCGACTTGTTGGATCTGGCTCGCCTCTTCGGGTAATAACTCTGGAAAACAAAAATTGGCAGGGAGCACAGTGAATGGTGTTTTGAAGGCACAACATCTTCATTTCCTTCGGTAGTTACGGAAGCTGAGCTTTTGTTGCAGCATCGAAAGCAACTTCAACATTTGGTTGCGTTTGTGCTTGTTCACATAGCCGTATGACGTGGTGAGCTCTAATTTAAAAAATGTATATTGGAAGGTGAGTTTTTATGGTGGATGGATAAAAAAAAAAAGAGGGAGAGAAAGAGAGAGAAAGAGAGCAGAGAAACTCTCGCGAAACCCGACTTCCCGCGTCATGCTCAGCTTCGTTCAAGCCGCGCTCATTACCATTTGCAAGTTGCACCAACTGGCTTCTCTCCGTTTGAGGCACGTCCATGACTGCCTTGGCTTTGTCAGTGTTTGCCATCGAAGTCGAATGGGGTTTTTTATTTCAAAAAACCAACAAAAGCTGAGAAAAAAAAAAAAGACTGACGACAACCGTTTTCAGAATGGCGAAGACACAAAACCCACAAAGTGATAGTCGAAAGTTGAATCACAGTTCATCTCCGAAGTGTGTGCTGTTGCAACGATTCTGTTCTTTTTTTTTTTTCCCTTTAGATGTTTGTTCTCAGCTGTTGTTCTTTGTTGGCGTTGACAGACACGCCTCCCAAGCTGATCTTTCGCGCATCCAAGCGGGATCACAGAGTACTACTCCCCACTTTGACCAAGATGCAGAGCCAGTACGACGCCGGGCAACTTCCCGCGGTGTCCTCGATTGATGCCAATCAACCAAAATCCAGTCTTCGCACGAGCTGCGCTTCGAGACGCTGGTGTCCGCGACGTGTCTACTCTATGTCTGATCGACTTGACTCGACTTGCACAACATTGGTGGTGCGAACGCAGCCCAAGTGTCACTTTGCAGGCTCATTGCGATTTTCTTGTGAATCTTCCCGCCTTTTTCTCGAACCCGGTCGAAGCTTCCTTCGAGATCGCAAAAAACCGCGCTTTGGACGAGTATCGCGAGGGTGATGCTCTGACTTGGTTTTCATGAAAAACCAATCTGCTCAGCTTTGTTGGGCGTAATGCATGTCCAGCAGACGACCGGCGCCCTGCCGACCCGGCACATACGATCGACCCCTCTGACTCGCCATAGTATCACTAAACCATGTAGTATGTATTAGTATCGAAACAAGGGGCGGATGTCGAAGCGTCACCGAAATAGGTTTTGTTCGGAATTCGAAGCACCCTCCTTATTGTTGCCTTTGAAGTAAATCTGTCCGGTTGTTGAGGTTGATGTTTCCATTCTCGCGCCGTCTCCTCTGTGCAGTGCTTTCCACTGCCGCAATTTCACACTATCAGCATCACTCCACTCCTCTTCTGTTATTCGTACTTTTTGCTAACTATTCGTATCGACTGAGACCAGTTTCCACGAGGAACAAAAACACACCAAGCAGTCAACTTCCACCCACTCATCCCGCCATGGAAGCCATGGATGCATCACACCAGCCCAACACAACAACGACTGCTGTGTTTGCAGCACCGCTGCCTGTCCAGCAGCCGACGCCGCGACGAACTGGCCGCCCAACTACTGCGAGTACGTTGGCGGCGGCAGCGTCGTCCTCGGCCTCGGCTCCAGCCAGCCCTGCTTCCAGCGGCGCTCCAGCTGGCAATCTAGCTGGGATTGTCACGTCGCTTGTGACAGCTCCAAGGCCACCACGGGCAGTGCGCTCGCGTGTCGGCACCTCGTACGGCCACGCGCCAGCGATCCCGCCGCCCAATTGCACGTATGGCGCAACAACGGCCTCCGCCGGTGCTTCGACCTCAAGTAGCTCTATGCTCGGCGGTGTTCTTGGATCCGGCGCGATTGGCTCCACAAGCTCCGGAGGCGCTGGATCGAGCTCCAACCCGACTCCGCACATCTCAGTCCGGACGTTTCTCAATTCCTACAGTGCTCTGATTGGTGGTGCGGTGGAGTCAAGAGTTACGCTCAAGTCCCAGGTTTCAGCTGAGCGATTGGCCGAAATAGCCTCGGCTTGCAGGTTTGAGATTTTGTGTTGCGGATTGGATCGAGTGCTTTTGACGCTATTCTTTTCAGAGTTGACTCACCCGAAGTGTGTGTGCTGGTTTGTTTGTTTGCTTGTTGCTGGGTTGTGGTAGCATGAGCCTTCTTAAGGTATGTGGTGTGCAAATGGACGCGTCTTCTGTGCTCTGGGTTGCTCACCTTGCCGGTCACTTGTGCTCTAGAATCCCGAGTTGCCTGCAGTCCGAGACATGTTTGACGCGACCGAAATCCCAAGCGATATGCAGTGCACGACACTAAGGTGCGAAACCGCGTGCCTGACAGTCTGACAGTGCATGGATTGCTCATCTCTTGCCGTGATTCAACAGAGAGTCCCTAGCCGTGCCGCGACTTTCAAAAGAGAACAACTACTATATGCCTCCAAAGGTGAGTGGGGGGGGGGGAAAGTATACATTGGATAGCTCCCCGAAACTGACGCGTCGTGATTTTGCATGATGCAGCGCGAAGAGACAGATACACAACCAGAACTCATCACACGACCAGAAGCAGTCCTGTCCATTTCAATGTACCACGGAGGGCGGGCAGCTCGCATGTCGGAGTTTGTGGTGTTAGGCAGCCAGCGCCTAACCGCACTCAGAGACAAGCTGTATTGCCCTTCTGACGTTGTGGGCGGAGGCCAAACTCGACCTTCGTCGTACTTTTTCATCGAGGGGGTCTTTTTCAATGACATGCGGGATCCAGCCGCCGTTGATTATTCAAGATCGGTGCTGGACTGGATTAACGAACCGGGCAAGATGCGCGCGACACATACGGGACTAGGAAACTTTGCGGCCGCCTCAATGCACGATGTCCGATTTGAAGATTTGACCATCCGACTTGGCCAGCCCTACCTCTACTGCCACCAGGGAGACTGCGAGCACGTCATCACGGTGCGCGATATGCGCATCATCCATCTTCCCACAGACGGGTCTGACGCTCGGCTCTTTCCCAAGCAAACCTTCCAATCGCGCGTCAAAACGCGCAAGTGCCTGGTGTGCGACATTCTTCCCGCCAAACTCGCCACCTACAACGACCGGCTCGCCCTCGAGACGCCCTGTTACTTTTGCGACGTGTGCTACGACCTTCTCCACAAGGATGAGAGTGGTCGAGTTATGTACGAGCACACCGTGAGCGAGTATTTCCACGAGCTGGCGTGATGTGAGCCGGGTTTTTTTTGTGATTTGTTAGCAAAGTATTCTTATTGAGCATCCATTGCGGAATTTTTTGAGTCGATCTGGTTGTTGTTCGTCAATGAGCTGATCTGGCTGTTCCTTTTCAATGTCAATGCGACTAGCTCCCCCCCCCCTTCGACGAGTTGATCTGCCTGTTTTCTTTCTTCAATTATCAACGCATCGATTCAAGTGCATGTCCCCCGTTTCGTTGACACATTTTGATCTTTTTCCTTTTTCAACCAAAGCTCAGCCAAAATCCAAACTCAGTCTTTTTTTTTTTTCTGCTTTTCCTTCTCTCCGTTCTGTTCTCTCCCAATGTTTGTACGTTACGATCGTTCGTTTTTTTTTTCTTTTCTTTTCTTGCTGCGCTTCTGAATCCATTCCCATCAATATCCCGTCGTTCCTTCTTCTACTTTCCCCCCTCCTCTTTTGCTCTTGAACTGTAAACCCTTCTCTCAAAACTGTAAACCCTTTTTCTTTCTTTCAGGTTTCAAACTTTTCGCGCTTTTTTTTTTTTTTTTTTTTTTTTTTTTTTTTTTTTTTTTTTTTGCGATCTGTACTTTCTTTTGTTCCCTGTTTGTTCTCTTTTGCATTGGAAGCTCGCCTTTTCTTTCGACTCACTTTTCGGTCTCGTGTTCGTTTTCCTTGTTTCCTTTAACACCAACGGCTTTTCGTCTCGTCACACAGCATCTCCAAGGGCAAGGGCAGCAAGGAGGGCAGCAGCAGGGCGGGCAGCAAACCCAAGCTGCACAGTCAGGCGCCGGCGTCGTCGGCCCGATCGTCCCGCCCCAGCAGCAACAGGGGCAGCAGCAGCAGCAGCAGCAGGCTGGATCAGGCGCTGTCTCGGCTGCAGGTGCTGCTGCTGGCTCCAACGCAGTGGGCAATCCGCTGCTCATGGGCATGGCAGGTAAACGGGCTTTTTCTTGAGTATTGTCCTACTCTCCACTCTGCACCAGGCCTCCACACCCGAGTTGTGTGGGGGGGAGAGGATGTATCGACCTTGATGCAATGCACACTGGATGTGTGGCGCTGTTGAACATTTGGTCGAGAACAGCGGCTACACAACGCCACTTCAATGCTCAACAGCTCACTGACTCACTCTTTTGCGTGTCCAGGTCCCGCGTATGGTCTACCAACGACGGCTCCCGCTGGTGGCTTTGGCGAGAAGGATGCCATGAACATGCTCGTGCTCGAATTGATAAACCCAGACCAAGTGAGTGTGTTTTTTGGAGGTTGAAAGTTGTCCCAGTCTGCTAGCTTGCCTTCCCTCCCTCTCTCTCACTTGCCGTCCATCCTCTGTCACTGTGCATTGGTTGCGTCCAGCGTGAAAATGCGCTTTTGGAACTTAGCAAAAAACGTGAAATGTTCCCTGACCTGGCTCCTGTTTTGTGGCATTCGTTCGGTACGCACCAAATAATCATCCATGTTGGCATCCACCCACCTCATCCTTTCCGTGTGTGGTTTTTGCTCATCGTTCTTTTTCTTCCTCTTCTTCTTCTGCTTCTTCTTGATGCTTGCTGACGACACCAACAAAAACCAGGAACTATGGCAATCCTTATTCAAGAAATTGTGTCCGTCTACCCGCTGTTAATGCCCCCAGCTCTAACTGCGAGTACATCCAACCGAGTTTGCAACGCCCTTGCATTGCTGCAGTGCGTTGCGTCCCATGCCGAAACGCGCGCCCTGTTCTTGACGGCGCATATCCCATTTTTCCTCTATCCTTTTCTCAATACGGTGTCCAAGGGGCGAGCGTTTGATTATTTGCGCTTGACGTCGCTTGGCGTTATCGGTGCCTTGGTGAAAACGGACGACTCGGATGTGATTCAGTTCTTGCTCACGACCGAAATCATCCCGCTGTGCTTGCGAATTATGGAGCAAGGCACCGAATTGTCCAAGACAGTGGCCACCTTCATAGTACAGAAGATTCTCCTCGACGACATTGGGTTGCAGTACATCTGCCAGACGCCGGATCGATTCTTCCACGTTGCTACTATTCTTGGCAAGATGGTTCATGGGCTCGTTAAGGAACCGTCCGGTCGACTGATCAAGCACGTCGTCCGGTGCTATCTACGCCTCAGCGAGAATCCCCGAGCTCGCGAAGCCCTTCGGCAATGCCTACCAGAACCGCTGCGCGATAACACGTTTGCCAATGTTCTCAAGGCCGACCCCACAACCACTCGATGGTTGCATCAGCTAATCATGACTCTTGCTGATGGCATGCCCCAACAATAGTGCTGCTGTTCCTGGCTGCTGTGTTGGAGTCGAGATGTTTGTGTTGTTTCCGGTGGGTGTTTGGTTGCTGATGGGATTTTGTGTGGCGTGTCTGCTTCGGAGGATGGAGCCCCCTTTTTTGAACGGAAATGGCAGAGAACTGGTTTTCTCTGGTTTTGTTCTGGTTCAGCTCCTGCTTTCGATTGTGCGCACTGGACACACTGTTGCTCTGCTTTTTCGTCATCAACCATTGTTCCCTTGGATCCTTGTTTTTCTCGTTACGGCCTTCACTGTTAGACCTGGTGCATTTTTGACCCCGCACCCTTTTAAGCCCGACCAGTACCCTTTGTTATCCTAACTTCAAATACACTGCGATATCATTTTTTTAAAATTCTATTTTCTTTGATTCGTCATTGGAACACTGAAGACCAAGGGGAAAACGAATGTGAATGGAAACCAACTCATCGCCTGATTTGCCAGCCGCACTACGGAATGCATACTGCTTCGGAGCCCTTCCGTTGCTTCGTATCATGTCGTAAATATGTTTTGGTTCATGCCAACTTTGGGAGTGGGAGGATATGAGTGCGGTATTGGTGAGAATCGGTTGTCAAAAGTTGCATGGCAACAAAGGAGCTGCTACCCCTACCCAGGTCTTGTAAATCTTGAAACTGTTGTAATAGTGTGTGTCCTGTGCCATTGCGATTCTGTTTTTGTTGCGAGTTGTTGATGAAATTGGTTATTTCGCAAAAACGAACAAAAATCGCGGCAAATCGTAAAATTAAAATCCAGCAACTACAAAAACTGAAAACCCTCAGCTTCGACCGCATTACACAGTGGAAATTTGTTTCCGGATTTCGGACCAAAATTCGGTCAAAATTCGGAAAAACCGAATTTATCATGTCAGGACCCGAGTTTGCGTCCGTCCAGCCGGCGAGGTTAGCCGGTGGTAGTTAATGAGGATTTAGCATATTCTGGTGTATTTGGATGCTTTTGGATAGTTGTCATTGCGCATTTTGTATCAATCAATCGACGTTACCTGGCCAATAGCTCTAAGCCCCAACCCGTGGGAATCGGAGTCTCACATAAGTGTCAGGACCCGAGTTTGCGTCCGTCCAGCCGGCGAGGTTAGCCGGTGGTAGTTAATGAGGATTTAGCATATTCTGGTGTATTTGGATGCTTTTGGATAGTTGTCATTGCGCATTTTGTATCAATCAATCGACGTTACCTGGCCAATAGCTCTAAGCCCCAACCCGTGGGAATCGGAGTCTCACATATCATGTCAGGACCCAAGTTTGCGTCCGTCCAGCCGGCGTGGTAGTTAATGAGGATTTTTGCATATTCTGGTGTATTGGGATGCTTTTGGATAGTTGTCATTGCGCATTTTGTATCAATCAATCGACGTTACCTGGCCAATAGCTCTAAGCCCCAACCCGTGGGAATCGGAGTCTCACATATCATTTTGTTGGTTCAAAATTCGGTGCCTCAGCAGAGCGAGAAGATGGCGATAGCTCGACGTCAGAATTTGCTTTCTTGGTCTCCTTTATCGCTTTTCTTTTTTCTTTTCATCTTCACTTTGTTTTCTTCAAAACAACGTTGCCCTTTGCCCCATGTCCAGCGTGTTGCCACTGTTGTTGCATCGTCAAACCAAAACCAAACACACACAAAAAAAAAACTTCTTTCGCCTTTTGCTCAGGATGACGTCAGTTTCTTAATTTTCGATTAGGTTTTTTCGATTCGGTTCCTAATTTTCGATTAGGAAAAGCCTTATTCCTATTTTTTTTTTTTTTTTACAGTGCTCGAGTGCAACTTCAACGTCCTGTATCATGTCGTCTGCGTCGTCTTGCTGCCCAGCTGATGAAGCTATCCTGTGCGGCCCTTGCTCTTCTTCAAAGCACGCACGCGTGCCAGCAAGGAGGCGGCTGCGTGATGTTCTACCAGCTGATGCTCCACGGCGGACGTGTGACGGTCCGACCTGGACACCCCGCCCCGAAGACCCCTTGCCCATTTGCCATGACATTGATGTGAAATGGGATTCACTGCCTCCACTCGAAGAGTGGGTTCAGTAGATGGTGATGTTGTCGGACATGGCTGTTCGAATGTCGTCATCAAAAAACCGAAAAAAACGAAATCTTTTTAAAAAAATGGTGCACACTTTGACCTGTGTTCGTTACCTGTGCAGTGCATGTACAACTGCAGTGACAACATAATCCAATACAGTTTATTGTTATGAACAAGATTGACGTACGATACACGGGGGTAACAATGCAAATAGTCGAGGGAAGGGAGTTGTAAAGCACTCAAAAACAAATGCGTCACAAACTTCAGTCAAGTTATGTTAAGTTCACTCACCAGTCAAGCCTGGCGGCTACCAGCTCTCCATCAAGAGTACCAAGAACTGGTTGAGAGGGATCAACATAGGCGCAGAAGAGGCGGTAGGTATGGAGAGATCCGATCACAGCTTTGGTGCGTTGTTCCCAACCAAGCTCGTCGATATTCACGAGATGCTCGGAGGTCGCGCCTTGAGCACCAGTGGTAATCATCAGGCACAGCGCAAAGTTGCTGCGTTGGCAAACGGGGCTGACCTGCACACATGGGCGTTGGTCTGTGATGTTGGAGTCAACGTGCGGGCAGCACAGAGACCGCACCAACAGCCTTCGAGTTGGTCGTGGCGGAATTAGGCTCGAAACGTCGTGAACACGTCCAACCGGCTGCCCAGCAAGGGTTCGTTTGTCTCTTGTGTAGACAAGCAGCGGGCACACGGATACGGTGAAGTGCTCGCTGGGTGACTTGTGGACCATAACGTTTGTGACAGCTCCGTCTTGTTCGGGATCCCAACCAAGCTCAGTTGCAAACACCATCACCACATCGTGTGTATACACACGCAAGACGATGCCAAAGGGGCAGCCTTCAGTTAAATCAAGTTCTCTGTTGTTGAAGGCGCGGAACGGTTGTTCAAAGCAGTCTCCCACAGCGATCGCTGTCATTGTAATCAAATCAAAAGGACTGATTGATCAGCACAAACTAAAAAAAACTTTCGCTCATCTCGATTACTGATTGACAAGCACAAGCCCTCCTTCGGGGTTCTTTACTCGAAATGGATAAAATCCGAACAATCAAGAGCATTTTCAAAAAAAAAACCTCTTTTTGTTTCGCGGGACATGGGCAAAGGAGCGCTTTTTGCTCCTTTTTCTTTTTGCTCCGCTCACAATCGCGAAACGTACTGCCGAGCCACTCGAGGATCAACGCTTGTTGTGGGGTCGCACGAGCAGTGCCGACGTTGGTCTCCCGGCACTCAGAAGGCTGAGTGATTCCCAATGCTGTTCGCCTGCATTCAGCGTTTCCGGTTGGGTCGTCACTTTCGGGATTGGCACCAACCCTTGCACAGAACGCACTTTTTCTGCTCTCTCCCGCTCCCTATCCGTTCCGCGATTCAAATTCTGCATTGCCAGGTTGTATTCTTTGAAGTAGTCAATCTTCGGTCCTCTCGAGCCAAAGCCAGGCAAGAAAGTGAACAAACCCAGCTGATACAACGCATAAGCCAGTTCAACAACCACTATCGCGACCATCCTGAACGCTGTGGCGGTCTGGCGCGAGGCCGAAACGCTGTTCAGCCACGCGCAAGGCCCCTGGTTCCCTAGACAGCGTTCGCAATGGCTCTTTGGCCCTATCAAGAACAAACGCTACCACGCCTTGATGAAAGACGAAGCACTCGCTTGTCTCACCATCGTCATGCACACTGCCCGTTGGACTCTCTGGAAGCTGCGCTGCACTGCCAAGTTCGACAACACAGTGTTCACCCCCGCCGACGCGGTCCTCCGCTTTCGGTACCTCATCACACTGGCAGCGCGCCTCGAGCACTCTACCAAACCCCTCCCCAATCCCTGGAGGACTGACGACGACGGCGACGACTTTGGCGCCGCCCCTCTCCATACTGATGAGCAAGAGCATCCCCCCTTCGAAAGCAGGTGGGGAAAGGCTTTTGAAATCCGGTACAATGAACGTCTTTCCACACAACTGTTTGCCCTCGCGTACACCTAGTACCCGCGAATCGTGTGTAAAGCGGTTGACCGTTTCTGAATTGTCGCTCCTTACGACAGAGTGCTGTCCCACCGCCTGCCAGCCGTCTACTTGTTTGTGAACCGTGTTGGCTAGCAACATGTCTTTCGTGGTGTATAGGTGGGGAATGCCTGATCCTTCCATTGTCAGCCCGGCTGATCATCTGTTCGAGTTCCTCCGTGAGCTCTTGAGCACTCTCCCCGCATGCCTTCACTGGTGTGCGTTATGACGACATTCAACTGTCTCATATCCTACGTTCTTTTTTCTTTGTTATTCTTAATAAAGCTTTAGACGGTAAAAAAAAAAAAATCTGTTCGAGCTCCTCCGTGAGCTCTTGAGCACTCTCCCCGCATGCCTTCACTGGTGTGCGTTATGACGACATTCAACTGTCTCATATCCTTCCTACGTTCTTTTTTCTTTGTTATTCTTAATAAAGCTTTAGACGGTAAAAAAAAAATGAAAAAAATGGGTTTCGATCGCAGGCATGAAACTACACTTTCTCATCCTGCTCCAATCGCGCGTATCTCGATTGGACAATATGTCATAATATCTCAGAATACTACAAGTCGAGAAAAGAAGCACGAAACACCGCGAAAAGACACGCAAACGGTGAGGACAAACTCACTCGCTTCGTGTTATCGCCTGTCCTGTCGCTGCATTGGCCCCTTTTGCCCCGCTCGCTGCTTTGAATAATACTGGATTGAGCGGTCGTCCTAACGCCATGTTGTACTCTGATGTGCAGGGCGCGGTTTCTGTCATTTTGAAGCGAGCATTCACGAAAAATGAAGTTGGCCGCAGGCGTTCTTTGAACAGTATGTTTCCATGTTGTTACTGCCACTGGACTGGAACTGCAGCGACATTATTTGAGCATAACTGCACGACAATGAATGCGCTAATCACCACCCTTCACAATTTTTGTCACAGGCCGGTATCAAGCTCGCGGAAGTGACACCCATCGCGACAAACAACGCTACAACCGATCAACGCTCGTTTTTCGGCGCACACCGCACGCTTGACGTCAGCGCTCACTTGTATTACATTTGAATGATTTTTGACACGCATTGGTGTGCAGCGAGGACCGAGTGCCGCAAGACTGCCAGCGGTACAAGTAAGGGAAGTGACCGATTTGAGCTCACTTCTGTTTTTACGTCTCAAGATTGGCGTGGCTGTATCTGCACCCCAGTGCGCAGCCGCCGTTGAAGCGGATCCATGACTGGTTACAAGTATGGCTGACGCTACAGACAGACGTCGCCATCGCAAGCGCTGTCTGCCCGCTGACAGGAGTCTGGAACTGCACCAAGTTGGCCATGCCCAGAGCTGCTTCCAACTCCAAAGCACTTCATCATGATTCCATGGCATTTGAATACGTGTGAATAGTGTATCAATTGTATTTGTAGCTAGAATGAGAGATATCTTGAGTGAAGAATTGGCGCACTGGTGCAGTCAATGAGTGGTGGGTGCGAAGTTGTGTCAACAGCGCTTTCCTGCGTCTGTGCGACCGTCCCCGACCGCCCCCGCATCAGAAACAACGCGTGACAACTGTATCACGTCACTGGACATGCAAAGGCGCGCGTTGACATGGCCTGGGGAGCAGTAGCAAGGAGGAGCGCCGATCGCAATGGACCGCCAGCCAATTCCCCTCCTCATCGTTTCGCGTTCCAGGACAGTCCCCGCCGTCCATTTTCCACAACTATGCACTGCAAACAACATATATTGCATACTACGATTGAAAGAAACAAGCCAAACCCAAGCATTCGCAAGTTGAACAACACCGAATTTTTGAAAAAATTCGGTCTTTTCACTTTCCGTGCTGAGCCTGTCAACACCGGATTTGTGAATGAATACGATACATGACACCCAGGAAGTGCTTTAGAGCTATTGGCTTCGGGCAACGGGAACTTGAGCAGCATCACCAAAAGATTCAGCAAAACAACGACAATGTACTATCTTCGAGCCATAACATCTGACAAGGTCAAAAATTAAAGCCATTGCAACACAAACAACAGACCGTACATGAACGACAAAAACCACAGCATAAAAATAAAACATCCAGCACTTTCGGTGCTGTTTCACTCGTCGTCACTCAGCATGCCGCTCATGTCCTAAGCACACAAACCAAACAGCAAAACACACATGAGACAACGTCTGCAAATGAACTAGCAACACTCTCAGCTCGAAGCATACCTCATGTGGGGCGGCGTTCGCATCAAGAGACATCATCCAGCGAGCCTTGTCATTCTGATCACTGGCCAGGAAGAGCAACGTTTCGAGATTGCGAACATGCTCGGGCGTAAAGAACACGGCGCCAGTATTGGATGCTGACACACTGACCACTGGCGGACCTTGAGAGACAGCTTGCTTCTCAGGCTGCGTGTACCACTGAGTGGAAGACTGGCGCAACGATTCACGAGCATTCTGAATCGGCACCGACACACAGAGCTGGAAGATCAATGCCTTGTGCTTTGAGGCGGCATGATGGCTTTCTTCTGCAGAAATGTTTCGCACAAACGACGTGCCAAAGCTGCAATACAACAAACATACATTTTTGTGTTTTGGGTTTTTTTCAAAGTCAGTCAAAACCCACCACCACACTCCCGCTATCGAGAGCAAATGCCTCTTACCTCAAGTCAACAGATCGATCAAGCACTGCAACGTCTTCCTGGAAGGCGGTGGCAGAGTCGGGCAGCCGATACAAATGCAAGTATTGCTTGGCCGTGTTCAATCGGGCCCAGCGTCTGTCCCAGCCTTGCCGGATACCTTTGGGTTTGGGAACACTGATCCAGCCGTCCAGGAACGTGGCATGTGGCGACTCTGCCGCGGCATTCTCGGCATCTCCTTCGGCGGCGTGAGCAACAGAAGGAAGACCAACAAAATCTTCCGATTGTCGCCGTGAGGTGGGAGGAGAAGCGACAGGCGACGTCACCACGCCAGATGTCCTGGAGGCTGGCGGGGTTTTCGACTCGCTGTTGAACGAGTTTTGCTTGGCCAACGTCTCGGCCACAGAGGGTTGCTTCATCAGAGGAGCCTCCCCAACAGAGCTTTGCCTCGAGACGGAGGCGTGATCTGTCGAGTTATCCCGCTTGATCATCTTGCTGATGGTACTTCCGGCAATGACAGACACACGGTTGAGAAGACCGGAGCTGGACTCACTGGCAGCACCAGACGTGGCCACGCTGCCTTCCTTGCCAGCGGACTTGCGACTTGGGCGTTTCGCGTTGCCGATCGCTTGTTGCTGACGCAAGTCTTGAAGCTGTTCCTGCACTGCTTGAAGCTGCTCTTCAAGACGCACCGACTTGGCCTGCCACTTCTGCACGTTCTGCTCGCTGGTATGCAGGCTGTCCTTGATCTGAACCAAAACCTTGTCCGTCTCTGCGCGCTGCTGAATTTCATTCTCGAGGTCTTGCTCGAGCTGCTTCATGTTCTGCACGCGATCCTTCTTCAGTTTGTTGTTCTTCCAGCGCGCCTCGTCCAAGTCAGACTCGGCCTTGAGCAGAGCTTGTTTGAGTTGCGAGATTTGCTCTTCAGCGGCAGGCGAGACGGTGGCGTTGGCAGCGGCAGCCGCCGCCGCCGCCGCAGTTGCCGCGCGGTGTTGTTGCACCTGCCGCATAGCGTGTGCTGCAGTCATCAAGGCCGTCTTGGCCGTGTCCAACTCGGTTTCACGAGCCTGCAACGCACCCAGCAGCGCCTGAATTTGCTTGTGATTGATGGCTTGCTCAGACTCGAGGTTGCTCACACGATCCTTCATGACCGTTTGCTGGCCTTCCAGCTGCGCCTTGGCGTGGGACTGGGTCTCCAGATGGGCTTGCTGCTCGGCCAGCTGCGACACAAGCGCATCCACCTGCGACTGCAGCGCAGCACGAGCATTCTTGGTCTCATTGAGCAGCGCTTCGCGCTCTTCCAGAGCAAACTCCAAGGTGGCAATTTTGTGGTCGAGCTTTCGGGCTTCTTGCTGAGCCGCCTGGGTGAGGGCACGCTCTTGCTCAAAGTGCGTGGCGAACGACCGCGATCGCTGGTGAGCCTCCTCGACGTCGGCCTTGAGTTTGGCGAGCTGCTCCTCGGACATGTTCAAGTTGTCCTGGTTGTGGGCGGTGATTTCGGCGTTCTTGTTCTGTGCGGCAGCAAGCTGTTCGCGCAGCGCCTGGTTGTCATGAGCCAGCTTGGTGGCGTCCTGCTCGAGCTGCTCGGTCTGGGTTTTGAAGAGATTGCGTTCGGCGTCGGCGCGCTTCAACGCAGCCGCCTGCTCCTCCAGCCGCGACTGCGATGCCTGCAAATGTCGGTTGGAGGCAATCTGTGCCGCACGCTCCATGTTCAACCGCAGACGCAGAGCACCAACTTCTTGGGTCAGGTCGTCGCGAATTTTGGTCGAGAGCGTCAGGTTTTCCTGCGCCTTGACAAAAGCCTGTTTGATTGCGTCGGCCTCAACGGCAAGCGAGTTGGCCGACGACACGCGAGGCGCAGCCGCCTCCGCCGCTTCTCCACTCGCTACCGCAGAAGAAGAAGAAAAAGAAGAAGAAGCAGCAGCAGCAGCAGCAACAGCAGTGCCGGCACCACTGGCAGCAGCACTTTGTTGGAGGCTTTCCACCAGCTCGGGCGTAAACGAATACCCGACAAATGGCAGCTGAAAGCCAAAAGCAGAAATGTCGTCACGAGCACCACGGGACTGACGCCGAGCGGCCACACTGTAAGGCGAAGGAGCAGGCTGATCCTCATCGTCGCTCATGTCATCAAAATGGCGAGTGTCTGCATCGTCTGCGAGCTCTGGAACGAGGGGCGCGGTGGACGACGACAAGGTCGCCCAGTCGACGTCAGCAAAGAACGGGTGCTGCTTGATTTCAGTGGCATTCCGCAAGCGGTCACCAGGTGCGCACAGCAGCGCGTGGAGCAAACTTGTCGCCTCCGGGGAAATGTCGTCGCCGTCGTCGTTCTGCTTTGGAATCTTCAAGCTGTGGGCGTGTTTCATGATTTTACCGTATGTGCCGAGCAGGGTATCGTCGTAAAACGGCGGGGTTCCAAACAGAAACTCGTACATGCAGATTCCCAGAGACCACCAGTCACATTCCGGACCGTACTCCTTGTCGCCGTCGGTGGAAGTCAAAACTTCTGGCGAAATGTAATCAGGCGTGCCCACCGCTGTCGAGGACTTGATTTTGCCGTTAGCGTTGAGTTTTTGGCACGAGCCAAAGTCGACCAACTTGATGTGCTGGGGTTTGAGCAGTTCAGCAGTGTGAGAAACGGAAATCGAGCACAAAACAAACAAACAAAAAAACCACCCCCCCCCCAAAAAAAAAACACCAGACGAAACCACTCCCCCACACTTACTCCTTGACGGTCAATCAGCAAATTATCAGGCTTGATGTCACGATGCGCATACCCAGCACGGTGCACTGCCTCGATCGCCAGCACCGTCTCGGCAATGTAAAAGCGCACTTCCGACTCTTTGAGCGCGTCTCGCTTGAGCAACAGAGTCGCCATGTCGCCGCCAGGAATGTACTCCAGGACGAGGTACAAAAAGTAATCTGCAAGAGCAACAAATTGAGTGAGTGAGTGTGCGGGGGCGAGAAGAGAAGCGAGCAAAATCAGGTCTGGTTCAACTTGACACCTCCTCCAACAACCGCGAACTCTGGTGTTGACATACCGTCTTGGAACGAGCAGAGAATGGACGAAATCCAGCGCGAGGAGGCTGCGACAAGAACATCTCGCTCCTCTTTGAAGAACGCCGTTTCGCGCTGACGCAGCATTTCGGCCTTGTTGAGCTTTTTCATGGCATACGTGTTGCCGTTCAGCTTGCACTGAGAGAGGGTGAGAGTTGTTGCAACATTGGCATCCATTCAGTCCTGGTGGAACGAAAGCACTATCAACACGAAAATAGACGCTTGCAATCTGCATCATCGTCAGTTACCTTGACCAACGAGACCTGACCAAAGGCACCTTTGCCAATGACTTTCAATGTGTCAAAGTCAGATGCGTTGGGCCTGAGTTTGGCAATCTGCTCGATCTGGTCACGGGCTGACGCATTTCCAAGGCATTGACGACCACAACAAATCCAAGAGTGAGTGTGTGGCACGGACCGCTGGTGCAACAGATCACCTGGGGGCGGGGTGACAACAAGCTCGAGTGACTTTGTTCAACCTCGGCTTCAACTCACCCTGGGCAACAAAGGCGGTTGCATTCTTGTCTTTGAGATGCTTGGACGATCGGCACTCGTGCAACAGCGCAGTGAGTGCGTCCCACAGTCTGTGATGAGGAAGATTGCGAATCCATTGAGTGAGCCAGAGTGAGATTTTCGACATCACCGCCCCAGAAACCAAGGGAGACGCATGAACAGCAGTAGAATGAGCAAAAGTGAACATGGTCGTGTTGCAATGGGATGCGGTGGGTGAGTGAGTGAGTGAGATTGGGGGATGGCTGGTTGTGCGTGACAGCGAATGCGGGGAACGTTCAAAAAGGTACACCGGCCACCGGTCGCCAAAAGTTGCAGGACTGCGCTCAAACACACTCTGTGCAGCACAGAGGCAGAGTTTGGCTTGACAAGACGAGCACGGGGGGGGGAAGAGAGAGAGGGAGAGAGTGATCAAGATTCGGGGACAGATGAATCACTACCGCAACCCCTCCCCGCTTTCCACTCACGCGTCGGGATGGCTCAGCGTGCGTGCATCGCTGGTGCCGCGGGCAAGCTCGGCGGCAGTCGACAGCAGCAGTGCTTGAAGGCCATCCTGCCGCGCTCCGAGCAGCAACGATGCCATTCGAGAAAGTGGAAATAAATTGAATGATGACTGATGAACCATCATCCAAAAAAAAAAAAAAAAAAAAAAAAGAAAAAAGAAAAGAAAAAAAAAAGCAATCATTGTGTGTGTACCATGACAATGGTCAAAGTGCCACTTGGACGTGGAGCTGCATCGAGACAACAAGCACAAAACGCTGAATGTTCAACCCAAAAAACCCTTGCGATGCAACAACCAATGACCAAAGCAACAGAACAAAAAATGAAAACTTTCATGTGTTTATTTTCTAGACAGTAGGCGGAACCAGACAGCGAGTGATAGCAGAGGCGGAAGGTATGAGGGCAGGGCGGCAGACATCAAGCACTAGAACATGCGTGATCCAATGTGCATGAGCAAGACGGCTGCAATAAATACTGCACTGGACACGAGTGCGGTGACCGGGCCACTGCCATTCAACATCCCAATGAAAGACACACACACACACACACACACACACGCAGAAGAAAGAGTGTAAGTGACGGAAGTTGCCTCCAGACAGAAAATCAGTCTCACTGAACAAAAGAGAAAGCAGAGCAAGGAACGTACACTTTGATTCCAGGAGCATCGTCCATGGAAAAGCCGAGAAATCCAGTAGAGCCAGTCGAGGGGGCAGCTCGGGAAGTCGAGGCACCACCAGTGCGGCTGAACAAACACAAAAAACGAACACAAAAACGAACACAAAAACAGGAGATTGGCCAAAGTGAGCTCTTCTGTTGTGCAAGCGAGCGGCCCATCCCAAAGCCAAGAAAAAAATACATACCGCTGACGGACAATGCCGCTGGCAGCGCTGCGAGGGGTGGAGCCGCCGGGGCGGGAGGTGGAGGAGCCGACGTTGGTAGAAACTTGACTTTGCGACTGCACAGCAAAACCGAAACGAGCAAAAAAGGGTTTACGATCAGTATGCATGATTCGACGCAACGCAGAGCACATGTAATCCACAACGCATGCACCGTACCATTTTGCCTGAAACCGGAAACAGTAGTAGAAGATTCCTGTCGATCAGATTTGAGGAAAACGCAAAACGCGATCAGCCAACGAAAAGCCACACACAAAGCAGCCGTATTGCACACAAACACCACCATATCTGCGAACGAGCAAACCCCCCCCCCCCTCGTTTTCCCAAGCAGCAATAGAAGCAGCAATAGGGTGAGCGGTGAAAGTGATGTGGCGCCGCGTCAACTGTTCCAATCTATTCATTCAATCACAGCCATCATCGTCCGTTTTCAAATCGTTCGTTTTGGTCCTCCAGCCACGGACTGCACCAACACTACCGCGGTGACACTCTGAATTCACCAACCCCAAAACCACACGTCTCGCTTCAACAGCACTTTGAGAGGAAGTAAGAAATCCGTTCAGCGACGCGAGATCTCGGTTTTCCCTTTTTTTTTTTTTTTTTTTTTTTTGTTGTTGGTTTGATTTTGTGATTTGTGATTGTGCAATCGGACCAGGAGCTCTCGTCCAACGGAGGACACGCGCATGCTGCCACCCAGTGCACCGAACGCACGCAGCATCCGACACACTCCCCCCCGTTCCGTGCAGGGGGAGTAACCCGTGGTTTGTGATCATTGAGCACGAGTTTTTTTTTTTTTTTTTTTTTTTTTGCGAGATCGCTGCGACTTTTCCATTGCGTTGCGACCTGCGATCGGTCGCGGATGGTGCTCGGACGCACGGGCCTGCGTTCCAACAAGGCAAGTCGAACAGTCCATGCGTGGGGGCAGCGACCTCCCAGTGCGCGACAAAAACGCATGAACGGACTAAAAAAGCCAACATCGAAACAGATTTTTTTTTTTTTTTTTTTTTTGGTTTTAGTTGAACGACAACAGGCTTACACAGAAGGGGAATGAAATGCACATCCCTCCAAACCCCAATTGGTTGTGTGATGTCGCAAAGTATCAAAAAAAAGAGACGGAATACTAAGAACGAGAAAAACGCCAAGAAGATACGCAAATGAAGATGAAGATCATGAAAAAGAGGGTTGGACAAGAACAAAAGTTTTCATTGCCAAATCTCAAACTCAACAGTAACTTGTTTCAAATAAGCATCAGCACCCAGGGGAAGTCAAAGGTATCGGGATGGCCAAGGTGGGTGGTATTTGCGGCAAAGGGTGAGGTCGACCAAGAGAACGGCGGCTGCGTTTGGGCGGTCGGGCCGTTGATGGCAATGCATCCAAGATATTCCAGCGCCAGCTCGACAGAAGTGATCTGGTGAATCGGGAGCACAAGCACACAAAGACGCAACGCCGGAAAACGGTTAGAGATCTGTGGACAAAAGCCGACCGAAACAAGCCCAAACAACAAAAAGAACAACAACAACGCCAATCAAACAAAACTAGGCTTACCTTGCCGTCAATCGCACCAAATGCAGAGCCACCAGAGGGGCGCAGATCGTAGCGCGATGCAATGGCGTTGGCAGGATCGCCAAGGGAAAGCGGATCGGTCTGGTACTCGTTGTATCGCATAATAGTCTGCATGCTCTCGAGATCGACGACCTGAAGGGCGGAGGAGAAAGGTGAGTTCAAGGACCAAGCTGAGCAAACAAAAAAAAGCGGAACATACATTGTTATGATCACGGCGGAAGATGGTCGCGCGCGGGTTCTCGGTGTAGCTGAACTGGTTGCCGTACTTTGCAAAGTACGCGGGGTAGCCACTCAGATTGTAAATCATCGGAGAATACGGACTGTGAAATGCCATCCAAACAGAATGAGCCCCCGCAGAAGACACAGAATGGTTGGTGCAGATCGACTTACATGTTGTACGAGGGCCAGTAGCCGTTCTGGTTCAAGAAGCCAGTGACGTCTTGCCTGTAGAGGATCGAGTCAGCATAGAGTTGCACACAACCGACACTCTCGCAGTCACACCCCCCTCCCCACACACACACACTTACGCGGCAGTGGTACCAGGAATTTGCTCGATAATCCAGAACGTGCCGGGAGGCAGCTCAAAGAATTGTTCAAAGTTGCCCATCTGGACAACCTGCCACTGGTTGTTGTAGGTGCCACTGTTGTAGCTGTGGAGAAAAGGGGTAGTCAGAAAATTGAACAGTTGGCAAAAGATGTAGTTCTGCAGTGTCAGGACGATTCCTCCCCCCTCCATCAAGACAAGGCAGATACCGGGCAAAAATCTCAGTCCAGTGCTGCGGCGTGCCGGCCAGCGCGTTCGACGCCATGACGCGTTGCCAGCAGAGCACGGTCTGAGGGCTCAGCTTTTGGTAGAGAGTCTGGTCGAGGATGCTGTTGGTCGTCTCCATGACCACCATTCCGCTGCAAAAGTTGAAATCGGAAGAGGAATTGAGAAAACTGCACGTGAGCGACTCGATTCATCGCCTGGATCCAGGCCGTAACTCATTACCTGTCCAGCACATAAAAGTCATCCTTCGAAGAAAGGAAGCTGGGCGAGGAGCTGAATGACAGGGTGGTAGATTGCAGACCGGCCATGTCGTAGGTAAAGTCGTAGAACTTGTACAGGCGGATGAGCTGGCCAAAATCACGCCAAGTCGCATGAGCCATGAGCAGCTCTTCAAACCCAGGAAGAACCTAAAGATCAAGTTGCAGCCAAGTTGTAAGCAAGCCGATGGACTGCATTTGGTAATCTCGTTCCCCCTCCTGCGTTGAAACACAACCTTGATCAAAACGGAGCAATCTTGCATGATCTTGTCCCACGGGAAGGCATCCTCGGCAGGCGGCTGTGGGTTGTCGGGGTCCATTCCGACCGCAACCATGCGGTCCCGAGTCATGCCAAGGTAGTAGGGCAGACCTTGCTTGACAAGAAGGCCGCCCACAAGGTCTTCCATGTCGCCCGCGCTGTTCATGATGTACAGTTGCAGCGGGGTCAATCGCTGATGACGACATGTAGAGCAACAATCGTACAATAAGACAAGTCAGGTCACACAGCTCAACTTAAGAGAGAACAGGACGACAAGGAAGATATGACTCACCTTGTCGCTATCGGCATACATGTTGTAACCATGGCCCAGACCGTCAAACTGGTCCATCAGCAGGCTGAGGTACTGCCAGTAGGGATCGGTCGCATTTTGCTGCGTGCTGTTGCGCATAAATCCGTACTGTTCCTCAAAGAACTCGATGAGGTACGGCGGGTACCCGGCAGTGTCGTTGAATCCCCACCGCGCATTGAGGTTGACGTGCGCTTGCCAGATGCGATCCTGCGTCCAAAAAACCCCGAAATCCCCAAAAATCCAAAAATATCAGCAAAATGCAAGCTCGTAGCCAGCAGTACGACTGAATACGCAATGCAGGCAGCCCGCCTGGGGAAAGGGGAAAAAGGGGGGAAAGCAGCAAGGAGCGAGAAAATCGCGTGACGATTGCCTTCGACGACGTGACTCACCGCAGTGAGGGCGCCCTCGATGAAGCCTGTTCCGAAGGCCTTGAGCGAGTCGTGGTTGACCAAGCGGTCTGTCTGCTCGATGCGGAGGGTGCCCCAGCCGTCAATGTTCATCGAGTCGTTGAAAGTCGCCGCAACAATGCCATTCTTCAAGTCCAGCACGCCGACCGTGAGGGTGAAGGCGTCCTGCGCAGCATTGTAGTACACGGTCGCCTCAGTGTAGTTGAATCCGGCGGCAGAGACCCCCTGGGACTGCCAGCTGCAAGCCACCGCCAGCGCAGCAGCTGCGGTCGCGACAAGCAGCGAAAACCTTCCGCTTCTGCTGCCGACCATTGCTGCAAGGTACAGTACAGTACAGCGGTTGACAAAAAGGAACAATGAATGAGCACAAACCAAGGAATAGATCTAGAGACATAGTGAATAAGCGGCTGTTGTTGTGGTGACTTGCCTCGTAAAACGACAGTACAGTGGGATGGATGGATCAAGAAGAAAATCTCTCAGAGTTTGGATTTGTTTGGAGTCGAATCCGAAGTCGCTCTGTAGTGTTGTTGGAGCTCAGTAGTCTATCAGTTGTTATTATTTCTCAGATCGTTTTTTTTTGTGTACAGTAGCTCAGTCAATCTCTGAGTTATTCTGCGTTTCGTATTGTAAGCCAACACTCACGCGCTCGGTCGCTCAGCCGTTGACGATCCATTCAGCAACACCAGAAGTACCAGTACTTGTAGTAGTAGTAGTAGCAAGTAGTAGTCATCGTCGTCGTACTCGCATTCGTATTCGTATTCATTGTGGAAGCTCAGAATGGCGAATTCGCGGAAAAAAAATGAGGAAATTGAAGACGTCATTGAACGGAAGCGTCTGAACGGCGACACAGAGTCAAAACGACAATTCAATGGATGAAGCGATGAAGACGGAGAACAAAAAATGATTGAACGAGGTCGCGGGGGGGCGGGGGGAGAAGAGGCTGGCGATGGAAGTGGGGTTATGGGGATGAAGGGGAACAGGACTCGACGCGTCCACTTGAGCACTGAAGCCCCACAAGTGTCGGAGGTGATGTTGGGCGTATGAAACTTTGCCAACTGACCATTTACGGGATGATGGGGTGGTGGGTGGATTGGGGTGCCTCTGTGTGTGTGTGTGTGTGTGTGTGTGTGTGTGTGTGTGTGTGTGTGTGTGTGTGTGTGTGTGTGGATAGAACAGTGTCGAGCAAATGGCAGACCGTAATGCACTGATCACCCAGTTCATGGACGTGACCAACTCGTCCGACCGGGCGATGGCCGAGAGCCTGCTGGTCGCATTCAACTGGGACTTGGATGCTGCGATTGCAATGGCGCTGGGCGAGGAGGACGCAATCATGTCGTCGGAGAACAGCTCGACGTCCGAGCAGGACTTTGCCCCGTCGTACGATCCGAGCAGCGGCAACAGCCGGTTCCAGCAGCTGTACCAGCAGGAGCAGAAGCACGACACAAGCAAGCTGGACGCGGAAATGCGCCGACTCGGGCTGAAGCCAATCTCGGACGAGGTCTATGACATGCTCGATTCGCGTTCGGATCGTCCTGTGAACCGACCTCAGCCGCAGCCCCAGCCCCAGCCCCACCCGCAGCCTCAGCCGCAGCAGGTGCAACAACCACTACAACAACAACAGCAACAACCGCAAGGTCTGGACACAAACCCAAAGGCTCCTCTAGTGCTCGAACCGCCAGTGCGCACCGCACCCAAACCATCATCGCACAGAAAGCTGAGCGACGACGACGACGATGATGACGATGACGAGGATGATTATGGCAATCGCTATGGGTACTCCGGGCGTTCAGCAAACTTTGTGCGCCCTCCGGCATTTGGCGCCCTCCAAGCGGCCCCGTTTATGGCGACCCAAGGAAAGTTGCTCAGCGCTTCGCAACCTAGCAGCGCAAGCCCCGTTGTGCGCACCGCCTCACCGATGGACGGTGTGCATGTCCATTTTAACGTGAATTGGCACGAGACCCCGTATCCCATTCAGCTGCAGGCCTCTCGCCCTTTGAAAGACCTGCGAGCGGAAATTGCTCGCTTGACAAGGCTGGCCCCAGCCAACCAGCTGCTCATTGGGCTTGATGCCGGTCCTGAGGATGACAACCGGCCGCTCGGACAGATCCTTGGTGCAGCGCGAACCCGAGATATCTTTCTGGCAGATCGTCGCGAGTACGAAGGCGGGTTGGAGGATACACATTCGCCGGTGCTGATTGACAGTGATGACGACGAAGAAGCCAGCGAAGTGCTGACCACTGTCACCTACAATGGGCAAGTGATTGAATTGCACGTCGTCGAGTCCCAAACTGTCGGTGAAATGAAAGAGCAACTGGAGAGCAGAGCCAACGTTGCGTATCCCGACATTGAGCTGACTGGCTGGCCCCGAGGACAGCAACCTACCGATAGGGTATGGCGGTTTTTGTTGTGACGATCGTGCAGTGTTGATTGCGAGTGCTTTTCTTGCTTCGACTCACTTCCTTGTTTCCTCCAAAATGTTTGCAATTTTTCTCGGTCGTTTTGCCACTCAACTCTCCAGACAACCATCAAGTCTCTCTTGCCTCCTGGGCAGTCAACACTGGCGCTCACACTTGTCAATCGCTGGAACAATAGTGGCGATTCGGGCCGGGATGCTCGGCCACGACGCGTTCAAGCAGAAGGGTCTGCACGCAACGATGCAACGAGCGCGTCTCCTGTCGTTGAGGAGCCCGATTCGGATAGTGAAATTGATGTCTTTTACGAACCAGCGGATGAGGCTGACAACGACGAGGATGATGCTGAGGACCAATACGAAGACGACTCGTTGTTTGACGACGCTTTTGACGCCGATGGCGTTATGAGCGACCCAACTTTGTCAGAAGTTCCTGGTAAGTCGTGTTTTCGTTTTCTTTTTTTCTGGTGCACAACATTTGGACAGCTTTGGCACAAGTTCTGACTGACGGCCGTTTTGTTTGTTCGGCGTGGCGCGTAGATGCGATGGACGAAACTGTCGCCTGCAGCGAATTTGTCGACAAGTTTGTTGAGCGGTTCCACACAAAAGTCCAACCCGTTTTCTTTGTTGGCTCGTTTGGAGATGCACTGCGAGAGGCGACCAAGGAAGGCAAATGCCTCTTCTTCTACCTGCATTCGGATACGAGCGCTGAGAGCAACGTCTTTTGCAGGTGAGACCGACGCATCGTTTGGGTTTCGGAGATGGTTTTGAGCCTTTCGGGTCGAGGTTCTGACTTGTTTGATGGTGGTTGCTCGGCGTAGCCAAGTTCTGTGTGACGAAGCGATTGTGCGCTATTTGACCGAGAACTTTGTCATCTGGGGCTGGGACAACACGACGGCCTCTCGCCAACGACAGCTTCCCCGCATTGTTTCCCGATTCGGCACAATCGATGCCTTGACTAACATCGAGCACTACCCGCACTGCTTTTTGCTTGCTCGAGTTGCAGGTTCACTCCACACCCTCAATATTGTGAAAGGTAGGTGTCTACTTTCCTTAGCCTTTCACTTTCTTGCTTTCTTGCATGTTTTCGGGCGAAGACGAGAAAAGACTCAATGTTTGCTGTTGATTCACTTTTAGGCTTTGTTCCTGTTGAAGAGCTCTACACCAAGCTCTTGCAAACTACGGAAACGTCGGCACCCATGTTGCAGGAGGAGGCCACCAAGGACCGTGCGCGAAACAGTGAGCGCTTGGCTCGCGAGGAGATCAAGATCGAGCAAGATCGCCTTTATCGAGAGTCGCTCGAGCAAGATCGTCTGAAGGTAGTCTTGTTCCGTCGCAAAAGTTTCTGTGAATGTTGCGCACCTGCAGCCAGTAGGTGGCTCACTTTTTTTTTCGGTTTATATCTCAACTCAGGAGCTTGAAAAGCAAAAGGCGATCGACGAACAACAGCGGCTTGAGGCTGAAGCGCACCAGCAGGCCGAGGACGAGCAAACGCGCATTGCCATCTTGATTTCCACCATTCCACCCGAGCCTGCTCCAGGATCCAGCGACGTGGCCACCTTCCGCATCCGAATTCCCGGCGGCGATCCAATCACCCGACGATTTTTGGGCTCCACTCCGATTCGAGTACGCCGGCTGTTTTGTTGTTGTTGTTTTGGTTTTTTTTTTTGCGAGCAGTCACCGCTTTCATCCATTTACGGGTCTGGATGATTCTGTTTGTTTGTTTTGATTGACTGATCGATTGTTTGTTTGTTTGTTTGTTTGTTTGGTTGAGCAGACTCTCATCAATTTCATCGAGACGCAAGGCTTGAGCGAGAAGGACTACCGCATCGTTGCCGATCGCCCTCGTCGCATTATCAATGAAATGACTCCAGACATGTCCTTGAAGGAGGCCAAGCTCTTCCCTCAAGAGACCCTTCATGTTGAAAGCCGCTAACGCCGTCAATTGAGTTGTTGGTTTTTGCAGCATTTTGTTGATTCTCCATTCTTCCAATTTTTAACTCTCCATCCATTTTTTGTTTCCAAGCACGCTATTCCTCGAATCTGAGCTCACTCTTTTGAATCATATTCTGAGAGCAAACCACCTGACCATAGCAAACTGAGCTTCTTTTGTAGTCTTTCTTATTGGTAGTCTCACTGGGTGACCGTTCGCCCGCCAACCAACCATGTCGTTCGCTACTCACTTTCGTGACAATCTAGTCGAGTCCGCGAGCGAGTTGCGCCGGTGGGGTCGCAGGAGCACCTCACGTGCGTCAAGGCGTGGGAGGCGCGCACTCGCGGCCGCCGGCGCCAAGCTCCAGACCCTGCCGCGCCAGACGGCGTCCTACATTGGCGACTCGACAATGTTCTACGTGCGAAACCCGGCGACGCTGCGGAAGGAGCTGCTGTCTGGGCTGACGGTCAGCGTCCTCCAGGTGCCCGAAAGCATCTCGTTCTCCTTCCTCGCAGGCATCAGTCCGAGGGTCGGTTTTATATCTACAATGACGCTGGGATTTCTGGACGGACTTCTGGGTGGGCAGCCAGCGACAATCACGGGCGCTGCGGGTGCGCTCGCCGTCGTTCAGATGCGCTACACTGCTGCCGGCGGCATCTGGGAAGACTATCCCGAGGCAGAGCGACTTGGCATGCTGTTCATGATGGTCATCATGTGTGGCGTATTCCAGCTCCTGGTGGGGTTGACCGGCCTGGCGAAGTTCTTCAAGCTGGTCCCGGCGAGCGCCATGATTGGATTTCTGAACGGATTGGCCATCAACCTCTTCCGTGCACAGCTCGACGTCTTTCATTCGTGCCAGCTTCCAACATACGAAGAGTGCGCGCGACGACAAGAGTACGGCTGGATGAGCCTGAGCGACGCCGCGACCTGGCTTGTCATTTTGGAGATTGTCATCTCTGTCGTCATCGTGGTGCTCTTTCCCCGCGTGCCGCGTCTCGGTCGCCTCGTGCCCAGCACCCTCATTTCGTTAGTTGTCGTCACCTTCTTTGAGCATATCATCAACCGCACTCTCATCGGCTTGCCGGTCCGGACGGTTGGCGAAACTGCCTCCGTCGCTGGGGCCCTGCCTATCTTTGCCCTGCCGACGCTAGGGTCAAACCCAGACTGGCATAGCATTGTACTGACGGGCTTTATTCTGGCCGTGGTCGGCTTGATGGAGTCTGTGCTTGCCGTGCACGCCGTTGCAGAGATGCTTCACATTCAGCCCACGCCGTGGCAAGCGACTCAAGAGTGTCTTGCCCAGGGCTTTGGCAATGTGATTTCTGGCCTGACGGGCGGCATGGGCGGGTGTGCCATGCTCGGACAGTGCTTTGCCAACATTAACAATGGCGCACGCGGTCGGCTTTCGTCCATGACCTCGGGCATCTTTATGCTCATCATTGCGAACGGCTTGAGCTTTGCGATTGAGCTGGTCCCTGTGGCGTGCCTGACTGGCGTCATGTTTGTGCTTTTCGTCCACACCTTCCACTGGCCGACCTTTTCGCACCTCATCCGGCTCCCATGGGTCGATTCTTTCTGCATTGTGCTCGTCACCGTCCTTGCTGTTGTGATGGACCTTGCCGTCGCCGTCGCAGCTGGCATTGTCTGGTCTGCGCTGGTTTTGGCCAACAGCAACGGGAAGCTTATTCGCGCTACGCCTGTCGTCGTCGAGCCCTCGACCGACCGTCACGCGTCGTCCAACGGGAATCATCCATCTCAGGAAAGTGCAGCGCCCGAGTCCAAACTGAGCACTAGTCCCCAAACCACCGAGATGCACCTTACCGCCTCCACTTCCACCACTTCTACCAACACCATCATCAATGTCGCTGAATCGCCGCAACAAAACCCCAGCTCCAGCGAAGAAGTGCGAGTGTACGCAATCTCGGGACCCTTGTTTTTTGGATCCACCCAAGCTTTTAATTCGCTCTTCAACATTGCCAGCGACCCAGCGACCGTGGTGCTAGACTTTTCCGCATCACTTGTTTGTGACTTTTCAGGCGTCAACGCCATCCATTCGCTGGCCAAGCGGTATCGACATGCCGGGAAACGACTGATCTTGCGAGGCTTTAATGAGGCTTCCCGACAACAGTTGAGACGGTCCAAGCGAATGCTCAAGCGGATGGTCGAGATAGAACCACTGGAATGGGATCAGGACGATACGGTTTCCATGACTTCGCTCGAAGTGTCGCCTGCCGATCGCACAACTGTTCGCGCTCGACCACACCACAATCCACACCACAATCCGCACCACAATCCACAGCACATTTCCGATTTAGAACTTCTCAACCCGACTGTGATCGAGGATTCGTCCAGTGATTCCGACACCAGCGACGATGAAGCGTCGCCCGAGGAGGACGGTCAGATTGAGCTCACTGACAGCTTTTCCAACCCCCAAATTCGGGTTGTCTCTGAGTGATTCTACGATGCATCCAATCCTCCGTGCAACTCTTTACTGTCCGTCCGCTGTCATCCGTGACAACTCAAAACCTCTTGTACATTAAAACAGAAGCACCCATTTCGGGCATTAAAGAGCTAGCAACGACTTGCCAAACTATGATCTCAATTCTTCCTACATCCATCCATCTATTCTGTGCTCAGTCTTGGTCCTGTCGTCCGTTGTCATGTCAGTCGGGCGAGTTCTCATCGCCTCAGTCGTTCTCAGCGCCCAGCTCGAGCTGGCGAGGCGAGCCGTTGTCGCCCTGTCCCGAGACCCAGCCCTCGCGCTTGGCTTGCTTTCATTGGCAGCATGGGGCTCGCGCACACTGCCCGGGACTGCGCTGCTCCAGGCGATCGCGGCGCCGCTCGGTGCCGTTTTGGCGCCAATTCGCGCGCGATTCTCACCCAGCACAGAGCCCGATGCTTCCCGACCGGCGTCCGCCATGGACCGTCGATTAATGTTCGACATGTACGACATTCAAAGCTCAAAGAGGGCTCTCCTCAACCTGCGACCGCCCACTGAGACGTGGATGAATTTCGGGCTTTGGCCCAGCGCGAGCGCACTTCCGCCCAGCTATGGTCTACGCGAGGCCTGTGAGGCTCTGGCAACGCTTCTTGCGCATACAGTGGAGCTGAATAGTCAAGACACATTGCTTGGTAAGATTTCGAGAAGCCTTACAAGAAGCGAAATCTCAACTATTGCTAACAACTCTTGGTTTTTTTTTTTTTTGGCTTGGCTCAACCCTGGCTCTGTCAGATGTTGGATGTGGTTGTGGAGATCAAGATGTCTTATTTGCCAAGACATTTCAACCAAAATCCATTCTCGGCGTCGAGATTGCACCGTCGCAGGTCGCACAGGCTCAATGTCACATTCAACGCCATGGACTTGAATCCAACGTCCAAGTCGTACAGGGGTCTGCGGTCGACTTGGCGGCTTCTTGCCGCGCTGCCAGGCAATTCTCAGTGGTGCTCAGTCTCGATAGTGCCTACCATTATGCTTTGCGGCGCGATTTCGTGCATGAGGCCTTCCGAGTCCTTCAGCCGACCGGTCGCCTCGGGCTTGTTGATATTTGCGTGACAGACTCTTGGCAAGAGACGCTCTGCTCTCCAGCATTCTCAGCTCGTTTGTCGCAGATAATGTTCCGACTAGGATGCAAAGCCGCGGCCATTCCGCTGGCAAACATGGTTTCCCAGACCGAGTATGCCTCTCAATTGTCGGCCGCGGGGTTTGAGGACGTGCACATACGAGATATTTCCGACCAGGTTTTTGAGGGTATGGTTGATGGGAGATGCAGCCGAATATCCAGTGACAAAGCAAATGAAGCGCCAATTTTTTTCGTTTTTGGTTGTTGTTTTCATCGTTGTTGATCAGGCTTTGCCAGACACATCGAAACTACCGCGGAGCAGCTCGCCTCGGTTACGCGACCACTTGACTGGATTGGATTTCGTCTTGCGGCGCGACTCATGCGGTTTCTCGGCAACAAGCGAGTGGTTAAATTCATTGTCGTCAAGAGTGTCAAGCCTGCGACGAGGTCTGGGTTGACAGGACCATGAAGCTCTTATGCATTCTTTATCTATTCATCTGACCTATATATTCAATTTGTAAAAACTGTATTTTAAGCAAAAGGATGAAGCAGAGCAATACATTTTTTTGGCTTTTGCCCAATTCTGTTTAAGTTGATCGCTCAACTGGAATGTTCATGAGAGTGCCGTTGCCGCTGGGAAGGTATACCACGTTACGCGAGCGCGCGAGGGTGGCGCTAATTTCCTTGGCAGCGTCAATCTTGCGCAGCTCGACGAGACCGGGGCCGGACTCTTGCAAAGCGGGTGGCAACCCAGCTCGGCAGCCTTGGAGTCACCCTCGGCGCGGATGATGGAGGCAAGCTTGTTCTGCTCTGCAAGCTCGACAACAAAGCGGGCACGCTCGGCGTCCTGCTGGGCGACCTGCTTCATTTCGACGGCTGCGGTGAATTCCTTGCCGAAGGCAAGGTGGGTGATGGAAATGTCGTCAAGGAGAATGTTAAACTCGCCGGCACGCGATGTGAGGTGCTCGCGCACGCGGGCCGAGACAGTCTCGCGTTGTGTGATGAGCTCGCCAGCGTCAAACTGCGCGACAACCGACTTGAGGACCTCGTTGGCAATCGAGGGCAGCACAACCTCGTCGTAGGTGGGGCCAAGCGTCTTGACAATGTGGGGCAGCTGGTCGATGCGCGGTCGGTACAAGATGCGCAGGGTAATGTTGACGTTCTGGAGATCCTTCGAGCCAGTCACGGTCGGGATGGAGCGGGGCTGCGAGCGCACGTCGAAAAAGATGGGCTTTTGCACGTACGGCACCTTGAAGTGCGTGCCTTCTCCAAACACGTCGGGCTTGATACCCGCGAACTGATCCAAGATGACAGCGCGGTGGCCGCCCTCGACTGCCAAAAGCATCAAAGTTCAAAGTCCCCCACCAAAAGTAAGTGTCAATGATCCAGCAGCAAGCCTGAACGATTCCCCCAAAAAAGCGTTCCTTGATGCGTAATGTACAAGTTCATTTGTTGTGTTCGTGATGACTTTGTTGGCCTCGCTCGTCGTGCTGCAAAGCAGAGAGCAAGTCGAGATCTCTCTCGACCACTTCCCACCAGCCACTCGCTCCCTCTCCCTCTCTCGCGGTTTGCTCCGTCCAAGAGCGGTCCTGCTTCCCCATTCCCATTCCCTAATCCACCCCCCACCCCCACCCCCAACGCGCCTCTGTCCGGCACTGTGTCGCTTGTGCAGAAGAGCACTCGAAATCGCCAAGACAGCTCCAGAAAGCCGTCTTCCCTTCGCTTCACCCAACCACCCCTCAACCAACCAACCAACCCCCGCCTTCCAAGGCTGGCCTCCGTTCTGCTGACATTGTCCAGACAAAAAGACTCAACGAACGCGGAAGGCGGGGGGGGGGGGTGAAGAGCGTCCTTTTACCGTTGAAGAGGGCGGTTTGAGCAACGCCGCCAGCAATCGCAAGGCCGAGGCCGAGCTTCATGATCTTGTCAACCAACGCTGCTGCCATGTCTGTTGAAAGCGACTTGATTGAGACTTAACAGAGGGAAAGGGGGAGACTTGTTGGAGAGAGGGAAGAGCTGTGAGGCAAAGCGACAAGCGACAACGGGTCAGTCAACATGCAATGCAAGGACAGCAAAAAACAAAAGCCGCTCAGACAAGCTCGTATTACAAAATAAAAAGACTGAGGAAAATGGAATGAATGAAATTGGCAATGTATTGATAAAGACAGCAGCTCGCTTTGTACTGCGATGGCTGCTGGAAATGCATTGCAGTTGGACCGACCGACTGCAAGAAGCCCAGTGATTCAATCATGAATGCTCAATCCTCGATCGACAGTACCTGTCATCTGATAGTGTATATGTGCTTGCTTGCTTAGTCCTTGTTTTTCTTTGGGTTACTGTAACACATGCTGGCGACAAGGCAGTTGTTGCTGCGATTCCAGTCGCATCCATCATCGCGCTGCTGCTCATGGCTGTCGACGACCACGGCTGCAGCGTCGTCTTCTGCTACTGCTGCTGCTGCCAACAATCATCATGCTGCTGCCAGCAATCATCATGCTGCGACGGATGCTGCCGTTGGCCGTCCGCGGTACATTGCCGACAACGACCAGCGCTCCTCTACTACCACTACTGCTGCTGCTGCTGCGACCAGCAATTCGGCTGCTGCAATCCGGCGCGACTTTGTGCAGTACTTTGTCGACCGCGGCCACGAGCACGTCAAGTCGAGCTCGCTGGTGCCGCAGAACGATCCCACTCTGCTCTTTGTCAACGCGGGCATGGTCCAGTTCAAGGATCGCTTCCTCCATCCACGTGCCAGCAGCAGTGGCAGGCTTACAAGTGCCGTCTCTGTGCAAAAGTGCATGCGCGCAGGTGGCAAACACAACGATTTGACCAACGTCGGGTACACGCCGAGACATCACACCTTCTTTGAGATGCTGGGAAACTTTTCATTCGGAGGCTACTTTAAGGAAACTGCCATTCCGCTGGCCTGGGACTACCTCACAGCCCATCTCCAGCTGCCGAAGGACAGGCTCATGATCACTGTATACGAGACGGACGACGAATCGTACGCCATTTGGCGCGACAAGGTAATAAACAGGGGGCCAATTTCGGCGTTGTTATCCTGTAGTGTTGTTGTTCAACCATGTTTGGAACTTCTTTGACGCCAACTCCACTTGCAAAACCGCTCGCGTTTTGGCGCGTCGCAGATCGGTGTGCCGGAATCAAGAATCTGGCGCCTGGGCGCCGCCGACAACTATTGGTCGATGGGTGACGGCCCGGGTCCTTGCGGTCCGTGCACAGAAATTCATTTCGACCTGCAGAACGGACTAGATGCGCGCGACCCGGAGCGGTACATGGAGATTTGGAATGTTGTGTTTATGCAAGAGCAAAAGGTGGCAAGCTCCAGCGGACAACTGAGCCTCGCCCCGCTCGAGACCAAGTGCATTGACACTGGCATGGGTCTTGAGCGTCTTGCGCGTGTGTTGCAAGGCAAGGCAAGCAATTTCGAGATTGACAGTTTGGCCAGCCTCACCGCCGCCACCGCAGCAGCAGCCTCAGCCGCTTCTCAAGCATCCGGACAATTGGCGACGCCGCCCACTGCCTTCCTTAACATCGTTGCCGACCATGTTCGCGCAGCCTCCTTTTTGATTGCTGATGGTGTCATTCCCAGGTGAGATTCGTTTTTTTTTTTTTTTTTTTTTTTTTTTTGGCGGGCCGGTTTGATCGCGATTTTGGCTAACATCCATCCCAATCCGTGAATCCTTCTTCTTCTTCCTCCCCGCTGCTTGCCATCACAGTAACCTTGGTCGTGGGTATGTTCTTCGTCGCGTTATTCGACGAGCTGCCGGCGTGGGCTTGCAGATGGGACTGAAGAAGCCCTTCCTTGCCGACCTTGTCCCCGTTCTCCTCGCGTCCACGGATCCAACCTTCTATCCGGAAATCTTTGCGCGACAAACGGAAATTTGCGCCATTCTTAAGCAGGAAGAGGAGGTCTTTTCTTCCGCTCTCCACAGCGGCGTGAGCATGCTGAATTCGGAAATTGACGCTGCTGTGCAACGCAAGCAAGGTACTGTCCGAGTGTTTGATGCGACATGTTGAGTGTTGGAGTTTCTCGAGTGATCTTCCCCCCCCCCCTGGACTGGATCGATTTGTTTTCCCTTCACTTTTGGGTGATTGTTTTTGTTTTTTTGTTGTGTTTGTTTCGTTTGGATTTGCAGCCGTTCTTGCACCGGCAACAGTCTTCCGGCTCCACGAATCTCACGGATTCCCAATCGACCTGGCGCGTATTATTTCAACACAGCGAGGCGTCTCCTTTGACGAGCAAGCCATCGAGCAAATGGTTGTCGACAATCGGGAAATGACGCGTCAGCGGTCGCGTGCCACTGGCTCTGCCGCTTCCCTTCTCACCAACGCAAACTCCAAGCAGGAGACCACACAGCTGAAAGAGGCCATTGTGTCATGTAAGGCACTGGGACTTCGGTCTTTGTCTGTTTGGGTACGAGACAGCCGAATCGCCAAGCTGTTCTCTCGGTGTTCATAGTACCATTCTAGCAATGTCCGAGTCGCGAGACAGCAAGGTCAAGCTGGCCGTCGTGGACCAATCTCCATTATACCCTGAGGGTGGTGGCCAAGTTGGCGAAACAGGCGATGTGCTGAGCAGCGACGGCTCGACGCTGCTTGGTGTGGTCGAGACCACCTCCAAGCCAGCTGGCGACTTTATCACCATCCGTATTCGGCCAGCCGATTCGGATGTCGATGGCACTGCATTTGATTCGATTGCTGCTGGAGGCAAAATCCAACTCCGCTCGCACGCGTCGCTTCGCCACGTCATTTCAGCGCACCACACGGCGGTGCACATGCTCAACGCTGCGCTTCGCAAAATGTTTGGCACAACTGTCGTGCAAGCAGGCTCGTTGGTGACTTCACAGCGCCTCCGATTCGATTTTACGCACAAAGCCGCGCTCTCGGACGCTCAGGTCGAGCAGCTCGAAGCAGCCGTGAATGGCATTGCCCAGTCGCGACTTCCCGTGCAAACGGAAGTGCTCCCATTGGCAGAGGCCCAGCGTCGAGGCGCCATTTCCATGCTGAACGAAACGTACAGCGAAAATGTCCGCGTCGTGAAAATCGGCGACGTGTCCATGGAGCTTTGTGGCGGTACCCACGCGTCGAATTCGCATTCGGTTTTCCCCTTTAAGGTGAGTGGGAGTGGTGGCGGGGGGGGGACGCGAACGGGGGGGGGAGAGAGAAGAAAGCCTTGTGAGAATCTTGTGCGTTTTGATCAACGGACTGACTCCTGACTGTTGTTGTGTTCCATGTGCCACACCAAAAAAAATCAGATTGTGGCGCAATCCAGCGTCGCAGCAGGCACACGCCGCATTGAAGCTGTTGCTGGCGAGACGGCCATCACTTGGCTGGCAGGCCAACAGCAGGTTCTTGGCCGAATCGCCCGAACCCTCAAGGTGGAGCCAGGTCCAGGCGTCGAGGATGCCTTGAACGCATTGGTGCAGCGCTTGAAAGATCAGACCAAGGCGATCGATGCGGCGATGGTCAAGCGTGCCAGCTCGCCGTGGAATGAGGCGCAAGAGCTGAGCGGCTTGCTTGCGGTGGCAGATACGACCGCCGTGTCTGTTTCTTTCCGAATGGTGGACTCGAGCGAGCCCAGCAGTTTTGCCAATGTTCGCGCAGAGAGACTGGCCAACGCCCTTCAGCCAACCGTCGTTCACGTTGTGATTGGAAGCGACAATTCGATGGCGGTTGCCATTCCTGCAGCTCCGCAACTCCAGAGTTCCACTCCTTCTGCCCCATCGACCACTCCACTCCGTGCTAGTGCGCTCTGGAAGTCACTTGCATCGGTGCTTGGTGGCGGGAAAGGTGGTGGTAGCGACAATTTGGCGACTGGTCGTTTGTCCGCTCAGCCGACTTTTGACGAGCTCAAGGCCAAGCTTTCGCAGCATTCCCAGCCATGGTCTGGCGCGACGTCGCACCAAGCGCGCTGGGTGATTCCATCCAAGTGAAGAATCAAGCATGATTTTCCGAGTTCTCCGATGCGTTTTTCGTGTATTTCACTGAACACATCTTCCCATCATTCTGAGCAAAACACAACAAACTTGATTGAATCTCTGACATTGGTCTCCTCTCATCCCCCCCCCTTCCCGCACCCTCTCAATAGTTTCAATAGAATAGATTCAATAGAAGATCGATCCATACAACAATAGCAGTTCATTCTATTCAATAGTTTCAATAGAATAGATTCAATGGAAGATCCAAACAACAAAAGCAGTTCATTCTATTTTTTTTTTTTTTTTTTTTTTTTTTTTTTTTGTTTCCCAATGCCTTCTTCTGCTTCTCGAACGCTGCTTTTGCTCGCTGCGATCGCCGTGCTCGCACTCGCGTTGCACTCGCCGAGCACCCACAACGGAGATCGCTTCAGCCTCGCTTCGTCGTCTGGCCGGGCGCTGCTTGCTCGGGCCGAGGAGGCTGCTGCTGCTGCTGCTGGGGAGGGCAACGCGGAGGAGCTCGCGGCTGTGCGACAGGCACAAGAGGAGGCCGTCAAGGTGGCGCTGTCCGAGCACCTGCACGAGGTCGAGCACAACGAGGAGGACGAGGACCACATGCGCCGGTTCCACGCCGAGCGCCTGCACGCACGCCGCAAGACGCGCCGCACGGACGGACCAACGCTGAGCAAGGACTCGGTCAACCAGCTTACGACGGCAACGTTCGACGACCTGATTGACACCCGCGAGCTCGTCCTGGTCAACTTTTACGCTGACTGGTGCCGCTTCTCGCAGATGCTCGGGCCAATCTACGAGGCGACGGCGACCCACTTGGGCGCGACGCCGACAGGCGACCGGATTGTCCTGGCGCGCGTCAATGCAGAGCAGGAGAAGGCTCTCGCGATGCGATTCAAGATCAACAAGTACCCGACACTCAAGATCTTCCGCTTTGGCAAGCTGCTGCGGAAGGAGTACCGTGGCGAGCGAAGCGTCCCCGCGCTCGTCGACTTCCTCCAGACCCTCCTCATGCAGGAGCCCCTCACCCGCTACAACACTGTCGCCGAGTTCCAGGAGATCCAGCGCACCACGCCAAAGCAAATCTCGGCCGTCTTCCTGAGCGAGCGCAACGAGATTCTCCAAACCTTCCGTGACGTGGCAGCTGACCTCAACGACGACTGCAAGTTCACCTACACGTTTAATGGCGAGGCTGCCAACGAGCTCGGCATGTCCTTCCCGAACGCCTACTTTCATGCTCGCGGCCAAGACAAGGTTCAGTTCAAGGGCATCTGGACGTACGTCCAGCTCAAGGCCTGGGCCCAGTCGCAGTGCGTTCCGCTCGTCCGCGAAATTACCTTTGAGAACGCCGAGGGCCTCACCGAGGAGCAGCTCCCCTTCTTGATTCTCTTCTACCACCCGGACAACCGTGCGCCCGTCGAACGGTTTACCAACATTGTGACCCAGCACTTTGTCGGCGAGCGCGCAAACTTTAACTACATTGTGGCCGACGGTGTCAAGTTTGCACACCCGCTTCACCACCTTGGCAAGCACGTGACCGATCTTCCCGTGCTTGCTATCGACTCGTTCCAGCACATGTACCCCTTTGAGAACTTCGACAACATTGAGAATCCCGACCACTTGCGCCAGTTCATTGCCGACTTCACTGCGGGCAAGCTTCACCAAGAGTTCCACAACAAGCAGCAGCAGCAAGGTGGCCAGGCGCATGGCCATGCCCATGGACACGATGGTCAACAGCAACAGCAACAGCAACAGCAGCAGCAGCAACAGCAGCAGCAGCCGCAAGATCAGCAGCAGCAGCAGCAGCAACAACAACAACAACAGCGGCAGGATCGCCGCGAGGATGGTTCTCAACAAGGCCAGCAGGACAAGAAAGTCGTAGAAAGCACATTCAAGAAGCTGCTCCCTAGCCGGAACCGTTATTCTTTGTTGCGTGACGAGCTCTGAACGAGGTTGTCTGGTTGCGTTTTTGTCAAGCTGTTTTGTTTGTTTTTGTTTGGGTTGGTTTCCCGTTTTGTTTGGAGACCGTGTTCGTTTGTCAACCAACGTGTGCTTGTTTGAACAACACTCCTGCACTTTGGCGTTGTCGTGTCGTCTTCGTAGATTCACGCCAGAATACACTCAGTCCTATCAAACAATCCTCTCGTCACATCACAGAATACTGCATGTTGCACGCTCATATGGCACATCCAAAACGTAAGCAAGATACTGTATAATTGCAACAAATCCATCATCACATGAATTGGAAAAATACAACAAGAGTGATAGCGACAACAAAGAAGGTGACGCAAGCACCCAGCGGTGTAAAGATACGCCACATTGGCGCCAACGCTCGAGTGGCAAGCGACTGAAGCCACGAAGGCACAACGGTGGGCCGCGCAACAAAGTGACGGATGGATGAGACTGCCCGACCAAGCCGCGATGCTGAGGAAGGAAGGGAAACTTCAAATACTGCACAGACGGGCTTGTGGTCGCTGGACCGAAGGGCGTGAATGCAATTGTATCTGAGGGCACGAATGCCATCCCCACGGAACAGGATGCGATCCGTCCAGGCTGGTGGGCGGAGCTTGCTGCTCGAATCGAGCTGGTCTGTGCCAACGTCAAAGCGGTAGCTTGGTGCAAAGTTGATCGGGGGCTCGACAAAGCCGGCGAGCACTCCAGAGTCGCGCCGCTGAATGTTCAGCTGATCCAGGGCGAGATAGGGGCGGAGAGCGACTGGCAACGCAGCGCCGGCAAGATTTCCGGACGACAGCGATCTGGGCATCAGAGACGAGATGCTGTTGACGGACAACAGTGACGACGATGCCGACGAGGAGGAAGAGGAGGAGGACGAGGAGGAGGAGGAGGACGAGGCAGGAGTAGAAGAAGATGACGATGCGAACAGAGTTGCAGCAGCAGAAGTGCTGCTGGACGGAAGTGGGCTCCTGGAACGTTGCTGGAGCAGAGAGAACTGCCGAGTGCGAATGCCAGCAAGATTGAGATTGTCAATAGCGCTCTGCACGCTCTTGCGGAGCTCGCCGGTTTCGGCAGTGTCGACTCGGTAGTTGAGATCGCCAAACCAAAACACGATATCGTGATCTAGAATGAGAACAGGCCGACTCGTAGGCCGACCCGACAAGCTATCCGGCAGGCTTTTGCTCCGTGTTTGTGCTGCAGACCCTGACGTTGCTGCGCTGGCTTTTCCGGACGCGAGCAGTTTGGCCGAATCGGAATCCGAGGCCTCTGCCGCGGCTGCCCGTTCCTGTTCGGAGAGTTGCACATTGAAGGTCAGACCGCTCAGAATGGCGTTGATGGCAGCATTACGTTGTGCAACGTAGCCTTGGTGGGCTGGGAGATGAGCATTCACAAAGCAAAACGAGACGTTTGCGATTCTGTGCAAGAGTAAATGAGAAGGAGTCAGCTGTTCGCTTCAACCCCCCCCCCCCCGGGGGGAGTCCCCCATCGTTCAACTCAAACTCAAATGGTCGCGACCTCAAAGTCGCGAAGACAGACATCGATTCGGGACCAAATGTCAAATGTCTTGAGCAGAGCACAAACTTACTCAAACCGCACGGCAACGCTGCCCTTGTTTCCGACGACGCCGCCCCAGCCGAATGGAGTATTGGCCACAGCAATGTTCGATACGAGCGAGAATGCAATCGAAGACGAGGCAAACACGAGCAGCAGCATTCCGCCCAGCCGTTCACGAGCAATCTGTCGACCAATTGCAACCATCAGAGCCAGCCAGCGCATCATCGCCATCATCGCCATATCAGCTGTGCATTTGCATGATATTGCCAATGATGATTCAATTCAATACCTGGGCATACGTCACGCTGGTCGGGAGGGCGCGCGAGACCTCCTTTGCCCAGAAATCCGCTGCAGACGAGCTGGCGAGCAGGAGCGACTTGACGGACATGTCGACCTCCTGGAGCCCGACGACGACCAGGTGCGGCTCGCTCTCCGTGGACTCGGCGTCTGCAGCGGATGCCGGCGTCGATCCCACGAGCGGCTCGCGGAAGAGCGCTTTGAGCGTGTCATCGCCAAAAACAATGCGCCGCTCGCCGACATTCCATGTGCCGACATACACGCGGATGGACGGCGGCTGCGGCTGCGACTGGGATTGCATCGTTTGATGAGAATGGCGGGGAGGCGAAGAGAGGGGGTGGGTGTTGTGCTTTTGGATTGAAAATTAAAATTGTACAGTATCAAAGAGGATTGAAGGCCTCGCGTTGAACTTGGACAAAACTCAGAGGCCAAGACTGAGATCATCAAGGAACTGAAGGAGTACTTTACAACCACCAAGTGGTCTTTCCGCAGCTTCATGGTTACGAACTGCCTTTGGAGTCAGCGCCACGCACTCACGCACTCACGCACTGGGGGGCACATGGCTACGCTAGTGCTTCACATGTTGCCCTTCGGGCTTAAGAACAACTCCCAAACAAACGGGTGCCCCCCTCTGATACTATATATGGGGCTGTTTTTTTAAAAAGGTAGAATCGCCATGTCTTTCACTCCCATCGCGTCGCTGAGCTCTGCAATTGTTTTCCCCTGCCCTGCAACCCCCGCCCGAGAGAGTAGACCATGTGTCTATGCCACTCGGTGCATCAGACCACACGCCGCTGTCCCGCCGGCGACTGTACGGCCGCGAGAAGGTGTGACGGTCAACGCAACCTCGTCGCAGCAAATCAGTGTCAGCGGGCTGCCACACCACATCAAATAATTCTTTAGATCGGAGATCGGGACAATGTCTGGTAGGGGCAGGAGGAGCCCGAAACTGAGAGAATGCATAAAACCAGTTCAGCCCTCGGTTGGGACATGCAAGAGAGGGTTTTTTTTTTTTTTTTTTTTTTTTTTTTTTTTTTTTTTTTTTTTTTTTTTTTTTTTTTTTTTTTTTGTAACCAAGTGTGCTGGAGCTAATCGCCCTCTACTGCGGCCCGATTATTGTTGGACAAGATGAACCCGCAACAGAATGTAGCAGTGGCACAGATTGAGGGCTGGGAAAAGCTTGGCTGAGAAATCACACCGCGACACAAACCGCTCCTTTTCTCGCTCCGCCCCGCCGCCCAACGCACTTCCGCTGCGCCCCCGACCCTCGAGCACACTGATGGCATGGTGTAAACCACACAATCAGAGCACCAGCGGCGGAAAGCGACGTAGGACACGGTGGTGGATATGAACGACATATTTTGGGGGGTTCACTCTACCTTTTTAAAAAAACGGCCCCATATTATTACAATAGGGGGCACCCTCTTTTTACAACTCCCATACTGCATTTTTACAACTCCCATACTGCCCCCATACTACCCCCATACTCCCCACACAGGCACCCACCCACAGGCGGACGCTTTTATATTCATGGTTTGGCGCAAGTGGAATTGGAAATTTTGAAACCGCCTTAAGAAATACTAAATGGATCTTGCTATTTACCAATGACCGCCAAGATGAAGAACATCCACAAGCATCTCGACCTCGCTGACAGTGAAAAGAGGGACGCAATTATCAAGTCAGTCGACCTCAATGCCAAGTCGCCAATGGGCTCTGGACAAACCGCCTGCCTTGTCAAAACACTCAGACCGCTTTGAAAAGCGGCACAAGAACGTCTTGGAAGAACAATGATACAAATCGAACGATGGTTTATTCAACTCATTATGGGTTGCCAAAGCTGAGAAAGATGATGACAGCGCAGTTTTTAGTTTCTTCTTCTTTTGTTTTTTCTTGTTTTATCCCGAAATGTCGGCTGCGGCTCCAGCGGCGGCTCCAGCTGCGGCCCCGGATCAGCAGCAGCCAGCTTTTCGGGGTGAGTTCGGTTTCATCGGCGGCGCGGTCGCCAAGGCGGTCTCCACCACATTTATTATTTTGGTTGTGGCGGCTTTCGTTGCTCGGCACGTGCTGGACGACAAGTACACGATCGCCAAGACCCACTCGCCCGAAATCGTTCAAGCTCGCATGCTCGCACGCTTCGAGGCCGGCTCCGTGATCCCACGTTTCGAGAAATACCACGTCAGTCGTCCAGATGCTATTGCGATGCTTCAAGGGGTGCTGCGCCCCGCGCCGCTGGAGGCATACACGGTCGTCGTTGGCGAAACAGGCTGCGGCAAGACCAGCGCCGTCCTCGACGCCATCCGACCCAACCGCACTGGCATTGTCTACCACATCGTCCGGGATGACCTCTTCGTCGACATATCGAAACGACTGGCCGAATCGCTAGATTTCGAGTTCAACCAATTCACCTTCACAGAAGGCTATTTGAAAGACCGTGGTGTTGAACTGCATGAAGTAACATCGGCAGCAGAACCCTTTAAGAGCTGGGTGTTGCTCAGTCTCAGTCTGAGGGACGTTGCGCAACAGTTCAAGACCAAGCACGGTCACCCTGCCACGCTCGTCATCGACGCCGTAGACATGATCGCCAAGCAGGGTCCAGCACTGTTGCATGTGATTCAAAATTTTGCCAAGTCGGCTGCTGACGAGCAGCTGCTCAATGTTGTTCTCGTCACCAGCGATGGTTCGACTCTGCCCGAGCTCGAGGAATCATCAGCGATGACCCGTGCTCGCGTTGTTGAAGTGGGTGATCTCACCGACGAACAAGCTGTCGATTTTCTGCTACATCGTGGCGTCAACGAGGATTCGGCCAAGCGCGCGGTTGCTGAGATTGCTGGCGGGCGTTTTGTTCTGCTCAATCGGGTCACGAAACAGCTCGGCAGAGGACATCAAGTGAATCAGATCTTTCTGGAGTTCCACATTGGCACTCGAGGTGCCCTGCGTCGACTTTTCGGCGACTTGGCGCAGATATCGCCTCCCGCGAGCAGCACCTTTTGTCGTCTCTGTCGAGGTGCTCAGCATGTCGATGATGTGGAGGAGGCTCTTGGTCGCGACCTCACCAAGAAACTTCTCGCCACCAACGTCAACATTCTCGCTTACCATCCCAACAAGACCTACACCCTTCACTCGCGCCACGTTCAGCGCTCTGTGTCTACCCTGCTGAACTGCACGAGACCGTAGGGCCGTCCCTTGTTTCTGGCTTCTTGAGCCATCTTCAAGCGTTCACCCTCTGCCAACGCTCGCTTTCGTGTGTTGCAATGCGTTCTCAGCATCTGTATAGTATCTTGAAGACGTCGCTCTGAGAATAAAAGCCAATTGTAAAGTTTATCGGCATTCTCGATGCTCGTTGAGCGGACGACTTGCTTTGCATGGGTGTGTGAGTGCAGGAGTGCCTGTGTCACCTACTTTTCTTTGGTAACTCCAGCATTGGATTGGGCTTTCTCACTTTCGCCTTCTTGTTAATCTCTGCAATGGTTTCAGGGAGCTCATTCACCCACTGTGTATCCAGTTCATCAGTATCATGCTCACGTACGTATTGGGGTAATAGAAGGGGACTCTCAATATGAAGCCGGTTTTGTTAAAAGTAAAGACTTTGCCATGTCCCCTTGACCACTATGTGCGCCATCCAGCGCCGCCACAACGCGCTATGTGATCAGTACCATGTATACTGCATGCCTAGGGCCACCAGAGTGGGCGGGGATCGCTCTAAAGGAGGGCTGTTTTCTGGCTTTTTTTCTGTTTTTTGCGTTTTTTTTTTATGATTTTTGGCGTTCTTCAAGGCATTGGTTTCATATGCGCGAGCGGGCCACTGCCCGCTCGGCATTTCCGGATATTCGTCATTCTGCTTTGCAATTCGTGTTCCGTAAGGTAGGCACAATGGAGCGCTTCAAAGAGAATGGAAAATTTCGGTCGCTCCGCGACGATCCGTCGCGTCGCCGAGCGTTGTTCATTGGAAAGTGGGTTTTGAGCTTGTCCGTCTGGGACCTGCTCTCCTTCGTGGTTGCAAAACAAGAAGAAAACATATTTAATGTACAAAAAAAAGCGGCGCGGCGCGCGGGGGGACTTTAGACGCTCGTTGGACGAGCCCCAAAAGAGCGGGATGAAAACGGGGAGAGTTGATCTTTGCGGTCTGCTCAGTCCTTTTCCCTGTGATCGTTCTTCGATCGCTCCGTACGTCCGCCCCTTGCTGTTCTGCGTACCGAGCTCCCATCCTCACGTTCTAGACGTCTTTCTGCATCAAACACAGGACAAACGCACGCACACGCGCACGCACGCATCGCGCTCCACATCTTCACAAAATGAGCGTTCCAGCGCCAGAAAATCCCGCCACAACCTGGTCGCCAATACTCACCGTCACCTTCGTGGTTGACGCCAAGCCCAGCCCGGCCGATCAAACACTTCAACTTGAGCTCCCCCCGCGAACGGACCGGCTCATGGTCCGCCATGTTACGGCGGCGCTCCCAGGCTTCATCCCGCCCGAACTCTTGACCTCGCCCGAAACCCCCATCATCCAGCTAGTCACGTTCGACCAAGATAACATCATGCGAGTGCAACATGACAACACAGCTGTGAAGACGTCGCAGCTCATGGCGGTTGTTTCCTTCAGGTGCAGCAAAAACAATCACGACCGCCGATCGTACGAGTTCTTTGAGGGACGAAAGACATGCAAGTCGTGCACTGATCGCAACGCCAGATATCGTAAAAAAGCTACTGCCAAGAAAGTTGCGTTGAAAGATCAGCAGTCGAGCGAGCCAGCCGAGGAGGCAGCCAGAAACGCTCCGACAACGAGGCTCACCGAGCTTGCCCACACCCGCCTGATGTTCAACGATCCGCAGAGCCTGGAGGACTTCTGGGAAAGCCAACAAAGTACAATCGACTTGCGTTTGAAGCACGACTACTGTCCTGGTCAGTCACGCAGGTCTCAGGTCAGAGATGAGATGGATTCGGCTTCGCCTGTTCTCTCTGCCCACGCTCCACATGATGCTGAAGACGACCTTGCTGCATCGTCCGTGTCTTCGGTTCCGGAAGCAGCTCAGCTCATCCACGCAGACGAGGTTTCCGAGTCCATTGATGAGGATGATCTCAACTCGCACCCAGGCACGTCGCCGGTTTACCTCACGCAAGATGAGCGGAACCAACTCAACCTCTGGTTCGAGAACCGACCCGTGCTGTGCTCAAGGACACAGCGCTTCTGGTGCTTCAATCACCGGTCAACGAGCAGCAAGGAGCCGTCTCCAGCTTCGTCGATGATTCAAGACCGATTTCTCGAATCATTGGACTTCACACACCCCATGCATACGCATCGACTCGACAACGACTTCCGCGTGCAGCCAGGATTAGGGCAAGGCTCGTGTACCTTTGCCATTTCGAAATCCGTCCTGGTTCAAGTAGACGGCAACAATCTGCGGTTTGTTGGTTGGAAGGTTTCTCTCGCCGGCCAGCACGATGCTCGGTGCACGAAGGGCGACTTTGCTCACAAGCAGCTGACGCATCGAATATTCAAGCATGGACATCTGATCTCGCATCCAAGCGCTGCGACGCGTGCTAAACATGCCGGTTGAGCTGTCTAGGGACCACGGTGAGGTGGGTCGCGCGCGCTTTGGGAACCGCACTCCACAACCCCCTCCGCCGCGCAGCCTACACTGAGTCTACCGTCATCCACGGACTACAGGCGGGGGTTTCAACGCACAACAACTCGGATTTTATTGGAGAGCGGACGGGACAGCGTCTCGTGACGGAGGCGATTTTGCAGCTTCATATTGGGAGTACTCTGCTGTGACCATTTCGGATGAATACAGTGACAAATCTTATTTTCTCGTTGACTATTGCCCTGACACCTAGTCTACGGCTGATATAGTATGCTGTAAACCCATCAAAAACGTTGCGCCCAGTTAGAAACCGGTTGAACTCGTTAACCGTGTATATATGGCCTCCAGACTTGGTTGGAGTAGACGAGACAAAGGCGCTCTTTTTGCCACCGCATACCCCACAGGTGCTGGCGAGCCTGGGTGTCCTTCCTCCCGTCACAAGCTGGCTACCAACGTCGGCAGTCTTCTTTTGACACTTTACACAAAATGTTTGACTCATTGTCCAATACGTGTAGATCTATATATTATCAGAGGAGGCACCCGTTTGTTTGGGAGTTGTTCTTAAGCCCGAAGGGCAACATGTGAAGCACTAGCGTAGCGCATGTGCCCCCCCCCCCACTCACGCACTCTAGCTCAAGGCTGAAATGTTTAACCTGCCCGCCGAATACAGTACTGTCCAGTCCCATGTTCTGTATCGCACTTTGGACACACTTTGTTCTTATCGAAATGATCCAGTCTCACCTTTGTCCCCTTGGACCGAATTTTCAAAAAGGACGAAAAACGCTCAAACAAGTCCAAAGCCTCAGTCTGATTTTTTTTCTTGTTCTTTTTCTCGCCCCCGTTTGTTCTGCTTTTCTGTTCCGACAGCAAAAGCACATACATTTTTTTTAACAAAAAAAGAGCGATTCACATTACGTTAAAAACTAGAACGCCGTCACAAAAAAATGCCAGCCGACTACGACGAAGAGGAGGGCCCAATGGAAGTGCCCGAGTACCTGCACAGTAAAGCACGCGCGCAAGTGTCGTCGCTAACCGTGGGAAACCCGGTTCCGGGTGCTCCGGCATCTGCGCTGGCCAGCAATCGCAACACGGACGTGGGCCCGACCGCCAAGGACAACCGCGGGGGCAACTTTGTATCCCGCAAGGTTCAACGCCACATTGACGAGTGCTCAGACACGCTCTCACGCTTCATTGCAGACGCTGTCGAGAACAAGGGCAACGTCGTGACCCTGTCGGCCCTGCAGGACTGCCTGGGCATTGTCGTGCTGATGGTCACCCGTGTCGCCGTGGGGATCTCTGGCCGAGGAGGTGAGTGCAAAAAAAGCGAAAAACAAACAGAAAATCACCAAAATCAGCCAAACACCGGACGGAAAACCGAAAAAAGCAATTGTAGTGTCGGCTGAGAGGTGGTTGTAACGTGGGGTTTGAGCTGTTTGGGCATGAGAGGAGAGTGCACTGATGCTTCGGAGAGCACGTTCATGAAAACGAGAGCTGGATGGGGGACAAGGCGAGAGGAGGAGGAGGAGGAGAAGGAGGACGGCAAACGAAATGCGCACACGAGCGGGTGATGTGGTGTGTGTTTTGGTGTTTTTTTTTTTTTTTTTTTTTTTTTCGAATTTCGAATCACTTTTGAGCGAATTAGCTCCAAAGAAGGGTGCAGAGTGAAAAAAATGATCGTGCTCGGTTCTTTTTTCATTTTGTTTGATTTTTACCTCATGTTGTGTTATTTTTATTCGAGCGATGTGCGGAGGCGGAGGAGGCTTTTTGGTTTCAAATGCAAGTTGTTGGTGCAACAACAACGCTGCCTGTTCTATGCCCCGTTAATGCTCACAGTTGATCCAAACCGTGCTTGGCATTCACTATGGAGACGATGGCCATCGCTTTGGAGGATGGATGGCGGCAGGATTGAGCGCAAAAGTGCTGACAATCGGACGGTCGTGCGTTCAACTTTTTTTGCTTTGATTCGAGCACTTTTGCTCACTTTGTCAAGCTTGCCCTTCACCCTCACACGGCACTTGCTCAAGCACAGCAAGCACCACCCAATTTTACACCCGAACTTACTTATACCAACCCTTCGCTTTCTACTCCCTCCTGAACAGGTCGCGGATTTGTCATTGCAAAGCTCCGCAACGGCAAGTGGTCGGCACCGTCGGCCGTGTCCATGGGTGGAATTGGTCTCGGCGTTGAGCTGGGCGGTGAGCGCACTGGCATGGTGCTCCTCCTGCACACGCAGGAGGCGGTGGCCGCGTTCTCGCGTGGATCGGTGAACTGCCTCGGCGGCAACTTTACTGCTGTCGCTGGCCACCACGGCAAGAACCTGGAGTCGGATCACGCGTTTGGACGACGCTCGTCGACTGCCCAAGGCACGGAGCTGTTCACGTACAGCCACTCCAAGGGTCTGTTTATCGGCGCCAGCTTCGAGTGGGCGCTCTTCCGCCAGTACATCAAGGGCAACAAAGCCCTGTACCCGTCGCTCCACCCCGACGAGCGCCAGTCGTGGGAAATCCTCGCCGGCCACGTGGCATCACCTCCGGCGGCGAACAAGCTCTACCAGGCGCTGACGCAAGGCTCGGCGTTGGTCTCGCTCGAAACCTGGAAACGCCGCCGTGCCAGCATGACCCCGCCCCGCAACGCGTCCACCACGCTCGCCCCGCTCTTCCTGGGCGAGGGCACGCCGCAGCGATACGCCGTCCAGTCGGATGCCAATGTGCGATATGGCGGAACCGCGCCGACCAGCTCGCTCGTCGCCTGGCCTGGATCGCGCCAAATCCAAAACACGGCGGGTGTTGTCCGCATTTCGCCGCACAAGACCGAGTATCGCGACGACTACTAAGTTTGGTTTTGAGCACAGCAGCGGCAGCAACCTTGTGTTTGATGTTTTGTGTGGAAATTTTTGTTTTGGTGGTGGTTGAGCATGCTGGTCTTTTTTTGTTTTTGTCTCCCTCCTCCGCCCTCCCACTTGATCCCCCCAAATCTCGTTGCACATCACTCACATGTATTGCAGTACAGTACGAGACCTGGATGCATGCGAAGAGAGAGGGGCGTGAGTGTATGAATGCGTGTGCTAGCACAAAAGTTTTGTCTTTGAAATGTAACCCGTCTTGTTTGCCGCCCTTCACTCCCAACAAAACTTCTCTTGTATTGGATGCACGCGTGATGAACAAAGGAATTCTTTTTTTGGATTTTTGTTGTATTAGAGGGGGGTGTACAGCAGGCCTTCATTGAATTCAGCCAAGGATCGGAAAACACAATGCATCCAAACACAAAAATGCTTGGACACCCCAAGGCACACCACAAGAGCCGATGCACCCTGAGAAAGACGTGAGAGTTTGCTGCACAGAGACTGACGAGCACCAAGCAAAGACCCCGAGCCAGACATTCACCAAAAGAGGCAAATGCCCAACCCAAAGCCCCGCCCAGCGACATCAATCCAGAACGCTTGTTAGCCGCTCATTTATTTGGAGCGAGCACGCATCTTCCTGCGCTTGCGCTTCAGGCTGTAGAGGATCAAGGGAAGGACAAAACGGACAACGTGGTGAGCACATTGTCGATTGCCAGAAAAGGAGACCAAAAAAAATCAACAAAGTGCGCAAGGCTGAAAAACTCACCGACGCATGCGCTTCTTGCGCCACTACAAGTCAAACAAGGATACGTCGCAAGTAGGAGTGGAGGGAGAGCAAAGGGACAAGCAGAGGTGAAAAGGTTGGTGAGCATCAACAACAACGCCAAAAAAAAAAGCCGGGAATGGTTTTTTTTCGCCAGCCACGTCGCTCTCTCGCCACCGCGACATCCGCAGCTCATCGAGCCTCGCATCGTCTTGAATCCGTTACCTTCGCACGCATGCCTGTGGATTCAGATGACAGAAGGGAGGGGAAGGGCAAGGAGGAGACGAGGTGAAGGTGAGCAAGCAAGGTCGACGACAAAGATCAAAAACGCATTTTTTTTTTTCGATCTTTCGCGCTCCCGTCCTGCCTGCTCGCACAACCCGTGTCACTGTCGATTGCGTTGCTCAATGCAAGCCAACAAGGCTGCAAAGAGTTGAAACGCAATCGGCTGGAGGCAGGAGCGCGAGAGAAGGCAGGACGGAGGAGCAAGAAAAAAAAGAAAAAAAGCGAAAGAAAGGTTTTTTGAACGCGTGGTGTTCAATAAGCAAAAAAAAAAAAAAAAAAAAAAAAGATACTCACTTGAAAATACAGAAGAGTAAAAAAGATAGACTGATGCGAATCTCCAAAAACGGACGGCCGCTTTTGAAGACCACTCCTACAACCCGTACCAAGGGTCTGGCGCGACGACGCTAAAGCGTCCTAAATGGCAGAATTCAAAATGGATCCATGTATGGTATTCCCATCCCAATGTCTCCAGCGGAACAGCCAAAGCGACGCTTTTTGACGAGTTTGTGTTGGTTTTTGAGTTTTTTTGCGATTCTTTTTGGTCAAAACGCATGGGGAGCACGCGGTCGCAACTGGACCGCGAGCCGAAAACCGCACCAGACCATCATGGAATCCTGCTGCAACATGCCCTTACATCCATGCTGCCGCTGCCTTTGTGGGCTTTTGGGATCAAAGTGGCTGGAGATCTCTTGCGTGGAGGAAGGGCGCGAGATTGTGCAGTCTCGTTTTTCAACCAAGCAATGACCGAAGTCGCACCCGTCACCACTGCCGCCGCCCCCACTGAAGCCAAAAAGTGCAAGCCGTGCTGCGCTTGTCCCGAGACCAAGAAGCCGCGCGATCAGTGGTACGGGTGGTCTGGGATTGGGGGAGAAGCTGTGGTGGGGGAAGTCGCGAAAGAAGATATTCGCCGCTTCTGGTTTGTGCGCTGGGCCGGAGGAACTGTGGAGTCAAAATCAGAGCGAATGGTCCATTGCGAATGCCATTCTTGCACTGCTGGACGGTGCTGGCAGAGGGCATGATGCGCAAAAGCAGCCTTTTTCTTTGCTGAGGTGCGACTCGATCAGAATTCGCCGTTTGTCGCGGCGTGGCGTCGCACTCCTGGAATCTGGGCCCCTCGCAACCGCTCAAGCGCAGTCCAAACTTGCACAATAGCCCTTTTGGATTGTCAGGGAGTGTTGATTGCTGCTGCACCGGCGAGGGCTGAGCGATGGAGAGAGAGAGAGAGAGCCGAAACCACTGTGTCAAAGCCAAGACACAAAACGATTCGTCAGTCATGACCACTTGCCGAATTTGATGTGAATCTCACCCTCCAATGGTCTCTCGTTGGTTGTTGGTATTGCTTCTGATTGCATGGTCGTTGTGCTACACAGCATTGTCGAGCGCGGCGAGGCCAACTGCCAAGATCTTATCGCCGCGCACAAGGAGTGCATGAAGGCTCACGGTTTCAACGTCTGAGCGTGTTTCGCATCTTTGTATAGTTGTTGTTCTTAACGATAAAATCCATTACAGTCACACACAAGTTCAACAACTCTTCGTGGCAGCGTCAATGTGCACAGGTTGTAGATTGTTTTCTCTTTAATCGCAACCACAAAAAAACACAAACACATTACGAAGGGGGAAAAAAAAAGGTAGGAAAAAAAAAAATAGACACACGTATCGACTGGTTAAACGAGCGCATCCTGTCGATCAAGAAAGACAACGACGGCAAATACAACAACTCATCCAAACAGATCAGGGAAAAGAAAGAAAAAGAAGGGCGAGACAGAGGAAAAAGGGGGGGGGGGAACGACTGTTTTTCCTCCGCCAGAAATTACAACTTGCTTGGTTTTTTTGGTTCTTCTAGCAGCACTTGCCACCAGCTGCCTTGGCGCCGTCGGGCTTGAGCTCGACGTTGCCAGACTGAGCACCACCGGGTGCGGCCACACCACCGGGTCCGCGCGAATCGGTCTTTGGCAGTTTCTTGGCTGCAATTGTGGAACGAGTTGTAAAAAAAAAAAAAAAAAAAAAACCAAGTCAGTCACTTCACTTCGAGAAACTTCACCACCACATCATCACAAACCCAAAAGCCGCTTACCAATGGCAAGGAAAATCTCATTCACGTTCATAGCAGTTTTGGCCGAGGTCTCCATGAAGAGCAGGCCGTTGTCTTCGGCATACGCCATCGCCTCCTCGTACTCGACAACACGCTTGACGCTCAGATCAGCCTTGTTACCAGCAAGAGCAATGACAATGTTGGGCGACGCCTGGCGCTGCAACTCCTTGACCCAGGTCTTGGCGCGTGCAAACGTGTCGGCGTTTGTGACATCGTAGACAACAATCGCAGCCTGCGCGCCGCGGTAGTACATGGGCGCAAGGCTGTGGTATCGTTCTTGGCCTGCGGTATCCCAAATCTCGAACTTAACAGTGGTGTCATCCAAGCAGACGGTCTGGGTCAAGAACGCGGCTGTCAAAGCAAGCGGAAAAAAAAAAAACAAGAACAAAGTGAGCGACCGAGTTTTCTTTTCGTTTCAACAAGGTGACTGCTGCTGCTGCTGCTGCTGCTGCAGAAGGTCACAAAGCACCAGCATGCCCACAAGGGGCAGGGGAGCAGGGCGACTATCGGCCAACGGGCTTAATAACCCCACACAAAAATTCCCTCCAATTGTGCTCTCCTGATACTCGTGGAACTGGCCCTTGACAAAGCGGAGGACAAGACTTGATTTGCCGACAGCAGACTCGCCTGAGCAAATGCAACGAAAAGAAGAAGCCCCACAGAATGACAAGTGAGCATCAGCAATGGGAGGGGGGGGGGGAAACGAGGGACACAGTGAAACAAGGCAAGCAGCTGGCAAAAACAAAAGAGAAAAAACCCAGCCGAAAACAACCACAGGCACAAGCACTCTTTCCCCCCCCCCAATTCATGCACACGTTGAGCCAGCTGCATCACTCCCGCACTTGGAGAACAAAAAAGGGGGAAAGGGGGGGGCGGGAAGGGACAAAAAGCGAACGACTCAAACGAACAAGTCCAGAAGGAAAAAAAAAAAAAAGCCAAAAAAAAAAAAGCGAGACAAACGTCAGCAGAAACAGAGTGGCGCTTGCTGCAACGACGCGCCGCCGCATCTGTGCTTCTCAGACATGTACGCGACACAGGCAGCACGAGGGGGGGAACGGGTGGGCACGGAAGGACGAGCGCGTCGGGCGGGCAAAGCAAAAAAAAAAAAAAAAAAAAAAAAACCGAGACACAGCCAGAGCTTGGAAATAAAAAAAAAAATGAAAAAAAAGCCAGGGTTGTTTGAGTTTCCTCCTGCATGTGCGACGGTAGCACGGCAGCCGCGAGAGCCAACGCAGCGAGGTGGACTTGCTGCACAGGGCACGAGTGTGGGCCTACGCGAGTACTCGCTGGGAGCAGCGGGGCCCGTTCAAGCAAGCAGAAAACAGCCGAGAGAAAACAAGAAAAAAAAAAAAAGCACGCACTGGTCCAAACAGTTCTTTTTTTTTTTTCTTTTTTTTTTTTAATTCGCTGCGTTCGCCGTGCGTTGTCGTGCGACGCTGCAGCACACACCAAACGCAAGCGCACGATGCGCTCGCAGACGCTTGCCGATGGAGCGTAAACCAGTTCGCGGCAACGTCGCAGGTCTGACACGGCAGCTTTTTTATTTTAATTTTTAATTTTTTTTTTTCCTTCTTCTGTGTCATTGAACAAAAGAAAACGCGTTCGCCCTGCTTCGTCTCTGAGAAACCCATCACACCCCGTTGGAACTCTGCTGACCAATACCAACAAACAAAGAAAAGAAAAGACCTTAAAAAATCATTACCAAGTAGTACAAGTTTGAATTGACAAATCTTTGCAGCGCCGCCTGGAGCAGCTCGTTGTGCTGGTGCTCGTGCAGCCATTATTGTAAATTTAGAGTGGTGCTCGTCTGCATTTGGAGTGCAATTGTTGCAGCACCCTACGCTTGAAACAGGGATGTACTTGCCAAGCGTGACTGTTGGACTAACTTTGCTAACCGAGCCGGCGGACATGCGCAGCGGAGGAAGGGATGCTGAGAATGGGGAGCAATTTGGGCAAAAAGAAAAGCGAACAAGCGAAATGAACGTCAGCTATTTGAATCCGGCCGAGTGCTGTTCAACCATGCAGATAAAGCATCACTTCAAGCACTGGGGGAATAAATGAAAAAAAAAAAGAGCCATCCAACACGGGAAACAAGACATCAAAGAGAAAAAATAAAAAAAATAAAAAAATAAAAAAAAAGGCCGCAACACCGCTTTACACACATTGTTGTCGAAATTGGGACTGAGCATTAGCTTGCATGAGTCAGTCTCCTTAAGACGTCATTTCAAGACTAAGGCTGGCGTCACGATCGCTCACGAGCCATATTGTTGACAATTTTGTTGTGCAAACGCCTCGTCAACCTCTCCTGTCCCCTCCCCCATCCCATTCCACCGTAATTCAAGGTGACTTACTTGACTCAAGAGCTGGGCGGACGCACGAGCAGATGCGTCCACATCGGTAGCGCGCCGCATCAAGTCCTTGAAGGCGTCAGACCATTGTGCGGGAGATTTTAACGTGGGTGACCCATGAATGGCAATCAAAAACAAAGCCTAACCCAGTCCCCAAGAATCAAAACAAAAACCAAAAATCACCCAATCAAGTCAACGAAGCACAGCATGAGGTCAGGAATACCAAAATGAACCGTACTCGTAATGGAGGAAAGTCTAAAAACGGTGGCTCGCCTTCCGCCATTTCAATACACAAAATGCCCAAGCTCCAGATATCAACCTGTCAACAACAGCAACCATAACAAATGAGCATTCTCTTGAGTCTACCAAGCAAAAGGCCAGACGAGCAGATCTACCTTCTGGTCATAGTCTTCTCGTCTTATCAGTTCGGGCGCCATCCAATAAGGCGTGCCCACAATAGAATTCCGTTTCGCGTGATTGTTTGTAAGTTCGGCACAATAGCCAAAGTCACCTGAATCCCAACAAGTCATGGTTTTTTTGCATTGAGCAATATTCAACAAACAACAACGACAACAGCACCGCACGCTTGCTACTATACCAAGCTTAACAGTGCCGTCCATGCCAAGTAGCACATTATCGCTCTTGATGTCACGGTGTATTCGGTTGTTGCCGTGGAGGAATACCAAAGCACTCAGCAATTCTTTGCAAATTAAAGCGATCGTTGGTTCCGTCATGTGGCCCATGCTAACAACCTGTGTGAGTGAGCCGCCATCCATGTATTCCATAACGACCTGGACACGGAGAGGGGGGGGGTGTTTCCAAAGACGATGTGCGCTTTTCAGTGAGCATGCTTTTGTCTCTAAACGAGCGCCAAATCCAAAATTTAAATAAAATAAAAATACTCACCCAGAGATGCTGAGATGTCTTGTAACTCTCAATGTAGTGCACAATGTTGGCATGCCGGCTAGAGCTCATCATGGCAATCTCGTTCTGGAGAGCCTTGATGTCTGTTCGGAGAGTGAGCGCAATCTGCTTCACGGCCACCGTCTTGGACGTTGCGACCATTGTGCCTGTCGGGTAAAAAAAAAAAAAAAAAAAACAAGACCAAAAGCGACCGTTAGTTCCGAGCAACTCGAGTCACACGCTCGCTCTCCGCAAGGTCGACAAGCGCCGACGACGTACCCGTGTGAACAGAGCCGGACGACCCTTCGGCTACTTTGCGGAGATCATGAATCAATGTTCGCGGGTCCTCCTTGCTGATGAGGGCATCCCAGCGCAGCTTGATCTGCTCTTCGCTGGACAGCAGCTGCTTTGCACCACCAGCAGCATCCTTGTGGTTGCCGCGAGGCGCGGGCTTGCCAGCAGCCGATTTGCCAGTCACGCTTGGCAGGTTCATGAGCGCGGCGGCGGAGGGATCGAGTAGCTTTGGGGTGGCGACAGGCGAGGTAGCCTGGGAGGTGGGAGAGGACACTACAGGGGAGGGCGCACCGCCAGTCGCATACTGGGAGGGCGATCCAGACAGCGCGGGAGACATGGAGCGAGAGGTCGACGGGGAAATGTCGCGCGAATGAGCGAGTCGGTTGTCTTCCTCGCGATCGGCGACGCTCCGAAGCATCTCTGTATGAAATTCAAGGACCTCGCGCAAGACGGCGGGATGTGCCTGCATTTCCTCCTTGGAGATGCCGGACGACGCCAGCATGACGCTCCATTCCGGCGGCAATCCGCGGATGACTATTCCTTCACCCTTGGCCGACTTGTCGACGTGCGCGTGGACGTTGTGCGACACATTGTACGGAGCGCCAATCGACTCGATGCCACCATCCCCGCCACTGCTGCCGCCAGAGACGTGGGACAAGTCCGCCGACGCGCGACTCGAGCTCGACGCAACCGATCCGGCGCTCTGCCAATTGCTCGAGAGCTCGCCGCCGCTGACCACCTCTCCCGACGAGTCGCTCTGCATTGAGAGTTGCTTGCGCAGCGGTGCCGACGGGACGAGCGAGGGCTTGAGGAAGCGCGTGCTGGTCACGTCCTGGTGATCGAATGAGCCAAGAATCAACGCGTGAAGGACAATCAGCAGCAAGCAATGAACAAGGAAGCGGCCACGGGGTACGGCAGACCGCAAACAGGCACAACAAGACGAAGGACAGCAACATGCCAGTGAGTCAAAGCGAGTGCAACAATGACGGGGAAAGCGGGGTGGGTGCAGCCAACGGGAAAGAAAAAAAAAAAAAAAGAGCAAAGGGGGGTCATCACCATCTCGTTCTTCAATTCCCTTACAACGCTCTGGCCAGCGGGAACAGCCTCGTGCCACACGTCTGGCAAGCCGTGGAATGTCTGCGTCTCGCGGTTGTACTCCTATTGCAAAAAGCGGAGGGGACCGCAGAGTCAAGCAGTGGCACGGAGCGGTGAGTTGACAGATTAGACCGCAGCCTTTTTTTTTTTTTTTTTTTTTTTTTTTTTTTTTTTTTGGTTTTGCTGGATTTGTTTCGAATGCCTTATTGTTTTTACACGTACCACATGCACCCCGTGCTCGACGCGTGAGGGCGAGCCGATTTCACGGACATCCGCTGGATCGCGGATCTTGCGCACGATTTGCTTGAGCGAGTCCATCGCTGTGGGTCTGCCGTTCTGACTCTCGCTGGACGAAAAGCTCAAGCAATTTGGGCAAGTTTTTTTTTTTTTTTCTTCCGTTTCTTTTGAGCAAAGATGGAAAGTTTTTTTTTTTTTTTTTGATGCTAACTGTGTCTGAGCGAACGGAAGAAAAATTACAAAGACTGAAGCAGATATCTACTCATAGCAGCAACTGATGAGCACTGTTCAAAGAACGATGCATGGTCGTGAAATACGGAAAACTGACAAATCGGTTCGAGATCAGTGGACGTTGCAATGAGCCAAGTCTCTGCCCTCCTTCCCTCTTCTCCAGAGCCAGCTACAAGGTCACAGGTAATCATGGATAGTGTAATAACTGCCCGGCTCCAAAAGAGATGCTCTTCCGTCTCGGTTTCCCATCAAAAGCTCGCTTTTGGTTCGTTTTTGGTTACATTTCAATCCTCCCACTTCAAAGCTCATGAATGCAACTACAAAATCAGGATCATCAGAACAAACTCAATGCAGTACAAATGAAGATGTGCAACGTCACAGCTCACTCTTTCTGCATTGTTGTGACGTAGGTTTGGTTTGTTCACCAAATCTCAAAGTAAACAAAACAACAATCTCGTTCAAGATCAGCCGTTGCTTGCTTCTGAGGGCCGCTGTTGGGCTGCCGTCCCAACAACTTCGGAGGGCAGCTGGTGGACTGTCGGTTCACCAAACGCGAAGCTGAGGTGGGGGGAGGAAGGGAGGGAGGGAGGACTGTCCGATTGTATTGCGTGAAGCTTGTGACATCCAAACAGCATCAACAGAAGGATCAAACAGCTTGTACCTTGGGGCATGGTGGGGCATGGCTGCTGCCTGCTGCGGATGGTGGAGTGACAAATGGAATCGTCTGTAAAGTTGCTCAGTGTAGCAGCAGCAATTCAGAGACTGATGAGCAGGGTCGGAATCACTCAGAGAATCCACTCATTTGTTGTGATTGTTGCGTTCAGGTTTGCCATGTCGCTGTCTTACGAGGCGATGACGCCGAACCAGCGCAAGTGGTATGAGAAAGTCAAGAATGCGAGTGGTGAGCTCCGGTAAGAGAGCAAAGACAAAAAGACGAAAGTGCTGAATTATGACACTGACAAGCGTCGAAAGTTTATGGGCTTATTCTGATGCTCCAATGCAGGCAGTTGCTGAAGCACTCAAGGTGAACACAGCGCTCACCAAGCTCGAGTAAGTGGACTGCCAGTGATGAATGAGATCGAATGACAGATTCGGACTGCCGAACCGCGGCACTGACAGTAGCTTGACAGCCTGCACTACCATCTGATTGGTGATGCTGAAGCGCAAGCAATTTCCGAAGCACTCAAGGTGAACACGACGCTCACCCAGCTTGAGTAAGTTGACTGCCTGTGATGAACGAGATCGAGTACCAGATCAAGGCAGTCGAACCGTGGTTGCTGATAATAACTTGACAGCTTGAGCGACAATCAAATTCATGATGCTGGAGCCCAGGCAATTGCAGAAGCACTCAAGGTGAACACGACCCTCACCCTGCTCGAGTAAGTCGATTGATCAGCAAGATTCAGCGTCAAGTGCTTTCACTCAATGCCTCAACAGTTTGAGCCACAACCCCGTTGGCGACGCTGGGGCTCTTTCCATCTCAGAAGCACTCCGACAGAATAAGACTTTGCAAATTCTCGAGTAAGCGTTTTCAGTGCTGAATGCCCAACCGCAGCATTACTCACAGATCAATCGGTAGTTTGGCGTACAATCAGATCGGTTATGTGGAGGAAACGGTACTGCGCCACAGTATCCATCCAACCTTGCAATTGTAAGTTCTCTGCTTGGTTGGTTCACCGACGACCCATTCTGCCCTCACTTTTCCTTCCAAATTCAGACACATTGATGACCAGCAGCGATCTGGTGCTGTTCGATGCCGGGAAGTCCGCGTGGTCGTGCTTGGCGATCCTTCAGTCGGCAAGACTTCACTTGTTAGGGGAATCGCCGACGGTTACGTGCGACAGGCGTTCTCCAATATATTCAGCATTGCCAATTCCACCGATGGTATTGACATTTCGACAGTCGTTCTGCGTGAAAAAGGCGAATCCATGATTTTGATCATTTGGGATTTCGCTGGTCAAGAAGTCTATCTGGTTTCGCACCAGTTCTTTCTTCGAGAACGAACAGTCTACCTGGTCTTGTTTGACGTGCGTGAAGACTTATCACTCCATTCGCGCCTTGCCTTTTGGCTACGCAGCTTGCACGCTTGCGTTCCAAACGCCGATATCATTCTTGTTGGAACCCACATTGATCATCCGTCGTACACTTCGGAGCGGCAGCAAGAGCAAAAACAAAATCTTGCCAATCTGCTCAGCAGCCTGAAAAAATCAAGTGTTTCGTTTAACGTGCGTTCGACCGTCTACATTAACGCGCGGAACTCTACGGGGGCCCCGAGCATGCCGGAACTCAAGAGTGCATTGTTTCAAGCCGGACAAAACATGCCGTTTTACAATCGGCTGTTGGATGGTCAATACCTTGAGCTCAGAGACTTGCTCCGAAAGCGAGCCGATCAGTTGGTCGCCCAGAACAAACCGCCTCTCTGTCGATGGCATGAAATTGTCGAGCTTGGCCAGTCACTGCGTCTCAGCGGGCGAGCAATCGATGCGTTCATGGAGCTCTTGCGTTTTCAAGGCTGGGTCGTTTTCCATCGTCTCGCCAATTCAGCTACCCAAGACACGTCCAATGTTCCCGCGCTGCAACCTGCAACTCTCCTCGCTTCGATGAACGACATTGTCATCTTGAACCCTCAATGGTTCACGAAAACAGTCCTGACTGGAGTGATTACGCAGAAACCTCAAGATCGATGGGTCACGGATGGCATTGTGACTCGAGAGAATCTGCTTCGAAACGCTTGGAAGGGCATCGATTCTGCGATTTGTGATCAGTTTGTGCTGCTCCTTCAGCGATACGAGCTTTTGTACAAGATGAGCGATGCCGATCAGCCTGGAACCGATTCTGCTTCAAGCGCAGGCACTCGCTATGTCATCCCTTCGTACCTACCAGCCTACAAATCCGACCCTAGTAGATGGTCTCTGAAGCCTGCAGCGGGCGAGCCGCATGAAGTTGCCATTGTGATGGAGACCAAGTTTTTGCTGGAAGGATTTTTCTCGAGGCTGGTTGTGCGCTTTCACGAGCGGAAATTCCACTTGACGGCGTGGCGAGATGCTGTTCTGGTCAATTGCGGCGGTCCTCGAGCGCTCCTGCGTGCTCATCGCAACGATTCCAATGTGCGCCTCGAGTTTACCGCTCGCGGGAAGCATCCAGAGAGGCTGCTTCCAGCTCTGATTGAGATACTGGACAAGCTCAGCTCGGATTGGTATCCTGGAATCTCGTGGAAAACCTACCTGCGCTGTCCCATGCATGAGCCCAATGACAAATCATGCCTGTGGACACTACGACCTCAAGTTCGGGATGCGGTTATCAACGATGAGCAACCTTTATCTTGTTCGCACACGCACATCACGTTTCCAAAGGAGGAATGGCTTCCAGTTCTCAGCTCGCTTTTGCAACGTCGCTTGAAAGTGGTTTCGCAACCCACACCGGAGGATATCGAAGCGCTACGGCAACTCGAACCGCAACCGGCGCCGGCGAGCGAGATCCAAACAGCAGCCACGCAAGTTGCATCACTTGTCGCAGCTCAACTGATTGCATCTGGAAAGCAAACATTGCAGGAAGTTGGTGCGGCAGCCATCCATTCTGTTCGCGAAGTCGAGAAGCAAGTGACTTCTTCTGGAGTGCAGCAGCTTCAAAGTATTGCCGCTCAGTCAGCGCAGGACTTGCAGCGTTTCAATAAGGCTTTGGATGGCATCATTGGATCAATTCCCAATGCAGTCCAAACTGATCCTGTCGAGTTTGATCGGCTGATCCAGTCTACAGTTTTGAGGCGCATCGATGAGCTTGCCAACAGCTTGATTTCCAGATTTGACACAGCAGAATCCCTGCAACAGGAGCAGAGAAACGAAATCGCTCGTTTTTTCACGAGTCAAGTCCAAATGCAGCTGGACTTGCTGGACAAACCATGCCCGTTGTTGTTTGTCGTGATGCCTCCGGCTGCGACCCGGAACTGGTGTTCCAAGCTCAAAGAACTTTACAAGTCACGCCACACTGCGCACCTGCTGTGTGCCCACATGAATTCCAACAACCAGCCAGAGTGGCATCGTATCGACAGTCATCCTGGCTACGAAATTGCCAAGTTTTCAAAGTGGCTGAAAAAATATGGTTCGCGTGTTCGCAGCCTGCTTGAGTTTGTGCGTCCGTTCTTGAAAGCAGCCAGCTTGGCTCCTGGTGGACCAGATGTAACGGATGCGGTTGATTCAGCCATTACTGCTTTGAAAGACCCGCTCGAAGGTTTGAACTACTTGCAAAGATTGCTCGACCATGCTGATCAGCAAAAGAGCTCCAGCGCGAAAGGAAAGCAACCAGCGCCTGCATCTGCTGCTTCCTCAGAAGTCACACACTCGTCCCAAGAGGCGGCAAGGGAATGGGCTGCTTTCCTGTCCAAGAACGACGAGTACAAGTCCTTTGCCGGTTTGGAGCGAGCTGTTGTGCTCGACGGTGGTGAGGTTCGTTGGGTCTGTCCGACGCACGCGCAAGAGCCCATCTATCGCACCAGCTCCATTTCGAGCAGCTCGTCCGCCGGGTCCTCTAGCAATGCGCCAAGCAGCTCTTCCAGTGGCAATGCTACACGCAATTCCTCCGCGCCATCCACTTCAACACCGTGATGCAAGCACGTCGTGTTTTGTTTTCACTCGCCGTCAAGATTGTGCTTTCATGTCTGTTTCTTTTCAATTGTGTGCATGCGTTGATGTTCAATACAAATTTGATCCTTTCCTCTTTTTCTGCTTTGCACTGAACAGTGCAAAAGTCACGAAACACTACAAGCGAGATGCCAATTATGCTGCGTGGCCACATGTATAACAGAGTTATTGAGCGATCCTACACAACGAGAAACATGGGTCGGGGTGAGAAAATGACGGGTTCCTCGGGGTTTCACCTTTGTTTTATTTCCTTTGATTGAAGCCACAGTTTTCAAACCAACTCAACGAACTTTCAAATTCTGAGTTTCCATCCATTGAAACCAATTCATTCACAAAACAAAATCTAACGAAAAGAAACAAAAGCTCAGTTTTTTCTTTTTTTTTTTCTTCTTTTTTGCTTCGGTTCGAGCACGAAACCCCTTGCTTTCACATTAGTCAAACAGTGTAATAACTGTAGAGTCGGCGATCATCTCACAAGTGAGCGATTGAATGAATCTACGATCAAGTCAACAGCTCAACTGAGCCGCTCAAACGTCAAAAATAACCAACAAAATGCAGCACAAAATACGGAATTCCCCCATCATCCGTTGTGACCGTAAAATGCCACAGACCTCGCACACAATGAAATGATCAGCAGACAGTGTATTGTTTGCTCGATCTCACAACACTTAAGAGAGCGAACTCCAGCAAAAAACAAAAAAAAAAAAAAAAAAACAAAGCAAGTTCCAAAAACACAGCTCCAAAGTTTACTTCTTCTTGTCGCCAGTCGGGCGGTTGAACTTGAAGAAGATGATATCGCCGTCTCCCACAACATAGTCACGTCCCTTCATGAGGTACTTGCCAGCGGCCTTGACTGCGTTTTCAGAGCCAGCCTCCTTATAGTCGTCAAAGCGCATGACTTCCGCCATGATAAATCCGTGCTCCATATCGGTGTGGATACGGCCAGCAGACTGGGGGGCCTTGGTGCCACGCTACAGAAAAAAAAGCGCCAAGAAGACACAAGGAGGCCGTCAGATGGTTGCGGCAAAGGCGTCCAAATTCATTCGCACCAAACACCTCCAGCAAAACAAAAATCGAGCAATCAGCTTCATTACCTTGATGGTCCAAGCGCGGACTTCGTCGGTACCGGCAGTGAAAAAGTACTCGAGCTGCAGAGCCTTGAAACCAGCGCGGATGATCTTGGGGAGCGACGAGGTGCACTTGGTCTTCTCTTGGTATTCGGCGGCCTCTTGCTCGGTCATGTTGAGGAGCTGGCAAAGGGGTTGAGCATTGTGACGAGTGAGATGGCGGCGTTTACATCGGTGTCCACCAAAAGAAGAAGAAGAAGAAAAAAAGGGTAGACAAAAGCAGGAAAAAAAAAAACAATCTCATGCCGTACCTTGCTCTCGAAAGCACCGCTCAAAGGAATGACAACTGATCGCTTGTCGCGGGACTGGACAAACTCGATGATCTTGGGCAGCCTAAGAAAAAGGAAGAAGACACAACACACACACAATTTTTTTTCAACATTGTGCGCCGTGTCCTTGCCTCTTTGCTCACCAAGCCACGCCAGAACGCTTCTACATACCACTTGTTCTTCTTTCGGATGAAATCCTCCTCAGAAAGATTGACGAGGTAGATGACGGGCTTGGCAGTGATGAGGGTGAGGTCGTTGAGGAACTCAATCTCCTTCGAGTTCCAGGTGCCAAAGCGGATCTCCTTCTTGTCGCGGACAACCCAGTCGTGCACCGTTTGGCACATGGCGAGCTCCTCCTTCTTGGCCTTGTCGTTGCTACTCGTGATGATGCGAACAGACAGATTCGTTAGAGAATTTTGCAAGGATCGAACAACAAAACGCAGCAATTTGCCGCACGACAACAAAACAAAAAAACACAAACTACCCACCTCTGGCGGGTGGTGCGGGTCAGGAAATCGAGGTGCTTGTCCAAGAACTCCTGGTCCTTGAGGCGCAGCTCTTCGTGGATAATCTCGAGATCGCGGATGGGGTTGACGTCGCCCTCGACATGGGTGACATCCTCATCCTCGAACGTGCGGAGCATGTGGAAGATGCCATCGACGGCCTTGATGTGCGAGAGGAACTGCAGGTTGTGCGATGCATGCATCATCGGGTGAGTTGCCAAGCGTTCAGCAGTTCAATCCTTCCCATTTTTTTCCCATTCGGGCTTACAGCGTTGCCAAGACCCTGGCCTTCGGCAGCACCCTTCACGAGACCAGCGATATCAGTGATCTGGAGGTATGCGGGGACCTTGGAGGCGGGCTTGTGGTGCGCGCACAGCCAGTCAAAGCGTTCGTCGGGAACCTATTTGCGCGAGAGCCCGAGCCCGAGCCCGTTAGTTTTATGAGCACGATTCGTTTCATGAATTAGAGGAGAGAGTGCTGGAGCGGGACATCCATCAGCATGTTCAGATGAGTATGGCAATGGCATTGCATTGCATTCGGTTTCAATGCTGTTTTCCATGTGCGCCTCTTTTTTTTTTTTTTTTTCTCTTGTAAGATTTTGACTGACTTGTTCTCTGTGCTCGTTGGTTCCACGAAGACGATGCTTCACAGCAGTTCACAAGCCATCGTATCGGCTTGTTTGAATTTGGGGGGGGGGAGAGAGAGAGTTGAGCTGAGGCTGGAGGGAACTGACTGCGTTGAAGCGAAACCGAGATCGCAGGTTCTTCTCGCTCCGTTTTCAGCGAATCGACCTCCGCTCCCGACACTCAAAGTGAATGAAAAATCACACAAGAAAGGCGCCGACAAGGGAGAACGGTGGGGTGCGCGGGGGGTGGGGGGGGGAGAGATGAAGAACAGCAGACTGAAGAGTGCTTCGATGCTTTGGCTTGTTGTTTGCACTCACGGGGCAGCGAGCTTCGTTCGGCTCGATGGTGCAGAAGGGGAAGTTCTCGGCAGCGGCGGACGACTTGGTGAGGACGTTGAAGAAGGTCGACTTGCCGACGTTGGGCAGACCGACAATACCGCATCGCAAGTTGGTGCCCACGCGGCCCAGCAGCACAATCTCTTCCTCTTCAGCCTTCTTCGGTGGCATTTCGCTTTTTGTACAGTATCAAAAACAGTGAGTGCGCGAAAACACGCAAACTCGGAATGGAACAATGTTAACGCGTTATTAAGAGATTAAGATAAAAGGGTGCAGAACCACAAAGGGGAGCTCGACAGGCTCAATCGATCATCCACGAATCATGAACCTGAATCAGGGCATCGAGCCGCTCGAGACTATCAGCGTGCGCTCGAGTGCGTTGACGGCGACCTGGAGCGTCTCGGGACTGGCTCGGCACTTTGTAGCGCAAATCGCCAAAAGAAACGCATAGGCATCATGAAATTCGCCCAGGTCGTCGGCTGCAGAGTAGTGAATGTACGTTTGGGACACGTCAGGGTTATCTGGAGGAAGCTGGAGAATGGGTGCAGCTGCTGTTGCATCAGATGTGGGGCCGTTGTCGCTCATGGCAGCAGGAGCGGACGCTGGCACAGCCTGTTTGAGAACGTGCAGAATGTCGTTGATTGCTGCAGAAAACAGAGATTGGTGAGAGCAAGTTCACGACCATGTCAGACACAGACACGCGATAGAACAGAGAGGGTACCGTACTTGCTGGCGTTGGATTGGCAGCAGCAAACACATGCTGGTCGGCAAAATGCAGTAGCTGAGCTTCTTCCGAGGCAGACATGGCAGAAAGTCTGTTCGAACAACAACACCACCCGAGCGTTAGATTTCAGCAAAACTGAACACAGTAGGCTGCGACAAACCAACAAGCCGTACAATGACGTTCCGGGAGAAAACAGTTTGGAAAACTTGACTCTCATGTGCGCGACCCATTCATTCCAGTGTGCTGCCGTATCACGCGATCTGTTGGAGGCCATGGGTTGTGCGTGAGGAACGTTCATCCCAAGAATCATTCGAATCCCTAACGAATCACACGAAAAATCATCGAAAATCCGCACAAACAAAAACCAATATTTACCTTGGCTCGCTGTCATCCAGTCCAAAGTGTAGTTTGAGCACCAGAACAACAAAGGCCATGCATGCCACTTCTGGAATAGTTTTCGTGGATGCATGAACATGCAACGAGACCGGCGCAAGCATTGCGAGTTGAGCTATCTGCTGCTGCATGATTTCTGCTCGAGCAAACAGGATGGGCAAATGCTCTCAGAACGTTGAGTTGCACGAGGAATTTGCTCTGGAATACAAGCACTGCTGCTGGTTCTCGACTTACCAGGCAGTGCCAAATCCTGCAGCGTCGTCGTCCAGAAGGCTAGTGGTGACCACGACGGAAGATCCGACGGTATCTCGATCACTCGAGCCACCTTACGAACTAGCTGAAACATTTTCTCTGACGACGGGATTCGCTGTGTTGTCATTACGTAAAGCAGAGGCAAACAAAAGTTGCACGAGCACTTTAGCCAAAGCTTTGTTCAGCGGACTCCAACGCCCGTCGATTGCTTCTTCTTCTTCTTACCTGCGGTTTAAGGGACCGAAATGCGACCGTTGGCTTTCTAAAGCACGGAGGAAGCGCGGCATGAGCGGACACGAATGGCAGTTCGCCACGCTCCACCAATCTGCACAAAACATTCAATGCAAGTCAGTGCAAGCAGCGACCTTACTAGCGCAAAAAGCAAAGTCAAAGGACGTACCGTAATATATCCATGAGCAACACTGGCACGCAGAGATAGTTGCACGACAGGAACAAGATGGCGAGACACAGCTGCAGCTTTGGTTTGGCCAGCAGAGAAGCGGCTTGTGCTTGCATGCGTCGTCGTTGGCTATCACGGGATTGTTGTGCCTGAACACTGCTCAAATCCAAGAATCGTGGCGGCATGTCGTATTCGGATGGCGCATGCGGAGCGGGCGAAGTGGCTGGCGAAGCCCAAAGTGGCGACGCGGACGGCTCTGGTGCAAAGCGTGCCGCCCACCCGCGTACAGGCGAGAACGCTGGAGCAGATGCGTTGCTAGCAGCACTTGCCGATGCGCCCATCGTTGGCGGCTCGACGGCAGTCACAACAACGGCAGCAGAACTCGCATCGTCCTGATCGTCTCCCATCACACGAGCAGCCTTCAACAAGGAAAACCACATCTTTCCGGCGACATTCTAAATTGATTGTGTAACACAATGCAAAATCCAGACGTGACAAGGGTGAGTGCACACGATCACGATGATGCTGGATCCGGGGTCATCACTACCCATGGAGTGAACTCGCCTTCAGCTCGGGCGCGACGTGCAGCTTGGTAATCATGACTCGGACTTGCATTTGTAATACGCATTGCAGCGCAGCCAGGAGTGCATCGCGCGGTTCGACTCCAGCGAGCAGCGTCGGGTTGTCTTCGACTGTCAACACACGAGGACACCCCCAAAAGCAAGTCAGTCACTCCTCGCACGCAAATCCACAGATCAAAACCAACAAAAAGTAACGACAATTTGCTACGTCGAACGCAACAACCCAATACAGCGAGCGATGGTTACCGTTGTCGCTGCGGGTGGATGGATCCGGCGCGGAGGCGTAGTTTCGCACGACCTTCCTCGATCTCCGAAAGGTGCCCAGCTCGGCAACGTCGACCTCGGACACCTCCTGGCGAAAGTCCTGCGACTGTGTGCCGCATGCGTCGCACACAAAGAAGCCGTCCTCGTCCTCCACAAACGTCTCGTTCTCGCACACTGCGCAGAGCATTTGCACGGCGGTCGGGGTTGAGCACTGCTTGCTTTTGATAAATCAGAAGTGAGGACTGAAACTGCGGGATCTGAGCTGATTGTGAGATGGGTGAAGTGTATGAATCAAACAGGACTGACATGAGTATGTTTTACCATGGATGCAAAACAAGGCTCGAACCAGAACAATACGCCTAAATCCCTACGGGTTCCATAATGAATGGTAAAATGGCAATCGTGAGATATCACCATAATCGACCCACCATTGTGATCGACTTGATGTGGCCAATAATAGTGTCAGAGGAGTGGCGGTGCTCAGATGAGCGGTTTTCTCAGAAAATTGAAAAATAAAAATGGCCTCGAGGCCACCGCAAAACGGCGCCACAAGCGTTCTTCCAGGACAAGTGCAGCAGAGCATCATAATCTTTGCTCAACTTTGCACCCCCCGCATTTTCGAGATCGAGCACACTGACTGCCTAGGGTGCATCGCGTACTATTACGGCGAGGAAGCGCGCAGGACAGAAACACTGTTTTGACCCCTAGAAGAACGCCACAACGCCGGTCGCCCTCGCCGAGCTCGATTTCCCGACGTGTCCAGTCGGTGTCGGACCGCGCACTTTTCAGGGGTGATTACAGATGATATTTACAACCGTTTTGGCTCAATGGCGGGGCGATCGCAGTGGGGAGCGATTTTGTGTGAAGCTGGATCTTTACTACTTTGGGCTGGATTGAGCCACTCTTTTCTGTTGTTCTTTAGAGCCATAGGTCTCGGGTCGATTCTTGTACTTTTCTGTCTTCACGAGACCGACCAGACCTGCAACACACACACACGTCAAGCAATTCATCCAAGCATAAGAGCCCGACGCACAAGAGCCAGCGAGCGCACGAGGCGAGATGGAGGAGGACGAGGAGATCCAGCCGCAACCAAGCTACGAGACATGCAGTGTGCGGCTGGTGGTCCTTCACGACCTCGTTCCCGACGCCAGCCAGGATCGCTTCATGGATCTGGATGTACGGCGATGTGGAGCGAGCCTTGCAGACCCATGACTTTAGAGAAGTTGCCTTCCGCCCAAACCCTCAGTTTTGGTGTCCAGTCGTTGGCGTCAAGAACAAGTTCTACCCGTCGAACAAGACGATTGCACACCCCGGATGCGTTCATCTTTCTGTCAGGTTGCGTTGCCCCTGTTGCAAATCCAACGTCCCGCGGTCGCGATTTCACAGCGCGAACAAAACTTGTCAACCCTGTCTTGACCGCAACTACAAGAATCAAGGCAAAGCGCGGCAGAAGAAACGACAATCTGTGCTTTGGGAACCTCTGGGGGCGTCATCATCATCATCATCATCATCATCATCATCGTCTTCCCCCGCGGCGGCGGGGGGGATTCAGGCAAACAGCAGTCAAGCACGCGTCAAACCCGAGATTTACACCGAAGTTCATTCCCGTTGGCTATTTTCCAACCCCGACGAGTTGAGAGACGCGTTCAAGATGCTCGAGGAGAACAATCATGACATTCGGTTGCGATACGACGCCAATCCCACCGAAGACGACGACATCGCTGAATGCGACTGCAGATTGTCTTCCGTGCAACCCGCGTCCACCGACTTGGCCGACGACGAAACTAGCGTAGTGCAAGATGATAGGGACGACATTCTTGAATTTCTTAACGACCAAGACGGGCACGACGAAAACTGCCGCTCAAGAACGCCTCGGAAGCGCAGGGGAGTCCATCTCACCAAGGAGGAGCGAGATAAACTTCCGCAGTGGAGCCCTAGTACGACGGTCATTCCTGTTCGAACACGCCGTTGGTATTGCTTCAATAGACGCGATCCGTCGAGGCCGCCTACGACCGTGCCAGACACACCAACTCCAACAACGATTTATTCGCGCCTGCTCCAGCAAGAAGCGAGTTGACAACAACTTTCACTTACGTCCGGAGCTCGGCGCCGGATCCTGCAGTTTCGGTCTGAGATTGACGGAGCTTGGCCAACACATGCACGGCGAGCTGCTCCTTATTGGGTTCAAGCTCGAGCAGATGGGTCGCCACGACACGGCTTGCACCGACGGCTCGCTCGCTTTCAAGCAGCGCGCGCATCCTGAAATCAAAGAGTGGGTCATGGATCTGGTGCGCAAGGGGTGCTCGGAGGCGTCCATTGTAGCGCAGTTGGAAGGGCCAACTCTCAACCCGCCGCCTCGCCCTCTTTCAAGTTGGAACGTACCGTACACTTCTGGTCGCTGGTATCCCACCAAAGACGCAATTCGCATGATGATAGTCAACTCAAGCAGCGAGAAGCTACATGGAACCGACCAGCAGCGCATCGACCAATTTCTCGCGTCATCCTCGTCGTATGCCTGCTCTCACCCTCACTCGCTCTACCAAGATGGGCAGTGCCCCGGCGAAAGCCAATACGGCGACAAAAGCGATGTCATCTATCATCAATTTGTTCACTGCGACTGCCAGAGCTGCCTCGAAATCCCCCTGAGGGAGTCGAACATTCTGATTTTAATGACGCCTTGCCAGCGGGCAACGTGGGACGCCCTTCGTCCCAAGGTCCTGTTCCTGGATTCAACCTTCTCAGTCAACCGCTACGACTGGGCGACAACAGCACTCGTCGCTGCTGACGAATCAGGCGCTGGTGTGCCGCTGGCGTTCATGATCTCCGACAGAGATCGCGAGCATGAATATGCGCGGTTCTTGTCTGAGGTCAAGCACGCCGTAGGCGAAGCGTTTAATCCGGCGCGCATCGTCATCGACAAATGCGGCGCTGAGCGAAACGGCATCAATCAGGCGGTGCCGGGTGTGCAGGTGGCAACTTGCTGGTTTCACGTCTGCCAAGCGGTGGAGCGCCAGTACCCGGGCAGACTAGATCTTCTCTCGTGTATGGCTAAAATGCGGTATGCCAGGAATGCACAAGAGCTGAAGGACGCGAGCAACAGCTTGCTCAACGCCGCCGGCGAGTTCCAAGGTTATTTTCTGTCTCAGTGGCTCAACGAACGAGATATTAAAACCTGGACGCTCTTCCACCTTGGCTTGGTGCGTGATGCGCTGGATCAAGGCCACACCAACAATTTGATTGAGCGGTAAGCTTGTGATGATTGTGAGTCGCTTGTCCCGTGCCGAAATTTGGAACCTCGTTGACTTGTCATTGCGACTTGCCTCCCCCATAGCTTTTTCGGCACGTTCAAGTACAAGTTTCTGAAAGGTTACCGCATGCACGATTTGGCAGGTCTCGCAATCAGGATTGTTCGGGACACGAACCAGCACTTCTGTTTGCAACGCCAACGCCAGCGACTCGACAAGCCGAATGTCGCCTTCCTTCCAAAGTTCCGCTCCTTACTGCTTGAGAAAGAGATGCACGCAGAGAAGCTCGTGGAAACCGGTCAGGTGTTGGAGCTTCATCGCTACTTTGGTGTAGGACTTGTTCTGCCTCAGCGGACGCTTTCTGAGCTTGATCTACTCCAAATTCGCGAACTCGCAAACGCTCACCTTGAGCCATTTTATCAGACGCGTGGCATGCCCTTGACTGAGGGTTTGCAGCAGCTGCACGAAGCGCTGAAGCAACAGTACCCAGATGTTGTGGTCGTTGGTGTCGAGCGGCGCTTTTGCAGCGCCATGCACGATCACGCTTTCATTTGCAGCCACATCCGTGCCGTCGCGCGGCACTTTGGAGGCATCGAGAACTTTCGTCTTCAAATCCATTCTCTCTTCGAAGAGCCACCAGTGTGTCCCGTGTCCCGCTCAGCACCCGTCAATCCTGCAAGCGAATCTGCTGTGTCCGCAGCCACTACTGCTTATGCCGATGATGCCCTGCCGACTGGCGCAACCGACATGGCCGTAGACGATCAGCTTGATGCAGACGGACCTGCTCGCACCTCTGACATGGCCGTAGACGATCACCTTCCCTCGGGCCCGGATGCAGACGGACCTGCTGACCGCACCTCGGACCTCCCCGCCGAGCTCGATCCGAATCACGGCGCGTCACCTTCTGCGAGTAACTCCGATGATGCTCCAGAGCACAAGCTCTGGCCTTGTTGAGACGGTGTCCAATCCCGACGACCTGGTGGACGAGCTCTCCAAGCTGTTTCGAGAAAGGACTCGAGCGTCTCAAGACCATGGCTCAGGGCGATGAGTTGCACAGCCTCGTTCGCCAGCTCACACGCAATTGCAGCAACAGCATGCGGAATGCGACAGGTCAGCGAGGGATTCTTTCATTATATACCCGGCGCACGCGTGGTGCAACTCGTAAGGCTGCCAAATCTACCCGAGCTGCCCAAGCCAAGGCAAAGCGAACTGCTGCTGCCAAAGCCAACCGAGCAGCAGTAGCAGCAGCAGCAGCAGCATCAGCATCAGCATCGTCAGCCTCAACCGTTCTTCCAGGTAACGCAACTGCATCCGCAGCAGCGTCGTTGGCGACCAGTTCGTGGACACGACGCAAGAAGTCTGGAGTGAAGGGGCGGCCCAAAGCTAAGCACCGTGTTCCTGCTGCACTTATCCGAGAAGTCGCAAGATCCTTTTGCGCCAAAGACAGTCAAGCATTCGAGAGCGCAAGGGCGGCGGTGACTGCGTACAAAACCCAACAGTTTGTCGACTACATCCCGCCTTCTCGCAGCAATCGCGGTACTCGAGATCCGTGGGGCGACACTACCCCTTCATTTGCTGATTCCGATCCCACATTTGGGAATGCGAGTGATGGTGCACGTTCAGCCAGTCGGAAACGACCTCGATTGGAGCCAGAGGCTGACCCGCAGGAAACGGAACCAGCGCAACCAACAGAGGATTGGTTTGAACATTTTGCCCCTCAACTGCGGCCGCCTGGAGGGCGCTCAGCGGCCATCCGTGCGCGCGACACAATTCGACGGTTTTCACGCTACGACACGAGTCGGGATGACGATGCAGACGTGTTTGAGGCCCAGCCTGAGGAGATGGACGACGATGACTTCAGGTACACTCTGGAGGAGTGTGTGCGTGCTAGACGGCTTGAAATGTTTGATTCATCTGTAAACCCGGAGTTTTTGTGAAGTTTTGTGTGATTGTGTGTGCTTGGTGTTGTACTTTGGGTCATTGTGGTGCTGCCCTCCCCACTGTTTTCACAGCAGCGGCGCCTGAGAGGTGTCAGCATCCTTGACCCCATTCGATTTTAAATTTTGACACATGGATAAACTTGTCTTTGAAGTTTCGCGGCATAGAACGTGGCAGAAGAGCTTAAAAACAGCTCGACAGCGCAAAAGGAGGAAAGCGCAAAAGGAGGGAAAATTTTTCTAAGTCCAACTTTTCCTGTCGCCCCCTTGATGCTCACTGCTACGCAGCCTGACTGGGTGACCCGATCCGCCCGCCCTTCAACCCCATGACTCAAACACCAATACCATTCCATAAATGCCCTAGTAGTGGGTTGCTGGTCCACCGTGGGGGTTGGTGGCTTGGCCGCTCCCTGCGCGCTCGCGTCGCTCCCAACCATTCCCTCCCGTGCTCGGTCCAGCGCAGACTTTTTCACCGGCTCAAAGAGGAAATCTACATTATCATTTATGGGCAACATGATGCTGGCAGAGAGAAGAGGCTAGATGACACTTTGAGATTCGGACCTGGAACCCGTAGTGATTTAGGCGGATTGTTCTGGCACCAACAAGGCTCAGAGACCGAGCGTGGCTAGAGTGGCTGAACTGTGCGAGTGTGGCTGGCGAGCATCACTCACCCATCCGCTGATCCATCTCTTCATCCATTTTATCTCGGACATTGTTAATTTTATTTCAAGCAAAGTCCTGACTCAGTCTCTTCTTCTCAGTCACTCTCTCTCTTTACACAATGCGTGCTGCTGTTTCTGCTGCTCTCGTTCTCGTCCTCGCTGCGGCTGTCTCTGCCCAAGTGCCCATCCCATGTGTGTATCCCCGCCCCCCTTCTCTTCCCTCTTCCCAGCACCCCTCCGCTCACTGACTCCCCTTGTTGTGCTCTCTATTGCTCTGCTGTTGTTAGCGCGCCCCGATGGCTTTGCGTACGCCAACGGCTCGCCTGCCGCGCCGCTCCAAATCGACCTCTTTGTCGACCTGCTCTGCCCCGACTCGCAGGCCATCTGGCCCACCCTCAAGGTAAACCCACACACATCGACACACATAGACACACACGCATATCCACAGAGACATGGCACTGGAGTGGAGTGAAATAAAGTGAGGCGAATTTCAATGCAATTGCATTGGCCCCTTGTGACTCTGTTCCCATTGATCAGTTTTCACTGTCCTTGTCCTTGTCCTTGTCCTTGTCTGGGCTGACAAACATTACAAGCAATAGTACTTATCAGCAATAGGAAGAGCGAGTCGGGGTTTGAAAGAGAGGGAGAGAGTAGAGCGAGAGAAGGGGGAAGAGCGGAGAATCCTATGTGCTTTTATGGCTTGGGAATTGGTCGTGTTTTGTATTGTATGGGGTCATACATTTCATAGGTGGTCATCATGATTGATTGAATCATTTATCACAAGACCACGGAGAATAGGATTTGTTGGAAAAAGATGTTTGATTCTGATTGCCGAACATCAAGATTCGAAACAGACTTTGTCATTGACTGCAACTTTGCATTGACATTCATTGAACTTGACTCACGTTGGTTTTGTTTGTTTTGTTGTTTTGGTCTTGGTTTTCATAACAATAATTCACATTGTTTTTCGTCTTCCATGTTCATAGCAAGTCGGTAAGGTCACCTTTCGTTTTTTGTAGCTCTGTGACACACGCATTCAAATAATTCTCCACTTTTTGCCGATTGTTCCGAACTTTGCCATTTTCTGATTGTTTTTGGTTGCTCGTTCTTTCTTTGACTTGTTTGTTGAACGGAGAAACTCAAATTCACACTTTGTTGTTGTTCTTTTGGTGTGCAACCAACAGCTGATCACTACGGCGCTCCCACCCTCCGTCTTGTTACTCACATCTTCCCGCTGCCCTACCACCACAACGCCTACTATGCCGCTCAGGTAACACGCGCCCAGACACATTTATGCAACAATCACATTCACAAAAATCTACAACAAACAAACAAACAAAAAAAAAAAAAAACAACAAAAAAACTCAACGGATCTCTCCTATTGTCGCACCAAATGCTCAGGGCACCCAAGTCGTCGCTGCTGCTAACGTGAACGCCGTCTACAAGTGGCTCGACGCTGTGTTTGCCGCCCAGGACAGCTTTGAGGACGACCCCACCGTCAACCTGACCTCCAACCAGGTCATCAACATGTACGCTGCCCTCTCCCAGACGATCGGCGTCCCCGCTGCCGTGTTCCTGAAGGGCATGGACAGCGACGACACTGACGAGAGCGCCCGCATTGCCTGGAAGTACGGCTGCACCCGTGGCGTTGCCGGCACCCCCTGGTTCTTTGTCAACGGCATCAGCGTCGCCGCCTCGTCTGCCTGGTCTGTCTCGGACTGGGTTTCCGTTCTCGACCCCCTGCTCAACAGCTCCATCACCCGCTGTGACTCGACCCACCGCATTCGCTACGGCAGCCTCGTCACCGACTGCCCCGCCGGCGAGATCGTTTGCAACTTCCTCCCCGGCCAGTCCCAGTGCTGCCTTGCTGGCGAGAACTGCGTCCCCAACGTTGGCTGGTACGTTTTCCCGCATGCTTTGTCGTGTGTGTGCGGCGTTTCTTTTGTGTTTGTATTTGTTGGTGCTCACGCTTTTTTTTTTCTCCCGTTATTGTTTGGTTTTGTTTTCGTCACACACAGCCGCTGCTAACGACTTTGCTGCACAGTGTTTGTGGTGTTTTGCATGTGTCTTGTTACACTGCCTTGTTGCAACAAACAAACGTTTTTCTTCGTTCACGTCTTTCTTCGTTCATTTTTTTTTTTTTTTTGATTTCGTTTCCTTTTTGTTTTATTTTCGACCTCGGCAGCCTACATGCTGCCAAACATACTCGTAGACATACACGTAGCAAAAATGGCTACTTGCATTATGCCAACTACAGCACTACGGAGAAGAGCCATGGAAAGGCTGCCCCTCGGTTTGCTCGGATTCTTCAGCGAGAAGCTGTTCTGCGGACGGATGAGCAAACTTGTCACCGCCAGGCATGCACAACCCATCGAAATCGCAGGCGTCGACCAAGGGCTGGTACCCAGCCACAAACTCGTCAAACGGGCACAGCTCCTTGCCGCCGCAGCGCTCCAAAGGCATGGCGCGTTCGTTGACGGTAAACTTGACAAGGTGAGACACGGGGCTGGTAGAGCCGTTCTGCAACCGCTGCTCCACCTCCTGCAACTGTGCTTGGAGCCCGGCCAGCGCGAGCTGCAGTTGGCCCAGTTTCTCCCGAGCGGACGGCAGTGGCCTGCCAAGCAGACGCTGTTGCAGCTTGACAGTGTTGGCGATTTCGTGGACAAGAACATCGCGTTCCTGACGGGCTGCAGTCTGGCGAGCTGCTTCGTCGCATTCGTACAGCACAAAGCCGGCATTGCCAGAAAATGGCATCATGGTCGAGGCGCGGAACTTTCGGTTTCGGCTTTCCGGCGCAAAGTTGTCGGCTCGGATTTCCTCCTCGTCCTTGAACAAGCCCATGTACGCAAACAGCGGAATGAGCGTTTCCGCATGAGCAAAGCGGAAGGTGGCACGACGCAAGAGGTTTTCGCCTCTGGCCGACTGAACGACGGATGTGTACATGTCCTTGAACAGCAAGCAGCTGGATTGAAGGTTGATGTCGTAGCCGTAAGCTAAACAGCACAGTGACGAGGGTGCGATGAAAGTGAGTGAGAGAAGCGCACTCGCCAAGCCCCCCAAACAGGCCAAAGAAAAGAAAGCACGCGACATTTACCTCGACCCCAGTAATGCTTCAGATCGCCCATGTACTCAATCGCCTCCAAGTCGTCGCGACTGAAAAGGGAACACCAGCGGGCAGTGTTGTTGAAGGCAATTTCAAACGCGCAAGCAAGGTACATGGCTACCACCGTGCGAGGAGCCAGCTGGATGGTGTCGTTTGCAGTACCAATTTCGATCGGGCTGTCCGCGACAGTGGGTGCAGCAGGTTCCGCAGTGGGGGCAGCGGCACCCTTTCCCTTCTTTTTGAATTGCTTCCAGGGCTTGTCCCGGTACTTTGTGTCGGTCACTTCCTCATTCGGGAGCTGTTGAGGCAGTGGATGGAGTCGTTGAGCGACAGAGGTGGCGATTTCTTGGAGAACAGGGCCGTTCAGGAACTTTTTCTGCTCAGCCATTGCAGTCTTGTTCTCAATCACACCAGAGACATAGAGCTGGCAGCTGTCAAAGAAACGGAGCAAGTTATCGCGGAGAACGGACTCTGACAAGATGGCGATGGGCTGGTGCGACGTGGTTCCGAGTCTGCCGTTGCCTTCAAACACGCCTTGAGCAAACGACGCGGCGCTGCAAGGCAAAAATGTCGGAGATGTCATTCCAAATCCGAGGTTAGCAAAGCCCTACTAGTGCCACTGCAATTTTTGTTGTTGGCATTACCTTTGTGCGCAGCGTGTCGTTCGCGTCGAGGTAAACTCATACTTGTTCGGGTGGTAGGGCTCAATGAACACGTTGGAATACTTTCGGACAAGCCGACGAGCGAGGGTGAACAGCTCTGCCTCGCCCCGAGGCGCGAGCGTCTTGTCGTCGCTCGCCAGGAAGGGGTTTTGCCACCCACGAATCCACTGGTGCTTGGGGTTGGTGATCAATGGGCCGATAGTTTGCAATTCTACGAGGAGTTTATCTAGCTTGCGAATATCGCCCGTGCTCGGGTATCTGCACGAAAGCAAAACAAAGGAAACAAAAAAGTGAGCGCCAATGTGTGTGTGTGTGTGTGATTCCATCCCATTCGTGCTCTTGTGGTGCCCATGTTCTCGCATGTGCTGATGGCTCAACTCTCCGCCCTCACCGAGTGCCATGGCGGAAGGTCATGGAGAGATGGACTGGTTTGCAGAATTCCGGCTCGTGCTGCGGTTCTACGAGCGTGCGTGGCTGTTTCGCCGGCTGCTCGCCATCGAGCAAGTAGGGTGAAGCAGCGTCTCCACATCCAATGTGACGGTTGTGATCGTCGCCGACTTGGTCCCAGTAGACGGTCTTTGTGCCGAACAGGCGAGGCAAGCCCGGCTGGCACCGCGCAGGATCGATTCCGCCGGCCTGCGCTCGGACGTAGGCTCGTCTAGCATTGCGCTGCTTGTCGTTGATGGTACTTCCACCGAATGCGTCTTCACTACTACTGCCAGCACGATGATGCGACTCGCCTTGCTGCTGCGAATCGTGCTGCTTCCTCGTCGAATCGCTCGTCTGGTCCTCCGTCACGGCTGTGGGCATCCCCGGCGCAAAGTTGACAAATAGTTCGCGCAGGAACGCGCTGTCTGGCTGGTTCCATAGGCTGCTGGACGAGTGCGCGGGTGCGTCGGGATGTACGTCGGGTGTTCCTTGGTTCGCATTCGCCTTGCCGTGGTGGTTCGACTTGCTGTGGCTCGACTTGCTGTGGCTCGACTTGCTGTGGCTCGACTTGCTGTGCGACTTGCTATCTGCCTTGTCATGGGTGTGCTTGTTCGATGCGTTTGGTGGCTTCTTGGCCGAGGCGTCCGTTGCGAGACTGCAGACCAGAATGCAGGCGACAATCGCCGCCGCAACCAGTCGTCTATGGCAATGCATTGGGAGAGACCTCAAATTGGACTGACTTCGGGCTATGTATGAATGAATGAATGCGTCTTTAATGTGGACATTTCATGATATTAGATTTTGCACATTGAGTGTGCGTTTAGAAACGAGGTTGGACGTTGGTGCTCTGAGGAGGACTTTGTCGACAATTGCAATACAGTACAGTACAGTACTGTGCATCGATATTTCCATTTGATTTAGATTTAGATTCGCAGTCTATTTGTTTCTTTTCCCCGCTCTTAGTCAAGATGATGATCCGATCCAAGTCGTTCGTCAAGAAGACGCGCAAGGTAGCCAAACACAGAGAAGCGACAACCGACCGCCCAATCTCGGTGTTCAATGGATGCCAACGAGTCAACCAACAAGCAAGCTAGCAAGCACAGCAACAGGGAGTCTGTCGTTGTGGGTTGAGAGACAGAGACAGAGACAGAGACAGAGACAGACAGAGACAGAGAGAGCGCGGGAGATCAATGCTCCACATGGCTTTTCACTCAGTTGTTCTCGCTCCAGTCCCACATTCGACTTTGACTCTCGCGCGATTCCTCATTCGTCTCAATGAAGCAGACAAGCTCAAAGCAACAACTCAAAAACGCCGCCCCGCGCCTTGGCTCAAAAAAAGAACAGGCATCGACGAGTGCGGCGAATACTCAATGCTTTTGTATTACTTGTTTCCTGCTCCAATGACAATAGGGAAATGTGGTCAAGATTGTTCGAGAGCACTACCTGCGAGACGACGTCTGGTGTGGTGCTGCAGGTTGCGCTGTCTGTGCGCAAAGTCACGGTGAGTGTATTGGAACCAAAAAGGAGGGGCGTGGATCTGAGATTCTTTGAATTTCTGAGTTCCCCTCCCCCGTTGTTTTTTTTGTTTTGCAATTTCTGCAATGGATTGTCAACGAGATGGAGGTTGGAAGAAGTCTCTTACTCGTTGCACTCCCATTTTCGCAGACGCCTCGCTGGAATCCAGCCCATCCAATGCAAACGCCTTCTTTTGTGCGACAAGCAGCAAAGGCAACAGCAAGGCAAAGGCTTCAACTTTGGCTTCAGCTTCAGCTTCCTCGGCGCTGCCTGCGCATTACATTCTGCCCGACACGAATGTCGTGTTGCACCAAATGGTGAGTTCCAGCAGCCCTTGTTCGAGCCGCTCCTCGTGAGACCTGTCAACCTCTTACACACTCTCTGCCATGCATTAGGACCTGCTCGAGCATCCCACCATTAAAAATGTCATCATCCTCCAGACTGTACTCGACGAGGTAACCAACCGTTCGAAATCAAAGCCTAGAAACGAGAGTCAATGTTTTGCCAGACCACAAAAAAAAAAAAAAAAAAAACTCACCTTCGACTTCACTTGTTGCTGCAGGTGCGCCATCAAAACCTCAGTCTGCACCAACGACTTCGTGCCATCATCAGCGATCCCGGCCGTCACTTCCACGTCTTTGTGAACGAACATCGACGTGAAACGTACGTTGAGCGCGAAAAGGACGAGTCTACCAACGACCGAAACGATCGGGCGATTCGCGTTGCGGCACTGTGGTACAACCACCACCTGAGCAACCTCCGCCTCCCCGTTGTGCTTCTCACAAACGACCGAGCCAATCTCGCCAAAGCCGAAGACAGCGGCATCCCTGCGTTCACCGTTCATCGCTACATTGAGTCATGCCGCGCGCAACCCGAGTTGGTACGTCGAATTAAATGGGTCGCGAAAGGGTTGCCATGTTGTCCTGTCATTGCTCACTTCCCTTTGTGCTTCACATTGGTTTGGTTTCTGTTTTTTGTTTTTTCTTTTTTTGATTGTTTGTTTGTTGCTGGTTTTTTTTTTGTTGGTTTTTTTAAAAGACCGATCTGCTCGCGTTCGCAGATCTGGACGACGATACGCCGGCCCGCGCTGCAGGCATGCGCGCCAATTACCCAGAACACCTCACCACGGCCAAGCTTTTGACCGGAGTCAAACTGGGGTTGTACTACCAAGGCGTCTTGCAAGTGAATCGCGACAACCCGCTGGAAGCTTCAGTCCGCGCGCGCTCGATGGACACGCCCATCCTGGTGCACGGTCGGCTAGCAATGAGCCGTGCGATGCAGGACGACGTGGTCATTGTGAAACTACTGCCTCAAAGTCAGTGGCTCACACCCTCCACGCAATTGCTGGAGGACGAGAGTGCGGAGGCGGACGACGCGGCCGCCGAAATGCCCGATGACGAACAGAGCGAGAGCGACGAAGATGAGCCCGACGACGCCGAAAGCGCTGCCTTGGACGCAGAGGCCATTGCTTCGACTGTGGCCGACGAGCAGGCTGCTGTGGCCGAAGCCGTAGACAGCGCTGTGGTCGGGTCCTCCAGTGATGCGCGCCGACCTACCGGTATTGTTGTGGGCATCCTCCGCAGAGCATGGCGGCCCTCGTGCGGTATGGTCATTCCTGTCGAGAGCGACAGCAACGGCCCTTCCTCCGACAACGGTCCCACGCAACTGTTATTTGTTCCAACGGATACCCGTTTCCCACACGTTCGTGTCCAAACACGTCGTCCCCAAGCCTATCTTGAGCAGCGCGTAGTGGTGACGATTGATCGCTGGCATCGTGGTTCTAGGTACGAGTGTGAGAGATTTAGATTGTTGGTGGTTTGTATTGTTGTTTGTGTTTTTGACCAAACCAGTCATGCCATGCATTCTAACCTGTCTGTCACTCTGCTTGTGGGGCTATCGCTGTGCCTCTTAAACAATTACAGATTGCCAGAAGGCCACCTGGTTCGTGCACTTGGCCCGATTGGCGAAAAGATGACCGAGACTGAAGTGCTGCTGGTCGAGCACGAGGTCCGGCACTCGGATTTCTCACCAGCCGTCTTGGCGGACCTGCCAGTGCTGCCGTGGGTGATTACAGAGGCGGATCGAGCGGCGCGACGAGACTTTACACACCTCGATATTTGCTCCGTCGATCCTCCTGGCTGCACAGACATTGACGATGCGCTCCACGTGCGACCCCTCGAGAACGGCAACTGGGAAGTCGGCGTGCATATTGCGGATGTGTCGCACTTTATCAAGCCCAACACTGCCATCGACTTGGAGGCTGCTCGTCGCGGCACAAGTGTGTACTTGATTGGGCGTCGTATTGACATGATTCCCGAGCTGTTGGGAACGGAATTGTGCTCCTTGCAATCGGACGTGGAGCGGTTTGCCATGTCTGTCGTCTGGGAAATTACGCCCCCGGGCAAGCCCGATCCCGTTGACGGTGCCTGCCGCACGGGCGCCGAGATTGTCCGCACCGAGTACTGCCGCTCCATCATTCGCTCGCGTGCCTCGCTGACCTACATGCAAGCACAGACAATGATTGATGACCAGACCCGTCGCGATCCGCTCAGCCATGGTCTTCGTGGACTGAACGAGCTTTCCAAAGTGCTGCGTCAGCGCCGTCTGGATCGCGGCACCCTCACCCTCGAGTCTCCCGAGATTTCGTTCTCGCTCGACAAGGACACGAGCGATCCCGTCGACGTGGGTGCCAAGCAAAAGCTGCAGACCATGTCGATGGTCGAGGAGTTTATGCTCCTGGCCAACGTCGCCGTCGCCGAGCACATCTTTCGCCGTTTCCCGCAGTGCGCTGTGCTTCGCCGTCACCCCGTGCCGCCACAAGCGTCGTTCGAGCCTCTGGTTGTTGCTGCGCGCCAGCACGGCGTCGAAATCAAGGCGAGCAACTCGAAAGAGCTTGCCGAGTCGCTCGACCGCGCCGAAGAGTCGTTCGGCAAGGCTGGAAAGCCCTACCTTGGCAAACTGCTCCGCATTCTGGCCACCCGCTGCATGATGCAGGCAGTCTATTTCTGCTCCGGCACACTGCCGACCCGCGAGCACCAACACTACGGCCTTGCTTGCCCCATTTACACACACTTTACCTCACCCATCCGTCGGTACCCAGACGTGCTCGTGCATCGCCTACTTGCGGTTGCGATTGGTCTCGAAACACCCACGCGCGAGCTTCTGGATAAGCCCAAAGTGTCGGCGCTCACGGACTGGCTGAATCGCCGCCATCGAATGGCGCAGTACGCTCAGCGGTCGTCCGTCGAGCTCCACACCATTCTCTTCTTTAAGCGCCTGGGTGTTGCTGAGGAAGACGCTCACGTCCTCCGCCTCCGTGACAACGCCATTGTTGTTCTCATCCCAAAGTTCGGCTTGGAGGGCACCGTCCACCTGAGCGACTATGACTCGGCCAATATTGAGCTGAGCCGCGATGGCTACAAGCTCACCATCCACGACGCTGTGAAAAAGCGCGACCACGTGTTTACCGTGTTTGATCGGGTCCGCGTGCGGGTCACCATTGACGCCACGAACTTGCAAAAGCAAAAGGTCAGCATGCGCCTGCTCGACCCTTTCATCACCAACCTGTCTGTGGAAGCCACGGCAGTTGACAAGAAACCTGCAGTAGGAAAGGCGAAAGAGACCTCGACCGAAGAGGCCCTCCAGCAGGTCGTGGATGCAGCTCTCGCTGAGCAAAGCAAAGCCGCGGCCCAAGACCAGTGGGCCAAAACTCGCGAGGAGCGTTTGCGTGTGGCGCGCATTGCTGCCGCGGCTGCCAAAGCTGCCAAGCAAGCAAAGCAACCCACGATGGGTCCCATTCAAGTGATGGGTGCTGCCAACCTGCCAGAGCCGGGCAACAAGCGCATCTCAAAGCTGCCGCAGCTTGCTGCAGAATCTTCCACACCGGCGCGAGCTGTGAAAGCCGAAACGATTGGCGCTGCCCCGTCGACGCCGCAGACAAAGTCGGCTCAAGCGCCAACAACTCCAGCGACGAGCGCTTCCCGAGGCCGCACTGCCGCGGAAGCAGACCTTGATGCTGCGGTTGAAACTCCTAAATCTGCCAAGTCTGCCAAGAAGCCGCGTTTGACCAAGTAGACGCGCGCGTTTTCTGCAAGTGTGCTTTGATTTTGTACTTTCATCTAATGTAATTTTTGGAAATTCAAAAACAAGTAGCAAATTACATTTCTGCTGCTGCGGTTGCTGTTTGTTGTTGTTGCCAAATCCCAAACTCTGGTGTGGAGGGGGCTTGTTTTAGACAGAATCGACGCTCGGTCGCCGCCGCACAGCACGAGGCGAGTCATTGGCGCGCAGGAGGTTTGCCGGAGAGTCGTTTCTGCGCGGACTGATTCCCACAGAGTAACCGGGACCTGAAAGATCCATCATTGTCTGCTCGAGGAAGCTCGAGTATTCGGCGGGTTCAGCGTCGCCGCGATCCGCGCCCGACGAGCCCGCGTGTCTGGCGCCACCGGTGAGATTACCTGAGCCGCCCGAGACAGAAGCTTGAACGCTCGCTCCTGAGGGCTCTGAGGCAGCGGAAGCGGCGGCGGCAGCAGCAGAAGCGACCGCCACGGCTGCAGCGCCCTCCGTAGTGCTGGCGGCGCCACCTGCAGCAACACCGCGCGGATCGAGATCCATAGCCCAGCTCCAGTGTCGGGCTGCAAGAGTCGCCTGATTCATTCGCTTGTACACGCGGGCCAGCAGCATGTGCACGGATGCCTCGTGCGGCGCATTGTCCACAAGTTCCAGCAGGACGCCAAGCGCCTCCTACAAAGCAGAGAGAGTTGCAAACAATTATTAGACAAAAAATCGATAAACGATCTCTCAATCGTAACGAGTTCAACCAAAGAATCAGGCGCAACGAGCACTTACCGTGTCGCTGTTCATCAAAAAGTGGCTTGTTGCAAGAGTGAACTTTGCCAACAAGTTGGTGGGGTCGATTACAAGAGCCTTGTGCAACAATGGCAGGGTCTCGGCAAATTGCTTATTGGTTTGCAAGACCTAGGAGGCCAATCGGCCATTTCGTGCAAAAAATGATGAGCGATTGGGGGAAATGGCTGGAGATGGGGGGGGGGGTCAAAATCAAGCTGACAATAGTTCTTACCATCACGAGGTAGCAATACAAAACAGGATTGTTCTGATTGATCGAGAGGGCCTTTTCAAAGTTGTACAGGGCCATTTCCAGGCGTTCTTGCTTAAAGTAAATAACACCCATACCGTACCTGTTTGCGCGCAAAAACAAGGGCAACGACAGACAATCCAATGATGAGACAACGAAACGAGAAACGAAACGAGAAATGAAACGAGAAACACAAAGCAACATTTGCCGCCTTTCACATACCATGCATTGTAATGACGAGCGTCGATGCGCACGGCAGTTCGGAAAAAGGCAAGGGCTCGCTCGTAATCATTCTCGTGGGCAAATTCATGACCAAGGAGCGTGAAGGGATAGGCGTTGGTTTTGGTCAGCTGCAGTCCAAGCGTGTGAGTAAATGTGGCTGACAAAGGACAAAAAAAAAAAAAAAACTGGAAACACACGCAAGAGCCAAACACAAGCCCCTTACCATGCAAGCGCGCTCAAGCATCTTGATGGCGCTTTCGTTTTCGCGTTGAAGCGAAAAGTTGTTGCCGAGAACGCAGCACGCCTCTGCGCTCGTGGGAAATCGCTGGCCCAGTTCCAGAGCGAGATGCGAGAGCTCGGCTCCGCGACCCAGGTGCCACAAGGCAGTACTGTAATAGTCCATGCCCGTCAGATAAGACGGATCAAGTGCATGCGCACGAGAGAAGTGGACAACGGCCTGTTTGTAGTTGGCCAGCTCAAAGTACGCTCGTCCGACCAGCGCCTGAGCCCATGCTGTCTGCAAATGAACGACTGGGAGTCGCTTGAGCGCGCGAAGACTGCGCTTGGGATCGTACTGGTGAAGAGCGAGCACACCTTCCGCAATGGCAGCGAACAGTCGCATCACAAAGTTGGCAGCACGCGTCAGCTCGCCTTCGTTGATGCGGAACTGAGGCGCCCGAGCACTCACGCCGCTGCTACTGGCGGGAGGGGCGTGAGCATCATCGACGAAAAGTGCAGCAGCGGCATTTGGCGGAGCACGGTCGTCGGCAGCGTCGATTGAATCATCATTCAACGAGTCAGTGCTACCGGCACGACCCAAACCAGTCGCGCCAGACGAGATAGAAGGGGTGGATGCGGCAGCGCCACTGCTGACGACGGCGGCACGGGTTCCCGCTTTGCGAGGTGCCGGCGCCATAATAGGTGTTGTTGCAGCCAATGAACTAGCAACGGCTGCAGCAGCCACAGGCGCAGAGATGCTACGACCAGCATTTCCTGCTCGGGACGGCGCGCCGCCGCTTTTCTGCGCGGCCGAGGTGGTCGATGCAATGACGGCCTTGCCGATGGTGTGACGGCGAACATTGGACACGCCAGAAGCCGCAGCCGCAGCAGCAGGAGCAGGCGCAGCGGCGGTGGAGGTGCTTGCCTGAGTCGACTGGCGGGACGCACGTTTGATGGCCGGAGGTCCAGTCGGCGCCTCTGTTGCCTGCGCGGTCTCGGTGGGAGTGCGGAAATTGCCCGACAATCTCGCCGATGGCTGGGGTGTGGTCAGCAGGTCGTCCTCTGTCGCCGAGGAAATGCGCGAGCTCCGGCGAATCGTTGAAGAAGAAGCGGGCGCAGAAGCTTCACTGGTGGGACCCGACGTTCCTGCTCGACCGGACATTGACTGCAGAGAGAAGCAATGAAAACACAGAGCAACCCAAAAAACAACCCACAGCAATAAGCAACCATGAAACAAGATGACAAAGCAACACACTTGCAGAAAACTCGTCTCTCAACCAACCTTCCGAGTCGTCTGAGGCGCCTCTGCAGATTCTTGACCCCGAGCAGCCGGCGTCGCGGAGGGTTTTGGAGACGTTTTCGCGAGCACTGTGGATCGCTCGGGCGAACGCTTCGAGGAGACTGGCGTTCGGAGCGCGTCTGCATCCGCAGCAGCAGTCGTGGCACCTGCAGCAGTGTCGTCGCGGGCGGAAGGCCGCTCTGCTCCTTCGGGATCAAGCCGCCCGAGAAGAACTGCAGATGGCTGTTGTGCGAGACTGGACGTGAGCAAGAACTGCCGAGCAACGCTCGTATCGGCGAAAAAGGGCAGGTCGTGAACGGTGGAAACGGCCAATGGCGAGCTTCGACGAGTCACTCCAGCATCCCAATAAGTGCTGTCTGTTGCGCGCCCAGAAGTGGCCGGGGTTGAGAATGCTCCGGTGGACTGTAGTGCAACGCTGCGGGTTGGCGAGGTTCGCGATGACGACGCGGCGCTCGAGTTGCTGGGGAAGACGAAAACGGGATCGCACGTCTCGCCAAGCTGACACAACAATTCAAAGCTCGACCACGAGTACGGATTGAGCGATACGGCCAAGCGGAGGCATTCGACGGCGGACGGAATGCGATTGGTTCGAACACAGACTTGGCCCAGCAGATGCAACGCTGCTGCGCGAGTCAGGCGCTGCTGGACGGCATCGGGTGCGTCGTCTGAGCGCGAGCCCAGCTTTTCACTGCTCCAGCCGATCGGAGAGCTGGCAACGAGGCGGCGACGGACGGCTGCTGGCGGTTCTTGCGCGTCACCCGAACGGAGATTGGCCGCCGGAATCTCATCAGAGCCAAAGAACGTGGCGTCAAGTGCAGCAATGAGCACTGGGTTGGTCGACTTGGCGCTGAATGCGGCGCGAATGGACTTGGACTCGAGCAAGGCTGCGCGCATCGCGTTCGGGAGCGCGTTCCCAGTCAGTGTGCTTTCGGCGGCGGCATACTCTCCGTGCTCGATATAGAGTCTGGCCAGCAGCAACCGGCACTGTTGCAAGACGATGCACTCGCGATCGCCCGATGGCGACGCCGACGCTGCTGCTCGCCTCGCTGCAGGGATCAGGTGCGTTGCGAAGGGAGAGGCGGCCAGCAGAGCCTGTGCCCTCTTGCGCTCTCCGGCGCGGTGCAGGCATGTGGCCAGCGTCAGTACCGACTCAGCATGCGTCGGGTAGAGCTCGAACAAGCGCTGGGCGAGGAACACGGCGTTGTCCGTGTCGTTGAAGCTGAGCGAGTGCTCTGCAGCGGCTTGGAGCAGCTCGCGCGATCCATCCGGCGGCTGGCCGTGCAGCATCGCCGTCGGCTGGGCTTCATGGTGCTGGCTGTCCCCACCTTCTTCATCCTCGTGCTCGCGCCGCGGGGGCAGGTGGCCTGTCTTGATGTGGTGGCTCTCGAACGCGGCTTCGTTTGGATCCTCTTCGTCGTCGTCAGACCGTTGATGATGCAGGTCTTCAATGCTCCCGCTGCGGCGTCCGCTCTCGAGTGGAGCACCACCAGCACCACCAGCACCACCACCACCACCGCCACCACCACTGCGCGTGGATCCGGCTGTCCGTCGCATGGCTTTTTGATCGAGCAGTTCAAAGGTTCAAGTTTGTTGGTTTCAACTTTTGTTTTTTGGGATTTTGGCGCCAAAAAAACCAACAACAAAAAAAAAAAATAATAAAAAACAAAAGACAACGACTGAACTTTGACTCTCACTCAACTTGTACTGTGATAGCATTGCTCTTCGAAAAATGTTGGTAGGGTTGGAAACGAATGAGGAGAGGAAGAGGAGCGTCCGGTGGCAAAGATGGAGATCGATTTCTCAGTCTCCGTTGTTTAGCAAACACAAGGCTCAATCCAAACCAAAAACTTCTTAGAATTCAACGAGCATTAAATATGACACACATCCTTCATGCACACGTCGTTCAAACACCTCGTAATTGTATCTGATCGATTTTCGACAAGGATTGAAAACTGAAACGGAAAAAAACCCAGTCTATTTCTGCTCTTTGCTGCTTTTGCATCGCTTTCAGTGCGGCGTTGCTCCCTTGTGTAAGGTGCTCGTCCCATCTGCAAGGGCATATCTTCTCAATTGATGTACAGTGTTAGAGTGAGTTGTTGGCGGCAAGTAGGATCGGTTGAGTGTTAGGTTTGGCGGGAAAACAGCCAAGAACTGCCCAGCAAGCTCGGGCTTTCCTGCTGCTCCCCCCCCCCCGCCACTCACAACCAATCTAAGATATAGAGGGTTTTGGGACGAATGTGGATGGACTGCAGGGGCAATATGGGGGAGGTCAGGATCAGTGCAATGCAACCACGTCACTTGTTTCACTTTCCGCAACTGTTTCACTTTTGCGGCCTTTGGTGTGCGTCGCTCTGTCCGCTTGCTTGCCCCCCCCCCTCCCTTCCTCGACGCTCCTACTTGCAACGCCTTACACGAGTTGAACTTGACCTTGCTATGCGTTGGCGTCCAATCGCTTCGACGACGGACGGCCAAACAGGTTGTATGATTTGCTTTTGCAACTCACTTTTTTTGCTTCCTTTGCTCTCCATCCTCAGCCCTTTGCTCCCAACCCACCACCTCTCCTTCCCTACAGTCACAAAACGCGATTTCTGTGCCGCCTCCCGAGCCCAGCGCACACAAAGCCTTCCGCCGCCGATTCCAACCATGGTCAGTTTTGCCGTTTCGCTTTTGAAAGTGTTTCAAAATGGATTTTTGTATTTTGGCTTGCAACTTGTTTGCACAATGTCAAAACTCACCCCCACCTCCACCATCCGCCACGATGACTTGCCCCCCTTGTCATCCCAACGTGTGTCTGCATGCAATTGTTGTTGATGTTGTTGTGCGTCGAAAAACAGCTGCGACAAAAAGCGCCATCTCAAGCAATGATGCTCGCACCTGCCATTGCGTCACAAGTCGCTCCAGTGGCAAAGCCGCCACTGGCGACAGCAAGTCAGCTTCCTTCAACCACCAACCTGGGCGCAATGCGGATTTCAAAGCCTTTCGTGCCTGTTGGACTGAAGGGCGGATCAAACGCCTCCCAGACGAACGCACCCGGATTTATTCCGAGACAGCTCGGCTCTCGCCCACGCCAGCCCATTCTGACCGTTATGGCCGCAACAATGATGGGAACCACTGTGGACGAGCTGCACAAGGCCCATGCACAAGCATTACGGCAGCAACAGCAGGTGCAAGCGGCCTCCTCTGTCAGCAAAGAACAGCGTTCGTCGACCAAGCGCCGAGCTCCCGTGAGCACGGATGAGCAAAGCATCAGCGACAGCGAAAACGAGGACAGCGAGGCAGAGAACGATGCGGACGAGAGACCGTCCAGAGCAAAACGGCAGCTCAAGCGCGCTCGGCTCGACTCGGACCACGACAGCGGGCGGGACTCGGAGAGCAACGCCTGCTCTGACTCGGACGCGGACAGCAGCTCACAGCGCTCATCCTGCGCATCCTCCAGTCAGCAAGATCGTGACTCTGGAATTGTTGTGACTGCTTCGAAAGGAGCGGCCAGTGCTGCTCGAGTGCCCTTCACGCCGCGAAGCGCAAACCACCAATTTCTTGCGTCTGACTGTAATGCAGGAGGGATGCTCTCCACGCTTGCTACCATGACAGTGTCCATGGAGGCTGCCAGCCAGGCCTTGGCCGATCATGTATGTGTTTTTGTTTTTTGTTCGTTTTCTCGATCGTTGCGGGTTTTCCTGGGCTGCAGGCTCACAAGCACTCTACGCTCGTTGTCTGAACTGGCACGATTGTTGCATCATCCATCTACAGGAATCTCGCATTGGATCCATTCTTACCAAGCCCTTCAAAGTGCCTTTGGCAAACGGAGAGAGTGCGTAACATCAGCCGAGCGCATTCGTTTAATTTTCTTGTTTGTTTCCAGTCAACTCACCTGTTTCATCATGAATTGCCCGCCAGACTACATCCCGGCACGAGGACTTGGAATGCGAAAGCCGCTGGTGAGATGCGCACTCCATTCTCCAGATGACGAAGGCGCATTGGTGCTGTTTGCGCCCGAAAAGACGAGCGCATTGCCACTCGACCCCAAGACCAAGGAGGTTCATGGTACGTCACAAAGGCACGCTTCGACCCTGCCGACTGCCTGCAGTTCCTATCTGACGCTGACTTTGATCCTTTGTTTTTTCGTCGTTTTCTGTTTCTCAGTGGTGGTCGACCCGATGCTGACCAAAGTGTTGCGCCTCCACCAGCGTGAGGGTGTCAAATTTCTGTACGATGCTGTCATGGGCGACATTGTTGAAGGATATCAAGGATGCATTATGGCCGATGAGATGGTAAGTGTCAAACACACTGCACCGAAAATCTCGAAAAATAAAAACATGCTGCCGAATGCTAAACTCTTTTGCGCCCCACCACCACCCTACCCCGCTCCTCACTCATAGGGTCTCGGCAAGACTCTGCAGTGCGTCTCACTCATCTGGACGCTTTTACGGCAAGGACGCAACGGCATGCCAACGATCGAGAAAGCAGTCATCATTTGCCCTGCGTCGCTCGTCAAGAACTGGCACAATGAGCTGCAAAAGTGGCTCCAGGGCAAAGTCCAGTCGTTGCCTGTCGACGGTGGCGACAAGGAAAAGATTGAAAGCAATCTCAACAACTTTATCAATTGCACGGGACGTCTGCTGAACCAGCCGATTTTGATTATCAGCTACGAGACATTCCGCATCCATGTCGACATCCTCGCCTCGAAGCCGGTTGGTCTGGTGATTTGCGACGAGGGTCATCGCCTCAAGAACGCGCAGAGTCAGACTTTTCAAGCACTCAACCAACTCAAGACCGACCGCCGAGTGCTGTTGTCTGGCACTCCCATCCAAAACGACCTGACCGAGTACTTTTCCTTGCTCCTCTTTACGAATCCAGGGTTGCTCGGCACCCAGGCAGAGTTTCGCCGTCGATTCGAGAATCCCATTCTCCGGGGCCGCGAAGCAAGCGCGACAGACAAGGAGAAGGAGATTGGCACAGAAAAGCTCCAAGAGCTTGCAAAAATTGTCAACAAGTTTATCATTCGCCGTACCAACTCGCTCTTGTCCAAGTATCTTCCCACGAAGGTCGACCAAGTTGTCTGCATCAAGCTGTCGCCGCTACAAACGCAGCTGTACGAAGCGCTGATCAAGTCGAAGGCTGTCAAAAAGCTCATTGCGAGCAGTGCAAGCGATGGTCAAACGGCAGCATCGCTTGGATCTATTACGCTGCTCAAGAAGCTGTGTAATCGTAAGGGTGTTGCGCGACTCGTTCGAATGGGATGATGCTTTGTTTTGTTTGTGTTTTGTTTTGTTTTATTCATTCACCTTTGGATTTTTTTTTCCGGCTGCGCTGCAATTTTCAGACCCCGACCTCATCTACGAAGCTTGCCAAGAAAACTTCCGGGAACTACTGCCCTTGTTTCCTCCAGAGTATGGTGTCAAGAACAAGCGCGGGCGCACGTTCAACCCAGCCCACTCGGGCAAGTTCCAAGTGCTGGACACCATGCTCGCCTACGTCAAGTCCACGACGAATGATCGTGTCGTTTTGATCTCCAACTACACACAGACCATCGACCTGTTTGAAGACTTGGCGCGACTGCGCGGCTACCGCTTTGTTCGTTTGGACGGAACACTGAGCGTCAAGGCGCGACAGAAACTCGTGGACGAGTTTAACAACCCGTCCAGCAATGTGTTTTTGTTCTTGCTCAGCAGCAAGGCTGGTGGTTGCGGTATCAATCTCATTGGAGGGAATCGACTGGTTCTTTTCGACCCGGACTGGAACCCGGCCTCCGACGGCCAAGCGATGGCTCGTGTGTGGCGTGACGGCCAGAAAAAGAAGGTGTATCTGTATCGCTTCCTTGGCACGGGCACCATCGAGGAGAAGATCTTCCAGCGGCAGGCACACAAGATGGCGCTCAGCAGCTGCGTTGTGGACGAGGAGGAAAACGTTGAGCGGCACTTTACCAGCGAAAACTTGCGCGACCTCTTTACGCTGAACAACACGACGAGCAGCGACACTCACGACCGATTCAACTGCGAGCCCTGCAAGCTTGGTACCTCGCGTCGAGCCATGTTTATTCGCGCACAGATGCTCGCCGAGCAGCGCGCCCAAGCTGCTGCTGCTGCAGCTGCTTCTGCAGGTGCCACCAAGAAGAGCAAGCAGAAAAGGCTCAAGGCGAAAAGCCGTGGTCTCTCCGACCTTCGCGAGCAAGAGGACGAGGGCGAGAATCGCTATGACGGCGGCGAGAATGACTCGAATCACGGCGACGAGGATGATGAGGACGATGATGACGAGGATGACGATGCTTCGGACAGCAATGCAGCGAATGCCGGACCGGAAAGCCAAGTGCCCGATGAAATGCGGCATGACATTTCGCGATGGAACCACTTTTCCAATGCCGACCAGCTGGACGACACGATTTTGAAGAATTCTTCGAACGGGTACATTTCGTTCACCTTCCACTGCCAGTTTGGTGTGTAAAGCAATGTTGTTGCAGTGTGTGTCACCAGCATTGTGTTTGAACAGCGGTTTGATTGTGTCGGAATTTTATTAAACATGGACAATGAGAAACAAACAAAAAAAATCTCAAACAAAATGCATGATGGCGTTCAAAGCTTTGACGCTGGTCCAGTTACGTCAGCCAACGAAGCCAGACCAGCCTCCATGTCGGCAATCAAATCCTGTGGATCCTCCAAACCAACCGAAACGCGAAGCAAGCAGGGAGAGATGGTCTGGTCCACACGATAGCGCCACTCGATCAGGGATTCCACTCCTCCGAGAGAGGTTGCGTCGGCAAAGAGCCGAAGTCGGTCGGGCAGCTTCACGGCACGATGCTCGGTATCCAGCTGCGCACCACCACAACGAAAAGCAGCAGAATGAGTCGAGGCAATGGATTGGAAGAGAACCATGTGGAAGTAAACTGACCTCGATTGAGAGCACGCCGCCGAACGAACCCTTCATTTGCTTGACGGCGACATCATGAAGCGGGTGAGTTGGGAGAGATGGATGCCAGACACGCTTAACGAAGGGAGCACGTCCGCTGGCAAACCAAGCGGCCAAAATGGCTGCTGATTGACTCTGTCGAGTGACTCGCAACTCGAGCGTGCTGGATGTTGATTGAAATGCAAAAGGTGTGAGGCAAAAAGTTCAAGACAACCAGACTCTCGAGATTGCTTGTTGAAACTCACCGCAAACTGCGAAGGAGCAGCCAAGTTTCCAGCGAGCCGGGGACGGCGCCTGAAATGCTGCGCTCATTCAACAACTGAATGACAAAGACACGCGTCGAGGTGAGGCAACAGAGAGCGCAACACTGTACGTTGGGACAATTTAAAGTTCGAGTTCGCACCTTTTCTTGCGTTGCACGATCGCGAACGACTAGGGCTCCACCAAGCAGATCGCTGTGGCCACCAAGGTACTTGGTTGTTGCGTGCATCACCATATCAGCGCCTACCACAAGAAAAACAAACAATGTGAGAAGGAAGACGGCAAATTAAGATATAGAAACAAATCCAATATGCATGCTAATGCAGTGCCAGTGCACCTACCGAGATCCAAGCAATACTGCAGCGGCGGAGGTGCGAACGTGGCATCGGCAACTACAATTGCACCAACGGCATGCGCACGCTTGGCAAATTCAGCGACATCTGCGAAAAATGGGACAAATCACCGGACTGTTCAGAAACGCACCAAACAAACTTAAAAAAATTCAGTGCACCCAATGCATACCTTGAATGTCGCAGCACGGGTTTTTGGGTGTTTCGAGCCAGACGAGGTCGCCTGCTTGAATGGTTGCCGACTTGAGGCTTTCGATTCTCTGTTGACAATGACAGACAAAGAAAGTCAGAAGGCCCCAGCCAAAACCACGATAGTTTGAATTTTAATTTTAAGGAGGGATGGAATGGCGCCATCCGCCATTCATGTGACCAACCGTTCCGAACTTGGATCCGATGAGCTTGGCGACGGCCACAGTGCCAAAGTAACCTCCGTCGATGAGAATCCGCTTTGGGTTGTAGAAGACGAACGCGGCGTGGATGGCAGCGAGCCCCGTGCTGTAGAGGACTGCGTGGCCATGCTCGAGCGCACCCAGGACGGCCTCGGCGCGGTCGCGTGTGGGCTGCGACATGCGCGAGTAGACGTGCGGGCTCTGATCACGGCGAAATGTCGTGCTCACGCTGATCGCCGGCGCAATTTCAGCGCCGTCCGCAGCGGCAATGCCAGCGTCTGCATGGATGAGCAGTGTCGCGAGTGCGCGCTCGCGGCCAGGCGTCGATGCGGATGAATTTGAGGCAGCAGCAGCAGCAGCAGCAGCCGTGTCCGATCCCAGCGTCATGGACGAGAGGATTGTTGGATTGAGAATCAACAAATAAAAAAAAAATAATAAACAAGAATGGCAGTCTTTTTTTTCAAACTGTTTTGTCCAAAATGCTGTCGTATCAGAGCATGACTGAGAGGCAGCGCATGGTTCATGACAGAGTCAAGAATGCGAAGGGACAGCACTAGTAAGTGAAAGTCAAGTTGATTGGAAAGGCATGGCAGTGTGTGTGTGTGTGCTGACGACGACAAAATGGGAAAAGTCTGGACTTTTCTTGGATTGGCGACGCTGAGGCGCAGGCGATTGCTGAGGCACTCAAAGTGAACACGAAGCTGACTACGCTAGAGTAAGGCATATCACTTTGACTGAGTGACACTTCAAGAGAATGACTCATTCATGGGAGGAGATGGACAGGCTGAACAAGAACCAGATTGGCGACGTTGGAGCGCAGGCTCTTGCTGAGGCGCTCAAAGTGAACACGAGGCTGAATTTTCTCCAGTACGGCATCTCATTTTGACTGATGCTTGTGAGTGGGTGATTCGGAAGAGTGCTCACTGACGGAGGGGATGGACAGGCTCTCGGAGAATCAGATTGGCGATGCTGGAGCGCAGTCGATCGCAGAAGCACTGAAGGTGAACAAGAAGTTGACTTTTCTCTTGTAAGTCTCGATCTAGTCTTTTTTTGTTTGTGTTTTTTTTTTTGTTTTTTTTTTCAAATTTTCAAATTTTCTTGGCCGTTTATTTGTATTTATTTTTTATTTGTTTTGCAAGCCATGCATCTCAGAAGCTGCTTTGCTGTTTTTTTTCTCTTTGGGGGGGTATTTTCTTCGTCGCATTGTCATTTTTGGTTTGGTGGCCTTTCCTTTTTTTTTTTTTTTTTTTTTTTTTGTTTGAAGCATTTGAGTGGTGACTTCAAGAGAGAGGCGGCCAGAATGACTCACTGATGGATGGACAGTCTTGCTGACAATCAGTTTGGTGATGCTGGAGCAAAGGCGATTGCTGAGGCCCTCAAGGTGAACACGAAACTGACTACAATCGAGTGAGTTGCTGTGCGCGTTGCTTGTCTCGAACATTGAGCCTGGTTCAGGCACGTTGTCATCCCTGCTCACCTGTTGTGCGACAGTCTAATGTCTAATTGCATTGGCAAGCTTGGTTCTCAAGCGCTCAAGGAGGCATGCAAAGGCAAAAGCGGATTTCAGCTTTTGTAAGTTTTTTGTTCTTGCCAATCACTGCCATGATGTTCCTCCCACCATACTGACCGACCGATCTTCTACCTCGCTTGTTTGTTGCACAGAATCCACAGGCAGATCAACCCTCTTGCGTTCTCCTTGCTTCCCCGATTGGCGAGTGCTGAGGACATCCAAGAAGTGCTCCGCATGCTGACCAGCGGGGTGGAGCTGGAGGATGAGCCCGCATCTCTTCCGACACTTCCGATTGAGATTGCCGAGGTCATCATGGACAAGGCGTGCTACTGGCACGGCGCTTGGAAAATCCAACGAGACTACATTGATCCCGTTAAAATCAAACCGTCTCAAGGAAACTCCATCCGCGTGAAGACAATTCAAGTATTTCGTGACTGGGAGGAGCGTCCACACGACGTCGATGAGTGTGTTTTCCGTTTGACTGTCCACGATGAACGCGGTAAGGTTCGATACAAATGTGCGGTGCACCCGACTTTCGCTACCTCGAACCTCGACGTTGCGACACTCCTGCCAGCCAGTCATCCTTTCCTCCGAGAAATGCGTGAGGGTTGGCAAGCTCAAATTCTACGCAACGATTCTGTCGGCGACGTGCGATTTGAATCGCTTTACATCGGGTACTTCTGATGGCAATCTTTGCAACGCACCCTCTTTTGACGAATACACTGAAAGTTCTTCAGCAACATCTTCGACCGGCAATGACTCGCTGGTCGGTGACTGGTCCACCTCGGTCGTTCAGTCCAACAACATAAACATTTGTGTCAAAAGTATCACATCCAATATCAGAATTGCTTCTCTGTTTGTATTCTCTAGCGCTCGCCTTACCGCCATCTTTCCCCCGCCCCCGCCCCCTTGTTTTTTTGTTTTCTTATCTTCCTCCGTTCTTTTTCCACCCCACTTTTTCTGAGTTTGCCTTTCTCAGTCCCTCTTCTTTTTTCTTCTTTTTTTTTCTGTACGTTCCATAGTTTTTCTGTTTGTTTGTTGTTTTCCGTCAACTGCGTTTTTGATCCACCTTCTCTCTCCTTCTCTCTTCTCTCTCTCTCTTCTCTTTCTCTCCTTCTCTCCTTCTCTCTCTTCTCTCTCTTCTCTCTCACTCACTCATTCTCGCTCTAACTCAACCCTCTCCCTCGTCGTTCACTTCGTCGTTGCAGAAGCCGTGTCACAGGTCCTTTTTCTTTTTTTCCTTTCGCTCTTTCTTCTTCTTTCTTTCTTTCTTTCTTTCTTTCTTTCTTCCTCTCGTCGTGCGATCTTCCGCTCGTTGCCAAGCATCGCTCTTTCAATACGCAACACAACGCAACGCAACACGCAAACTTGTTCTTCTTCGTTCCATCCATTCAAAAACCAAAAGATGACCCCCAACAAAAAAAAAAAAAAAAATGTGCCGCTCTTTGCTTTTTTTTTTTTTTTTTCCTTCTTTTTTTTTTCCTCCATTGTTCGTCTGTCATTGTGTTGCGTTGCGTTGCGTTGCGTTGTGTGTGCATTCGAATGATTCAAACACACACATGCACGGATGGGCCGCGCGCGAGGGAATCGGAGGAGGAGGAGGAGGAAGTGATCCACAGTCCGCCATTGGCATTTGCGTCGCAAAAAAAAAAAAAAAAAAAAGCAAAACAACGTGTTTTGAGACGAGTTGTTACGAGTTTTGTCATCGACTAGCCTTGACTTTGATAGGGATTTGGTTCATAGCAATTTACTCACTGTCTTGTAATTGGCTTGGTCACCCTCTCACTCTCTCCCTCACTGTCTCCCTCACTCTCCCTCACTCTCTCTCTCCACTGTGCAGATCTCCCCCAATGCGATCCGCATCCGCCGTTGCGCTGCTGGTGGCCGCTGTGGTTGCCCTCGCTGCCCTGCCGAGCGCCGACGCCGCTGGCCAGCCGTACATTGTGCCGCTGCCGCGCCGCTGGCAGTACGGCAACTCGACCGTGTACATTGACTCGCAGAGCTTTGCCTTCACCACCAAGACCCAGTCGTTCATTCTCGGCGAGGGCTTCAACCGCTACCGCTCAATCATCTTCCAGCACGCCGAGGCGCGCGGCAAGACCTGGGCTCCCCTGATTACCGGCCTCGATGTCACCGTCGAGTCCAACGACGACACGCTCCAGTATGGCATTGACGAGAGCTACGAGCTCATCATCCCCGCTCAGGGCGGCCCGGCCATCCTCCGCTCGCGCAACGTTTACGGCGCCCTCCGCGGCCTCGAGACCTTCTCCCAGATTGTCATGTTCAACCCCGTCGACCACGTCTACGAGGTTGCCCACGCTCCCTGGAACATTGAGGATGCTCCTCGCTTCTCGCACCGCGGCCTGCTCGTCGACACCTCGCGCCACTTTGAGCCCGTCCCGACGCTCAAGGCTGTCATCGAGTCCATGTCCTTTGCCAAGCTGAACGTCTTCCACTGGCACATTGTTGACACCCAGTCCTTCCCCTTCGAGTCGCGCACCTACCCCGATCTGTGGGACGGCACCTTCTCGCTGAACGAGCGCTACACCCAGGAGGATGTGATGGAGATTGTCGAGTACGCCAAGCTCTTTGGCATTCGCGTCATGCCCGAGTTTGACGGCCCCGGCCACGCTGCCTCGTGGTGCACTGGCTACCCCGGCATCTGCCCCAGCCCTTCGTGCCTCGAGCCCCTCGACCCCTCGAGCCCCCTCACCTTCCAGGTCATTGATGGTCTTCTGAGCGAGACCTCTGGCAACTCTCGCTACGCTGGTCTCTTCCCCGACGACATGATCCACTTTGGTGGTGATGAGGTCGACCCTACCTGCTGGACCCAGACCCCTCGCATTGTCAACTGGATGAACTCGAAGAACTACACCACCGACGACGCCTACATGTACTTTATCGAGACTGTCCACTCGATGGCCATCAAGCGCGGCCGCAACCCCGTCAACTGGGAGGAGGTCTTCCTGCACTTTGGCTCGTCGCTCGACAACGACACCATCGTCCACATCTGGCTCAACCACGACACACTTGCCCAGGTCGTTGCTGCCGGCTACCGCGGCATTCTTTCCAACCAGGACGTTTGGTACCTTGACCACCTCGGCACCACTTGGCAACAGTTCTACCTCAACGAGCCGCACGAAGGCATTGACGACCCCAACCAGCAAAAGCTTGTTCTCGGCGGCGAAGTCTGCATGTGGGGCGAGACTGTCGACACCTCGGACATTTTCAACACTGTTTGGCCCCGTGCTGCCGCTGCTGCCGAGCGTCTCTGGTCTGATCGCCAGGTGAACTCGACCAACCTGTTTGAGCCGCGCCTGCTCAACTTCCGCTGCCTGCTCAACCTCCGTGGCGTCCCTGCTGCCCCCGTTGAGAACGCCCAGGCCCGCACTGGCCCACCCGGACCTGGCGGCTGCTACGTCCAGTAAAAGACACACGTTCAGGGATGGTTGACCAAAAAAACAACAAAAAGTGAACCCGAAATATTTCCGTTCTCATCCCTCTTCGTTTTCTGTCGTTTGCCCTCCTGTTCGACAAGTTTACTCAAACAACAACAAACTACACCACCTTGTGAAAGTGGCAGATGCTGGTTTGTCCTTGTGTAGTCTGTGCTTATGTTTTTTTTTTGTTCGATATAAACTCAGGTTGTTGTTGTTGTCCACCTCTCCTTTTTGTTTCCCATGGTTCTTCTGTCAGTTCATGACCATAGTTTTCCTCGCACATCTATCATCGTTTCCCAATTGCAGAAGGCCATCACTCCTCCTTCCTTTCAACTGCGATTCTGAATGGCGACCTTTGTAGCCTGCGCTCGTGGTCCTGCGCTCTTCAGCCGCTACAACCGCCCCTCTGTAATCCAACCCCCTCCAAAAACCACGTTGACACTCACTGCAAACATGGCAAGTACGCTGCTGGGATGCGACGAACTCGACGAGACGGCAAGCGATGACAAAAGGAGATTGCACTACATTCGCTTCCTCGTCGGTGGTCCCGTCGCTGTGCGGTGCGATGGCTGCTTGTGAAGATGTGGCAAAGAGTGACTGCAGGGCAACCATTCTATTGCAAGCAAGCGCGCGGGGATTGAGATCAACACGAACAAACCCAAACAATGAGCGCGCGGAGAAGCTGAGACAAAAGCTGTGACTGACTTGCAATATGCACAACTGGAACATTGACTTGGTTTTTATGGTCGACAGCCACTCTACAAGAACAATGGACTCGAGCGCGTGTCGGTGAACCTGTCCAGCGCTGTAAGGCATCGAGGCTTTGCATGGACAGATTTAAAACTTACTTTGATTTGGGCTGCAACACAGTATGGCATACTCTCGTTTGTGCTGAGGCCAATGGTGATCTATCGAAGCATCTCGATTACATGGGATGGTGAGTTTGGAGTTGAAATAGTGCAGCTTGCGAATGCATCTGAGGCTGAATGTTCCCGATATTATTGGGTGTTCTGTTGCACAATATAGTGCTCGTGCATGGCGCCGATTGGACGCAAGAGCTGTACAACTTGCCAAGTAAGTTGCCAAGACATCAAGCGAGCACGGAGGGACTGTTTCGGAAGCTTACGGATGCCGCAACTTTTGAAACACTGACTTGTCGCGCTTTTGTCGCTCTTGCCGATTTCAGCCACGACGATGGCATTGACAGTTGCCGCATACGTCCTTGCGTTGGTCTTCCGTGGCCTGGGACGCTATTCCAACCCGGTCTACCGCGAATTCATGAGCGTATTTCGCAAGGCTCAGACCGAGAAGCCGTTGACTTCTGCCACTCGCGTGAGTTCAACAGCTAGCGATCGTTTTCTTATGTTGCATAGTACTACCGAGTGTCGGTGTACAAACTCACGCTCCTCTGCCACTATGACGCTCTGGCACACACAGGCTGCCCTTGACACGTTCGACTACGACTGGTCCACGCGTGCAGCGGACTATGAATATGTGACTTCTGCTGACGAGTCAAAGGCCAAGGTCGCCCATGTTCGGCATACCGGTGTGCCCAAGTTGTGAGTGCTAGAGATATGCCACTGCAAATTGCAAAACAAAATTGCCATACCCTCACTTTCAATTCTCACTGCAATGATTGTAGCACTTTGGCCATGATTTTCAACCCGAGGCTGTTTGTCCACTACATGGTAGCAACAAGCATTGGCATTCGTGCCATGTACCCCGGAACCACTGCGCCGTTTAAGGCGATGGTTGGTCAAATGTTGTGTGAAGGACGCAATGTAAGAAATGAGACTTTTTCTTCGTTTTGCATCTGTCCCTGTTCCTGTCACTTTGTGCTCATTTTGATTCACCTTGCTTGGCTCTATTGTCAGCGCCTCATCACAACAGAAAATGGCCGTCGCAACAAGCTGCTGGCTGCCGACGGCAACGCCATTGACACGATTTTCCTCGACCGCCGCCCAGCAAGCACTCAGAATGGAAGCGTCCTGGTATGTTGTGGTGGTAAGGGGGGGATGTGAGGAAGTTGTCTTTACATGCGCTCTGACTCTCCGCTTCGATTCCGCTGCTGGTTGTCGAGTAGGTCATTGCATGCGAGGGAAATGGCTCGTTCTACGAAATGGGCGTTTCCGACACTGCTCAGCAGCTGGGCTACTCGGTTCTTGGCTGGAATCACCCCGGCTACGGCGCTAGTACCGGCATGCCATATCCATCTGCCGAAAAGAATGTAGGACTGGATCTTGTGTGGACCCACCTCGTCTTTGATTGCAATTGCTCATCGCTCATTGCTTTTTTTTTTTTTTGTGCTTTTTTTTTGTGCCTTTTTCTTCTTCTTTTTTCTTCTTTTGTTTTTCCTGGCTTCAATCTGCCGCAGGCCATCGACGTCGTCATGCAGTTCGCCCTCGACAAGCTCGGGTTTGCGCCGCAGAATATTCTGTTCTATGGCTGGTCGATCGGTGGCATGACCGCCTCGCATGCAGCAAGCCAGCATCCGGGAATTCGCGGCGTGATCATTGACGCGTCCTTCGATGACATGGCCGAGCTTGCGCCGTACCACATGCCACCAATGCTTGGTAGGTTTTTGTTTTGAACGTTTGGGGCGCGAGGGCGTGGCTACGGGTGCCAATAGATCTGACTTGATGCTTGCGAATCGTGCGGAACAGACTCCCTCACACGTTCAACAGTTCGGCAATACTTGCACATTCAAGTTGCCCAGCAGGCGTGCAATTATGACGGCCCTATTCTGCTCTATCGGAGGGCCGACGATGAGATGATGTGCAACCGACGCGCCCCGACACTGGCGTCCAACCGCGGCAACCACCTTCTCAAGGCCATCTTGCTAAAGCGCTACCCAGGGCTCATCCATGTGCCTACCCTCGACCGGTACCTGTTTGAGTGCGACAGCTTGGAGGCTTGCAGTGAGTTGCAGCAATCCCTTCACCCGAATGAGATTGAGTGCAACGGCTGGCTCGCCGAGGAGCAGCGTCAGCATGGCAGCACGCCAGCTGCGCGCCGTGCCTGGGGCACCGGTTTGTCCACCGACAAGCGCTGTCAGCTCACGCTGCACATGGTCAACTACCACTTGATCAACATTCCCACGTCTCATTGCCCTCCCTTGCCGCGGCGCATGTGGCGCGAGCCCTGGCGTGGTCCCGACAACTCGGCCACATTCAACGCGGCGCTCACTGCACCTGTTGACAATCCCACCGATCCCGCCTTCATGCAAGATGTGATGGATGCCGCCATGACCGATTTGCAGTAACTTTTTTGCGAATACAGAACCGAATACAGGAATACTTTTGAGGCTCAGAACTTTACATTCATTCTTCAGCTTTTAGTCAAACCTCTCGTTGCTCAGTGTTTTTGTTTTGTTTCTTTCTCAGTCCTCTAATTATTGTTTGTGTGATTTTTTTTGTTTTTCTCACCTTTTGGGCGTGGCAAACAAGCTTGTTCCCTTATTTAGCGCTGTTGTCATTCTGAGATGGCGTCGCAACCAGCTCTGAACGCTGCTGCTGCTGCTGCTGCGGCGCCCATCAACCTTGCGCCTGGGTTTGCGCACATTGGCTTCAATGCATTGCCACCAGATCAGGCCGCGCTGTACCGAGCTCGCTCGACGGTCGATGACGCCCCGAGCCGTGATGACGCGCCAAGTCTCGAAGATCATCACGATGAGCGCAGTCACCGCCGCCGAAGAAGACGCAGCCTCCGCCGTCGCCACAGGCACTGGATGCGTACCGCGGTGCGATCGCTATTCACAGCTCCGTCGATCGCGGCAGGCGTCGCGGTGGTTGTCGGCAATGTCGGCGTGCGCGTTGCGACCGTTGCCACGACGCTCGTCACCCGCGCAGGCAAACTCGCTCAAGCGGTCGCGCAGCTGGATTGGATTCGAGGTGAAAGCGATGAATCGGTCGTGCTGGCGGCGGCTGCCCAGGACGAGGCGGACGCGGCCGAGATTGCCATTCTCGAGGCAATGCTGCAACCCAGGCTGGCGCTGATCACACAGCTGTACAGGCTTGCAGAGCGGTCAGTCTGGCGGACGACCATGCACGACCGTGTCCAGTACACGGATAGAGCAGATGTGGTGCCAATCTTGCATCCCTCGAGTGTGGTGCCGCTGCCAGCTATTCTGCACCGAGCCTTCCCAGCGCTGAGATTCTATGGCAAAGCATTCGCACTCCTCGAGCTCCAAAGCGAAAAGTTTGCTGCGTCGGAGCAGCCGTTTCACTTGTCACCGGCGCTGGATGTGGATGTCGACCAGTATACGCTGCACCACTACCCGATCGAAATGGTTCGGGCGACTTTTGCACAGCCTCCTCTGATTCGTTTTGCCCATGACAGCCTGGATGCTGCCAGTGTGTCTCAAAGGGTATTGGGCGGTGAGGCTGCATCATCCGTTGCGACAGACGTGACGTGCCTGCCAGACGAGATTCTGCTGCACATTTTCCAGTTCTTGTTGCCATCCGTGGCCGACCTCCGCCGGATTGCCGCGGTTTGTCGAGCATGGAAGAGAGTTTCAGAAGACCCTTCGATTTGGCGGGTTGTTGTCCTGAACAAGTGGCCCATCTTTCGCGCTCCTTCGCTGCACGCGACCTTCGAGAGTCACGTTGCATTGTACAACAACAATGTGAAAAGCATGTGGGCCGACGGCATTCAGAAAGCTTGCCGTGCAACGGCTCACTTTGAGATTTATGCTCCCTACAATCGCGATGCACCCCGGACAGTGCAATCCCAGCTCCGACACACGCGATCGAGCGGATGGAACATCCAGCTTTGCCAGCAAGCAGCCGCCGACAACGAAAGCGTGAAAGTGGTTGTCACGCCGACGCTTTCTCCAGAGGTGAGGACTTTTTGTGGTTTTTGAAGTCAGGGTGTGCAGCAGGTTGAACTTTTTGAGTCGGAGTTTGAGTTGGATTTTTTTTTTGGTTTTTTTTTTTTTTTTTTTTTGAGTTCAAGCTTGGTGTGATATGCATCTGGGTTTGAGTCTTGCTTCTTTGTTGCCGTCCGCTCATGCAGCAACGCCGCTCCACTTAACCCCCCCCCCTCTGCTTTCATGTCCATAGGTGGCATGGATTCGTCCAATCAAACTCATCATCACGATTTCCAGGCCCGATGCTCCAAAGGTTCAGGAGTGGCGCTATGCCTCGTTCGCCAGCCCGGGACACCCATCTCGCGATTTTTGGATGGCACTACCTGTCCCTGAGCAATCGGGCTCTGGTTCAACGAGTACTTTGCCAAGGCCTGTTCAAGTGGATGTGACCCTTGTGGATGAAGGCATGGCAGAGCCCTTCACTTCTGACACCACCCTGAACTGGGCCGCGCGCTCCAGTCCAACTTATCGGTGCGCGGTTGTTACGGATGAGGACATTGAGAGGCATTGCGGGTTTGGCCTGTTTGACGCCATTATTCTGCCTTGCTACGAACTGGCCGGGGACGACACATTGTCGGCCTTGTGCTCTGTAATTGCCCATCGCCACGCAATCAGTCGCGAAGAACAAGAGTTGTGGCTTTGCTTTCCAGACTCGGGCAGCCAAGAGCTACTCTTCCATCCTCGCATGCTGCTCTCCCCGCACCACATCCAAACGTGCGTGATTCAGGACCTGGCGACGCTGTGCGGTACTCAATCCCATTCCTACGTGATGCATACAAACGTCACAGGCTTGCGCCACCACCTCATTGCACAACTCCAGACACGCTCTTTGTGGACTCCAGCATCGCCGTCCTCCGCAAACGCCCACACCTTTGATTTTGTTGTCTACTTTCGCCGCAGCCAGCCAGCCGAGGAACTGGCTCGCGCTGCCAGTGCACGCTCGACCTTTGCTCGCTTTTCGGCCGGCCTTGTGGCGGAGCGTTCCGACGGCGATGACGACGACAACTTTGAGGCGGCGATGGGCTTGTTCAATCGGGCAGAGCAGAGTCTTTCCGTGGACGCGTCCTCTCTGGTCTTTGCCCGATACTTTGATCGTGAACTGCAAAAGCTGTGGAACCTCGGAAGCATGCTCGTCTCTACCCACGGCACTCGGATTGACACGTTGAAGCAGTTTGTCCGAGAGCGAGCTGGGCTTGCAGCGGACGCAGACCTCGTCATGTACACCACGTCCAGCTCAGACCCTTCGCGAACAGAATCCGTCTTGGAAGGCGCAGTGTATCTGCGCGAGCTCGATTTAACCTCTGGCGATGTGCTCTATTTTGAGCAATCGGCCTCCGAGTTGCATCTCGCAACACCGACTCGGTTGCGTCGGCTTCCTCGACCGCCGCCTGCCAGACGCGTCGGCAAGGCCATCTTTGATTCGTCCTTGCCCTTGTTTTCCCAGCAACTCTTGGATTCACGCTCCTCCGAGTCCGACCTGTTGCCCAATCCCGCAGTTTTGAGCCTAGCTCGCGACTTTTACCTCGACACCACCTCGCACCCTGCCATTCTCGTGAAGCGGCTCCCACGCGTGAATTCTGTCAGCGAATTCTTGGCGTGCCGCGCGCGCATCGTGCAGGTGGATTTGCAGCTGCCAGAAGATCCTTTCAACGACCACCCTCTTCTCGTCTCGTTGTGTTGCGACTCGAATGTATTGCTCTATCAGTTGGTCGGAGTGGCGGCCGAGCTGCTCGCCATCTCGCCCGAGCGGATTTCCTTGTGCCACGACCGTGGACAGCCCTGCTCTTCGTTCATGTCCGTTCGCGGTGTTTCGGATTGCTCGCGTGCGGCTCCGCTGCAGCGACGATTTTGGTGCCAACGGACGCGTCAGCCGAGAAGAGTGTATTCGTCACACGATGGCGTGGCTATTTTCGTGGTGGTTGATCCAAATCACGACGCAACGACCGAGGGTCTCGGGACAAAAACAATACGCACCTGGTATGATGTCCGACGAGAGCGCAAGAGAGCTTTTGAGAGCACTCGGCGGCAACGTGCACAAGCGAGCAGCTTCTCCAACACTTTGGCAACCGATCCGTTTGGCGGGGTGTTTGCTGAACCCATGTATTCAAAGCTATCAGGTCCTACCGTTGAGGATGTGGATTTTACAGGTACTATCCTCGACACGTAGTTTGCCAATTCTACAAACCAATAGAAAATAAATCGAATTTACAATTGTGATACAACAAAGTCCATCCTACACAGCACGACGGTCCAAGCAGAGAGCTATTCTTGGGCTAGTCTTGGTACAAGCAGAAGGGTGTCCACTTTTCTGGAACGAGTTGGAAGTACTTTTCAATGGCATCGCGGAAACGATTCCTGTAAATCTCAGGAGATTGGACGGTAGGGGCCTTGCCGGAGCCACCGAGAATGCCAGTACTCTTGACCCACATTTCAAGTTTCTTGTCCCAGGTGAAGGTGCGAATGTAGTCTAAAAAGATTTCCCCGAGAGCAAGCGACAGATCAACTCGGTGAGTGCCCAAGCAAAGTGAAGCAAAAAAAACACGAGAATCACACAGCTGCAACGTTACCAATAATACCAGCCACGAGCTGGTTGTTGGTCTCGTCGACGCCTACAAGCAGCGAGTAGTCCATCACGTTCCAGTCACAGAGGAATTGGGTGTCGTTCGATATGGCACGCATCAAGACACCCTTGCTATGGGCTCGAAGCAGCAGAGGGTTGGCGTAGGTGACTGTGTGTGTGTCAGCGAAGACAGGGTGAGGGTGAGCCGGGGGGGGGGCGGCGGCGGAGTTACTCATGAAAATAACACAGAACTGCAACATGAATGAACCTACTCTCCAAAAAGTTTTCGTCCATCAACACCTCGGAATCATTGCCTGTAGCCTGGACGTAACGGCTTCGCACGGAGCCTTTCAAGTCGAACGCCTGTCAGGAAAAGAAAAGGTCAATAAATACACTCACATGACTGAATCTCAACTCGCTGCTGCTGTTGTTGCCGCTGCTGCTATTGCAGAGCCAAAGGCTACAAGCCGCATTCGTAGAAACATGAGAGGGCTGTACCTTTGTAATTTTGCGACCATAGAACAAGTTCTCCATCACCAGCAAATCCTGCTTCAGCGTGCGACCAGTTTCGTGATTCTTGTAGCCAATGCGATAAACGCCGAGAATCTTTGCCAAAAGCGTCGGGCGCTGCGTCAACACGAGTCACACGACAAAAAGTAGCAACACCCAGTTAGACCAAACAAAGGACATCGGTCGACAACTGCAAAACGTCAAAGTACAGACCTTCTGTTGCTGAGCACGCTCCAAAGCATCAAAGTAATGCGGGGCAAAGGACATGAACGACTGGGCTTCCAGCCGCGTCATCTGCTTGATCACGTAACGCTCATCGCGCGATTTTGAAAAGCTCGATCCGCTTTTGCCGCCAGTCGCTAGCCAGGACTTGCAGCGCGAGATTGACTGCACAAACTCTGCATCGCCGCCACTGACAATTTGTGTGCGCAGCTTTGAGAATTCGGCAGCAAAGAAAACTTTGCAATAAAACTTGGCAGTCATGTCCGAGAACTGGTGAATAATGTGAGGCAGCTCGGAATCGGGTGTTGCAGAATCGACGGGTGCGGAGCCAACATCGCCAGCATTCATTCCCGGGGGCGGAGCGGTCGATGACGAGCTGGTTGGAGCCTGTACTGCGACAAAGCTCGGCTCTGCCTCGCTTGGGTAAGGGGAGCTTACGTTGCTGGTGGCACCAAACACGTTGGGAGCCAAGTCCTCGACGCCTTGGGACGGGCGCGCCACGCGGACGGGTTTGCCAGAGCCGGTGGTGCCCAGCGCCAAGAACTGACGGCGCTCGGTGAGACGCTGAATGTACTCGCGAGAGCAGAGTGTAAAGGCAATCACCGAAGACGGCTCGTCCTCGTACACAATGTACGGCGAGGCCTGAGTTGGGTAGAGCAGCGCATGCTCGCTGGAAGAAAACGGCATGGCAATTCTGTCGATGGAAAGCGTTTGGTGGCTCAACAGGAACTTGAGCAGCAATCCACGACGGTCGGCAAGGGTCAAGCGGGCTCCAGAGTTGGCAGCAAACACTTGGCTCGCACTCAGCGAAGGCGGTCCGGTGCCAAAGGCTGTAGCAGGGGAAGCCGGTTGAGCACTCTCGAGCCCGGGTGAGACGCCGCTAATCGTGGAGCTCATAATGGGCAGGAGGGCGCTGCCGGGAACGAGGAGAGTCGGATCGAGCAAGCCGTCAAGCATGTTCACGGAAACATCCTCTGTGCTGCCAACTTTTGCAAGCGACGCTTCGTCGACTGCGGTTGCCGTCGCTTCGCCTGGCGCGATTGCAGCTGCTGAAGTGGAAGGAAGCAGTGGCGGTTTGCTGTTGAAACCAAGCGCTGGAGCTGCCAACAAGGGCCGGGGATGATGCAGCTGCCCGTCCCGGGCCTTTGACCCGGCGACGTGCTTATCCTTGGAGTCGATCGCAACAGAGGCTGCTTCAAACAGCGCATGCTCAATCCCAGTAGATTTCCAATTGACACCCGCGCGTCTTGAGGAAGCAACCTCCGCCCCTTCATCCTGCGGCTCGCGATCGTCTGTCTCGTCAAAGGTATCACTCTCGAGAATGGCATCCAGGTCAACGTTGGAATCCTGCTGATCCTTTGGCGGTACCGAGTTTGGAGTTGCCAGCACCAGCGAAGCAGAACCAGCCGCCGCGCCCGACATGGTCAGCCCGAACGCGTTGGAAGGAGTCGATGCCAGCCCAAGCGTCGATGGATAGGCGACGACGGCCAGACTACCCACTCCGAGGGTTGGAGCCGTGTGACCCGGAGTGGCAGGAACAACGCTTGAACCCGCAGAGTTGTTGCTGCCGAGTGCCTTCTTGTGCTTCTCGCTCGAGTACTTGTGCAGAATTTCTTGAATGGAAGCGTTCTTGCTTGCAGTCAACGCACACAAGCTGGTTTTGCCGGCATTCACAAGGCGAGTAGCCGTGATAACGTCTGCAAGGCTTGGCGTCCCCAGCGTGGTCAGCTCGCGAACTTGGTCACGCGCGACTGTCATGCTTTGTCTGAAAGCCTCCTGTTGTGACCAAAAGTAAGGTCGATTGGCCAAGAGGGGGTCGGGGAAGGAAGAGGAATGGAGAGGTGTGAGACGACATGGCAGAAATTCAACGCCCCCCCCCCCAAAGCTACTGACAAGAGCACAAACAACCAGAAATTCATGTGTTTCGTGAGTCTTTACCAGCTCAACATCGCAGCGAGTACGAAGCGCATCCACCTCAGCTCGACAGTCTTCCATGAGGGCTGGCTCAATCGTTTCGTAGTTGAAATGGCGCAGTCGGTCTTGGATGACGGCAAAGATCTTGTCGCACTCGACGTCGACAATGGTGAGCTCGTTCTGCCAATCAAGCTCAAAGTGCGCTGGGATGGAGATGGACCCTGGAGGCAAGGAGACTTCCGGCATTTGCAAGGTTTGGAGATCAAAGTACACCACCAGATGCTTAAAGCCAAAGTAGCGGACGTGGTCCCGGTGGAGCGAGTGCGTGCAAGTCACACCTGGGTTGCCACTGTCGGCTGCAGCGGCGGCGGGACCCATCGAACCCACATTGAAGGCAGAGTCGTGATGGGGTTTGACGCGATACTTGTGCGCGTAAAAGAGAAGCTCGAGAAACTTGCCAAATGACAGGCGCCACGACTCTTTCGACAGGGGCACAACTGGAGCGCCCAGGCGGCGGCATTGCTTGCACCAGCTCCAGGTGAAAATGCCTTCGCGTGACCCGCAGTGATTCAAGAGCTGCTGGATTTGCGACTGCAGGTCTGACGCAATCAGGTTGAAGGCGAGCATCGAGACGGTCAGCTTGCTCGAGTCGTGAGCATACGACCGAATGTGGTTGACCATGGGAGATGTGCACTCGGGGCTTTCACACTTGTAAGCCGATTGGTTGGGTCGGCTGGGGCGGAAGCAGTGGTCTTGCAAAAACTGGCCGAGAGTGAGGTCGTTTTCGCCATAAAACTTGATCGAAACGACATCGGGAGCACGGCACAGCGAGCTGGACGACAGACAATAGTTCCAGTAGAGAACACGGATTTCCTGGTGGTTGTACGGCGACAGGCAGTCGTAGCGCTGTTGGCGCCGGAAAATCGAGTCGTACTGCTGTTGCTGGTGCAGAATCTGTCGCTGTCCGTCAGAAAGTGCGGGCGAGTTGGTCGGAAGGTTTTTCATGACTCCAACACGCATCTTGCGTTTGCCCTTGCGGACAGCCTTGATGATTTCGCGGTTGGGCTGCAGTGCGGTGCGCAGCGCCTGAAGCGACGGAGGTGCGGGCAGCGGCGGGAAGATGATGGCGGACGCGGCAGGCGTGTTGGCAAACGTCTCAAAGAACCGCGACCAAAACGGATTGACGTGAATGAAATGACGAAGCTCGCTGGCCAAGCCGGCTGGAGTGAAAATGAACGGAAGCGGCGGGTGGACGCCTGCCGACCCGCTCAAGATGGTTTGGGCAAACATGTCCAACAGCTCCCGTGGAAGAGTAATGGAGCCCGCGAGTTGCGAGATGCTGCTTTGTCGAGCCCGTTGCTGTGCGAATGGTGCCAGCAACGAAGAGGCGGCCAGCGGCTTGACTTCGTCACTTTCCCCGACGACCGCAGGAAGCTCGTTGAAGGACTGGGTCTGGGACTGGTCAACCTCAGGTGTGCGGTTGCCACTGGACTGCAAAGCTGGCGAGCCAATGTTGTACACATTCAATGGGGCGGACAAAGAGAGCAGTTCGTTGGTCGATCCTGCACTCAGTACAGAAATGGCGTCGTCCATCGAGGTGCCAGCACTGCTGGCGGTCGCGATCGAAGAAGGCAAGGAGAGCGATGCCGACGCGAACGAGTTTTGCTTTTTGGTGTGGAGAGAGACGGTGGCGCATTCATCGAGAAGAAACTCGGTTTCAAGGTTCAAGTTGCACGTGAGGAACAGCATCAGGTTGAGGATGCGCTTGATTTTGCTCAGAATAGCAATGGAGGCGCCGCGCAAAATCAGCGTGCAGCCCAAACGCGTGGACGTTCCCTCGAAAAACATGAGCGTCTTTGGCGAAGCATCAAGATCGCCGTGGTCTTCAAACTTTGTTAGGTAGAAGCGCGCGCAGGTGCCGAGCTTTGGGTCAAAGTTGAGTTTGTCCACCGAGCTGAGGACCTCGGCATTCGTGCACCGGGCAATCAGCGACATGACATGCGGCTTGATGTTGAGTGCAAAGGCAATTTCAGCATCCAGCAGCATTTCCTGGGCGATGCGCGAGATGCTCTTCTCGACCAGGACCAGGTCTGGCTTGAGAGCGATAATTTTGGCGACGAGGATTTTGAGGTAGTCGCGCTCTTGAAGGAGCAGCGGATCGAACGAGACAAATTGGTTTGCTACGCGCTGATACTCTAGCGCAAAGCCGAGCATCAAAATACGCGGATTGGCGATCGACGTGCGCATGCGCTTGTGGGCAACGGTCTTGGTGCACACCCAACCTGGAATGTACGAGCTCATGTGCTGAGAGCCGCCAGAGACCTTTTTGATTTTGACATAGTACGTCACGTCCATGCGATCTCCGTGGCGAACATCCGGCTTGATGGTTTCACAAGCGCAGTGCACCAGCGGCATGATAACATCACTCCATGACATGTCAACGCCGGCCGAATCCAGCAGTTGGCGCAGCAGCTTTGTCAGGTGCTGCTGGCCTTCCGTGCGCAGCTTCTTTTGAGCGCCGCGCTCGACCACAATCCGCACCGGGGCCGAGCGAGCGCCCTGTCGAGACGAAGCGGAGGCATTGGCCAAGGCGGAGGCCGCTGCTGCAAATGAGTCTCGGATAAATTCTTCGTATGCCTCGTTCGAGTTGAACTGGAAGGTATCACGAATGACGGGGCGAAGCTCTGCAATTTTGTTGCTGCGAGTTTGCGGGGAGGCAAACTGGGTGGGCCCAGTCGACAAAGATGACGCCGCCGCCGTTGCAAGCGGCACTGGTGCCAGTGTAACCGGAACAGCAGATTGCGAGAAGGATCGCGACGTTGTGTTGGGCGACACATCGCCCGTAGTGGTGCCCGAAGTTTTGTCTGGAGACAACGGAGGAGTGTGGGTTCCAGAATAGTCTCCGCGAGACAAGCGATCGAGCAAAGGCGTGGCGGATTCAGCTCGTTCAGGCTGTGCTTCGACAGGGGACTCTGAGGGTTTGGAAGGCGTGTTTGGTGCGTCGTGCAGACCCCGCGAGATTTGCTGGAACCAAGACGGACCCGCATCCTCGTCACTCGCATAGCCTTGGTCGGGAGAGGTGACTTTTCGACGAGACGAGTTGCTGCGCGTCCGCGTTGACCCTGCAGCAGATGTGGCCGAGAAGAAGGTAACGAGTGCGGGTGAGCCCTCATAGTCGCCCGAGCCCGAGCCCGAGCGCTTGCCCAGCTGCTCGTTGGAGGACGCTCGGCGCATCAGGTTTGATCCAGCGGCAGTGCTATCGCCAGTGGACGTGCTGGGGCGGCGCTTTTTGCTGAACGAGGGCGCCTTCATGATGGACAAGGACGCACGGGCATCCGACTTGCCAATGTCGGTCTCCTCATCGCTGCTATCGTCGCCGCTGGGATTACTCGAGCCGTCGTCAGAGTCTGAGAGGGGCGTCGCAGTGTGGCGATTTTGGGCGAGGTACGTGGCAGTGTTGCTGCTGCGCTGCTTGTCAACCGCTTCGCCGCGCACTTCCTGGTGGATGCGAGGGGCAATTCGAAAGAGCTGGTACTCGTCGCGAAAGACTGGGTCTTCCGAAATGACGGCATTCTCAATACCTTGTGCGTCAATCATGGCCTGGCACAGATGGGTGGCCTCACTTCGATTGGTTGCATGGCCGTTCGACACCAGCCAATCAACAAGTTCACTCGCGACAAACGTGTCGGGATAGTTGCGCAGCCGATGCCGATGGTCCCGGATGTCAAGCGACGATTCCTTTGCCGCAATCGACAAGAGGATGGTCATTACGATGTTGTACTTGCCGTGCTCGGGCACGCGAGCGGACGTGGTCTTGGGCTGTGAGAATAGACGGGTGGGCGGGCGCGACTTTGACCCCAGTGCGGAAGCGGAGGACTGTGCCAGGGGGTTTGGCGACGACGAATCGAGAGAGGGCGCAATGTGCGGTCCGGAGCCAGCGCTGCCCGCATTGGCCAGGCTAGAGTTGCTGGCGGAGGGATAGAGCCCACGAGGTGCGCCAGAAGGCATCGGCGAAGCACCACTCGTCGAAGGGATGAGTGAAGGTTCGGGCGTGCTCAAGTGTCTGTGCGGCGGGTCGGCGTGGGTCGGCAGCGTTGAGCTGGAAGAGGAAGGCTCGTCGCCTGCTGCCAACAGACCAGCTCCAACGTTGACATGCTGCGTGTAGCTTTCTACGACACCGTAGCAATAGTTGCACGTCCGCAGATCGCCCCGCGCGCCAAACCGAGCGCCCGAGATGGTTTTCGAGCAGCACTTCCAACAAAAGATTTGGCCACAGATGCGGCAATGATGGCGACGTCGGAAGGCGGTGAACTGGCCGCTGCAGTCGTAGCATTGCTTGCAGTTGACGTCGGGCATCCAGTACTTTTTCCGATACTCGCTGTCGCCAAAATGTCGGATTTGCTTGAGCACCACAGCAAGGGTGCGCGTTGGTGGCTCGGTCGTGTTCTCTGGCATGTTGGAGCTGCCGCCGAACGACTCGGCTCGGTCGATGCTGTGGTGGCTCCCTTGCAGCGATTGAGTTGAGCCGGCGCGACTCGACGAAAAGGACGCGGACGCGGACACGCTCCCAGCGGTAGAGCGCGATCTGCCGCCGCCGGACTGTGACTGGTCTTGGGCGGTGCTGGTACCAGACGAGACCATGGGCTTGGATGTATCGAACGCCCCGCCGGCCGCCGCCCCGCCTTGTTGTGACAGGGAGGGAATGGTAGATTGGTAATCATCGTCCTCGTTGTCAGCGGGCTCGTCGGGGGTGTCGATATCCGCGCCTCCGTCGCTCTCCTCGTCAATCAGGCCCGCCGCATTGCCAGCTTCCATGGACAAGGCGACCGAGAGGCGACGGTTGGCGAGCAACTGGTCGACCTGGAGCGCGGTCGCGGGCTTGACAAGTCCGCTCTGGCTCGGGCGTCTGCGCAACGCGGATGCAGTCGACGCCGTACTTGCACTTCGAGACAGACCAGTACTTGTGCCACCAGAAGCCATGCTCGTGGCGCCTTGGGGTGTTAGACCTGGCTCTGAAGTAGTACTAGTTGTTGTCGTTGAAGGATGAGAGGACGCCGACGACGACGACGACGCGCCATCCGGCTCGGATGCGTTGTTACTGGATGTGACGACCGAGCCAGAACTCGTCGACGATGCCAACGTCGAAGAAGCAGCAGAAGCAGGCGCCGTGACGCCCTGGAGGGACGAGGACAGCAGATTGGACGACGACCCAGCAGCAGCGCCGCTTCGTGTGTACCCCAGCGAGACCGAAGATGACGACAAGGCGGAGGATGACGATGATGCGTCAAGGATGCTCACCGATGACGAGAGCGATCCGTTCGGCGGCACGGATTGGTGCGACGGGGACAGTGCAGCGAACGAGGTCAGTTGGTCTCGTTGCTGCTGCTGCTGCTTGGCCCGCTGTTGCTGCTGCTGCTGCTGCCGTAGCGCTGCTGGGTTTGTGACAGCGTGGTGGGACATTTTGTTGTGTGTGTGTATTCGTGTCGGAAGAGCGAGAGAGAGAGATTGTGAGAGAGAGAGAGAGACAGCGGAGTCGACGAAAGCTGCTCGAGGTTGAGGGTTTTTGAGGACTGAGTGCTGGTTGAGTTTTGAAATTGGATTGTTGCATGCATTCGAGATTGGAGGTTGATCTAACAAGGGGGGCAAAGGGGGCAAAGGGGGTGAGGTGTTGAAGCAGATCTGCAAACAAGAGCGAGAGAGTGAGTGTCGGTCTCTTCTTTCTTTCTTTCTCTCGTTCTCTTATTAATTTCAATATCTGATTTTGTTTTTTTTTTCTGTCATTTTCTTTGTTTGAGTGCAGATTTCTGAGATTCATGTTGTTGTTGTTTTCTTTTTTTCCAGTCTTCGTTTCACTTTTTTTTCTTTTTTTTTCGGTAATTTTTTTTTTTTTTCAAATCTGAAACAAGTTGTATTTTTTTCTTTTCTTTTCTTTCTTTTTTTCCTTTTTCCTTTTGGATTGGTTTCAACACAGCGTGCAGCAGCAGCAGCAGCAGCAGTGAATTACAAACTCATCCAACGCTGAGTTGATCTTGATATTGCTTCAGCCAGCGTTTTGCTCTCTCTGCTGCTGCTGCTGCTGCTCCTGCAATTTTTGATATTTCGTTTGCTTTTTTTTTTTTTTTTTTTTTGAGTATTTCATCATATTGGCGCACATGGAAAACTGTGCCTTTTTGTTTCGCATTTTTGACAATGGATTTTTGCTATGAACTCTGCATTTAACAAAAAACAAAAAAAAAAAAAAGACGAGGAGGACTTTCTTGGGGGGTGCTTTTTGGCCGTGTCGGTGCAGCCTGTGCTCGCCGTCTGCCGCCACCGCACCCACCCTGGCGCCTTCGTCATTCAATTGCCTGTGCTCCTGCGCTTGGCTCGTGCCCAGCCGGCGTGTGGTCGACGCACTGCAGCGAAACGTATTCCAAACGCGTCGTTTTTCTTTTTTTTTTTCTTTTTTTTTCATAGATCGCTTTTTTTTTTTTTTTTTTTTTTTTGAGAACGGTTTCGCTTTGTCTCGATTGCTTTTGAGCGCCCTTTCTTTTCTTTATCGCGCTGCGAACGCCACTTCCGCGTCACTTCATTGGCGAGTGAATGTGTAGAACTGTCTGTGCTGCTTCCTCTCGTGTGATCTGCGACGGAAAGCGAGTCCCTGCCCCTGCAACAAACAGCGGCTTGGCAGCTTTTTTTCGCGCGTTTCACAAACCGTTTTACGTTTCTCTTTTTTTTTTTTTTTTTTTTTCTTCTCTGCTGCTGCGCTCTGTGCTCCGCGGTGGGGGGGGGGAGGTCGACCATCTTGCTGGTTGAACACCGTGCTCCAGTTCTCGCGGGGAGGAGCGGGCTCTCCAATAAGGCTGTGGACGAACGATGAGGAGACTGAAGCACCACGCGCGATGTCTTCGCTCACCTCCCGCATACCCGACCATCACTCACTTTGACACTCTCGTCTATTTGCGCGCGTGTGTATGTGTGTTGCAGATGGATCAAAATTTCGCTGCGAGCGTCGAACAGGCGCTTGCCGGTCTCTTCAATGCAGGCAGTAAGTTTTTTTTGCTATCGTTCCACAGCTGTTGCTTTTCTGCCCGTCCTCCTCACCTTTTGGGGGGCCCTCTTTGTAGTCAATCCCGAGCAGACCCAGCAGTACATGAACATGCTCTCCGAATGCCGTGAGCACTCTGAGGTGGGTTCCTGAGCGTGGTTTGCACCAACACATGCGTTTTTTTGTTTCGTTTGTTTTTGCTCACTTTTGTGTTTTTCAATTTTTTTCTTTTGAATGCTCGCAGGTCCACTTCATTGTCATTCTTGCAAACTTGCTCGCCGATGCCACCAAGTCAGAGATGCTGCGCTACCAAGCTGGCATGCAGCTCAAGAACTGCCTGAGCAGCAAGGATCCCGAGGTGCTGCAGGAGCTCTACGACCGATGGATCACGTACGACGAAAGCGTCCGCATGCAAGTCAAAAACCAGGTCTCGTCCACCTTGAGCGTTCCGACGGTCTCCAAGGCCGCCGCGCAGTGCATCAGTGCCATCCTTGTGGCCGAGTCGTCGCCCACCATGCCAATGCAAGCCGATTTTGTTAACTACCTGAGCGAGACTTCCCGCTCTGGTGCCGACCTTAACTCGCGCCTGACGTGCTTGGAAGCGCTCGGCTATCTCTGCGAAGAGCTGTACGATGCAGAGCGCCAAGACTGCATTTCCGAGGCCTCGGTGAACGACATTCTGTCTGCGCTGCATGCCAACGTTGTCGACCCCCCGAGCATTCTTGCTCGTCGCAACGCCATTCGTGCGCTCGGCTTTGTCATTATGTGCATGGGCAAGAACATGCAGGATAAGGTGAGGGTTTTTTTGCAGGGTTGAAACGCGACGAGGTGTTGCTTGTTTGGATGCTTTGTTTGTGTTGTCTCACCGACTCCCCCCGCAACTCGCAATTCGACTTGCTTGCTGAACAATGGACGCAGACCGAATGCGACCAGATTGTCGGCATTATTGTGCAGTGCGCCGAGCTCGCAGACCCCGCTGAATCCGAGGCTCGCATCTATGGTCTTGAGGCCCTGAGCAAGTGGGTGAACGAGTACTACGAACTGTCGACTCCGTACATGGATAACTTCTTCCACGTCACGCTGACGGCCATGACCTCGCCCGATGTCGAGGACGGCGTCGTTCAGCAGGGTATCGAGTTTTGGGCTGGCGTGTGCGAGAACGAGAGCTCCATCAAACAGCACAACGAAGACTGCGTCGCCTCGGGCATGCCGCAGAACTGCAGCCAGTTCAACGGCTATGCCGTCGGCGCCGTGCCGCGCATCTTCCCCGTTGTTCTCAACCTCCTGATGCGTCTTGACGACGAGGAGCAGGACCTCAGCGCGGACGATGACTACAACATCCACTCCGCCGCCTCTGTCTGCGTCGAAGCCTTCGCCAGCGCCGCCCCGGACGCAGTTCTTGACCCCACCTTCACATTTGTCAATGACAACATGCGCTCCCCGCTTTGGCAAGGCCGCAATGCTGCGCTGCTCGCGTTCGGCTCCATTCTGGAAGGCCCGAAAAGCATGGAGAGCCTCTGCTTCCAAATCATTCCCGAGCTTGCGTACGCCGTCTCCTCGCAGGAGCCGACGCTCGCTGTTCGCGATACTGCTGCCTGGACCATCGGGCGCGTTGCGGAGCTGTACGGCGCCTCGTTGCTTGGCCACGAACAGTTCAATGAGATTCTGCAACACCTGTTCCAGTGCCTGTCGCTGCACCCCGTGCTCGCCAACCACGCCTGCTACGCCTTCCATACCATCAACGAAGCCGCCTACGCACAAGCCGATGTCGTCGACGAAGCCGACCCTCCCACCTACGCGCTTTCGCCGTTCTTTGCCGACCTTGTGAACCAGCTCCTCGTGGTGTCCAACGCACGCGAGCACGCCGGTCAGGACGTGTCCGGCGACGCATACAGCAAGCTTGAAGCGTCTGCTTTCGAGTGTCTCTCAGAAGTGGTGCAGGAATCGCCCCAAGACTGCTTGCCGGCGGTCCGCGACCTCGGCGTTCAGCTGTACCATCAGCTGACTGGCCAGTTGCAATCTGCCGCCTCCATTGTCAACGTGGACGACTCGATTCGCTTCTCCGAGCGTGTGACGTACTTGGCTCAAACCATCACCTATGTCCTCAACCGTCTCGACCCCGCATCACTAGGCGATCTGGGCACCAATGTGTACAATCTTGCCATCAACATGGTCCACCAGAACGTTCTGAACACTCGCGAAGATGCGCTTTACCTGCTTATTGCCCTCATCCAGGCCTACCAAAGCGATCTTCCCCGCCAAGTCGTGCCGCAGCTCAACGAAGTTATGAACCTTTGCTTTGCAGATTTGAGCGATCACGAGGTGAGTCGAGGACTTTTTTTTGTTGCTTTTTGTGCAGGGTGTGTTTACGATTTTGTTGGTTTCTTACCTTGGTTGTTGGTGGGATTTTTTTTTTTTTTTAATGCGTTCGCAGATGGTCAAGCTCGCTCTCAGCATGTTTGGCGATCTTTGCCGCTCCATCGCTACCGACGTGGCGCCGTTTGCTAACGACTGGATTGCCATGATCCAGCAGCTCCTTGCCGTATGTGATGATTCTTTTTTTTGTCAAGTCGTTTGCTGGCGTGTTGCTTGGGTGCTGACGTTGCTGTTGGTTTGGTGGGTCTCCCTTCTTGGTGTTTCTGCCGTAGTCGGAGCAAGTGCACTTCTCAGTCAAGCCGCAATTGTTCTGCACTCTGGGCGACATTGCCATCGCGCTTGGCCCGAACTTTGCCCCCTTCTTGCCGAGCACCTTCCAAATCCTGATCGAGGCTTTCGGAATTACGCAGACCAGCTTGGCCTCTGTGCCCGACGCCGAGTACGCAACCGTGCAGCCCCTGCAAGAGATGCTTGAAGGCATCATTGAAAGCCTGGTTGGCATTATTCAAGGCTTCAAGGGCATCAAGAAGGTTGCCGACCGTAAGTCCTGGAAAATTGACTTGTGATGCTGTGTTCGTTGTTTTGGTGGCGGAGGGTGCTGTTCACGTCGCTGGTCTGTTTCTGACTCTCTCTCTCTATTCTGGCCTGTGCTTTGGAACACAAAAACTAGCGAGCATTCACCAGCTTATCCCTTACGGCGAGTTCATCTTGAAAGTCGTCCAGGACGTCTCCAAGCTTCGTGAGGTGTCTCGCACTGATGGAATGGTCAAGGGCATTGTTGGCATGATCGGGTGAGTCACGTTGCTGCTGTCGAGGTTGGCGGGATTTTCGTGTATTGACTTGTCGTTGTGGTTTTTTCCGTGTGCCTTTGCTCCTTCCAGTGATTTGTGCCACGGCTTCTCGGCTAGCACCGGAATCGATGCTGCCGCATTCTTCCGTGCCGACCCGCCGACCATGCGCATGATCGAATACGGTGAACGTTCCGCAAACACCGATACCCAGCGACTTTCCAAGTGGGCTCGCAAGGTAAAACTATGTGTTTGGTATTTGTGGTGGTGGGGGATTGTGTGGTGTACTTTTTGCAATGATGACTGATTTTTTTTTTTCGGTCTTGTTTTTGCTTGTTTGCAGTGCGTCCTTCGCCCAACCCGTTAAACGCCCGTGCCTGTTGATTTCTAGTCCTCTGATGCTTTGTTGTCGTTGTGACCAAGGCGTTCTGCCCTCCAAAAGAGAACCGAGAGGAGATTGAAAAGAGCGAGAGAAATGAGAGAGAGAGAGAGAGAGAGAGAAACAGCGATCGAAAAGAAAACCCCCAAACCACACCCAACCACTAACACTTACCCCCCTTAACCCACCCTCACCCCACTACCAAGTTTTGTTCCCGTTGATGTGTCGCCTTCCTTGCGTTGCTCCATCAATTACATGCTATATTCAACCAACAAACTTGTGCAAAACGCATTAGAACGAGGTGCGGTGCATTGTCAGTTTCTACAGGTACAAGATGGTGTCGCCAATCAAGCCGCCGATGCGAGTGCCAAGGTCTGGCTTGATGAGCGTGCCGATGGCCGAGCCGAGCGCGCCGAGGGCGACAGAGCCAATCAGGCGCACCAGGTTCTTGTCGGTCTTGTTGATGAACTTCTCCTTGGCGTTCTGGTCGTCGCCGTTCTCCTTGAGCGAGCGATAGTACGTGTACAGATCAATGACCTCCTCGACCACAAACAGCGCGAGGTGTGTGAGGAGGTGCGCCGCCAGACCAGCACGGGCAACCTTGAGCGAGCCGATGAGCTTGGAGTCGTACCGTGCGACCTTGCGGACAGCCGAAGCGGGCAATGCTGTAGGTGTCATCGAGAATGAAGATTGTCGATCAGCAGCGGGGGGATTGAGTTTTTTTTTTTCTTTCTCAATGCAACGATTGATGGATGAGAGTGACCATCGAGCTTCCCCCAACAACAAGAAGTCAGACTTACACTTCATGAAGTGCGACGCCGTCTGCAGAGTGCACACGTTGAGCACCAGACGCTGCAAGCATGTCTTGGTCGAGATGACGCAGAGTTCGCGGAGGACGGTGCGCGCCCAGATCGACGGGATGGCGCGAGGATTGACCTTGGGCGAGTTGTCCGGGTTGCGTTGCAGCGCCAATGGGGCGACGGCGAGCGTAGCCTAGTGTTGGTTGTTGTTGTTGTCATGCAAATCCAAGTGAACGTTTCATCGATCAAAGTCAAGTGAGATGAGGAGAGGGGGGGGGAGCAAAGGCCTTTTCAATGTATGCTGCGTGACGGAATGACGTGCTGCTTACCTTGATCGACGAGATCATGAGCGTCGTGCGGTGGAAGACGAACGACGGCACACGGTACTCCTCAAAGTGGTACTTGTTGTTCGGATTGAGCTGAATCAGCAGAGACGCCATTTTGCTTGAGGAAGAAGATTGAAGGGGAAAAAAAAAAAAAAAAAAAAAACGATGCAATGTAAAAAATGACTAGAGCGCGCGGTTCAGAAGAACTGCCGAGAAAGGCAGCAGAGGCAAGATGCAGACGACGCGGGAGAGAATAGGAATAAGCGAGTGGCGGGGGTGGGGATGGAAGCGGAACTACAGTAGCTTTTTGTTTGCCCTTGTTTTCGATCTCAGTCTTCTTTGGTGCATTTAAAAAAATTGTCCTTTAGAGAACGACCAACATCATAACAGAACAAGAAACGAAATGCCAGTGTCGACGTACGAAGCAACGAGCACTTGGATGGAAGCGAAGAAGCTCAAGCTTGAGAGTATCGACTGACTTGTGCTTGCTGCTTGCTGCTTGCTGCTTGCTGTGACCAGATTCGTGCATGTCGCAGGCAGCACGACCAATGACGAGCTAGTAAAACGCGTCGAGCGCGTGTTTGGCGTCGGGCGATCGGCTGTGTGGCGCGTCGAGATCAAGCCAATGCTGCCCATCTCCAAGCCTGCTGCTGCTGCTGCCGCCACGACGAATGCTGGAGCTGGAGCTGGGGCTGCTGCTGCTGGGACTGGATCAGTCGCATCGTCAGCACAAACGTCTGCTGTTGGAGCAGCGACCTCGGGTCAGACTCGTTCATCATGAGAGGATTATTGTAATCCTGGTTGCTCATGCTCACCATTTAGTTTCCCTCTTGTCATCATCTGGGGCAGGCCTCAAACGCATCACCATGATCCGGAATCAAGATTACCCTGGCAAGATGATTGTGTTGGTCGGTGGATCGCCAGCGGAGGCGGACGACGCCAGCAGCGCCAGTAACAAGAACGTGAATGCTGCAAACACCAACGCTGCCGCGGTGCCTGGACTGGCCGACACAACTGTGCTCGAGGTGGACAAGGAATTCGAGGCCGTCATGGGATGGCTGAAAACCGTCTACCAAGAGCGGCGGCCCGTCCGCATCGAAGGCAGTCGCTATGACATTGGCGACTTTTCCGTTCGAGTGGGGAGTGTCATTGTGAGTCAGCAGCCCCGAGGCATTGCTGTCGAGGTAAGAACATGAAGATCTTTTTGTTGACAGTGTGACTGCACGTCATTGAGTACTGTGGCGGCCTTTTGTTTTGGGACTCCGCTCATTCTCATTCTTTCCCCCCCCCCCGCGCCTCCCCTCCCCTCGCCTCCCCTCCCCTCGCCTTCACCGCTTCTGTTTCCTGTTGCAGGTCGAATACAAACCAGCGGTGGCACCAGACCGGTGTAATGGCCTGTTGCAAGAATTCTTACAGCTCATATTGCCCGGGGCCGGTGTCGCTTCGTTTGACTATTCGCTTGTCCATTTAGCGCCAAACACTTTTACGCCAGCTCACGCTGCGTATCAAGTCGCCGCAGTGCTTTCCAGTCGCGGATTGCTGAGTGTTTGATGCGCAATCGGTGCGTTCTCGGGCGTTGTTTTTTCGTTTGTTTGTTTGTGTGGTACTCGCTCATCAATATCCAAACTGTATTGAGGTCAGCGCTCTTGTTTGTAGAGTTGAGCTTTGCTATATTGATTGATGAACCGGGTGGGTGCGGAGTGCGAGAAGGGGAGAAACGGACGATGGAAAAACTGTCACCCTTCTTCCACCCGCTTGCTCCCGTGCTTCCCTATCCCATGAATCGCCAATCCAGAATGACACGATTCCACTCTTGCTATTCCAGTTTGCCTGTTTTTTTTTGTGTTTTTTTTCCTTTTCAAGCGTTTTCAGAGCAGCTCAGTTTTTTTTTTTAATTTTATTTTTAGTTTTTTGTTTACTTTGGTTTCTGAATGGCAACGCTTGCAAAGGCAGTGGCGCCGTTCTGGGCAGAGGCCGCCGGGTCGCGGTCGCACACAGAGGGCTTGCCAGCATTGGACGACACGCAGTGCGACAGCGAGCGCTTCCTCGAGTGGCAGAAGACCCACTTTGGCGACGGGAAGGGCGGTGCCCCGTCCGCTCAGGGCTCGAACGGCACGGTGCTGGTCGGCCCAAAGACGCTCGACCAGGTTGCGGTTGTCTCGCAAATCCAGCTCAGCACAGGCGGCTATGAGGGCCTTCTCCGCACAGCCAAGGTTAGCGCGTGACACTGCAAGAGGGAGAGAAAGAGCGTGAAGAGCGAAGAAGGAGGATGACCAAGTGCACGGCGATATCGCTCCCCGTCCAGCGCACTGAGGACATGGTGGAGGCCAACGCGGGGTGACACACACTGTCGCTTTCGCAGCCCATCGTGTTACAGGGTTGAGTGCTTCTCGCGTGAGCGCTCCAACAACTGAAAAAAGCGCAACCGCACTCAGCAGCTTTTTTTTTTTCTTTTTTTTTCTTTTTTTTGAGTCATCGCTTTTGTACTCGGTTTCGTCGTTGGCTGCCTCTCCAACGCACGCCACCAGCGCCAAGTGACAGAAAATATAGAGTGGGTCCCTTGCTGGGTGCCAGTTGTGGCGGTCTGCGCTTGGAATGAGCTGCAGCAATGCGCTCAAAACCAAAACACCGAAACGTTTTATCCTTTTTTTTTTTTTTTTTTTCTTTTTTTTTTGCTTTGGGCTTTTTTCGCATCTTTTTTGGTCGGCTCGACGGGCCGGGGGGGGGGGTCGGTCCCTTTTGACTCGCGCCCGTGCATGAGTCGTTGCTTGCCTTTCTAGAGATTGGCTTGTGAGCGAATCGGATGAGGGGGCAACGGGCGGCTGTGGAAAACAGCCTCGGAAAATGGATTCTGAACCACAAAAACCAAAAAAAAAAAAAAAGCGAGTTTGTTCACATCACACAACTCGCATGTAGAGCGGGCACGATGTGCTGTGCTGACCCTCGTGCGACCGTCGCTGCTTGCTTGGTAATGCTGCTACTGGTTGGTTTGGTTTTGGTGGTCGAATCGAAGCCAGAAGAGCAACAAAAATCAAAAAAATCAAAAAAAGACAGTTCAAAAAAAAAAAAAAAGATTTGAAAATACAAAAAGTAAAAAAAAAAAAACCACAACAACAACAATACGGATGTAAGAGCAAAGTGGGGGGCGATCGTTGTCGAAGAAGAGAAGGGAAACGGAAGAGAAGGGAAGGTGGCACATGGACTGCAACTACAGCCTGAATGAAGCGCACCTGAAACAGGGGGGTGTTGATGAGGAGCCAAAAACCAGCCCTCAAATGCGGTTTCCACTTCAACCACCCAAACCAGCAGCCCCAAAGCAAGCCTCCCAAAGCAACTCCCCCCTGCTCCGATCCAACCAAAACCACGCAACGATTGCAAACGCACAAAAAAACCAATCCACGCGTCAGCTCGTCGCTTCGTGCTCAAATCGTGTTTGGCGCACGAGCTCGGGACTTTTCGACTCTAGTCGGATGATCCTGGATTAGGGGGTTGTTGGGAGATCTAAGCACTCTAGCAACAAACAAACAAAAAAAAAACGCACACCAAACCCACTTGCATTCTGCTTTCATCATTTCAACAAGGCAATCTCACCGTAATTTCGCTTTGGCTTGCTAATCAGGGCTACACGCTAAACCGAGTCGAGGCGAGCGCAGTCAGCAACCCGTGGTACCGCCGCTGGTTTGGCCTCGGCCCGGCTCCGTTGGCAGTGACAAACGCACTCTTCCCGCAGACTGCAAACCTCAGCTTGCTGCCGCCTGTGGGCCAGGGCCTGGCAGAGGCACTCGTCAAGCTCGACGAGACACAAGTGCACCGCACGTTCAAGTTTGGCGTGCTGTACCGCGCCGAGGGCCAAACAACAGAAGAGGAAATGTTCAACAACGACAATGGCTCGCCAGCGTACGACGAGTTCCTCGGCTTGCTGGGCGACCGCATCACACTGAACGGCTGGAAGCGCTTCCGCGGCGATCTCGATGTTAAGACAGACACCACTGGTCGCGAGTCGGTGTTTACCGAGTGGCGAGGCTACCAGATCATGTTCCATGTTGCGACGCTGCTCCCAAAGATGAAGAACGACCGACAGCAAGTCGAGCGCAAGCGACACTTGGGCAACGACATTGTGATTATTGTCTTCCAGGACACCAAGCAGCCCTACTCGTCCGACACTGTTGTCTCGCACCAAAACCACGTTGTCGTTGTGGTCTCCCCCGAGAACGACCAATTCTACCACGTTGAGGTGCTCGCCAAGAACGGCGTCACGCCCTTCCGTCCCGAGCTGCCCAGCACCTTCCTCATTCCACGCTCTGCTGCCTCCAAGGACTACTTGCTCAACAAGCTTGTCAACGGCGAGCGCGCAAGCTACGGTGCCGAAGGCTTTGAGTCGCGCGTCCAACGCGTGCGCGAGTCGCTCATCAAAAACCTCGTAACGAGCTTTCTAGCTTAAGCCGCCTTCTGAATCAGGTTGCGTTAAGCTTTTTTTTCTTCTCGTTGTGGTTTGCAAACAAAAAACAAAAAGAGATGGATTAGAGATTGTGCTTTCTTTTGGCACGTTTCTTCGTTCTGGTCGCTTTCACTTGTATTTCAAATTGCTGGTGCTTTTTCTCCCGCGTCTCCTCCTTTTTGATTGGTTTTTTTCCTGTCTTGGTGCTTATCGATTATTGAAAGATTTCGACATTATGCCACGCAGCTGAAGGGGTGGGTGGGAGCTTGAAAAGAACTGGAACTGGATTTCCTGCGTCTTGTTCGGCTTCTTCCACCTCAACGCGTTTGCTGTGGTTGCTGGCATGGTAGTCCCATGCCTTTTGTGTGTTTGTGTGTGTTTGTGTGTGTGTGTGTGTGTGTGTGTGTGTGTGTGTACGTGTGTGTGTACCTGTTCAGATATTTTGTCGTGTATGGCTTTGTGTCGTGTTGTCGACTTTTTGCGCAGCTCTGCCGGCTTGATGTCCGCAGTATCGCTCTAGTTGGTGCATGCGATTGAATTGTTTTGTTCAGTAAAACAATGTGGACTTTTACGTAGCCTCAGACCAAAAGGGGAGAAAAAATTTCAGATGTAACTAGAGAAAAATCACAAACACACATAAACACAAAAATCATGCCAAACGGGACGAGCATGCTACAGAGAGTCTGGTAAGATTGAATCAATCGACATCAAGATTCTTGAGAATCTTAATTGCCCATCTTGACGTTGCCGACCTGCACAGGAGGGGGGAAGGGTAACAAAATGAGCAAAAAAAAAAAAAAAAAAAAAAGTCAAAACAAGGTTTTAACGAAAGCCCCAGAAGCAATCCCAAAGACAGGCTTCAAACAAAGCCGGCCCTTACCTGAATAATTGCAACGATAACGCCGAAAAGGCCGATGGCAGAGCCGAAAATCTCGACAATCAAAATCTTGACGAAAAGGGCCTGACAACGCGCGCAGAACCAGCAAAAAATTAGCAATGACTCAAAGGAAGCCAGGCAAAAGAAATAGAGCACACATCCAGCCAGAAACACTCACAGCGTTTTGAGCATCAGCAAGAGCAGCGCCAGAGCCAACAAGACCGACGCAGATGCCGCAGAAAAGGTTGGAAAGACCAACAGTCAGGCCTGCGCCGAAATAAGCATAGCCGCCATAGCGGTTGTTGTAATCGGTGACGTCGGCGGCGGATTGGCAGTTGACGGGGGTGGTCTCAGTGAAGGACTTGTAGTTGTTTGAGAAAACGATGGCCATGATGATACCGTAGATGGCAACAGCCTCGCAGAAAATAATCGAAATGAGGTTCTTTGTCTTGATGCGGGGAGCCTTGACACCACCGCCGACAATGCTCGAGCCAGTGATAAAGATGCCCCAGGCAGCGCCGACGACCGACATGGCAATGCAGAGAGAGATGCCGACCGAGCCCCACATGTAAGGCGAGGTGCATGCCAAGAACCAGCCAAAGTCAAAGTGGGTGCCAGGCGAGATGATAAACCAGTAGATGGCTGTAGAGAGGCCGAGGGGGTGTGGGGGTTTTAGGGACACGAGCATGAGGGAACAACGTACCAAAAAAAAAAAGGTAGAGAAAAAGGTGAGTTGACAGAACACAGTGTGCAGGACGATTCAGATTCGCATGGCAGTGGTTTTATGCAAGCGCGATAGTGCCAGGGTGGAAATGGGATTGGGGGTTTTTTTTTTGGGGGGGGGGGAAGAGAGGGCGAGAGAGAGAGAGAGTGGACGCGTTGGGTGGGGGAAAATCGAGCAACCAACAGGACCATGGCAAGAACACCCTCCCTCCAACCACGATGGATCACGAGCGGTCACCAAGTTGAGGGACGAATCTCGTTCCATCCATTCAAAACGACCTCCCCGCGGGGACGACTCGTTCGGTGGATGGACACACACACAAAAAAAAAAAAAAAAAAAGTCAAAGTAGAGAAAGAACAAACGCGAAAAAAAAAAAAAAAAAAAAAAAAAAAAAAAAAAACTTGTGACTTGAATCAAAAGCTTTTTGGTCTGATTTTTTTCCCCAATGCATTTTGCATTAGGAAGGGCAAAGAATCACGGTTCTGCTATTGCTGTGAGACCGCGGCGACTGGACAACGATGCCTTCACATCAGGTGAGGTTGTCGTCTTCAAAATGCATCTGCCACATCGTGGAATCCGCGCCGAGCATTGGGGGAACAAGGAACAAGAAAAAGAAAAACTTTTTTTTCTTTTTTTTTTTTTTCGTTGGGTTGAAGAGCACGACTCGCTTTGACTCCAGCAGCAGCACAGGGTGCACAATCACAGAATAGTGGGGCCACTGTAACAACTGGGCGACGACTCTACTCTCCCCCCCCCTCCCTCCTCAGCAGCTGTGGGGAAAGACCGTTGGCACAACAGAAAAAAAAAAAAAAAAAAAAAAAAAAAAAGCCTGCTTTTTCCACATGCGCCGTTCGTTCGGCCATCCATTTTGGCTTTCTACCCCCGCTTGCTGCCAGAAGCCCCCTTGCGATGCGTGGCGGACGATGGTCGGGAACAAGAGCTGCGTCGGAGGAACACGCTCCGAGTGAAACGGCACTCACCAATGCACACGATGACGAACGTGAGCAGGTAGACGTAGTACGAGAAGAGCGAAAGCAGCGGCCGCTGGCCGTACTTGTTGGTCGAGCCGTAAGCCATTTCGCTTTTATGAATAGAAAACAGTGGACTGCGCAAAGCAAGGGGGAAAAAAAAAAATCGCAGCAACTTGAAGCAGCGCTAGTCACTAGACACAGTATAGTACATGTTGCAAACACAGCACACGGACTGGCAAGCTGGTTTTGCCAAGTGTTGTTGTTTGGGGGGGTTTTCGATTTTTGTTTTTGTTTTCGATTGGAGCAAAGGTTTGTTTGGACAACGATCGAAAAGCAAAACAAGCATGAACAACCAAATGAACAACCAAAAGAACAAGCAAAAAAAAAAAACAACAAACTACACTACTAGGCTGATTTGTGAAAGTGTGGCAGAGGGAAGATGGAGGCGCTGTGTTTTATTCGTCTTCAACGCGGGCGGCCTTGGACGGGCCTTCGAGCTCGTCTTCGGCGCCACGCTTGTTGCCACGACCGCTGGAGCGACCGCCGCGGCCACCACGGCCACCGCGACCACCGCGCGAGTTGCCACGGCCTCGGTGAGACTTGCTTGCTCGGCCTTGAAGGCGCTCGGAAAGCATCTCTTGAGCCTTGGTCAGGTACAAATCCTCCTCGTCGCCCTCGAGCAGGCGGACGGAGGGAACGGCGCCCTTGACCTCGGTCTTGCGCTCGGAAATGGCGGCGACAGCGCGAGCAGCAGCCTCGGCATCAGAGAATCGGACATAGCCATCCGCCTGGTCGCGGGAGAAGTCGACATAGGCGATTTGACCAAACTCGGAGCAGAGAGCCTGAAAGAACAAAAAAAACCACGAATCAGAGGGATAGAGTTGCAACCGCCACCGTTAGAAAATCCAAAACATATCTGCGAAAACACGACACCATCCCCAACAAAATCTACTCACAGTCAAGTCCTCGCGAGTGGCACCACCACCGACGCCCTCAAAGCGAACGACGCAGTTCTTGGCGAAAACAATGGGGGCAGGCTCATCGGCAGCCTTCTTTCCTGCGCGACGCTCGCTCATCTTGGCCTCGAGATAGTCGGATCTGGAAGCAGAGAAAATCAACAAAAAAAACGGCACGACGATGGTGAGACAAAAAAACGGCACGACGATGGTGAGACAACAAAAAAACAAAACATCTGCGCAACAACGGGCTGTTGACACCGATGAGACAACTCACTTGAGGGTGACGATAAGGGTCGTGTCGTTGACCTTGAGCTCTTGTTGGGCAAAAGCCTTGGCCTCGTCTTCAGTGCCAAACTCGATGAACGCCGAGCCCTTGAAGGCCTTGTCGGCAGCGCGGCGCATGCGAATGGCCTTGATGTTGCCCTTGCCAGCAAGAGCTTGCTCGATCTGCTCCAGAGTGTAGTCGGTGGGGAAGCCCTTGACATAGACGCTCGACTTGAGGGTGTCGAGCTCGTCCAGCAGGGGAGCCAGACGGCGGACGTGCGTGCCCTCGGCGTTCACAGCAATGGCGGTGGAGTTGGCCTCGCGGATTGCATTTGCGATGGCCTCGATGTCGGTGGTGAGCTGCTTCAGGCGGTTGAAGGTGGTCAGGGTGGCAAGCGGGACCCCTGCGTGCGAGTGAAAAAGCAAGTGCAACCAAAACCCGTCAGCATGGTCAACGACTGCGTCAACCCAAAGATCAACCACAGCTGAATGAAGAGCGCGTACAGCCATCGGTCGTCTCCTTGACAAGCGGCAGCAGGAACTTGTCGCGGGGCAGGTTGTTGTCGCTAAAGTAGAACTAGATGTTTCCAAAAGCGATCAGGCAAAGGCAAAGGCAACGGTCAGCTTGCAAGGAAAGAAACACAAGAACCAATGATTCACTCTGGTTGGTATTATCGAGGGATGGTTCGATTGCAGGCCGGAGGTTGTGTGAGGAGAGTGATTTGCATAAACCACGTTGGTTTCCAGCCGCTCTTTGCACTACTTTAGCGTAACGCTCCGCAGCTGCTCATTGCAAAGCGATTGGGCTTTCGCGATTCGGACACTCAGCCAACATTCAATGACAATCACGTTACTGCAGAAACGTGCCACGAAAACCAGCACCAGACTGGCCAGCAAAGCCTTGATGCCACATGTGGGGAAAACACAAATGTCTGTCTGTTTGGCGTCTGCTGGAGTGCACGTTTCGCTGATGCGAGTGCGCTGTGTCTGATTTTCGAAGCTTTGATTTGGGGTTTTAGATGCGCTGCGATGCGCTTTCGGAGTGATCCATCCATGCAAAGGAGGAGCAAAAACGGCAGTGAGGCAATCCGCCGTCATCGCGCGACGCATGGATCCCACTCCTCCTCTGCTTCCCCCCCCCCACACACCTTCCCGTCGCTGTGCCAGACCGGTGTGATGGCGAGCAGGCGTTGTGTGTTTGAGACAGTCAGGCCCCCCCCCCCTCAATGCTGCGTACCTCGACTTGCTTGACAATCTTGGCGCTGAGGTCGCTCATGGTAAATCGTTGGGTGTCTGTTGGTTCAGATGAAAAAGAAAACTAGACCCTCTGTTTGGAACGCGTGAAATGAATGAGTTTGGTTTGTGACATGCAAAAAAAAACAATCAAGTGGGCATCAGAGAGTGCACAGCGAGCGACTGTTCTAGCCCGACTTAGACTGCACGTTCGTTTTTGCATCAATCGAAGTCCATGGCGCTTTCGTATGCATAAAGCCCAACAGTCGTAAACATCAAGAGCTTCGACTGTCGTATAATGGTTAGTACCGTACGCTGTCACCGTGCAAATCCGGGTTCGATCCCCGGCAGTCGAGCATTTTTTTGCCTTTTTTTTGCTGGGTTTTTTTTTTTTTTTTTTTTTTTGCCCTTTTGTCAAATAGCTGGCGGTCTCCGTCTCGTAGGCTATGAGGAATGCTTGAGTGAAAGAACTGCAAATCTATTTCTTTTTCTCGAGCGAGGAACGAGGAACGAGGCCTCGAAGCGACGATGAAACCAATTGTTACGACCTTACCCGGAACTTAACCTAGAATCACTACTGAAGCGTACGAAATGTATGCGGAAGTATCGTTTACTAAGAATATAGTGAAGAATGAGGGGAAGACCGATTAGGGATGAGCCCAGTTCGTAACAAAACCAATCGATCAATCTTTGGAGTCGTTTGTCCAGCTCTCCACAACACTGTGTACAGTACCTTCGTCCAGCAGACAACATGAGTGACGTGTTTTTTTGGAAGAATTTTTTGCGTGATTTGCCAAGTCGGACGCCGACGCGAAGCCCCGAGACGTGGTCGACAACTTCAGCAACTCGAGCCACTCTGATTGTTTGCATGGCGACGTTGCTGCGCTTGCCTCATACCCGAAAATCCATTCCTAATCGGTAGTAAATATAGTTGTTGAGTCAAGAATGTTGCAAACACGGGCATCTCATGCGATCGAACGACGCCAAACGCGAGCACACTTTGAGCAGAATTCTCGGATTCGATAATCACGTCCCATGGTCGATGAAAGAGTATAGAGGCGTTCTAATCGTCTTCAGTCTTCTTTTGTGCAAAGGAAATTGTTCCCCCAAGTCATAAACCAACGGCAATCATCGCCGGTTGGACCGACGTCACTCTGGGGCCCTTACATAAAACAACGATGCGCGGCAACAGGAGGATGAGGAGTTAGCATGTGGATGTGGCACATTTAGTTCGCTTTGTTCAAAGAGCTTTGATTTATTCCAAACAGAAGGGCAGTTCGCATTGATTGGTTGCCTTGAATGTATCCGACGCAAAGCGCTTTGAATAGGACCTACTGGGCCGACTTGCTGCGTTGAACTTGAGCTTGCCAAGCTTCGCGCGTTTTGGTCGGATCACAATTTCACCGCAAACGAATACACACACACACACACACACACACACACACACACACACACACACACACACACACACACACACACACACACACACACACACACACACACACACACACACACACACACACACACACACACACACACGAGAGCGCAAGAAAGTTGAAGCCTTGCTCATGCCGGCGCACTGGTCAGCAAACGTAACGCCCATGACTGCTGATTAGCCACGGGAACTGCGTCTCTGATACGTCGGATATCATCGCGGGTGAATCTCTCCGGCTCCTCGTTGAAGAGCATGATCATGACACGGTGCAGTTCTTCCCGCTGAGTCAGGGACAAGCGATTATGCTGGTTGAGCAACCGATCACCATAGTTGCGACTTGCAATGAAAAGCAGGTGTGACTGAGCGTTGTTCATGATGGACTTGGCTTCAGGGAGACACGCTGGGCTACCGATAGCCTCCAGATAACGAGAGTGCATGATGTCAAAGTGCAGCTTCGTCTCGCGATCCACGAAATTGGTAGAAGCCACGAGCACACGTCCGAGCAAATCGTCTTTGAGCACCTCACGTTTTTGCAGGCTCACCAATCTCTGAACGAAAGGCGAAAACGGAGCTGATTTCGGACGCTTCAGTAACGCAGACCACGCCAAGGCGCTCGCAATCCAGGAAGTTTGGCAGGAGGCCAGGCATGCATCGACAAGAACCTGGCTCTCGGACCGAGGGTCGCGGTAGAAGGGACCGAGGCCGAGCACTGCATCGACCAAGGTGGGATGCCAAACTGCAACACGGACACGACCACCGTTTTCACTTTCCTCTGGGACCAGACGTAGCAAATGCCATGTCGGATCGTGTGAAGGGATGGCGCTTCGACATGCTTCCCAGGATGCTGGAACATCTGCCAAAGTGAGGAAGGCCATATGCTTCGCAAACATGTCTTCATCGCGCTCTGTACTGTCGAGCGGATTGAGGAATCGCAAAATACCTCGAGCAGGAGCATCGTACATGGCCGTCGCAAGGTACAAAACCAGGTCGTGCTCGCAATCGCCCGCAAGCGGCTGAAGCAGACCTTGTAGAGCGTCAGACCTGGCTGGAAACAAACATTGGAAGCAGCGCACCACGCGAGCCGCTTCTTGCTGGTCCAGCACCAGATGCACGCTTGCAACCGCGTGCGACGGAATTGAGCTGTTCCAAAACTCGGTGCGTTCAAGTTGCAGCAGTACCGCAGGCTGAAGGTCAGCTTGATCCCAGAGTACGGAGCACGGACGCAATGAGGAAGCTGGAGCGTTGCGTGGCAAGTCGCAGACAATCACTAGCTGATGCTCTCGCCCCAGCGCACGCACATACTCCAACGCGGCCGGAGTGACGAGTGTGTCAGGGCTCGATGCCCAGAGCACGACGTGCGTCTTGGCGAGTTTAAAGGCGACAGCTCGTAGCAGTGTGGTGCTGCCTGCGCCCGCAAGCGTCTGGGCCACGGTCAGTGTAGACAGACCATGGCCAGTTTGAAGGCGTGATAAAATGGTTGTTACCAAAGAGGTTTGATTCGAGCGCATCGCATAAAAGTCTCGGGAGAGCAATCCCCATGGAATCGGATGTCCATTCCGAACCCAGTCTTGCGCTTGCAGCAAAATGTTGCTATCAAAATCGGGAGACGACGAAAGCTCAGGCGGAACAACCTCGAGCTGCACTTCACACGGAGGGTTACGTACGACTTGAGAAGCAAACTCGTCTCGAGAGACAGATGGTGGCAGCAGAACTTGGTGGCGCGGTGGTGGAGAGGCGAGATAGACATCGCAAATGTCCATGTGACTGTTTAAAAGCTCAAACAACGGCCCCTTGACTAGCGCGTCATCGAGACGTGCAACGACAACAACAGAGTATGCGCTGGGCGGTAGCACTGTGGCTGCTCCAAGCGGATCATCTGGCAGCGTAGCGACGCGATGCATTGGAATCGTCTGCAATAGCCTCTCAATTTCCCTCCCATGCGAAACTGCAAAGTCAGCATCAATGACGACGATTCGCGGAGCAAACGGGCGCCGTATGGGTTGCAAGGCCATGGCTGTGCGGTTTCGCGATGCATGGCGTTGCAGATCGACTTCCAGCTGCAGATCAAAGTGACAGTGGCCGACCATATGTTTGATGGCCTCCTCTGCCAAATCAGGCTGTCCTTGTTGGATTGCTGCGGAGGAGCGCAGTCGGATGCGCACAGCCATCCCACCTCTCAGCAAGGCACGAGACACTTTTGGCGTTTGGAGCCGAAGCCAAGCGCCCAAGGCGTTTGCCTCATATTGCCTGCCATCAGCCGCGACAACACTCATCAAAGGGTTGCCAAGGCGATGAATGAAGAGAAGAGGCTGGCCACGGGAGAACTGAACAGAAACGATCACACGAGGTGCCAGAAGGTCGAGTAAAGCTGACCACGGGTCGGGTGACCCTGAGATGACAGCGTGACATTCAGACAGAAGGGCTGCCATCGGGGTGTCAAAAGCCGGATCGAAGATATTCGAAAGACTTTGCACATGCTCGCACGCAGCTCGCAAATACGGCGGCAGAAGGGGCAAGGCATCTTGCTGCAATACAACGAGCACCTTGTGCGCTTTGACTTCGTCTTTGGAATCTGACGGTAGCTCGTCTTCAAGTTTCACTCGTTGGCCGCGGCCGTGCGTCGCCGCAAGTATCTGCTGGGCCTGACTGCCATCGATCTGAATCACAACAAAGGTTGCCAGTGTCTCAGGAGTCAAACCCGGAAGGGCGTTTACAACAGGCTGAATCGAGATCTTGATGGGTGTTTCAGAAATACTGGGGATCAGCTCGGAAGCCCAAGTAGTGACAGCAGAGTTCAAAGACTCGGCAAATCTCCAAGAAATTTCAACACCAATGACATGGCTCGGAGAATCGGCGACTCCGATGATCAAGCGCGCCTCGCGCTGCTGAACCAGCAGTTGACCAACATCTCGCAAATGAGAGACCAGATCGTCAGCCGTGTACACGTAAGGCATCGGGTCTTGTTTTCTGGACGCTTGCTGTTTGTACTCAAGCACCGACGACTCCGGCGGAAGAACTTGAGATGCTGGTACAGCAACGGGCGATTTTTCTACTTGCAGATCCAATGGGCGATGCGAAATGTCGTGCCAGCTGGCTGCGGCCAAGCTTGGAATGTACTTTTCAGGTTGGACGAAAAAAGCGTCGGCGGTGGTGCGACGCTTCACGCACCCAAAGTCGGAGCTTGATGTACTTTGCACCAGCATGACATTTCCTGTTGGAAGCGGCTCGGCTTCAAGGTCATAGCAGTTAAAGTTGCCCTTGGGATCGGCAACTTTCCAAAAGAGCACAGGTTGCTGAGTTCCAGAGTAGTTGACAATGTCTTCAGCGCCGAAAAGCTCTGGTCGAGGCCAAAGCTTGGTGAGTACCTGTTGCAAATTGCGGACAAACTCTGCGGATGTAGATTGTGATTCGACACGAATGCTCCCTCGAGCGCGGCCGTTGAACATGGCCGCGATTCTTTTGAGGTGGTCATGGGTCAGTTTGACTTTTTCTCGGTCACTTGTTGACAGTTTACTGACTTCAGCCATTGTCATTGAGAAACCGCGCAGTCAGGTTGATTATGCAAAGGCAGCGCTTGTGGGACGTCAAAGGAGACCGCGAGAAAGAAGCGTCAGAACGAGAGGAAATGTGTGTGCGAGAAAGACAAAAAAAAAAAAAAAAAAAAAAGGGAGAACACAGTCAAGTTGTGCAAGGGCAGGCCTTGGAGCACGATAGAGCTTGCGCGGCAGACGAGAACACAAGAAAAACGCCAAGCGAAGAGGGTGGGTGAGGAAGGGAAAGGGGTGGAATGCGGAAGAAGAAGAAAGAAAGAGAAAAAAAAGTGAGACAAAAAAAAAAAAAAAAAAAAAAAGAGAGAGAGAGAGAATAGATTCGGTTTAGAAAATCCAATTTGTACCGCCAAACAGGAGCAAGCTATCAATCTGAGGTCCTTGAAGAAGTGGAATTGTTATGATCAGAGATCTTTCCACGAAGATACGAGTAATGGGTTGATGTTGCGAGTAATTTATATGTTACGAATTGGCCCGCTTCAGTTGTGATTCTAGGTTAAGTTCCGGGTAAGGTCGTAACACTATATTTTCAAAACGCTTACTGCAAAAGAAAACCCCGCAACTCGCTTCGTTGCCACGTCCACAAAGATGTTTCCAGTTGAATGTTATCAATAAATAATTACTCTACAATCGTACACCGTAGAAACGAATGGGAATACAGTAAGAATGTAGTGGGGCGCTGCCGAAAATCCACGCACCCCACCTTCCTCCCATGTCGTTCTAGTTGTGTGCAGCGCCTTGAAATAAAGACATGTCGAGTGTGCGATGCGTGCACGCTGGCCAAAGCCAAGCAACCACGCACACAAGAAGCGAAATCGAAAAGCAACTGCGGCACGGCATTCAGAACCGTGGCTTTCTATCGATCGGACGGAGAACAAGCCTTCCATTCATTCGTTGCAAGGTACCACCAACCCCAATCTGAATCAGGTTGAGCAACTTGAACGACCATAATCGCCCACTCGAAGGCAACCATCGTTGCGCACCGCTTGCTCGAACAATCCAGCGACTATCGCCGAGCTGCACGCCGACCAAATCCGATCAGAATCACCAGATAGGACAGACACTGAGCCACGAGAACCAGTGTTTGCTGAGTCAGCTGAGTCGTAGACGGGATGGGGATGCGTCCGGCGGCGTAGTCGCGTTGCTCGCGAGAAACATCCACCAAAATCCAAACAATGACCGCGATGCCAATGACTGCGCAGATCTGCATTACGAGAAACAGGCGCAAAAGGTGCTTGAGGAGTGCAGCGCGCTCTCCAGCATTGTCGTTCGCATGGGCTCGCTTGATGTGTCGTTGCCGAGCAACGGGTTCGTGCAAGTCGTCCAAGACATTACTGCCATTCCTGCTCGAAGACTCACTGGTCGAATTGACGGTCTGGGAGGGAAGTCCCAAGTGATCGGGCGGAGGTTTGAGAGCGGTGAACGAAGCCTGGGTCGACTCGGTGCCGGAGGGTCTCCGATCGTTATCGGTTGCCGGACCAGAAGGCGACTCGACAATCACGGGGATGGCCGGGCCAGTCAGAGACGCTTCTTGTGGAGGCGTGGGAGCTACAGCGGAAACGGATGTTTCAGCTGCCGCGGGAGTGTCACGCGAAGTGGGAGGCGTTGTCGGACTGATCCGGCTGGCGCTGCGTCTATTGGGCATGGGTAGAGACTGGACAAACGTGGATGCCTCTCGTAACGAGCGTATCAACCCAAAGCCATACCGAAGAGAGAGGATGAGCGGACCGACAATTCCCAGGCCGAAAAACGAAAACTGGATGAGCAAGCAAACCCAGAACGGGCCGACAGGAACGGAGAGGGCTGCGAGGATGATGCTTTGGATCCAGATGACAACGTTTGCAAGGTACATGGACCTCTTGTTCGCCCTGGTAACGACATGCCCGAATGTAACGGAATCATAGATACACATGACGGAATACGAAAAGAAAATGCTGCCAAAAACGAAGCGAAACGGGGGTGTTGTGCCACGTTAGAAAAAAAAAACAGCAACTAGATGCGGTGCACATGTGCTCGACAACCAAAAAAAAAGCGATGAACGATCGACTCACAAGGCTGAAAGCACGGCGTTTACTGCTCCAGCGAGCAACAGCTGGATGACAACCAGAGGCAGCTGATTCGACCATCCGAGTGGATCTGAAATCTTGGCGAGGAGCATCAGCACGCCCAGAATAGCATACCACAGCATCAAGTTGCGAAAGCTGGCGAACGGGCTCCAGTGGTGCTGCGAGCGGAAGACGACCGCGGCGCGCCAGAACACGAGCAGAGCGGTCGCGAGGGTGATGACTGTCTGCGCTGCCCAGTAGTTGGTGTACTCGCTACCAAAGGCGTCTGCGTACGTCTGATTGCAGAGTGGCGCGTTGGTCCATGGAAACGGGCATGGCTCAAACAGCTGGTGTGAAGAAGAAGGCATGGCCATGCGAAAACTTGAGAGAGCTTGTTCGGTCCAACCCTAGCAAGACGGACGTGTTGAGACAGGGGCGGGTCTCGGCGCTCGATGGTGCGATTGTCTCGCAAAGTCTTGCGATTGAAGTGGGGGACTGGGCGGGACTGTCCGTGCAGCAGCAGCAGAGCGAAGCAGGTGAACCACAGTAGCGCCAAATGTGGCACAGAGCACTCCTATTGATTTGTTATGGCTCTTCTTCCTGTGTGACTTTCCCAACTCGCTCAAAACGCTCGCGCCTGCACAAGCAAGAGGAGAACAGGAAGCTACACAAAGAAGCAAGAGAGAGAGAGAGAGAGAGAGAGAGAGAGAGAGAGAGAGAGAGAGAGAGAAAGGTGCTAGCTTTTGTAGCGGCAAGCTCGCTCAGTAGGGTTTTGGATTTTTTTTGAAAGCAGCTTTCCTTTTGGTCCAATAGAAATTGAAAAAAACGAGTGGAACCCAAATCTGAGATCAATGAAATGTCGCAATCAACCGACAAACAATCAAAACAAACAACCAAAACAAAAACAATAAACAAAAAGATCGAAACCGCACAGTTGTGAGTTTTTGGAACGCGCGCGTGAAGCAAAGCGAGCCGGCGGGTCAGGGGTGAGGATGATCGAAGGACCGTTGCTGCCAGTCCTCGGTCAAGGGGACGCATCTGTGTCGGGGTTGCTTCTGCTGCTTGACACATGGATGCGATGACAAAAGAAGGGTTTCGACTGTGCCGCTCCAAAGTGCTGCGTTCCGACGTTCCGACGCTTCAAAACGCTGACCTCCAATTCAGAATAACAAAAGCCCCCCTTTTTTTTTCACAGTGAATCTCTTCGCTCCTTGTTCCTCTCTGACTCTCGCTCTCTATCTCAACTCTCACATTCATGCTCAGTCACACACACACGCGCGCGGTCTCGTCTGAGCTTTGACTCTCCAAACTCCAGCTCTTTTGATTTTGATCAACAAACGAAAAGGTCAAAAATTGGTATGCCATTCTTTTTTTTTTTTTTTTTTTAATAGTTCTTAATATTATTATTTTTCGGTTGTGATTTTTATTTTTTTCGCCGTTTTTTTTTTTTCAAAAACTCAATTCTTCGTCAGCCGTTTCGCGCTCAGCACAATCCTAACGAATCCATTTCAACCATGCCTTGCTGCGGTGGTGATGACGCGTCTGTGGCCAGCAAAGAGATCGACAAGAAGCTCAAGAAGGACAACAAGGCATTGAAAGATGAACTGAAGCTACTTTTGCTTGGTAAAAAAAAAAAAAAAAAAAGCACAAAACACAATTTTTTTTTCCCTTTTTTTCCCCTTCTGTTGATGCTTTCCCCAGCTTCTCGTCTACTGCGGCACTGCTCATCCCCACTCACCTCCCATTCACCCCATCTCGTTCACGGCTGACACTCGGCCGCTCTGCTTCGGCGCACCGTTGGAAGAAGAAGCTGAGGGACAAAAAAAAAAAGTTGCAACCGCTTTCCTTTAATTTTTTTTTTTTTTTTTTTGTTTCTGCTTCTGTTTCTCTTTCTCTTCACAACGGTCTCTTCACAATGCCCTGGCTGCGATTTGCTTTGTGTTGCTCGGTGCTCGGTTGCGTGCTCGTGCATGCGCATCGTCGCTTCACATTGCATCGGTCGTGAAGAGCACACAACAAGGCACAAAGGGGGGTCGTCTGACATGGACCGAACCAAAAAAAAAAAAAAAAAAAAAAAACGCGCAATGGCAAAATGCGAAGCGTACTTTGTTATGTCTTTTTTTTTTCCAATTTATTCACGTTGCGATGCTATTTTCTCCGGCTGCGAGTTTGCTGCTGTCATGGTTATTACTCCTGCTGCAGCCGCCTCCGTGTTAGCACGTGTGTTGGCTCATTCCCCTCGCGATCTCCTGTCTTCTCGGAGTCGGACTGCGAGGGGGAGAGCGCCTGCCAACCACAGAGCCGGACAAGAAGGTCTTTTTTTCTTTTTTTTTTCTTTTTTTTTTTTCGGGTTTCCTTTTCATTCGTGTGTTTTCTGGTTTCTGCTTTGCTTCGGCCCATTCCTGATGGTGCTTTCGTGCACTTGCAATTGGAGTCAGCTGGATTACACATGCGCAACCAGGCGTCTGGCAGTGTCCTTGTTCTTTCTTTTTAGTATTTTTTATTATTATTTTTTTCTTTATTATTTCTGTTTGTGTTGTGGTTTTTTTTTTTTATATTAATATCTTTTTTTTTTTTTTTTTCGGTGATGGTTTTTTGGTGCACCCCCTTCTGGTTGGTTCTGGCTCGATCTGCCACACCAAGTGCGTTCGGCGAGACGATTGTGCATAGATGAATGGGGCTCTTTTTCGCTTTCTTCTTCTCTTTCGCTCTCATCTGGTCGCCTTCACGAGTGCGATATTCGTGATCTGTTTTCCGTTTTTTTCTTTTTTTTTTCTTTGACGGGTGAACGCGTGTGGTTGAGGCACGCTTGCGGTCGTCATCACCCCGCTCGCTACCACAAGTATCTTGCTCATCAACATGATCACAACCCGAAAAAAGGGCACGCAAACACGTTGCATGTCGCATCGGAATCCAAACGGTGCAGCGGGGCATCTTGTGGTTTTTTATGTTGTTTTTGTTTTTGCCTAGTGATTGCGTTCGATCTCCTTCACTAGCTCGCGCTCTCTCTCTCTCTCTCTCGCTTTCGTCGCAACTCGTGGAGCTTTGTGCTTGACTGCTCTACTCTACACCCAAACATGCTCTCTTGCTTGCGCCTCTGTTCGTTTTTTTTTTTTTTTAACTTTTTTTTTTTCCGGTTTTTTGTTTGTGGTTTGTGATGTTATTTTGGACTTTTTTTTTTTTATTATTTGTTTCGTCTTTTCTTTCTATGACTCGCTTCTTGCAACAACACTCTGTTGGAACAAAATCCCCATGCATGCTCACATTCACTTTGCTGGTGGTTGGCGGTTGTTAGAAGGGTTGATTGGTTTTTACGTTATTTTGTTTTCTTGACTGTAACTGACCTTTTTCTTTTCTTTCTTTTTCTCGCCTCCTCCCCTCTGTGTACATGTCTGCGTCTCTCTTCAGGTGCTGGTGAGTCTGGCAAGTCCACGATTGTCAAGCAGATGCAAATCATCCACAAGGATGGTTTCTCTGACGAAGACAGGAGCCAAGGCAAGCCCATCATCTTCGAGAACGTTCTCTCCTCAATGAAGGTCATCATTGCTGCCATGGAGCAGCTTGGCATCAAGCTTGCCGACAGCGCCAACCAGACACACTGCGACTTTATCAACGGCAAGGAGGAGTACGACATGGAGCCCGAAGACTACAACGCCGAGTTCTTTGGCCACATCAAGTCCCTGTGGGCCGACAACGGTATCAAGGAGTGCTACAACCGCTCCAACGAGTACCAGCTGAACGACAGTGCAGGATAGTAAGTTGGCCGTTTGGTTTGTTGGGCCGATCTTTTCGTGATGATGGCAACCGATCGTCATTGACTCTTTTTGTTTTTCTTTGGTGTTTCCCCCTCTTCCGTCGCGTTTAGCTTTTTCGACAATGTCAACCGACTGGTCGAGAAGGGCTACAACCCCAGCGAAATGGACATGCTTCGCATGCGTATTGTCACAACCGGTATCTTTGAGACTCGCTTCCAAATCAGCGGGGTCCAGTTCCAGTAAGTCCTTCAAACCCTTCTGCTCGCGCGTTTGCCTCGCCTGCCTTCTCTTGGTCATGAAACTCACACCATGGTCTCCACTTTTGAACTTTTGCAGCATGTTTGACGTCGGCGGCCAACGCTCCGAGCGCAGGAAGTGGATTCAATGCTTTGGCGATGTCACGGCCATCATCTTCGTGGTTGCAGCAAGCGCGTACGACCAAGTGTTGCGCGAGGACGCTTCCCAAAATCGACTGCGCGAGTCGCTCGAGCTCTTCCAGAACATCTGGAAGAACCGCTGGCTCGAGAAGGTTTCCGTCATTCTCTTCTTGAACAAGGAGGACTTGCTCGAGGAGAAGATTCGCGTCAAGGCACTCCCTGCTGACGAGTTCCCAGACTACAATGGCGGCAACAACCCAGAAGCTGCCAAGGCCTACATCAAGGACATTTTCATGAAGATTGGCCGCGGTACGTTGTCGTTTTGTTTCTGTTTTTCTTGTTTGCCATTGATGTTTTTGTGACGTTTTGTTCCGTTGCTCATTTTTTTTTTTTTTTTGATTGGCTGTTTCCACCCTCATCAGAAACCGAGCACAAGCGCGTCTACCCGCACTTCACCACTGCAATCAGCACTGAGAACGTCAAGCGAGTGTTTGATGCCTGCAAAGATATCATCCAACAGTTGCATCTCATGCAATACGGTCTTGTGTAATCCGCTTTTTTGTCAGGTTTTCTTTTTGTGCTATTTCGTTCATTCCCTTGTCGTGGCGTGCATCCATTCATGGATTGGGGGGCTACCCGTGTTTTGATTGAGCTCCCCTCATTTCTGGTCTTGTTTTTTTCCTTTCTTTGTTCTCGGAATTTTGTTTTCCGCTTGGTTCAAACGCTGCTTGATATCCTCTGTCCCCTCCCTTTTGTTGTTGCGTTTTATTGCTTGTACACATTTTTTGTTTGTTTCGGTCATGAATGAAGTTGTCATTTGTACATGAGTGTTATTCAGAAAACATTGTAAAATCTGACGCAGAAAAAAGGACCAACGCACGAACTGCACTTCAGGACATGTCCTGCGATTTCCAAGGCTGCTCGATTGATCCCCATGATGGCTGGATGGGATGATGGGTTCTTGTTCAGAAATCAATGGCCCGGCCGTTCTTCTCCCAGTCACCATAGCGAGTGGGCTCTGGGCCGCGCGGGCCACCGCGTTCGCCAGTCTGTGGGTTGATGTACTCGTACTCGTGTCCGTCGTCCTCCTCTTCTGCCGTTGCGCTTGACTTTGACTGCTGCTGGGCTGATGGCTGCTGCTGGGCGGGCGCAGGAGACGCAAGTGCGACTTCCGCGAGCGTCACCATCGGTGCCTTTGGCTTTTTGCGTTTGCTCGGATCGTTCAGCTTCATGGTCGGGATGCGCCGCAATGGCTGCGTAGTGGATCCTGTTGCTGTTGCTGTTGCTGCAGCAGTGGATGCGCTGGCCTCGGGAGCGGCAGCAGTGGTGCTGGGAGTCGCTGAGGCCATCATCATTCGCACGTGTGGATGCAACGCCGCCGCCTGGCGCATTCCCCGCACACACTGGCCAGCAACAACTCTGAGCATTAGGATGATGATTGATTCCGTGAATTTAGGGTGTGTGTGTTCAGAGAATTGAAAACAAAACTCAGACTGAATTCAGTCTTCTATCTCGTTTTATTGCTCGAGTTTCCGGATGACACTCCTCAAGCCCAGCTCAGGACGCGCAGCACACGAGACCTTCTCCTCCGCACCACCACCGCCGCCTCCAGCAGCCGCAGCTCCGTCTCCCTTGTCCGACGGAATGGTCGATGTGGAGCTGCTCACCGTCCTGTTGCTCTCGAAACGTGCGTCATTGGTTTTTTTTTTTTTTTTTTTTTTTGTCGGCTTTCTTCTTTTTTGCTTGGCGCGTTTGCCAGGTCACCGTCGCGCATCCCCTTTCGTTGTCATGTCCACCCCCACCCCCAGAACAAACACTGGTGATCGAACTGGTCGTGTGGTCCATTGCTTGAAGCTTATTCCTTGTTCTCTCGCTCTCTCTGTCTCTACCTGCAATTTGGCTGCGTACGAAAACAAAAACGAAAAACGGGTCGCTTTCGGAGCGTCTTTGCTGTGTTTGCAGTTGGCGTTGTTTTTGCGCTGTTCGAATGGAAGGGCGGCGGAAAATCACTCAAACGCTATATGGAGCAGCTTCAATCAGAGTCGAGCCAGAAACCGCGGCATCTGCTTGGTTTGGTTTGGGGAATGTGGAGGCGTTGTTGACGAAACCGTGCGTGCGTACTTTTGCTCAGACTTTGGGTGGAAACTGAGCACCCAACACAAAAACAAAAAACCTCCACAAAAACTAACACTCCAAAGAAACGAAAAAGGCTCCAGTTCACCGGTTACTCACCTTCTGAATCACATACTGATGCAATTTGGCGTACACTTTGAATAGATGAAGAATTAGCGCTCGAGTCGCCCCTCGCTGCCAAAGACGCTCGATTGCTGCTTGCAGCATGCGATTGGAACGTGGATGTTGCTGCAGACTGGTTGCAGCGCTGGAACAAGGCGGCCAGATTGTACGTCCTTCCTTCCAGCATGGAAACCTCCGTTGGTGCCGAACAAGCGCCGAGCTCGACCTGGACCGGATTGCAGGGTATCAGCAACGCTGGCAACACTTGCTACATTGATGCTCTGCTCTTTGCCCTGTTTGCGCGTCAAGACACGTTCGAAGGCATGTTGCAGCTTCCCATCGCCATACCCGCACCGCCACCAGAGAACTCCCGAAATCCCTCAGCGTCGTCGATCGACGCAATGCGGAAACGCAGACAGCAAGCGTTGAGTATCAAAGGCTTGCAGCAGTGGATGGTCCTTGTGATTAATCTTCTCCGCAGCGGTGGCCTCGTTGGGGCGCCGTTCATGCAAGAACTCCGTGTGCGTCTGGTTAGCTGTGGGTTTATGCGAGACGCCCTCGAGTCTCAGCCGTCTGCCTCAGAAGTTGCGCAACGCGAGCACGACGATCATGAAATGGCATTACGATTGCAAGCCCAGGAATCCGCCTCGTTCTCCTCTTCTTCCTCCAACTCTTCCGCGTTCCCGCAGAGCCAGACCCACAGCTACGAAGACGAGAAGCGCCGCATGGAGCAAAGAGACTTGGAGTTTGCCCGCTCGCTCCACCAACAAATGAACGAATCGGGTGCTGGCAGTGTTGGTAGCACCATGCAACAGCCCTCAGCTCCCGGGGTGCGGCCGAGTGACGTCCCCGTGTTCCATGACATTGTCAATGGTGCGAATGCTGCGCTGCGGCCCGTGCAAAATCAAAATCAAAATCAAAACTCGCTTCTTCCCACCGCGGAGCACTCTGCTCCCCGTCGTTCCGCCCCAGTCCCCGAAACCATGCCGTTGACGCTCGACACCATCGAGTGGACTTTTGAGCGATTTGTTGCCGTGCTCGCTATGCATGCGCGTCCCGAATTCTATCACGATCTTGTGGCGCCTTCGTCCCGGTCCGCCTCACCTCCGTCCGCACCGCACTCGTACTCGGCGCCTGCGTCACATCGCCCCCAAGGGGCAGATGCAGACGTGGAGGCCAGACTCGCCGAGTTGGTTGTCACCCTGGAACACTCCAACAGGCTCGTGTCGTCGGGGCAGCAAGATACTGCAGAGCTGTTTTACTTCCTCACCGACCTGTTCAACTTGCCTCAAATTGCCATCGACCAAGTGTTGCATCATCGTGGTGTGCAAGAGCCAGGCGACGAGCGAGTTGAATTGCAGCGCATGGTGCCGGTTGCGGTGGTGGACTCGCTCTCGCTCAAATCGCCCGCCGAGCAGGAGAGCCAGTCGGTCGGCCTTACCACGCTGTTGGACAATTACCTGCGCGTAGAAGAAGTCTTTGTCGAGCGCTCGGTTCCGCGCAACCCAGACCACAATCCGATTCCGCCTCGTGACCGCCTTGTCAACATTCACGACCACCATGATGACATTGACCCGGCTGACGGCTTCCACGCATTCGAAGCTACGTCCCCGTTCCCTGACCTTCAGAGCCAGCACTGGGTCGAAGTGACACAGGCGCCTGGGCTTGGCAAGAAAATGGGAGCCTTCGACGCCGAGTGGCAACATGTGCACCAGCGAGACATTGCCAGCGACGACCCGTTCGAGTCGCCTCCCGTACTCGATCCCCACACGACAGAGTCCGTGCCGGCCAATCTCCACCTGAAATTCATTGGCGGCTACACGACGGCGCTCAGCCAAGGGCATCGGCGGGCTTCGCAACTGTCGACACAGCTCAGCCAGCAACCGCAGTCCCCCGGCAGCATCCTGAACGCAATGTCTGGTGCTACCGGTGGTGGTGGTGGCAATGGCATTGTTGGTCCAGGTACCGCGCATCTGTTTTCGCGCCCAATCTTCCCCGTTCAACTCAAGCGGTACTGGTACGATCGCGCCAACAACTGCCTGCGCAAAAGCCACCGACCAGTGCAGTTGCAAACGATGGTTGACTTGACCACTCTGTTTGCTGAAGAAAAAGGCGGGAATCTGGCAACGCGAGCGCGACTGGTCGCTATCGTGTGCCATCGCGGCGAGACGTCGACCAGTGGCCACTATGTGACCTATGCTGCCAACGAGTACGATGACTGGGTGCTGTTTGATGACACCAACACGCCGACGGTGGTGGCCTGCCCAGAGCTGTTCTGGTCCAACTCGTCCTCATCATCCCCCAGCACTCGCGTGCACATGGACCGCATTGTGCGCGAAAGCTATCTGCTCTTCTATGAGCTCTGCACGCAAGAGGAGAGCGACCAACATGTCCAGACCGTGGCGGCGCATCGCGAGCAGATGCGACAAGTGCAACTTGCAGAGGAGCGTCGTCAACAACAGCAGCACGAGCAGCAGCAGCAGCTCAACAAGATCGCCTCGCACGACAAGGACCATCACCACGACAAACACAGGCACCTGCTTCCGTGGCACAGCCACAGTCGCAAACACAGCAAGGAACGAAACGAAGTAGTGTTGGAAGGCGCCTCGAGCCACTTATCTCAAGTTGAGCGAGACCATCAAATGGCATTACAGCTGCAAGAGGCCGCTTATCGCGAGCACGACAACGACCACCATCACTGTCGATCTCAATGAAAACCTCGTTTGAAACAGCGTGTTTGATCCAATACAACAATTTTCCCCGTTAGTGCCGTGTTGCTTCGAGCTTCCAAACCTGCAACAGTCAAATAGATCTGAAGCAAGCAGAAACAGCAAACGTTGGAACAAAACGACTGCCCGGAAGTGAAAGGGGGGGGGGAGAATGGAAGAGGATGGAAAATTTTGTAATTGGTTTTCCACAATCCACAACAGTTCAAAAGAATGAAATACACGCAACTTCCATTGAGAAGGGTAGAGTCATTCTTTACTGGACCTTCTTGCGGAAGGAGCAGCCTATCGAGCACAAAGCAAAACAGGACGAGCAAAACAAAAAATCAAAGTCAGCATGTGGCACAGAAAAACCCGGAAAAAAAAAACAAAGAAGCAAGAAACTTACCCTCGGTGAGGCGGGCACGGCCACCAGTGGGCTGGCAGAGAACGGTGGAGCAGCCGGTGCACTGGACGACAGTCTGGGCGTGCGAGAAGACGGTGGTGATGGCGTAGCAGCCAGGGCACTTGACGTCCATGAAGAACGAGTCAGGGCTCTGCACAAGTCGCTTCAGCTTGTGCTTGGACTTTTCGTCCTCAAGGGTGGGGTGCAAGAGGTCGCGAGCGAGCTGGAAAGGGGGTTAGAGCAATCAAAGTAAAGGTGAGTTGAGGTTGAATGGGGACAAACGACAAATGGGGGAGAAGAGAGCGGGCCGATCAGGGCTTTGGGCCCCCATGCCTCTCAAGTCGCGCGCTTTCGGACGGTCCTCCGATGAGCAAGCTGGGTGAAGCATGGAGCGACCCTCCAGCTGCGCGGGACGGAAGGGGGGGGGGTTGAAGGAGACCGACCGATCGAGCTCTGAAAGCGCTCTTTCGCAGCGCCCAGCACGTCCCCCAGCCGCAGCAAGCCCCACAGGGCATGCCCACTCCACGAGTCATGTCCAAACGAGACCACTGAGGGGTCGTCGAAGAAGCCGCCGGACGCAGGAAAGGCTGGCGAACGGGTTGTTGGTTCTGGAACGGTCGAGCTTCAACCAACGCCCCTCAACTTGCCGACGTCCGTTCGACCCCTCTTCGCATTGCAACCCCTCCCCTTCTTCAGCCCATCTTGTTCAGCAGGGTGTCCTGCACCGGATTGGCGATACGGATGGCGAGGGACGGAAAGTACACACCGGCATTGTCAGGATCAAGAGAGAACGAGCGCCCATTTTCGGTTGTCTTTTTTTTCATAACTTTTTTTTTTTCTTTGATTTTTATTTTATTTTATATTTTATTTTATTCCTTTTTTTTTTTTTTTTTTTTTTTGTGAGTTTTTTTTTTTCTTTGATTTTTGGCTGGAAGTTGCATTAGAGGAAAAGAGAAGCGCAAGCAAGGAGAGGGAGGGACTTGGTTCCATTGAACAGCGAGCTTGCGGCCATTCCTTGCTTGACACCCTCACTTGCTGTGAGCCCGCCGCCGAGTGGGCTCTGCGCGGTGAAGAGGGAAGAAAAGGTCGATTGGGTCAGGATTGCGACACGCGGCCGCCAACAGCCATCTTGGCTCGCTGTGTTGCCAGTTCCCCTGTTGTGCTTGACACTCTGCGCCACTGTTGTTGTGCGACGCGAGTCTCTTGATCTGTCTACGAAATGCGCTCAAAAAGGCGGGGGCAGGTTGCATGGAGGGGAAGACCCCGGTGGAAAAGGGCTCAGCAATAACGCAGCAGAGATCTCTGGCCCAAGTGCTTGACAAGCGCAACAACCTCTGTGCGACGTTGGCTACCTCAAAGAGGGGGAAGGGTGACGCCTTGTGACTCCTGTTCGTTCATCGAATCGCTCACCTTCTCCAGCTCTGCGTCTTTGCTTTGTGATTTCTTTCGTGCAGGTCCAACAACATAAAATGGCAGACGGTCCCATCTTCCTCAACGAGCGCGGGCTCAGCCTCGAGGTCCGCGTGCAGCCTGTGGTGCTGTTGACCATCATTGACCACTTTACTCGACGAAACGAGAACCAGAAGCGCGTTATTGGCACTCTGCTGGGCTCTGTGCACGACGGCATTGTCGAAGTGTCCAACTGCTTTGCGCTCCCGCACATGGATGCTGCAGCAGATGTGCACCTCGATCTTGCTCATCACAAGCTGATGCTGCGCCTGCACAAGCGAATCGCACCCAGGGAGCAGGTTGTTGGCTGGTACACGACTGGCGACGAGATTACGAGCCACTCGGTCACCGTTCACACCCAGTTCTATTCAGACTTGACAGCATCCCCCATTCTGCTCACGGTTGATACTGCCATGCGTGGCGGCAAGCTTGGTGTCCAGGCCTTCACTGGAGCACCTCTCGGTACGTCCGATCGTCCCGGCGGCGTCGTTTTCGCTCCCGTCAAGTGCGAGGTCAAAATGTTTGAGGCCGACCGTGTCGGCATCAATCTCTTGCAGCGAACACGGGCAGCCCCCAACCGCGCCACCCCGCTCCTCACTGAGCTCGATACTCTCGAAGCTTCCATCATCAAGCTTCAAAGTCATCTTGCCACGGCTGTGGCCCACGTTGAAAAGGTTTTGGTGCGTTCCTTTCTTTGTTGCTTTGTTGTCGTCGGTGTTTTTGTTTTCCGTCGTGATGATGGCATGGCTGCCAGATGCGTTGCCCCTGCCATCGTCCGCTCTCGTTTTTTTTTTTTCCTTGTCTCACTGTTGGCTGCCAATCACACCACTCTATCGTCTATTTGTAGGCTGGCAAAGTTCCTTCAGACGCCGAGCTTGGCCGAATGCTCTCGGACGCTGCCTCCTCGGTGCCAAAGTTCGAGGCTGCACAATTCGAAAAGCTCTTCAACTCCAACCTACAGGATTTGCTCATGGTCATGTATCTCTCCAGCCTAACGCGCACACAATTGTCAATCGCAGACCGGTTGAACTCGGCCGTTTTCTAAGTCTGTCCAGTTGTACTCCTCCGCCTCGTCCTTGTGCTGTTGGTGTTCTAGTAGCTTTTTTTTTTTTTGTCGTTTTGTTGGTCTTGTTTTGTGTAAGTGTTTGTTTCTTTCCTTTTTGTTTCGGTGCACAACAATAATAGGGTGTTTTACCGCGGCAACAAACTACGTTGTTCATTCCTTGTCTTGTGTGCGAAAGTGAAAGTTTGTCACTGGTGCGTGGAGGGTCATGAACCGAGTTGTTATCCCAAACGGTAGATAAGGATGGAAGGTTTGGGTTTGATACCGCGGCTCGGCAGCAGCAGGACCAGGCACGTTGGTAGAAATGTGAAACTTTAGTGCGCCAGTCTGGTACGACGTAAGCACGCGCATTTCCCAGAATGTGCCAGCAGCAGCATTGAAGGGCGAGAGGGGGGGGGACGCGGAAGAGGAGCACACGATGGTGTGAGCTACAGTGCGGAAACAGACAACCGGACTTGCGCCAAAAGCACTTACAGCTCGAGAAAAGAATGGAATGGGGTTTTCCACGCATCGATAGTTCTTGGAGATGCTGGAAATGGCATTTTCCTCGAACGCGAACAACGAGGCATCCAAGTATGGGCTGGAATTATGAATCTGCAACCCAAAAAGCAAAAAACCAACAAAGAAATTGAGCTAGGAACAGCAAGCAGTCGCTCCCTGAACGAAAAAAGAAGCAAAAAGAAGAAGAAGAAGAGCAAAAAAATGAACGAAAACACTACCTGCGCCGTGAGGGGGAGATTCAAGAGCCACCGCTGATACAGCAACCTCCGAGCCCACACATTGCCTTTTGGAAGAAACGCCAGCTGTCGCCTGTACTGCTCACGCCAGTAGAGACTGCTGCAGGGCCCATCCATCCAGTTGGCGTTTCCAACTTCCGGATGGGAGCAAAACTGCTCGTAGAATAGCGTAAACATTGTCCCGAGGCTCTCAGAGTCGCTCTCAAAGCCTGCGATGATTTCGGCCGTCACGTGGTTGTAAATGACAAAATGGACCGACTCCTGGCCAACCTCGTGGGTGAGCTCTGGGATGAGCGTGCGAAGCTGCAGCGCGTTATTGACGATTGGCAAATGGCTGGAAAAGCAAATCAGAACGTGTGCCGGATCCAGGAGCTGCGCTTCAATCATGAGCGCACTCGCCAGCTTGTCAAAGCGAAAGTAGAAGCGTCGAAGCGCCTTGACTGGGTCGGCACTTGCTGCCGCTCGGCGCATCATAAAGGACAGGAACCGCTGACGAATGCCAGTGTACGGCGGACTGCCGGAAGGCAGAGCTCCCGAGTCTTCTCGAAGACGCGCGGCAACCGTTAGTTGGCTTGCCGCAGCAAGCAAGGACGACGGCTGAATGCCAGAGGTGAATGCGCTGGGCCCCCCGTGCAGGGAAAGATTCTGTCCCCGCCATCGCGGAATCGAAGAAGGGCGGGTCGTTGCGGCGGAAACAACGGTGCCACTAGAGAATGACGGCACAGTCACCCTCGCCGTCGGAATTGACTGATGAAGCAATTGGACAAGCGGGAGGTGAGGCGGGGTTTGTGAGGACGTTTCAAAACCACTTTCGCATTCACAAAACGAAGGCGACTTGCTGATGTGCAACTCACTGCTTGATAAGCTGCTGCCGCGCGGTGGATTCGTTGGATTTCTTGCTCATCGTCCGGAAAACATTGCTGGCCGAAACATACAAGCTCGGCCAACTCACCGGACCGCTTCACCTGTGGAAAAAAGGGGGGAAAACAAGCGGGGCATTCAAAAAAGTGAATGAAGGAAAAGGAACGAAAACTCAATCCATGTCAGACTGGATACCTTGAAAATGGTAATTGTTTGCTCGCGCAGCGACAACACAGAGAGCAGGTCGTCTTGGAGGTGAATGTGCGTGTGTCCCCAGTTTGGGACTTCCTTCAAAAAGCGCCGTTGGTCTAATAGCGCGCCTGTCGCAAGCTCCACGACGTGGAGGGTGACTGGTGAAGAGCAGCCACAATCGGGATTGGGTCAGAAAGACGCACGCAAGGCTTAAGAAAGCATTGCAGCGTCGGCTCGACTTACTGTTTTCCAAGCTGCAGGGAACTAGCGCAGCGTCGATATCAATTGCAGCTGGTCGCGGAGTCTCTGAGGCAGTGGCCACGATAAGATGTCTGCCTTGATTTGCAAATAGCGCAATGTCCTGAAAGCACAAGTGTTCACCGAAACGATGAGATCAGAATCGCGCAGATGATTTTCCATCCAACCGCATCCGTTCAGGTGGGTCAACTACCTTGTGAAGCCAACTGCCTTCGTGTGCAAAGGAGAGCTCGAAATGAGGGCTGAAGAAGTCCTCAAATAGACGGTCTCGAGCGGTCGAAGCGTCCGTCAAAATTTCTTCGTCCAGCAGTGTCGGTCGCTGACCAAAAGCCCGACAGCAAACAAAAACTCGAAGTTGGCACATGATAAGGCTCTTGTTATTAAGCAGCTTTTTTTTTTCTTTTGCTCTTCCTCCCCCCCCACCCGCCACCCGCTCGACCGTGCTCATTCGTACCACAAGCTTGTAGACGCGCAAGGTAGGCGTGGATATCCCAAACGTGATGAGATAGTTCCCATCTGGCGAGAACAAGGTCATCTGGCTGAGCGGGACTTTGACATCGTAAAAGGTAGTATTTGGGTAGATGCATTGTGCGTATGCTCTGAACTCGGGGGAGCAGTTTCAGACGGCCACAAAAGTGAGCAAAAGTGAGCAAAAGTGAGCAAAAGTGAGCAAAAGTGAGCAAAGTGAGCAAAAGCGAGCAAAAGCGAGCAATCAACAAACCAACCCGACAACCACCGCCGTCAACATACCGCTGGGATCTCCAAGTCGACATTAACACCGGAGAAGAAATCTCCCGCGATAGCAACCGGTTGGTAATGTTACTGTAGTAGCGGTGCTGCGCTCGACACAGCACAGAAGTGGAAGGCACACAGTCGTCTGCGGATGTCACTTCGCAATTGTCGATTGCGTGAGGAAGAGAGTGCTCGCCGAATGTGGCTGGAGGCTTGATCAACATCCCTGCACTTGACATGCGGACCTGGTCGATGGTCAACCACCGCAACTTGAGCGGCAGTACCTCGGGAGCCATTCCACCCATCTTCACTGCAACTGTTTGATCGCCCAGCTCTTCCAGAAGGTGTGCTGGAGCTCGTTGAAGCGCCGTTATTGCACCCTGCGCATCCGCAACGGCATCCGCAACGAATGGGTCAAATGCGATCAACAGCAACAACAACAATAACAAAATGGATGGATATGAGTCGGGGGGGGGGTTTGGCGTTGGGCATTCTCAGCAGTTGAGCCCTGGGATTCAACCACTCCCACTTCGGTACGCACAGCATCCGGGAACTGAAGAGAACTTTCGACATTGGCATTGCTAGCCAGCATGAGCGAACTTTGGAACGTGTTCCAATCTTGATCGTTGCAATCTTCTTCTGAGCGGCCAAGCCGGATGTCATCGTCAATGAGCGACATGCCGACACTCGTATCTTGCTCGGCTTGTTCGGCCTGCTCAGTAGCCTCGTTCTGAGATGCGTCGCGCCTGCGATCCGACTCTGCCTCGGTCGAGATTGCCCTCACAGTCTTGGCTGCTGCGGCTGCTTCTTCGCCATCATCCATCGCATGGAACGACGTCCCGTCAACAAGCAAGAGTCCCGCTTCGGCCTGTGCAGCGCTCGTCAGGAGCTCAGAGGTGAGTTCCGAGTCCTCCATTTGGTCGAGCAGAGCAGAGCAGCTCAAGTGAAGTGGGGCTGGAGCGCGACTTGACGTGCTGCACAATGATGATTGTTTCAAAGAGACTGAGTTCTGCCTCGTTCTTCACAAAATTCTCAGTAAACGATAGCTGCGGATCCATTCTAGCATGAATTGGCAGTGACATTCCAGACAAAAAAAAAAGGGGGGGGGAGCGGCAGTGGAGCCCTGCAATCACCTCAGCCTCCCCCTTTCCATGACTTTACCTGTCTCCAATTTCCATTATTTACAAAAAGTGTGGATGGTAAAACGCGTTGGAACACTGTAGGGAACGTTCAATTTACTCAACAATGGAGACCGGGGGGGGGGGGTTTGCATGCAAAGAGTCCAAAGAGTTTGTGGTTAGATGTATCCAACATAAAGCGAGGCACATCGCACATCCGAACCATCCGAAAAAGAATAGTAAGCTGTAATTTTCCAACCCTTGGGGATTTGTCGGAATATCGGATTACTCGCCGGCAAGAACGTTGCAAGCTCCGTATTCGAATCGACGAAAGTCGGGCTCAGGTCGCAACGATATTGAGTTTCACTTCGCTCATTTTTGACAACCAAAGTCAAGCAGTTGTCATCGTCGTCATCGGAGATGTCGGGACGATTTCTCCAGTCACAAAGCACTTGAATTGCTTGCACACGGATTGAATTTCCGTTGACGCTCCGGGGTACAAAGATCTCGAGTTGTAAATGGCGAGCACCACAACCCAATTTGGATTTTCAGTCTACTTTTGTATTTGTAAATGTTTTTGCTTGTTTTTCCACCCCGCTTTCGACGCTTTCATCGACGGTTGAATCATCATCTCCATCTTCTTCTTGTTATCATTATCATCTCTCTCTATTGTTGACTCACTGTTTGCCTCTGTTTGCCTCTGTTTGCTTCTGTGGCATCTGCAGAAAGTTTGGCTTTTTTTTCTCCCCCAATTGTTTCACATTTCACACAAAAACTTTCACAAAAATGCTGCCTCCACGAAAGAACGTCAAGGACGTCAACTCGAGCCTCGCGGTAAGCACACTGCCCTTGCTCTCTCTCTCTCCTCGCATCTCCCCTCGCATCTCTTCTCGCTGTTCTTATCCCCCACATTGCGTATGAAAGCGACCGACCACGTTGTTTTTTTATTGTTGTTTTTTCCTTCTTTTTCTGGAACAAACGGCGTTGAAATTCAAATTTGAAACGGCTTTTTGGAGCTTTTTGAGCGATTTTGCAATCTTGTTTTGATTTTAATGTGCTGTCGTTGACGTTCGACTTTTTCTGCTTCGTTGAGATCGAGTCCAACTGTGCTCCTCTTCGTGGCATGGGTGGCTGCTTTTGAGTGCAAAAGGGATTGAAGATCGTCGTTTTCGTTTTTCTCTTTTTCTTCGTCGCAAGACGTTTCTTGGATTTCAAAAAAACGAAGCTTCTAGCTGCTTTCCTGTTTTTCTTTGTCGCTTGCCGCGCTCAACTCACTTGAATTGCTATGCGTTATGCCATGTCGGTGTCTGTGTGTGTGTGACAACATTGTGCAGGATGTGCGCCGCAAGCGACAGGACGCGGCCGACGATATTCGCAAGAAGAGCAAGGACGACCAGATGCTCAAGCGCCGTTTCATGGACGAGTCCGACGACGAGAGTGAGACCGCACCCAACACCACTGGCAAGCAGCGCGTTCAGGCCGACGTGGGCATGCTCGAGCAGTACGCCATGGAGGTCATGAACAGCCAGGATTACGCCACCGTGTTCAACGCTGCCCACTGCCTGCGCAAGATCGTCTCCAAGGAGCGCAACCCGCCCATTGATCGCCTCATCGACACTGGCGTTGTTCCGTTCCTGCTGTTGCACCTCAAGCAATTCGACAACCCCGACCTTCAGTTTGAGTCGAGCTGGACTCTGACCAACATTGCGTCCGGCACTGCCCAGCACACAGAGTTGGTCGTCCGTCTCGGCGGCATTGCTGTCTTTAGCCAGCTTCTGTCGTCCCACGACGAACGTGTCGTCGAGCAGGGCATGTGGGCCTTGGGCAACATTGCCGGCGAGAATGCCAACTACCGTGACCTCGTTCTCCGCCACGGCGTTCTCGCTGGCGTTCTGAACAAGCTCAGCGGCACCAGCAACCAGAGCCTGCTGGCCAATGGCACCTGGGTTATTAGCAACCTGTGCCGCGGCAAGAACCCCGCCCCCGACTTTGCCATCATCCGTGACGCCATCCCCGCGTTGGCCGCCGTTCTGAACTTCACCGACAGCGTTGGTGCCCTGACGGACGCTTGCTGGGCCTTCTCCTACATTGCCGACAGCGACGAAGAGCAGATTGCTGCTGTTATCGAGTCTGGTGCCGTCCAGCGCCTCGTTGAGCTCCTCCAGCACCCCGACACCAACATTCAGACCCCTGCGATGCGCGCTCTTGGCAACATTGTCACTGGCACCACTGCCCAGACTCAAACTGTTCTCGACTGTGGCTTCCTCTCCGTCGTTGGCACTCTTCTCCGCTCGGTCAAGGAGAACATCCGAAAGGAGGCTTGCTGGTGCCTGTCCAACATTCTTGCTGGCACCGCCAGCCAAGTCGCACAGGTCATCGACGCCAACCTGCTCCCGCTTGTCCTCAACGCCGTCTCTTTGGGCGAAGCCCGCACTCGCAAGGAGGCCTCCTGGTGCATCATCAACCTCCTGACTGGCGGCAGCGACCAGCAAGTCCGCTTTGCCATTGGCCAAGGCTGCATTCCCCCGCTCTGCGAGGTGCTCAGCCACTCTGACGCCAAGCTCGTCACCTCTGCCCTCGAGGCTCACCTCCGTATTCTCAAGCTCGGCCAGTTCGCCAATGGCTCCAACCCCCACGCCGAGTTTATCGAGACCGCTGGTGGCATGGACAAGATTGAAAAGCTCCAGCACCACCGCAACGACACCATTTACAAGCTGGCCAACCAGATCGTCACCGAGTACTTTAGCGATGACAGCACTCCCGAGGACGCTGAGGATCAGAACATGATGCCCACTGCCACTCAAACCGGCTTCACCTTCTCGACTGAGCCCGCCAAGAGCTTTGCTTTCCAGGCCCCTGGACAGGCTTCTCACGCCCAGCGCATGTTTGCCTTCTAAAAGTGCAAAGCGAAAGCGCTTAATTTTTCGGGCAGGTTTGCCTGTTAGTCGAGGACGAGTAACGAGGAGTTTATGCTTTGGGACGTGATGTTACGTGTCTGCTTCTTGCGCGCGAGTGAAAAAGCACCAGCTGGAGCTGTGTGTGTGTGTGTTTTTTCTGAGAGGGAAAAAGGGGCGACGGTAACGTCGAATTGTATGTTTGTTGCCGACTGTACAGGTTGATTGGGGCTTGGATTTTTGTGTTGTATTATTGTACTCGTAGTGTGGTTATACTGTGCCAACAATTACTTTTATACCTTCTTTCCGACAACAAGCAATTCAACCGTTGTCCATCAGAGAACCAAAGTTCGCTGCTAGTAGGCCATCGAGGTCACAAAGGAATACTCAAGCGAAATTTCAGTGTCTTCTGCGTGTTGCAAGATTGTCGCAAAGCGCTCTCCCCTTCGAACAAGAGCTGCAGTTTGCTGGGTCTGTGTTGCGACACTGTGGAGAAGGTCGCAAACCACAGCAAGAAAAACAACACGCACAAAAACAAATAAACAAAGACAGAACAAACTGAATCAGCACAAGAAACCAGCACTCGATGCCCGAACTAGAACATCACAGGCACAAACGTACTATCGTGCAATGTTTGGACGCAGCATGTCGAGAGAACTATTGGCAACGGTTGTGGCAAGAGAGACGGCTGCTTTGAAAGTGTGCAACAGTGGTTGTATTCCTAATGGCGGATACTCCACCGCTGCGCGCCCAAGTGAGACAGAAAGAATGGGGTTACTGCTCGCTTTAGAGCTGGTGCCTGGTGGTTGCATGTGCACGTGGACTGGGTCGGCGGATAGAGAACGCGTCAGGAACTGCGAAGACGGCGTTGCGCTGATTGCTGCTCGGATTCGGTCGTCCCACAGACCCGAGAACACACTATCATGCAAGTAGTTTAATGAGCGCTGAGCGGCGTCATTGATCTGGGCGGCGAGTGGCGCATCATGAAGCGGTAGCAAACTGTGCCACTGAATCGTCCCTTGGCCATCTTGCACCATTGCGACGACCGTCGCGTCAAAGCCCCAAACGCGCAACGTTCGAGGTGGACATATCCGTGCTGCCTCGTGCTCAGAGAATCGTCCAGGTGGAATCACTCCTGCTACCATCGTCATGCCAGGGCGCAACGCTTTCGACTCACTGCGATGAAAACTGCCAGTCGTGTGTACCACCAGATCAAACTGGCTTGGATCGATGTGATCCATCTGGACTTCTTGAACGCCATGACACTGCTCTTGTAGCATGCTTGCCAGTCGCTGTCTGTCAACGACGGCGAGCAACTCTGACTCGATTGCCGTAATTCGGTGGCCACGGAATGAGAAGGATTCGCCCCCGCCAGTGAGGATCTCGCATATAGATGTATCACTGAGTGCTTGATGCTTGTGGGCATCCTTGGCGTTTCGAATCTCTTGCACAATCTTGAGCATCGGAGCAGCTGGAGTGAGAACCAGCGCGTGGCCTGGTCTGCCTTCTGTCGTTGTCGTCATCGTCGGATTGTCTCGTGTCCGGGCGCGTAGCACATGGCAGCCTCTTGAGCGTAGACTTGCAGTGACCGCGAGTGCGGACAGGGTCTGTCCGACGACGAGGATTTTCGGTTGCATCCAGAATCTGTCAATCTGAAATAGAATCTGTCGCGCCGTGTAGTTGAACTCCTGCCAAATTCAAGTCAGCATAGGGCCTGGATGGAGACATGGCAAGTCGAAGGTGTTTGGGGGGATTGGTGAAGGATGAGCGCACGTTGTTCAATTTGCACGATTCAAAGTCGAGAAGTGTTTCTTTCGCACCAAAACAACAGACTGAGAAGCAGCAGGGCAAAATAGGAAGGAGGTGGTATTGCGACAAGCTCAAACAAGTGCAGATCAAGTACAGATTTGACAACACACTACTGTAAGGGTGGCCGTTTCACTCACTCCAGCACATTTTGTTTTTGTCGACTTGTTCGTGATATTTTGTTTGTATTAGTCCAGACGTGAAAGGAGCGAGGCACGCAATGGACACACACACACACACACACATAACGGTTGCAAGATTGCGTTTACTTGCCAAGACGCTTGAGCAAGGCGCGGTGCTTCTTGCGCCACTTGCGATGCTTGTGCTTGTTCATCATTTTGCGGCGCTTTTTGAGCACACTGCTGGCTTGACGATCGGTGGTTTTCCCGGGAGCATCGCCAACGGTCGGTGATGGCCCGTCAATAAAGTCGCCGAGTTGAGGAAGGGGCAGGAGGTCGCCAATGTGGCGGCGGTCGGGAATGCGCGGGTCAAGGACGAGGTAGTCTGCGCCACCCAGGCCGAACTCTTTGCGCAGCTGGTGCGACACGACGGTCGAGTTGAAGGCGCCAACGCGGAGGGTACCATCGCGAGCGTATTCAAAGTACTGGCAGTTCTCTCGAGCGAGATCTTGGCGCCACTGGCTCATGAAATTGCCAAGAAAACGGTCGAGCGACTCAAATGCCGTTCGTTTCAACCGGTCCTCGGCGTGGTACAGCTCATCAAACTGTGCCATGAAATGATCCTGTTGTTGTTGTTGTTGTTGCTGCTGCTGCTGCTGCTGCTGCTCGGTTAGTTGTTGGACGTCCTGGTCCAGTTCCATCTGTTCATCCTCGGCATCAGCACGATGGGTTTGGTTGACCACGCTGTCTTCGTTGTGGGCAAGCTCCTTGAACAGCGCAAAGTCGCGCTGGACATGTTGCACATACTGCGTGTGCGCAACATAGCTGGCAGGAGACAGACCTGCCGGCATCGCTGGCGGATTCTGGACCCACTGCTCGATGAGCCACATTGGCGAGCCAACCGCGGTCGCGAACAAGGTTGCCATTCGTGCGCGCGACATGTGCAGCTCCCGAATGAGGCGTCGCAACGGCCACACGTGCTCGAGATCCTCGCTTGGATGAAGGAGAGGGACGCCGTTCACGCCAACCGGGCGCGACATGACTGCAGAGCCTGAAGCAGCCATCGAGCGACGACGACGCGGCTGCTGCTGCTTTGCGAGTTGTGCCAACTGGCTCGTCTCGAGGCTGTGGCGGGAGTGACTGGCCAAATCGTCCTGCAGGCGCCGGAGCGAAGGGTACGAGTGCAGCAGCGCGTATGCAATCTGCCACTGCGTGAACTGCGGTTGACTGGATGCGTCCAGAGGCACTACAGACCAAGGGCGCGTAAAGAGCGACACCATTTGCGCTCGCGTCGGCGGCACGCTGATGCTGTCAACCACTGCCTGCATCTCGCGACGCTTCAGGGACTGCTGTCGGATGACACGCGCGATGCGTCGTCCGCGCACTGGCACTCCGCCCTTCTCATCCAGATGGTTGCGCACTGAAAATGCAGCGCTTTCAACAACTGCCTTAAACTCGCCCAGCTCTGCTCGGCTGAGCTCCATCGTGCTGGAAGCCTCGGGGTGTTCTGCAAAATGATGTCCAGAGTCAAAATCAAGCTCGAGTGAGTGTCAAACAATGAAATCGGAAACAAAAAATAACGAAAGAAGAAGAAGAAGAAGAAAAAAACCCTGTGAACAAAACTGAAACACTGAAACACTGAAAAAAAAAAAAAAAAAAAAAAAAAAAAAAAAAAAAATCCTGCGATCTCGTCCTTCGCGCTTCCCTGTTGAAGTGTTTTTTGAGCCTTACCGAGCGACCGGACGAGACGGTGCATGTATGCAATGTGCTTGTTGTATGCGACCATGCGAGCGGTGATGACGTCGTCGTACAGCCACGACTGCGACTGGGCAGACTGGCGCTGGGCGAGCGACGGCGGCAACGGCAGGCTCGACGGAACAGTGGTGGTCTTGGGCTTGGGAGAGGCAGCGGGTGCAGACCAGGTCGTGCTTGGGACGGACCAGCGTGCAAAGCTCAGAGACGGGCTCGGACGCGCAGCAGCAGCAGCAGCAGCAGGAGCAGCAGTAGGAGCATCATGAGCAGCATGAGCGGTGGAAAGCGAGGATGGAGCAGCTGGGTCGCCGAACGCAGGCGAGTGGAGGACCTGACCGAGCAGCGTGTGCATCCGGAGCGCCTTCTCGTGGGCCTGGTCGAGTGCAGACACGCTGCGCTTTGGAGTGGCGGGCGAGGCAGCCAGCGCTCGGGCTGGTGGTGGTGCGCCTGAAGAGGACGAGCCGCCGATCGCCATGCGGCTGGCTGAAACCGCTGCTGACGACACTGCTGCTGGTGCTGTTGCTGCTGCCGCAATGCTGGCCTTCATCTGCTTCTTTGATGGTTGCTGGACGGTGTGTGGGGCGGCGGACTGCTGGGACTGCTGGGGCAGCTGCAGCTGCTGGGCCAGAGCGGTCGTGGTCGAGCTGTGACGCTCAATCTGCTCGAGGCGATCTGCGACGACAGGATGCATCTCGGGCACCCCGTGGACGAGCGGCATGCGCAGAATGTTCAGATGCTGGGTGAGAAAGTTTTGGCGGACTCGGTCGTGCAGCAGGCGCGACGGAACGCTCGCCAGCGGCGTTGTTGTCACTGACCGAACAGCCAACATTGGAAAAAACGAAAAAAAAAAAAAGTGACTGAGAATCTTCTTAGAAAACAAAAAGAATAAGTGACAAAACTTCAAACAAGACAAGAAAAAAAAGGTTTCATACTGTACTGTGCTAAACATGAAGCCCATTCAGTTCATAATGCAAGAGATCAAAACATTTGCACAACATGGAAATGGACCACGACACAATGTCTTTGGGGCGTTGTTTAGTAACCACCCTGGTCGCCAAACTTGCTGATAATGGCGTCGTTGTTGGGATTGACCTTGCCAATCATTTGAGGAGCATACTGGGTGAGCTCGTCCCAGATGAGCTGTGGAGAGATGTTGGTTGCGGGAAATGAGCGACAATAAGGCAGAGACCAAAAAAACCACTCAACAGACGCCAACCCCCAGAAACTTACAGCAGCCATCATTGCCTCGCCACCAAGACGCGGGTGGAAGCCGTCGACAGGCTCAATCAGATCGGCAACGTTGTTGCCTTCCTGGATCCACTCTTCGATAATGTCCTCGATTGTTGTGCCAAGGTAGTACATGTCAAACACATTCGAGTAGCGGCTCGTGATGGTGACGTTGGAGGCCAGCTCCTGAAGAACGCTCGAAAGAAGAACAGCACTGCAATCCAAGAACAAGCGCCGAGAAAGCAGAAAAACAAGAAGAAAAATTGTGAGTCCCTCATTTTTTTTTTTATAAACGCACAAACACCGGAATGCTCACCGCTGAGTGGTCAGGTCGCGAAGAGTAGCGTTGGTGGTCATCCAGCCCTCGCAAGGGGAAATGCCAAGGCAGTTAAGGTAGGTGTACACATCAGCATAGTTGACATTCTGCTTCCACTCGCCGATCGGGTGGATCAGAGCGTGCATGTACTCGTAAAGCACGCTGCCGTTGGCAAGACCGTTGAGCAGCACGTGGCTGCCAGGAGCGAGCGTCATGTTCTAATTTCAGAGAACGTGCCAAAGTCAGCGGTTGAACAACGAACGCAACAACAATTAGAATAACACCAAAAAAAAAAAAAAAAAAAAAAAAAAAAAAAAAAAGGAGGGTGGGCCCACTCACCAAGGCATCGAGACCAGCAATAATGTTGGCTCGGAACTCTGCCGCAGTGGTCATGTGATCGGTGCCAGGATGGCCGTTGCACACATCATTGCCGACAAAGGAAGCGACGACGATCGCGGGGTAGTCCTTCTTGGGGTTGCGAGCAACGCTCTGCTTGACAAAGTTGACCATGTCACCGGAGCGAGCGCCGTTGACGCCGACGTTCTGGAAGTCGCGGTGGTTGCAGCGGTTGCGGGCGACAAGACGGAGGTAGAGGGAATCGACCGTGCCGGGGTCTTCGGTGCCGGTGGCGTTGCGGTGGCCAGTCGAGAACGAGTGCATGGGCCAGTCGAACTCGTCGGGGAGAATCTTGTCGAGGTTCTTGTAGGTGGACGACGTGACCTGGAGGGCGTTGAGGTACTCTGGGGGGATGCGGAAGTGGGCGCCGACAGAATCGCCGAGCAGAATAATGCCCAGCTGGCCAGAGTCGCCACAGAACTTCTCCTCGTAGGTGGTGGAGCCCTCGGAGCCATAGATGCCATTGCAGTTGGTGTCGACGATGAGGTCGTTGTTGCCGCCGCTGGACGGGCCGGGGTTGCGGCCGGGGTGGATGGCAGCGTCAAACTCGTTGCAGTCCTTGCCGCGCCAGTCAGCGCCACGGAAGGTGTTGATCTGGCTGAACATGTCTTGGTCGAGATCATCAATCGGCACATGCTCGTTGCCAAAGCGGTTGACCAGGTCGCAGATCGGCTTCATCTCGGGAATATCGCAAGGCTTGATGAACGACTTGGTGGCGGCAATCTTGAGCGCACGGTTGGCACGCTCCTCTGCATCAGCGGGCTCGGGGAAGGCGTGGCAGCGAGTGCCGGACGACGTGTTGCAGATGCCGATCGCAAGGCAAATCATGTCGGCAGTTTCGTGATCCTCGTACAAGTCAATGATGGTTGGGCCATAGGTCTTGACGAGTGCGGCGCATGGGGTTTGGTACGAGGCTGTCGATGGAGGGCAGGACAGTGAGTAATGTTGCTAAGGCGTTTGGACAGAAAGCTCAGACCGAAGCAGCTTACCGGGCAAATACGAGCAGAATCGAGCCATCGAGTCGGCCACGGTTTCATTGTGAATTTCAGCGAGCTGACCAACAAGGCCCGTCAGCAAGGTGCAGACTAATAGGAATGATCAGATCATAGGACAGGCAAAAAAACCAAAAAGGAAGGAAGTGAGCCAGGTCAGGCAAGTCCCAAATCCTCCAGTCCCAAATCCCAGACAAGCCAGACACACAAAGTGACTGTTCAGCACTCGTAGGATGGTTGCTGTTCGCTCTACGCAGTCGCCCATTTGTGAGTCTGGTCACTCAACGCTGTTGGTGCTTTTTCGCAGACTCGCCATTCCACTTTGCTGCATATCGCTCCTACCCCCCCCCCGGTCTTTTCCCCCGGCGCACCTCCACAAATCAAACACTGACTATTTCTTCTTGTGTTTTGCAGTCGTTGTGAATCGGAAACTTGGAAACTTGTGACCCAAGAAACAAATAATAATAAAAATGGGTTTAATTTGGCGGAGGATTTTTTGAAGAGTAGAGCGCAAAGTTGCGACTAGAATCGCTCCGCATACGACCGCTACTCATGCAAATAGCGGCAGACGATTAGATTTCGGTACGTTTCCCGCTCACTAATTTCCAATGTTTACGTTTGTGATTCCTTTTTTTTTTTTTTTTTTTTTTTTTTTTTGTGATGTGATGTGATGTCTCTCGCTCGGCCACTCGCAGACCCTTCACACGGCTGGCCACGACAAAGCCACTCGACTCATGCCCTCGCGCTTGCGCTTGTTGGAGGGCTCACCCCGCGGACCGAAGCTGAGGCTCATGAAGGAGACTCAACTCCATCTTGCGCAAGCCACGCTCTCACTTTCTTGCTCGCCTTCCCATCACACTTGCCTACAAACGTCGCCGGTCGATGGTGCTCTGGAGAGTTAAGGCTGATGGGAGAGAGTGTGTGTGTTTTGTTTGTTACCGGCGCAGGGGACACCGCCGTTATCGTCGGCAGCGACTGGCGCAGGGGTCGTCGCGATGAGGAAGAGGCAAGCAAAGCCCAGCAGCGCAGCGAGCGAGACGAATGCGCGCATCACAAAGAGGAAAATCCAAAGAAGAAGAAAAGAAAAAAGACTGAAGGAAATAAATGAATGAATGAAAATGAAGAAGAAGAGAGGATTACAATGGAAAACTGGTCTGAGTGGAGAGATGAGGTTTCTAAGCAAAAAGGAAGCGGATTTTGTATGAATCTTGAGGTTTCTCCTCTCACTGACTCGAAATCGAAAATCGAGATACGCAAAAGAGGTCAGTGGCTACTCACAGACCGACCAATCTGAGCCTCTGAGTTCTGAGTTGCTGCAGTCGTCTTTTTTTGGTTTGTTTCTTGTTGTTTTTTCTTGTTGAGCACAACTCAACTCCAAATGCGAGGCGAACCACTCATTCCGCCATTCAGGTGCTTGTCTTACCATTGATTGATGCTTTGGTTCCCACAATTGAGAGTGATGAGTGTGGTCGAGTCTGACGAACCTGAATTGAAAACCCATAGGTTTACGATTGTCGACGAGCAAGTCTATCGCGGCGCCTACCCGACCCACCTCGTCAGTGGCTTCCATCGCGTGCATGCATGCATGCTTGTTTTGATGTGTTTCCGCGTGGATGGTCCGTGAGGGTCCGAGTCCGAGGCGCCCAATCTCCAACTCACTCGCAATGTTCTCCATTGCAACAGAACTTTGCGTTTCTGGCGCGGCTCAAGCTCAAGACCGTGCTCTCGCTCACCCCAAAGAAGCCAGACTCAAACATTGATTTCTTCTGCAAGGAAGAAGGCGTGCAGAATATCTTCATCCAGGTCGACAAGTTTAAGGAGAATGTCACGTTGACACACCAACATGTAAGTGGTCGAGCGTCGTCTAATGCAACACAACAAGTTGCTAGTGTGCTGCACGGAGGGCTGAAGATGGTCATATGCGTGTGCTCGGAGATCTGGCAAGCACCGTTTTGCTCAATCCACGACCTGAATTTCAAACAGATTGTCCAAATTCTGCCAATTCTCCTCAACGCAAGCTGCCATCCCATCTACATTCACTGCTTGGATGGTGCAAACGTCACCGGTCTTGTCGTGATGGTATGACAGGCGTTGGCTACTTGCTGGATTGATTTCTGCGACGAGTAAACTCACGCTGTTTTCTGGTCGGCTGTGCGTTGTTGTCTGTGACTGGGGTTACGGCTTAGTTTCTTCGACGGATTCAGCAGTGGACTGTTGCGAGTGCTGTAATTGAATTTGCCCGGTATACCCGAGATGGCCTGATGACTCCTGACGAACTCGAGCTCGTGGAAACTTTTCGCATGGACACGGTTCGCCTTGAAAAGCCCTTGCCAACTTGGATGTTATTGCGATCTCCCGCGTTTGGATTTCTTCCAGCCGAATCAGTGGATCAGCCACGGATACGGGTGAGGGCTTTGCGGCACGCGTTTTATGTTTTTTTTTTCTTTTTTTTTCTCTTTACCGCCCATTTCCATCACATTTGTTGAGCTCAATTGCGCTTCGGACTGTTTGTTCTTGCGCTTGTTACTAGACTGGTCGTCTTCGAGACGTTACTGCGACTGATAACACACTAGACCACACTGTAAGAGCGAGTCGTGATGTCGCCTTCCGAGTTTGTTTTTGTCCGTTGTCCTCCAATGAGTCTCACTTGCCCACTTTCCCCCATGCCTTTGCCTGTAGTCTGAGAACATTCGAGCACTTTCGTTGGAACATCGGAAGACATGAAGCGCCGTTCTGCGACCCAGAATCAACTCCCTGCACATCGACTTGCTTAATCACCTCAATAACAATTATTTTCATGTACAACACTCGTTTGTTCTCTCTTCGTTTCCAGATTGGACGACTCGCTCGTTCGTGCCCGTGCCCTCTCTTGCTGGACGTCCCACCGAACGAGTGGACGGTACAGCTCCAATCTCACAGCCCATCATCTCCAATTGCATCAAACGTTTGTCACTGTATAAACTACCTGTGTCAGTTTCCGCAAATCCTTTTCCCTCTTCCTTCTCTTCTGAGACGCTCAGTCCAAATCCACCACTACGCAGATGTTGTATGGACTGCTGTTTGCGCGTGGACGGAACGCCGGGCGCGTCTACTGGACGTTTGAGCGGCTTGCGGTACTGCTGATGGCGTTCATTATCGTGAGCACTCTGCTTGGCATGGTGCACTGGCGGCAGGAGAGCAAGCTGCAGCAGTACCATCGCGCGCGCTGGCAGCAGCTCCATCAGCGAGCGCCCGTCGCAGACCCCGACGAGGAGGACGCCGCCGTTGCCGCCACGACCAAGCCAGTACAATCTCAATCCAACCAACAGCAACAGCAGCAGCAGCTCAAGCAGCCGACAGTCGTTCCGTACGTCGACGCGGCGTTCAAACTGTCGCTCGGCCTGTCATTCTTGGTTTTGGCGCGCTTGGCTCAGATTCGACTCCAGCCACAGCAATCGCCGCCGCCAACCCATCGAACAGCATCGACAGCAACAACATCGTCCTCAGCAGCCACAGCAACAACGACGAGCACTACCGCGAATGCGGAACCAGACAAATCAAGAGCTGCAGCATTAGCAGCAAGTCCACTGGCCCGGTACGTGTCGACCTGTCAATCTGAGCAACCCCTAAGCATGAAAAATCGTTTCTAACAATTGGAACGCCCGTATCATTTGTATTCTCTCACTCAACGTGCTTTGCATCACTCTTGTTGTGAACGGTAGATTAACTCCTGAAGAGCGCGAAAAGACCAAACGATTTTTGCTCAATGCACTTCGCCAAAGGCGTGCAAAGCAGGAATAGTACTGGAACAAGGCCTACCGCTGCATGTTTCTGACCTTCGGCATGGCGCATCTGGTCTCTGGTAGCACTATTGTTGCGCATCTTGTTCGCACTTTTGTTTTTGTTTTGTTTTTCTGTCTGCTTTTGCCCTGCATTTTAACGCGTTTACTGTACATATGAGCCAATACAGTACCACGGTCCGACTTTTTGACAAGGCAGTGCATTGATATTTACAACAGTACAGCCGGGAGTTGTACCACCAGGAAGGGAATGTGTGAAACACGCCACTGCGTTTGCCCGATGCCGGTAACACTTCCCCCCCCCCCGCTCCAGCTCACTGGATGGCGATGCGGGAACCGGCCGGAAGAGCGCGCTTGGCAATGTCAAGCGTGAGGACACCGTCAGTGTACTTGGCATTGGCCTTGGAGCTGTCGGCATCGCGAGGAAGACGCAGCGTGCGCGAAACGCGGCCAACCGAGCGTTCAAAGACGTGGTACGTGTGGTCGCTCTTCTCCTGCTCTTGCTTCTTCTCGCCGCTGATGGTGAGAATGCCATTCTCGCAGTTGACGGAGATTTCGTCCTTCTTCATACCGGGCAAATCGGCAGAAATGTGATAGCCGTCGCTGGACTCGTGCACGTCGACCGCGAATGACGTGCTCGGCGAGGTCATCCAGCGCGAACTCGGCCACGCCGGCGTCAGTGCGCCCACCTGAGTGTCTCCCGGCGCGTCTTTGGACGAGTCGTGAGCCGATTCAAGCATGGGGGCTTGCTGGTGCTGAAGCATGGGGCTCTGCCAGCTCGCCGGGAAGCCACGTTCAAATTGGTTGAACAGGCGATCCATGTCGCGGCGCAGAGTGTAGAAGTCCATCGTTGCGTACTTGGGGAGCGGTATTTTCGTAGCTGTGTAGGGGGGTTCAAAGCTCGCTTGCTTGTGCTTTTATAGTTTGTCCGAGGGCCGGAAGAAGAGTGAGTTGTCCGAGAAAATGCCTTGGCGTTCTTTTTCGTTTCGGGTTGCCTTTTTTGTTTTTGTTTTTTTTTTTGTTTGTTTTTTTTTTTTTTTTTGGTTGTTTTTTGTGTTTTGTTGTTTGTTTGTTTTGTTTGTTTGTTTGATTCTTTTGTACAGGCGCCCCAGACCAAGTGTGTCCCAGAGTAGAGGTTCAGGGCGCACGCCTTCTTTTGCGGACAAGATTAGACTGTTGTCCAACAGTAATCACTTGGAAGCAATCGCTTTCATCCAATGATTTGATCAGGTACTATCATCCATGTGTTTGTTGAAATCTGCTTTGCAGAAGTGTTGAACGAAGAATTTCGATTATGCAGGACAAAACATCAGGAAAAGAACAGATGCACTACTGTAGATCTACTTGCTCATCTGACAACACTGGTCCACATACCAAGACCAGTGTTGTAAGGTCGTAGCCAGCGGCTTTGGGAGGGTAACCTGGTACTCTTGACTCGGCTACTTTTGTCCATCTCGCGCCCCAACGCGTGCATACCAAACAACATGGTGCTTGTACTCATCGAGATTTATCCAACGAGCCTTGAACTTCTTGGAAAGCTCGAGCGGCGAGATAAGCCAAAGATCTTGGCCAAGGAGCAGGAAATAACAGAACAAAAGGGTCGCAATGTCAGTCTCTCGCAGTAATGGTGAGTCGAGCGGCAAAATACACTTACCTGCAAAGGTCGAGAACACCAGCCGCCCACACCAACACACCGTGAAACAAACATCCAAGACATGAGCCGGTCGAAACCACGAACGACAGAATAGCAGCCGAGATGATACCTGCCCACAAAGTCACAAAAAACAAACTTGTGCACTGACAGATTGACAACCCAGGGTCGGTTGACTTGCGGCATGGCCATGCAGTACTTGTTCACCCTTGCTTCTCATCGCCACCACCACCACCACAACCACCACCTTGTCTTTCTCGTTGCTTGTTCACTTGACCTCCCCGACCATTTTCACTTCAATTTCCACCCCCCCTGACGATTTTCCAGTTCCAGTTGCCTTTAGATTTTGTTGATGGCTCGAGCGACCTCGATGATGCCTGCTAGTTCCACGCCGAATTGTTGGGCCATGTTCACAAGCGCGTGTTGCGAGACCAAGATGCTTTGGTTGGCCTGGATAATCGCCTCGGTGGGGCTGGCTGCTGGAGCCGATGGAACAGAGCCCTTGGGATGCAGAACGCCGTCCGCAGTAAGCTGAGCAGAATGGATGGACAGGAACGCAGCAAGATGTTTCCACCGATTTGCGTGCAGCGGTAGGGCGCGCACGCTGTACAGCAACACAGCCAGAGTCGCCGCGAGCTGCTTGGTTGCGGGAGAATCGGGTGACGCGGCTACTCGAGACAGGGCCGTCGCGGCATTCCAGAGAGCTTCGCATTGAGGGCTGGCAAGCAAAAATCTTGTCAAGCGGAATTGTTGCGGGCTTTTGGCAGCGAGTCGCAACGCAAGCAAAACGTTGTGGGTAAGATGCTTGCTTGATTGATGCAGGAACTCGTCGCCAGCAGCCGAGGATGGGAGCAACGCAGGAATGAGCTCTAGAGCATCAAGTTGTGACTGCTGGGTAGTAATGGGGTCTTCAGCGCCAGAAGCAACCCGCTCTGCAAACAGCACAGCGTCCTCGGTCCGACACATGGAAAATTGACCATTGCGCCAATACTTTGGTCGGGACGACTCTGCGCTGGCAGTGCATCGATGAATCAGCAGAGTCAGACGCCGCATCGCCTGCTTGGCTTCATTCGACGCCATTCCTTCAGCAGTCACAATGGCAGACACCTCTGACGCCATCGTAGATACAAAGTCAGACCACAGCTGCATGGTGTCGCGCCTTGAAAGAGCACATGCCAAGAGCCCTCGTTCAAACACGCCGAGCAGCTCATTGGTCAGTTGCTGACGAGCATCATCGGTGAATGGCAGACAAGGGTGGTACTCGTTTTCAAAAGCGCGCAACAGGTGCGCCTCTGTGTCCGCGAGCGAAGCATCCGCTGCTTCCTCCTCACTCGATGTTGCAAGTGGTGGGGCATTGGGACTAACGTTTCGACACGCCACGCAAAGCTGGAGAAACAGCGCAAGCGAGAGATGAGTGATGGCAAATCCATCCATGCGCAGATCAGGAACGAGCAGCGGAGGCACGACAAAGTGGTAGGGGAGAGGTCGGCGCGCCAGCTGCGAGAGGAGAGCAAAGGCAAGTAGCATCAACGCGCGAGACGGCTGTGCATCAATGCCATCTACACTGCGGGCAAGGCTACTAAACTGGCCATCGAAGATGCCACTGAGATCAAACGGTTGGAGCGCACCACGGATCAGACAGTTGAGCGCAATCTGCCGGGAGGCAGCTGTGCCGTTTCCGTCGAGCTGGAACCGTGCGGCGCGATACCAGAGAGCCATGGCAGAGTGTGCTTCGTTTACTACTGTAGACGCAGCCATTTCACAGAGCAGCTGCGAGCCGGAAACCTGGTCCGAAGCATGAATGGAAGCGCACAGGCAACGCAAATCGACGGCCAACCAACCCATGGAAACGTAGTCCTCGGCGGTTTGAATGGCCGACTGCGCACTAATAAACGCTGCGTTAAATCGAACTTGATTGATGATGAAGCTCTCGAGAGCGCACGCAAACGGCGCATCGCGATTCGAGGGCGGAATGGGGTTTTGCGCGAACAATTGCGCTTGTGCTTGCCCAAAAAGCTGTGCCAGTTGAGTCACAGAAACGGGAGCAATGGACACTGGAGACACGGGCGGGGCGGCTTGCGCACTCGACAAAGAAGGCGACAAGCGCACGCTCGAATCCCAGGCAATGGTGATTGTCCTGGCATCCATTACCAGTCGACCCAAGCCACAGTCTCGCATGTCAAACAAGTTGACGGGCAGCGTGTGGTGGGCGAGCAAATGGAGGTAAGAAAGCCAAAGAACACTCTTGCACCCAACTCCGACAAGCTCGGTAGCGCGAATGAACAAGTCTGGATCCACCCAATCCGCCCTCGTTTGGAGCTCAAGCGCCAAACACGCCTCGAGCACCTGGCAGGCTTGAGCAAGGTTGCCCGCAAGAACAAACAGCTGCACGATAGACAGGAGTGAATCAAGCAGCCACACACGATAAGCGGAAGCAAGCGCAGGCGTCGCACTCGCTCGATTCCCAATGCTCGAGAACGAGGTCAAAGCTTCCACGCAGTGCTTCACAATGGCGAGCAAAACACTCGATTTGCCGGCGCGCGTCGACTCGAAATCCAGCCAGTGCCAAAACAATGGGAAGGGCTGTGGCACCAGGGTGACTGCCGTAGCATACATTTCCCGCATTTCGTCAACGTGCGCACCGTCCTTCTGAGTGCCGGCGAGCACAGCCTGGCGATGAAACAAATCCAGATACACAGTCCACAGCGTCGAACTGGCCTGCTGCGACTCGAGTGCGGTTGACAGCGCGCTGAGAGCGGCCTGGTAATTCGGGACGGGCAGCCTAGCAGCGTCAGGCGCAATGTTTGCAGGATTTGCGGAGGGGAATGGCTCCATCAATTGGCAGGCCAGAGCTAGCCACGCATCCTCGTTGTGTGGGTCGGCATCGAGTTGCTGCTCAAGGTCTTGGCGGCTTTGAGCCGCCCCTGGTTGGTGGTAGCGGACCGTGGACTTGGTCGAAATCTCACTACCCGCCCAAGAGCTTGAGATGGCAGAAGGATCGCCAGGCTGGCTTGCTTGACCTTGCTCATCAAGAGCCTGCAGGGAGAGCAAAGGCCGTCGGGGGCTGATGGCTTCCGCGACACGACCCAGATCAAGCACCCCAGAGCTTGAAGCTGCAGAGGTGCTGCCGGTCGATGTGCTGCTGGTCGAGGTGCTGCTGGTCAAGGTGTTGCCGGTCTTGGCGCTGGTGTGCTTGGAATCTGACTGCTCGTCGTCGGGTGCATTCACGTTGGGAACACCAGCCCTGATCGTCATGGGTGAGACAACAGAAGGGGGTCCAAAGCCACGGCGCTTGTTGTGTTGATTCACCGCCATGATTAGCATCAACGAAGCGTCCTCGAGTGAAACGCCGTTGCTGGCAAACTCTGCGCGCCGTTCAAGCAGGTGCGCCCGAAGTTGCAGTGCAACCTTTTGATCAGTCCTCGTCGAAAATGCTGGAGGCGGTACTCCGCGCGCGAGGAGTACATTCCTATTCTTGTCCACGCTGTCAAGCGATTCTTTGATGGCGTACGCAGCGAGATTTTGATAAATGGCTTCGTCATCTTGCTTCAGTGATCGGAGATGCTGGAAGGCGCACTTTTCATCGTTGCAGGTCCCCAGCAGATCGAAATGACACAGTGGACGCATCATGTCGAGATTACTCGAGTGTGTCAATGATGTAAGGGTGCGGTGAGCCTGCGTTCGGTAGAAGGGGCTGAGACGGTACGAGCGGAATTGGAGCAAGGGACTTTCGTACGGCTCGTACACGCGCGGTCGCTTCGTTGCATTAGAGTGCTGGAGATTGGCCGCGCGAGTGGCATCGCTGGGATTCGACTGCACGACAGCACTGAATGCATCCAACAAAATGCAGCGCTGTTGCATTCCTCGCTTCAGCAAAGCCGTGTCGGCGACTGCCCGTGTTTTGCGAATTTGAGGCTGAGGTTCCTGTGCCATTGGTTTGGCGTGAGGGGCTTGAGACGTGTCGCTGGTGGCGTCCACGTTGCTGCCTACGACTGCTGTCGCACTGTTGTCACAAACTACATCCACCGTAGAGGGAAGGACGGCGTTGGCGATTGCAGCAAACGATGCAGAAATCGCCAGACGATCGAATCGCAACCCATACGAGCGCACAACGCCAGCGAACGTTTTCAAGAGTCTCTGCCGCTTGTGTAGCTCGGCCGTGTCAAGGATTGCACCGACATTCGCAGACAGTGCGCTCGATGAACTCGACTGGCTCGCGCGGGGTGGTGCGACGACCAACCAAAAATCTGCTGACGCAGGCTGTTCTTCTTGCAAGGAGTTTGAGATTTGTGGTTGCACTGTCGAAGAGGGAAACGAGGCGATTGGCCTTCCATTCTCAACAAGTGTTTGACGCGACTCGATGGACATGGGTGTCGGTTGAAGGTCTGCTTGGTCTGCTTGTTCTTGTTGATCTGCAGCAGCTTGATCAGCCTCCTCGGCATCACCTTCAGCTGCTTGAAGTGGCTCGGAGTTCAGTGGGTCTTTGAGGCTGTCTTGCTCGGGTTGCAGCTGCTGCTGTAGTTGCTCACGTTGCTGCTGTTGCTGCTGCTGTTGCTGTTGCTGCAGTTGCTTTTGTTCCTGAACTTCAACGTGACGACGAAGAGTGCGAATTTGCTGCTCGATCGTGCTGGTCTTCTCGTGCAGCATGCGCTGGCGTGATGCCTCGAAGAGCTTCAGTTGTCGTCTGGAGTCTGCAATTTGGCGCTCGATGGCAGTTAACTCTGATTCTTTTTTGACAAGTTCTTGTTCAGCTTCCGCGACAGCCTTGTCCAGGTTTCGACGTGTCTGGTGAGAAGCAACCAGCGTCTTGTCGAGCGAAAGGAGCTCCCTCTTCAGCTCCGCCATCCGTTGTTCTTGCCGAATGCAGACCTCGGCTGCATCGTCGCGCTGTGCTACTGTGGTGTTCAAGCGTGTCCGTTCATCTGCAATGTGTGCTCGAAGAACCTTCACTTTCGTCTCCGACTGGCTCACTTGGTGTGCGAGAGTGGAAATTACTTCATCAGCAGTGCTTTGAGCGCTGCTGGAGGCGCCGCTGGCGACTGCTGGTGCTCCTGCTGGTAGTGATGGCTGTGCCACATTGACGGCCAAGTTGGTTGCTGGAGACACTGCGATCTGAGAAGAAGTGTTCTTGGTCGTTGCTGGCACGGATGGTGCCAATGACGGTGCTCGAGGCAACGCGGACACGGTCACTGTCGCTGGCGGTTCAGTGGAGGCGAGCAAAGTGCCCGAAGCCAAAGGAGTTACAGGGCTGGATGTCTGCCGTTTTGCAAGAATTTCTTTGAGACGCATGTACTCGGCTTGCTTTTCAAGAGGAAGGCTGGTAACGAGGTCGGAAGTTGCTGCTTGCTGAAGTCCCGAATCTGTGCGCGCCAACACATTCGCAGTCGTGACTCGCTTCAGCAGACCAGCCGGGCCTTGTTGCGACAGAGCGCCGGGCTGATGAGTGCGTGTACTCGACACGACAAAAGGAGGTTGAGACGAAGATGGAGCAACTGCTGGCTGCGAAACGAATGCACTACCACTGAACGGTTGCGGGGAACTTTGGGCTGCCCGAGCCATGTTGGCCTTGAAAACTTCCATGCGCTTGCGACCGTGATCGACTGCAAAGCGTTGGTAGCTGTCAGTTGCCTCATCGCTGGAGCTGGATTCGTCGTCGCTGTCGGACAAGACCAACACCAGGTTGTCCTGTGTCGGCTTTCCTGGAACTGGGGTGGGCTCCCGCGATGTCAACTGGTGCAGTGCAGCATCTGCCACGAGGTTGGCGGGAACGGGGATTGTTTCCTGTCCAGAAGAGCTGGCGATCGTGGGACCGCCAGACGAGGATTGGTTTTTCGGCAAGACGCTGACGGGCGGGACCTCGACGACCGGCAACTCGTGGGGAGATGTAACGCGCTGCTCGCGTGTTGTCTTCAACGCTCGCTTGGCTTCCAAAGCGCGCTGCCTGAGCATGCGCATCCGGTCAGCCGCAGAAAGCGACGACGCGTCGCTCTGGTCTCGATCAGAATCCAATTCCATCGCGTCATCCATGCGCTCGCTGGGAAGGCCTGGCTGGAACGGAGAGCGGCGCGCGAACGAGAGTAGAGGTCGACGATTGGTCGTTGAAGCCTGGACAGGAGTCGCAGCAGCAACAGCTGAGAGGTCCTGCTCAAAAAACGAGTGCGCTAGTGGCCGCTTTGCGTGTTTGATCGGCTTTGGCGCTTCCGCGGTACTCAACGCAGAGCTTTGATCGCTTGGCTGCACCACAAAGGTTGGCAACGGGCTGGCGCTTCGACTCGGCTCGCGACTGGCGTGTCCAAACGGTTGACTAGGATGAAGATCAGAGTATTGGAGGAATGGCTCTCGGAATGATGTGAAACCCTGGTGTTGTTGATTTTGAAGTGGATGATGCGATGCATATGGCTGCTGTGCCACCGTCGTCTGTTCTTGGAGAGCAAACAGCTGCTGGTTGTGTTGCGGTTGTGATAAGTGTTGTACTGCAGCGAATGGTTGGTGTTGTTGCTGTTGTTGTTGGAGCTGATGTTGTTGGTGCTGATGTTGTTGTGGTTGTTGTAGCTGATGCTGTTGTTGTAGCTGTTGTGATGCTACCAATGTTGGGTGTGGTTCGTGTTGTGATTGTGAAGCGAGCGGCTGTTGCAAGGCCTGCAGGCGGAGTTGTTGCCGTCGTGTCGCCAGCTGTGCTTCCAATTCGTCCAGGCGCTGCAGCTCGGACTGTACGTCCGACGGATGAGGCTCAGAATAAGGTGCGCTGAAAAGCTGTGGCGCTCCATTTGCCGCGGCTGAGAGTTGGTCGGTGCCGTCATGATAGCGCTGCCAATCCTGCTGTGGTTGCTGCTGGGCTTGGGACATTGGAAACTGTAGAAGAGCCGCAGCCTGCTCATCTGGCGCTTGTGCGGTGGCACTTGACGCGACACTCAAGAACGGGAGCGGGATGAATGTCTCCTCAGACCAGGAAGGCGGTGGCTGCGCATAGCCGTGCTCGTACGGCAGATTCTGGTACGACTGCTGCCCTTGCAGTTGTGCAGACATGCCTTGATAGTATGGATTGGAGCTGGCTTGTGGTTCAGGCGCGTAGTACTCGATCAATGGAAGCCTTGCGTGCGGTTGAGCTTGATCTTGACCTTGTCCTTGTCCTTGTCCTTGTCCTTGAGCTGCTACTTCTGAGGGGTGGTAGTACCGATCCTGTTGCTGTGCTGGTTGCGCTTGTGGTTGCCATGCCTTGTGGTCTGATGATGATGATGGCGCTCGACGGCCATCTTGAAAGCGTGGATCGTGCCTGCTGTGCTGAGTGTACGACCCAGTCGACGAGGACGCCGCCGCCGACGACGACGACGACGATGACGTGTACATGGAGCCTGACGAATGGTGCTTCCCACGACTCGAGCTGGGATTCGGGCGCACGGCTCCAGGACCGCCCGAGCGAGGAGCTTTCAAAGCGTGCTTCGGGCCTTCTGCTGGCTGCGGCTTCTCGACGATGCCGCTCTCTCGCCGACGGATCAATGCGTCGAACGAGTCTGGGTCCTCGTCGCTGTGATATCGGTGGGCGCTGAAGCGGTCGAGCTCGCGACTGCGCTCGTTGTACGACGACATGCCTGTCAAAAACCAAAGCTGGACTGAGTTGGATTCTGAGCTTGAATTCTGATCTTGGACTTTTAGAGTTGGATTCTTGAGTTGGATTGAGTTCTTTTGTTTTTCCGTCTTGTATGTGCAATGCAAAGGAAGCGCATGACTGTGAGCTGAAATTGCATTGCGCGGTGCTTCGCTCTGCATTTGGACGCCGGACGCCGGCTGTTTCCCATCGCTGTCGATTTCGATCTATAAGGTGAGCATACATTCGTTGGGGAAACTGCTGGCAATTCACTGGATGCTCAGGAGAGGCGCAGACTTGGCAAACAATGCGATGGCTTTTCGACCACCAAAGTGTCCAATTGCGCGAGCAGCAGCTCAGCAGTAGTGGCGTGCAACCGCGCTTTAACCTATTCGTGTTGTTGCAAATATGATTACAGTTTGTTTTTTACGTTGGAGCGTCTTGACTTGGCGACATGGTCGTATATTAGCGGATTGGTTGAAAACCTGACTTGCCAAGTGTGAGTCACAAGTCGTCGAGGACTTTTAGGAGGTATTTTTGTATCCATTGTAAAGAACATGGTCTATTCTACTATTTAAAGTGTATTTGGTGGTGCTAGGCTTGCTGCTCATGAAATTCGTCGATCGATCAAGAGGCAATTCAGAAATCAAAGCTTAGAGAACAAATTTTGTGTTTTGTTCGATTTTGATATCATTTTCCGAATTCACGAAATCATCAAACCAAGCCCACCGCGACGCCTATCCATGATGATTTCAACTAAAGTACTCACACCAGATGACACTTGGCTTGTCAGGACCCAGAATCGAGGCCATCCAGCCAGCGAAAGCACGGTTGGAAAGAATGGCGGTTGTAGGGATTTCAGCTCGAGCGCAGTTGCTCAAGTCCCTGGTCCGCGCAACGCGCAATTTTCACTCGCACTGCAAGCACTGATGTTGTGACTGCAACACCTGACCGATTCTGATGTGCATACCCGATCCAGTCATTTCTTATTGCAGTTCGAACTGGCAGGATGAGCAACTTTTTCCAGCTCAACCAGGGCGCCTCGCGCAAACGAGAAACCGCGACCTCCACAACCACGCCTTGGGTCGAGAAATAGTTGAGTTGTCGTTGACGATGCAATCCAGATGAAGAGAGCGAGAGAGCCTCAGAGGGCGGGCGGTGGGACAGGGAAGCAGAAAATGGCGGGAGAGCGAGTATTTTCCCGCCAAAATCTTTACTACTGTTGACGCTCATTGTTGAACCAACTACCACCGCGCGCCTTCTCACCTCGCACACAGTCGACCACGCACAGTCGATGAGGTTGCCTTCCAAGACGAAGTGGTCGCCGTTCTCAAGAAGTCGCTGACAAGCAACGATGTGAGTTTCGATCGTGTTCGACTTTGGCTTTGCGTGCAGCCTTTCGCGCGTCCTGCACACCGAGCCAAGCCAGCTGCTGCCCCAGGGCGCTGCTCAGCAAGCAGGAACACTGTGGATTGGGTTGAACTCTGGACCTTGGAGTGTGCGCGGACAACTCATCACCATTTGCGTGGACTTTGCCTGTTGCAGTTTCCGCACTTGCTCTTCTACGGCCCGCCCGGCACGGGCAAGACAAGCACCATCCTCGCGATTGCAAGGCAAATGTTTGGGTAAGAGAAACTAGCGTTGGGTACTGATTGATATCGGGAGTCACGCGAATGCCTGATAGCCAATGCTCATTCGCACCTTTCTTTTCCAACACACAGACCCGAACTCATGAAAACCCGCATCCTCGAGCTGAATGCATCCGATGAACGAGGCATTTCTGTTGTCCGCGAAAAAGTCAAGACGTTGCACCAATCTCTGCGACTCAAGTGGTGG